TGTATATAGATCATGTGGTAGAAGCAACCTTTTGCTCTCCACCTTTGGATAGCTTGAAATAGATCCCAACCTATCCAGCCATTCTCTCTTGTCTCACACAGTTGCAGTGTAGGCCTCAGAGATCTAGCCACTCGTGGAGACCCAGGGACTATCCTCACAAACTCCATTGTTCTCATATCCATTTTATATGCTCTTGTGCTCAATGGAGCCTCTCCCGCTTATTAGCCTCTGATAGAGATGGTTTCTGGTGTGCAACATATCATTTATAACCTCTATGTCTCAAGGCAGATCTGATAGCTTCGGGACCGACCTATAATTCGGAAAATTGTACTGAGAGCTCTAGGTAGCTCATCAGTCTTCTAGTCTTGCTAGAGACGACGAATAGCTCGATCTCATCTATCTGCTCCTCATTAAGTACTGGAGGACACCCTGGGTGCTTCCTAGGAGTCACTTTATAGGAGGCAGCATACTGAGCTTGAGCCCATGAGATGTTGAGCATCTTCGTGATGTCATCCAATTGCCATCCAACATCTCGAAGTGTATGGACTTAGATCCATTCATCGTGTGATAGGTATCGGTGGTGAGGATGAGATTGATTAGATTTAGCAGATTCTGATTCAGTAGATTGAGATTCAGCAGATTGAGATGTTTGGAGTGAGTTATTGAACTCCATAGTGGCATATCGGTTCGTTGACAAGCGATGGATTGAGAGTCGTGATGGAACAACATGGAAAGTACTCCGAAGTAACGAAACAGTACCACTGATTATGTCAGAGGCCATGCATCTCGTATGCGGATGATGCAGGACATGTCTGGTCGATAGACGGAGTCTTATTGGTCAAATTGTCTGTGTAAGAATCCACGCTTGGGCCAACTCCGAGGATCCACATTGACTACTTCCCCCAGCAACCACAGTACGGAGTAGAGGTGGGAGACATGGCCAGCATGACAAGCCACTTCGCTCCCAGGCGTCCTGCATGACTCGCGCTTTGAAAACTTCCCCACTGGATTGCACTCACCCCACACACTCCTACATGTATTCTTCTCCTCATACACCTGCACGGCACGTCTCGCACAAACACTCGACATTCTCCACGAAAATGGACGACCCGGCCTTCGATACCTCGACCGACCTCCATACCCAAAGCATCCTCCTCGCAGCCGCGCACCACGACATCGGCGCCCTTCGCGACCTCTTGCGGAACACGTCCGCCAACGTGCAGGACGAAGAAACAGGATTCACGCCGCTGCATGCTGCCATTGCCGCATTGGAGCCTGGACTCGATTCCCATGATGATGGTGATGATGGCGCAGGAAGAAATGGGGCCGAGGTGAATGGCCATACCAATGGCGACGTTGCGCACGCCGAGAGCGAGGAAAGGAAGATGGAGGTAGAAGCGGCCGTGAAGACGGTCAGATTTTTGTTCGAGAACGGGGCCATCTGGAATGACCTCGATGCGAATGGGGAGACGCCTGGGTGTATTGCGCATAGGCTGGGCTTGAAGGAGCTGTACGACTTGTGTGTGGATGCGGGTGTGAGGGCAGAATTGCTGCTCAGTCGGTTGGACGAGTATCAACCACTTGATGGGGACGATTCAGATTACGAGGAGGAGGATGAGGGGGGCCAAAACAGGGAGGAGCAGGAGGGGGAGGACGAGGTCAGCAATATCACCGAAAAGGTAGAAGAGATTGCCCTGCATGGAGAGGCCGCGGCGACACAACCTGGGGACGAGTCGACCGCAAGCGCAAACTACTTGGCGTCAAACTTGACATTTCAGCGAAACAGGATACTCGATGGAGCCGCCAACGGCGTCATGATGGGGTGGGAAACGACTTTGATGCGGCGGTCTGCGGAGCTACTGACGCCACGGGAAGGCCTGAGGGTGTTGAACGTCGGCCACGGCATTGGCATCATCGACGCCATCTTCCAAGAGCGCAGGCCTACTTACCACCATATCATCGAAGCACATCCGGACGTCCTGGAGCAAATGAAAGAGGGCGGATGGTACGACAAGCCTGGCGTCGTCGTCCATCAAGGCCGATGGCAGGACATTGTTCCTGGCCTGGTTGAAAAGGGCGATCTATTTGATGCGATATACTTCGACACTTTTGCGGAAGACTACAGAGCGCTGCGGGAATTCTTCACAGAGTATGTCATTGGACTACTCGACCCTGCAGGCGGACCTAACGGCGAAGGAGGCAGATTTGGCTTCTTCTGCGGCATGGGCGCAGATCGACAGGTTTGCTACGATGTCTACTGCAAGGTCGTGGAGATGGACTTGTTTGAAGCGGGCTTCGACACAGAATGGGAGACCATACCGGTTCCGGATCTGGATTCTGAGGGCGAATGGGAAGGAGTGAGGAGAAAATACTGGGTTCTCAAGAATTACAAGCTCCCTACCTGCAGCTTCATTGCTTAGAACCCCCCCAAAGCATAAACCCGACCGCCAGTATTTGAACGTCCAAAGACTCCAGACTAGAAGCACGCCTTATGAACCATTCACGGCATTCAACTCCTGCAAACCGTCCAACAACCCGTGCATTCTCAGCAAGCCGTTGTAGGCGCCATGGCGGGGCTCCACCAGCTGCTTGGTGGCCTCTGCACCCACCACGGGCAACCGTTTCAGGCCTTCATCCTTCATCTTCTTGGGGACCGCCTTGGGGTCGAGGAGGCCGACCTGCATCAAGACGGACGCCTGATCCCAGTACATGTGCTCCGATACCAGTTTTCCGCCCCTGACAGCTACAATGCTCACCACTCCAATCTCGACGTACTTGTCCGTTGGCGGAACTCCGGGCAAAATCCAGTCCATATCATCCGTGTGCGTGAAGGAGATGATCATCTCGTCCACCACCCTGTCATGGCCAATGGTCCTCGACACAAGACGTATTTCAAAATCTTCGACCAGACTGGGAATGAAGATGTCTTGGTAGAATTCCTGTAGTTTTTTCCTGCCTACCCCGCCCTCTAACGTCGGCAGCAGGGTCACATGCGGCGCATTCTGCGTCATGCGGCTGACGACGGCCATACTGCCCCGTTCTGGATCCTCGATCTCGTATTTCCCCTTCCATGCCTCATCCGCGACGGGTTCAATGTCCACGTCCATCTTTGCGCCCCGGTGTATCGCGATCAACGACCTGCTGCCCGCCAAATTCGCATCGCCCTCCGAGTAGTTGGGCGACGTAGGATCCGCGAAGCCAACGGCGCAATGCTCATACTGGTAACACTTCCACGCGCATTGCTCCGGCGGTGGGCACTTCTGGCTCAGCATGGCTACGTGCACCGTGACATTCAGCATGCTTGGGTATTTGTGATTCGGATCGGGGAGGTGGGTAGGATAGTAGGCGATAATCGCCGAGCACTTGTGCATGGGCTTCGTGGCGACTTTGAGGATCTGGGTTGCCGCTTCGCCGTAGCAGACGATGGCGTACGTCTCTGTGAGGCCCATGCCATTGTCTAGGGAATGGATGGTGCGGAGGTAGGCATCTTTGTCTGTGCGGTCGTAGGGTAGGTAGTGGACATCGAAGCCGTCCTCTCTCCAGTAGAGAAGGGTACGTTCAGGTGGGTGAGGGGACGAGGAGGTCACCCATACTTGCGGGGGCTTTCGATCGAACGTGAGGAAGCTGCCGCCTCTCTGAGACATGGTTGTATCGTGCTGTTGCGACCAAAGAAGGGGTATGGCAAACGACGAGGACGGTATATAGGATTCGTTAGGTTGAGGCTGGATGGAAGGCAGAGCGAATCGTGCTAACACTGTCTGTCGAGCGCTAGCTGGCTCCGGGCGACCCTAGAGAGCCTCGATTGGCATCCGGTTTTTCATGTCCGCACGGCGTGGAACGACGTTCTCTGGGTCCTCTTAAGAGGCGTGCGAGGTGCGAGGCACAATCTTTGTTCCAAGTTTCGGGGCGGTGGGGAAGCTCTACGTTCCTTGTGGTAGGGGATGGAAGGTCAGCCACGGACTATGACGTCACCGCCAATGGACACAAAACCAACACCACCAAGACACGGCCTGAGCGCGCCAGTGCGGAATTTGTGTTACACAGTACTATGTAGTACTTCGTCTCCTACAGTGTACAGTACTGTCAGTAAGTACGTAGGTAGTATCCACGGTACAGTGTATAATACAGTACTTACAAGATGATTGTCCTGTATATTTGATTTGATGGGACAGAGATGATAGTCGTGTCGTTCCGGGTCACTCCACGCTCGATCGTGGGTGAATACATGATGGTTCAGGAGGTGCTCCGTGGTTGACAACTTACTCTTGCCATCCCTCCTCCATGGGCCTGGGGAATGGCCTGGTACTAGGCATGTCATCCTACCACGGAACACCAAACGCCTCCAACACCTTCCGAGGTCCCAACCTGATCCACTCATCGGCCATCTCCCTCTGGTGCACCCAGACCGACCCCATCATCCCCACCGTATTCGTGCTAACGCCTCCAAGAGCATCGCTTCTCCTTGGTATCACGACCAGAGAATCCCTCCACAACACGACATTGTGAGGACATGGCTGCTGGCTGCCCGACAACCCCAACACGTGCCTGGACTCCTCGACATATCCTTCATAGACCCCCAGGAGCTCTGGCACCTCGACTTCTCTCAGGCCGCGTTCAAATCGATGCATGAGATACTGGAACGGCACTTTCCGGCGGCTATCCCCTTCGTCGACCGACTCCACAAACAACCCAAATGCCCTCGGCGGGCCTTTCAACGCTTGCAGGTGCTTATGCAGCCGACTACAACCTCCCCTTTCAGTGCAATTATAAATCACGTACATTTGCGGCCCCCACTCAGGCTGCCTCATCGCCTCCAATGCAGCAGCAAAGTCGTCTGCGTCGAGCGGCTCCGTCTGCCGACGGTACGAATCCGTCGTCAACAGCATGAATTGCGGACGATCGACGCAGAACATGTTGAGCGCGAGGTCGTGCGTCCCCCCGTTGAGTTTGCCCAGAATGAGACGCGAAGTGGGGAGATACAGGTCGCTGCCTGGACCCCATCTGGGGTACGAAACCGGCGTGGTGAGGGCTGATGTGGTCATCTGTGGCTTTTTGGTGAGGGAGGGGCAGATGCGGAATTCCATCTGGAGTTGGTGTTAGCATGGAATCGAATTGACGCGGTGCAGGTGGGATTGCTATTACAGGGAACCCCTCGTACTCCTTCTCGACTCTCTCATGGGGTCCATAGGTGATGATTCCTTCCTGTACCAACTCATCAAATGTGGAGAGAACACTTGTTTCCGATAGTCCCTCCATCAGATGGCCAGCTATTTGGCTCTTTTGTGGTGAAAGTGGGTGTTGCGCGGGAACTCGACGGAAAGGGCCTAAGCACCGCCTACGCACCTGTATAACCAGTACTCTACTCCGGGTACAATTGACCCTGGCGATGTCCCCACTTTTGCTGCTAATGGTGTGTTGCTGTCACTTGGAGCGAGCAGACAGGGAATCAGATAACAGCGATTAGCGATGCAGATGATGGGTAAATCTGGGAACGCTCGGTACATTTCAGCATCATCAGATATTAAAAACTCCATCACTATGTGGTACGATAGGACGAAAACAGGATGAATAATCAGAGGTGTCGGACCTCCGTGAGTTATAACGTGTTCCACCAGTGAGCTGGCCACACCACCGAGCTGGCCACCCCACCAAACCGCGCCAAAATGCGTCCACCTTTTTGATCATGGTTCGACAACCACAAGCTCAATTAGTATCAAAAGAGGGCAGAATTAGCCTTGCTCTTCACTCTTTCAAGTCTAATCCTTGTCAGTCCTTACGGAAGCTCGCAGCAGTATACGACATGCCCAGAGCGACTCTCCAGACACATCTTAACAGTACCCCCTCATGACATGAGACTATACCTGTCAATCGCAAGCTATCACCTGTTGAAGAGCAGTCTTTTGTTCGCTGGATCCTAGACCTTGACCAACGAGGTTTTCCACCATATATCATCGACGTACGATGAATGGCAGATGCTTTGCTTGCTGCTCATGGTGAGCAGCCTCCCCCCAAGCCTGTAGGCAAGAATTGGGTGTCACGCTTTGTCAATACTCAGCCAGAGCTCTAGACTAAATAGGACAGGAAACTGCACTCCTAGCGTGCTCTCTGTCAGGAACCAGTCAAGTTTAATGTGTAGTTCAAGCTTATAGATAACACACACCAGGTGTACAGGATACTAGATCAAGATACCTACAACTTCGATAAGACAGAGTTTATGATGGGAGTTGCTAGCACATCGAAGGTCATGACTAGCTCTAACACTGTTAGTCGAGTAGTTACTGTACAGTCTGGCAATCATGACTGGGTTACAACAATCGAGTGTATCAATGCATCTAGCTGGATGCTCCTACCCTCCATCATTCTATCAGGAAAGCTACACCAGGCTAGCTGGTATCACGATATCCTAGATGACTGGACGTTTGCAGTGAGTGACAATGGTTGGACAACTGACCAGCTTGGTCTAGCCTAGCTAAAGCACTTCGACAATCAAACAAAGTCACGTACAGCAGGAGCCTATCACCTACTTATCCTAGACAGCCACAGTAGCCATGCAACACCCGAGTTCGATCAATACTGTATAGAGAACAAGATTATCAGTCTCTGTATGCCAGCTCACAGCTTCCACCTCCTACAGCCTCTAGATATCAGCTGCTTTGCACCTCTCAAGCAAGTATATGGACATGAGGTGTCAGAGCTCGTACACAATCACATCTTCTACATCGACAAGCAAGATTTTCTTAGCATCTACAAGCATATCAGGCCTACTATATTCACAGAACAGAGCATTAAGAGTGGCTTTCAAGCCACAGGCTTGATCCTATACTGTTCTAATCGTGTCTTGTCATCGCTTACTGTTATCCGAACGCCATCTCCACCAGCACAAGAAGCTGACAGTGAGAGGCGCTGGACTGCAGAGACACCTCATACAGTTGCCTAGCTCCAGCAGCAGGCTCAACTAATCCGTAACCATCTTGGTCGTCAATCGCAGAGCCCTACAAGCTAGACAATCGCCCAGCTTATCAAAGGATATTAGATGGTGATGCATTCAGCGACAATTCTTGCAGAAGAAAATACTAAGCTATGTCAGGCCAACGACCGCCGAGAGCAGAAGAGGTGATAGCGACAGCAGTATATTGCTACAGGAGGGACTCTCACAGGCCAGGAAGGTCAAAGGCTGGCTATAGAGGCTGATAGGCTGGTTGAAGTAGATGCGCAGGCTCAGGCATCACAGGTCTATCGACAAGTACCACCAACCTGCTCGAAATGCCACGTACAAGGCCATAACAGGACTCAATGTAGAAGCAATTAGGAAGATTTTGTATATATATTTGTATAGAATTAATTCAGTCGTTGTTTAGTTATCTATCAAAAAGGTGCACGTGACTTGGTGGGGTGGCCAGCTCGGTGGTGTGGCCAGCTCACTGGTGGAACACGTTAATGTGTTTGATCACTCATCCGGCCAGATCACTCATCCGGCCAGATCACTCATCCGGCCAACCCACCAAAAACACGATGCATCTTCTCACAACACTCACGATGCTACCCACCCAGCACACCCAGCAAGCTCAAAAAGAGGGTAGGCTTGCTCTTGTGAAACAGGCCTTTCAAATAAGCCAAAAATTAAGCCAGCGTAGGCTAGCTAGGTTGTATAGTATCTCTCGGTCTACTCTCCAAGATCGCATCAATGGCTCCCTCTCGCAAGCTCTTGTCAATGCATAGAAATGAAAGCTACACCCTACAGAGGAGCAGTCTCTAGTAGATTGGATCCTAGACCTTGATCGACAAGGATTTCCACCCTAGATTATCGATGTACGATGAATGGCAGATAATCTACTCACTACATATGGCCAGGAACCTCCTCTCCCATCAGTCAGCCAGAAGTGGATGTCCCACTTCATTAACTACCAGGCAGAGCTCCAGACAAGGTAGAATCGCAAGTTCTACTCACAGCATACGAGATCTGAGGACCCAGTCATGATCCGTGCATGGTTCGAGCTTGTAGAGAAGATACATCAGTCATACAACATCTTAGACATGGATATCTACAACTTTGACAAGACTGGCTTTATGATGGGGATCGCTGCGATATCAAAAGTCATTACAAGCTCTGAGGCAGTCGGCTGGGCAGTGACTATACAGCTAGGTGATCGAGAGTAGGTAACGATAATCGAGTGTATCAATGCGTCTGGCTGGTCTATCCTACCCTTCGTCATTCTGCTTGGAAAGCTCTACCAGGCTAGCTGGTATGAAGGCCTCCCACCTGAGTGGGTTATCGCTATTAGTGACAATGGCTGGACGACTGATGAGCTTGGCCTTGAGTGGGTAAAGCACTTCTATCGATATACAGGGCCTCGCATAGTGGGCATCTACCGTCTGCTTATCCTCGATGGCCACAGCAGCCACGTAACACCTGAGTTTGACCAGTTCTGCAAAGAGAACAAAATTATCACACTCTGTATACCACCACATATGTCGTACCTCCTACAGCCACTTGATGTTGGCTGCTTCTCACCTCTCAAGCGCATATATAGCCATCAGGTCTCTGAGCTTGCATGACAAGGCATCTTCCATATCGACAAGCAGGACTTTCTACAGATATATCCAGGTATCAGAATGACAGTCTTCTTAGAGCAGAATATCCAGGCTGGCTTCCGGGCAACAGGGCTAGTCCTAGCCTGTCCAGAACGTATCTTGTCATCGTAAACAGTGGTCAGGACGCCATCTCCACCAGGGACAGCGGCCAACGCTGAGGTCGTATGGACGGCAGAGACACCACATACTATTGCTCAGCTAAAGCAGCAGGCTCGACTTATCCAGGACCACCTTCGTCAGCCTTCTCAGAGTCCTACTACTCAGGTTATCTGCCAGCTTGTCAAAGGTTGTCAACTTGCAATGAATTCAGTAACGATTCTTACAGAGGAGAATAAGAAGCTTCGACAGGCTAGTCAGTGCTGGCAGCATAAGGAGCAGCAGCGCCGATAGTATATAGCCTGTGGAGGAGCTCTACAGGCAGAGGAAGGTCAATTGCTTGCTGCAGAGACAGAAAGGGTGCTCCAGCAGGTAGAGCAGGTGGGGCAGCCAAGTAGGCCTCAAGCACCACCAACCTGCAGCAAATGCCATGAATAAGGTCATAGAAGAACTCAATGTACTGCTAGATAGCGCGCATCTAATAGATCTATTTACTATATATTTTATCGTAGTGGCGTAGAGTTATTGTACAAGAAAACACGAGCATTTTGGTGGGGTGGCCAGATGAGTGATCTGGCCGGATGAGTGATCAAACACATTACGGAAGGTCCCTGACTAAGCAGCTAGTCACGTGCTATGTACGGTGCCAAGTAATCTATGGGAATCACCACAACTTCCTAGGTATCCCGTCTCCGATGATCCGGAATCGTGTGTACAGGCCGCCTTTGATACAGCAACAGCTGTTTACTGCCGTCACTATCAATCTCTTGGGTAGGCATCTCTACTCTGAGCGAGGTTTTGTAGAGTAATCCTGCTGTTTCATGCCTCAATGACTTTGAGACCCACGGCCACTTCTCACTCATGGCAACCATGCTGCGGGTCCGATCCATTCCCCTCAGAGAGGCATTATGGAACCAATGGAGCATCCAGGCGTCTTCCTTGGTGTCTCAAACATTCTCTCGTAACAGCGGGGCACCCAATGTATCCCATCTTGCGTAATGCATCACTGACTCTTTCCACACGGAACTGCCTACTCTGAACTAGGTTATTCCAAGCGGACTGAGAGCAGGTGAATTTTGCCGGGTACGTGCCAGGAGTTTCGGAGACTCATGCGTTCTTCTTACGATTAGGTTGTCCAAAGCGCTGCCGGATATTCTCTATTCGAGGGATGGCTTACCCCTCAGGTCGATACTTTGAGCCGGTGCCTACACTGAAGGTTTTCTTCGTAGCAACGCGTGTCTGGTCAGGCTGCGCCGTCTTCTTGGCTGGCGAGATACCCTCCGTCAACGAGGGCGTCTGCTTACTAGCGACTGTAGGCTTTGCGGTTCTCTTCAAATCTTGAGCTCCAGGGGTCGGCTTCTGTTGCGCTCCCATTGTACCACTAGGCGTGATCTTGATTGGCACACCACTAGATGTCATAACCACGCCAGATTTCTCTTTGCGAGCCTCTTCTGCATCCATTTTCCCCACCTTGATGACGACCCCATCCTTCGTGACTATGGTTCCCGTCTTCTTCGCCTCCTGCGCCTGTGTCTTGGGGATCTTGATCATGACTCCTGATTTTGTCATTACGTTTTGCATTTGCCCCGGAGAAGCTGGTTTCATCTGCGAAGGTGCATCTGGCGCAGGCTTTGCCGAACCATACGTTATGTTCTTCGCTGGCGAAAGAAGATTGGCGCCACTCCTCGTCCTGGCCGGAGTCTGGGATTCTGCGGCACCAGAGGCACCTTTCTGCAGAGCACGAACACTCCTAACAGGTGGCGCGGGCCCGGGTTTTCTGATGCCTCCTGGGAGAACCATGCCACTCTTGATGGCGGTCTCCTTTACCAATTTGGCCAAGTTCTCTTGCGTCAACTCCTGCACCTTTGTGCCATGTTCCTTCTGCCTTCCATCTCGCTTGCCGCCCATCTTAGCAGCATTTACAATCGTCTTCTCCAGTTCATCGGGACTGGGCAAGCCTTTCATTTCTCCACCCTTCAATAGTGTCTTCAAATGGTCTTGGAGAAATTCTTTCGCGCCCGGAAGCGGCAAGTCATCTGGCGAGGCCCCATAGGCGATGGCCAACGCCGTCACGACGCTTGTAATGGGCGCAAAGATCTTGACAAACTCATTCCAGTTTCCAGACTTGACCTCCGTCTCAATGCTCACAGCCGGCTTGGGCATGCCCCGCAGCGACTTCCTTCCTGACTTCGTACTCTGCTGCGAACCCAGGTCGAGGTGTTGCTTCCAGAAGTCCTCGGCGGGAAAGCGCTTGTTCTTGACAAAGTATTCCAGCATGTAGTCCTTCTCCCGCCACCGATTGCGGAGCCAGACTTCAAAAGCCTTGCCGTTGTCGATGGGAATGGAGTCGAGGTGGAAGCGGCGCCAGTGCATGTTGACCGATTTGGGAGGGCGGCCTTCGAAAAACGAAGACCGTAGCGTGAAGATGTCCTGGCCAAACTGCCCTTCTGGGACTCCTTCGTACGCGATGGTGCAGTCATATAGCCACTCGGTGGTCTGGCGCAGCTGCTGCAGACAGAATCGTAGGCCAGTGCTGCGGGGCAGCAGCTGATGCTTCATGTCCTGCACTCCATTCTTTTCGGCCCACTGCCGGCTCTTCTCCCTCGTGGACGCTGACAGGTTGGTCCCCTCGGGGAAGATGATGAGCCACATTGGGTCATTCGGCTTGTTGAGCTGCGAGAGGTGACTCTCGAAGGTGGTTCGGTCTTGCTCCCACTTTCGGGAGAGAAAGATGAAATTGTAGAACTGGCAGCCCCAGCCGATGATGGGGATGTTCTTCAATGACTCTTTCAGAATGATGTAAATGAAGCCGTGCATGTTGTTGCAGTAGGCTATCCACCAGAGATACAGCCAGTCGGTGTATAGCTGGGAATGTGAGCACGCGGGCGACGGTACGTTAAATCTCGATTACTTGATGCCAGAACATACCTGATGGTTAGCCATCAAAACCATGCGGTTTGCAAAGTTGCACTGTAGGCTCCCATCCTTCTTCCTGATGAGCTGTCCCACCATGCTTGAATCCCAGCTCACCCTGACCACAGTTGGGGCCCACCATTGAGTCAAGCATGTGATGAGGATGGCAAAGCATTCCTTTGTATAAGCCATGTAGCCCTCGTAGAAGACTGGGTCAATCAGTTTCAATGGAGCACCTAGTAGCTGAGTCGCGCTGATCCTATACCGCAGTGTCAGTTCGGCTCCCCGTCCTGGCCCATGTGGCATGCGGTTGCAGTCTTACGCCAAAACCCCCGACATGAAAGTCGATGCCAGCGTGAAGGCCCTCTCAGCTTGCGATAGCTCTCCATGGCGAGGAGGTCCCGCAGGATGATTATCGATGTCGGGCTTTGCGATGGACAGGCCCGCGCCCAGGTCCTCCGTCTTCCGCTTTCGTTCTGCGGCTGTTGCAATTGGCGACATTTGATCGGGTTCCCAAGGTGATCAGTCCAACACAGTCATTGTACCTGAGTAGTGTAAGAGATTTTCTATCGTCTATCGACACCCTTACTGGGACCAAAGATGCTCACAGCTGACCCCTGCCGCCGTTGATGTGCGGTGGTGTGGCGGGGCGTTGTTGATCCATGGATGTTGTTGATCTATGACGTAGTGTGTGGCGCACTTCCCGCTCCCGCTGGCCAACTCGGCAGCGCGACACACCACAGTAACAGTAACAGGAACAGTGGGTGGTGGCACAAGCTCCGTCATTCATCCTTTGGAGAAGCCAGAGGGTTGCCCATCGTATATTGCCTCTCCAATTCTCAATCTGGGTTCAAGATACCCACCAGATCCAGAGTTTGTTACAAGTTCCAGAAAGGTGGTTCTACTTGTACATATTTCACTCTACACACAGTTGGCAAAAGCCCTGTCTTTTCCCCCCTAAAGGCCGACACTAAGGTGGGCACTGTTTCGTTTCCCAATCATATCCTCCCCATAGGCGACTCTATTTTGGCTCCCGTCGCAACACCCTTCATCTTCCAGGCGCTTACATACATACATCAGTCTCTACTCCAAGCCACCAGTCAATATGCCAGCCTCGGTCGCTTCAGCACCGGTGCACCGCACCACTTCGAAGACGCCGGCGTCGCGGAATAAGAAGGCTGCGGGAACGAAAGCGCCAGCAAAGGCCGTCAACGACGTTACCAATGGGGCCGTCCAACCACACGCCTCCCCCTACGAGATCATGGCCTCAAGGATCGCAAACCGTGTCGCGGAGCTGGCAGAGAACATCACCTTTGTCGAGCGAGAAAAGTGCGTCATTCCAAGAGATAGGATCGATTCTACGCATCCCAGACACTGACCATTTGCCAGGCCGCGGCCACAGTCGCCTCCTCAACCAGCCCAGCAAACCCGCCGCAAACCTCCACGAAAACTCGAAGTGCGAATCCCGCCCTCGGGCACCTCGCCCACCAACGTCACCTTCTCCGCACCCTTCCTCGACAACACGCTCGGGAAGCTGCTGGCACTGCAAAACCGCATGTTGCAGGTCAGCCGGGACATTGCGGCGAGCGAAGATGTCGACGAGGCCGTCAAGCAGGAGCAGTTCAACCAGGCGGCCGAGTTGTCGCGGATCATTGCGTTGATTTGCGCCGAGAAGGCGCGGCAGGGAGCCTAAGTGTTGAGACTGATCGGTTTTATCAACGGTTCCTATCCGTTACTTTGCTTTGGTCATTGCGAAGGGTCGTGTCTCGGTTTACTGTGAGCCAAGGGAGGTATATATGGGAGCGATATCACTTTTCTTATTTCCTGCGTTATAAACAAGGACATATTCATCACGCAAAAGATGCTTGTTGGGATGTGCCATTTTCATCACACAAACAGTTTGGGAAAGATAAATAGCAGATACCCACGCAAGCTGTGCGACCCTGCATCTTACCACCTCCCCATTCTCCGTCCCAGGGTGTTGCAGAGCTACGTCATGGAGGAAGGATCTCCGCCCCGCTGGACGCCACACTGCGTGCAGCCCCCATCGTCATCCTCCACAAACAAAGCGACTGAGATAGTATCGAACCCTCCCATTCGTACATAGTAAAACTTGTAGAAGACAATTGTTCCGTTGCTTGAGACTGCACCGAACACCGAAAATCGGAGAATTCGCGTTTTGAGTCTCCGATCTGGGATGCAACGCAGCTCCTCCGTCCACAGATACAGTTGAATCATGAACTTTGTCCAAAACATACTCTGGAACAGCATCGAAGGCTTCGTCGAAGCCGGAACCCGCAGCGTTGGCGAGTATGCGGGGGATGCCCTCATCAAAGCTGGCGATCTCATCGAGAACTCGGGAAGGGGTGTTGGCGAAAGTGCGTCTCTCGTTTCCATTCAGACCCTTGGGATCAAGCTGTCGTCACCGCAGAGACTGCTAACTGAACACCCCAACAGGCATCGAACGCACAGCGTCCGCCTACGGGCAGAAGATCGCCGGTCAGGGATACCAGCCCGGTCCCAAGGCCCTCCCAGCTCCATCGAAGAAGATAGCCGTCAAGCGATCCAGTTCGATGCCTGCTGTATCGACAGCGACGCGGAAAGCTCCTGTCGCATCGAAAAAGGCTCTCCCTTCGGCAAAGACTGCGACGAACCAGATCAGAAGAGGGCTCTCAGTTTCCGACGCTAAGACCACTGCGAGAGGAGAAGCGCAGAAGACGGCGGTGACGGCGCGGAAAACGGCCACAAGAGGAACTGTGACGAAGACGTCAACCCTCCCAAAGCCGTATCCAAACAACGTACCCCACGGCGCCAGCATCACACCTTCGTCTACGAAGAAGTCCAGCGCTGATGCCTCCAAATCAAAGAATCTCCCGAAGCCTTACCCACGGAGCAACACTCCTTTCTATCCCACGGAGAAGAAGACTCCCGTTACACCCAGTCGACCAAAACCGTTCATTGTCGAGAACAGGACGCTAGGAGGAGCCGCCGGTGGGGAGAAGAACAAGGATGGGACGAACAGGTATACACGACAGGCTGGTAAGACGTCCCTTCGGCCGCTGACATATGGGCCCACAGCGGAAAAGGGAAAGATGGAGCATATTCCCCTCAGTGCAGTGGGGTCAAAGATGGGGGAGAGGGAGGGTGGAAGAAGGGGCGGACAGGTTGGAGGTGGGGGAGGTGAGGTGCAGCATATTCCTGTTGTATAGGAGAGGAAGGGTGGCTGAAAGGGGTTTTGGAGAAGGGATCGGATTCGAGACAAAGTAGGGATCCATATATACAAGTACATGTCCATGGGAGGGAAACAATACCAGAATTAGGAAAGCACACGGGCGCTTTCCATGAGTCTACGAATGAAGGCAACTTGCATTGCGCCAAAGCTCGAGATGGGGTTTAATCTTCTGGTGGTGGGAGTTCCGGCACTCGTTCTTCCATCCATTGATCAGTTGTAGTCTACAAGGTTGCACGTGTACTTGTACAAGTAGTTGAGTGGTGAAGTGTACTAATCCTCTTTAGGCGGACGCTATGACCGTTCACGTCACCGAGGCTTCAACCGTGTCAGTGGAAGCACAGAGGTGAGTTTCTCTCGCCCCAGCGCCGCACACCTTTCCTTGACGACTGCCGTGCTCTCAACGTCCAACCTGTCAATATACTGTGCAATTCATCCCTTTATCGCCGCCCTTTACGACCCACGGCGGCAGCCACCGGCCACCCAATTCAATGGCCTCCAACTGGCCAGCTGCGCCCGCCTCGCAGGGCTCAAGCTCCAAGCATCCAAACCATCCACACACAGGGACCAATACACCGATTGAAGGCGCCTCAAATCCCATGGCCGGCTCAGCTAAAAAGCGCAAGCACCGTGGAGGCAAGAAGAGACGGAACAGGCGGCAGTCGTTCGCCGCGACCTTGCAGCCAGTCACCTCTGGCGATCTGACGGACAACCCGGATGCTCCTGAGGCACCCGAGAACGCGCCGCCGCATAGCTCGGGCATGTACCGGTTGAAGCGAAACAGCAGTAATACGAGCCTCGAGAGCGAAGCCCTCCTTGACCATCGTGGACAGAGCTTCATGCAGCCACGCCGGGGAAGCACGCTTCCCAATCTCTATCAGCAACGGCCCAGCACCTCGTACGCAGAGTCGCCCTCACGTTCCACCCAAAACATATTCACCCGCTCCAAGCTCTCCCAGCAGCCCATGTCGGATGAGGAGCAGCAAGCTGTCGACGACAGGACCCCGTTGATGAGCCAGTCACATCGAGACATCAGGACGGGTACGAGTTATGGTGGAATGGCTTCCCCGCCGACCTCCGGCGGGAGGCTCCGGAGAGGCAGCAGAGGCTCTTCGCAGAGTAGAAGGAGCAGGACCCAGCTTAGACCGACTCTCCCTCAGCACCAGTCTTCAGCCCAGTTCTGCGAGTACGACGTCAACAACCCTCCATCGAGACCTGGCAGCCCAGCCATGGGTCCCGATGTCAGTTTCAACGATGTCATGCTGTCCGCCGACTTGGAACGCGGCTTGACCCCCGAGGAAAGCAGGTCGAATAGAAGGCTACGGGACGCGTACATTGACATCGATCACCCTGCAGGCGCCGAAGACCACGAGAGCCCCCTTTCAGCTTCTCCGAAAGACCGGGGTCAGATGCGCCGACGCATGACTGCCATGCAGGCGGCCGAGGACGTGTGCATGCCAGTCGAAGGCATGTCGGAGCTCGGAGAGCAAGACTTCAAGGAGCGCGCTGAGAGCGGTGAGCGGCGACGGAGGCGGCGTCGGCGGTGGCCTGACCTGGACGTCCTCGAGGCCTGGGCGGCCGAGGAAAAGGAGCAGCGCACAATACTGGAGGGTTTGCGTACACGCAAAGTGAGCGAGCCTCTCATGGTCGCCGGTCGTCTGCGCCCGCAAAAGCGTCCCTGGCACAGAGAGGATGAGGATGCGCCCTACCGCTTCACCTACTTCAACGAGGAATTCGACAACACTATTCATGCGCAAACCATCAGCGACCTCCTGCAGCCGGGCCAGACTTTCAAGGACCTCTTCATTCCGGAACCCCCTGTGCTTGAAGACAGCACGGACGAAGATACGGATGATGAAGAACCGAATCAATCCCGCGATCCCACGCCCGTCAATGGAAATGGTGGTTCACGGCATACACTGCATCCCGGACAGATCCCCCCTCTTGCCTCTCGGCTAGGAGAGATGAAGCAAGCTCCCTCAGGAGAGCACACGCGCAGTCCTACGCCCGCCCCTGCCCCTGCCCATACGGAGACCAACGAGAAGCCGAAGCGATATGGGCCGCGGCCCGCGTTCTGGCTGGATGTCTTGCGTCCCACCGACGCAGAGATGAAGGTCATCTCGAAGGCGTTTAGCATACATCCGCTGACTGCCGAGGACATCATGATGCAGGAAGCTCGGGAGAAAGTGGAGCTATTTAAGCACTACTACTTCATCAACTACCGCACTTTTGAACAGGACGAGAACAGCGAGGACTACCTTGAGCCGGTCAACCTCTACGTAATAGTGTTCCGTGAGGGTGTGATTAGCTTCCATTTCTCCATGACACCGCACCCGGCCAATGTGCGGCGGAGGATCAGACAACTACAGGACTACCTCATGGTATCTCCGGACTGGATCTCGTACGGGATTATCGACGATGTGACGGACGCGTATGCGCCGTTGATTGAGCGCATCGAGGATGAAGTCGACGAGATTGACGAAGCCATCCTGGACCTGCATTCCGACGAAGAGGAGCAAGAGCGCGAGAAGTCCAAAGGGTACTCCTTCAACAACCCCCACTACGCGAAGCAGAAAGATGGCACGAAGGAGGATCAAGATAATGGCCGCAATGGCCGAGACATGTTGCGCCGAGTAGGGGAGTGCAGAAAGAAAGTCATGAGCCTGTACCGCTTGTTGGGCAATAAGGCGGATGTCATTAAGGGGTTCGCGAAGCGGTGCAATGAGCATTGGGATGTCGCCCCGCGGAGCGAGATTGGACTATACCTGGGCGATATTCAAGACCATATTGTGACCATGACGGCGAATCTAAGTCACTATGAGAAGTAATCATGCCTAAGCAGAAGAAATGAAACATAGGGTTCCATTGTGCTGACGAGATGGCAGTCTCCTCTCCCGCGCACATAGCAATTACCTTGCCCAGATCAACATTCGGATGAACGAGCGGCAGGAAAAGACGTCGGATATTCTTGGCAAGCTCACTGTTCTGGGTACCATCGTACTCCCAATGAACGTGGTGACGGGTGTGTGGGGTATGAATTGTAAGTTTCTTGACCGGGGTTTACTAACTTTTTGTGCAATGGGCTAACTGCATAGGTCTCGTCCCTGGGCAGACGGTGGAGAATCTGAATTGGTTCTGGGCTATTACGGGGAGTCTGCTGTTGTTTGGGCTGTCGTGCTACTTCATAGCGAAGAGGGTTTATGGTATTGTCTAGAGGCATTAGGGCGTGAACGTAGAGCTGAGTTTTGGAACCGCGGCGCATTGTCTCTACGTGTGACAAAGTCCGAGGCAGGGTTGAGCCTTCTCCATCGGAGTGATTTCGAGGGCAGGTCGGGGGGGTTAACACCTGTTAAACAGCTATCAAGGGCCACTGAACGTGCGCATACGGCTTTCGAAGGAGAGTGGTCTTCGACGCAGTCTCGCGTGTGGATGTACATGTAGGCGTGTTTCAGACATGCCCTGTTCCTACGTCCATAGGAAGGAAGTCCAGCACTTGGACTCCTATCGATATAACACAGAAGAACCAAATCAGACCCTTCGAAAAGAAGCATCATTATGCAGGTCAGAGAACTCCATACGTGCAATCAGGCGTCTTTCACCTGGTTGATCGTAACCATCCCTTTTCAAAGATCCTTATACCCAGCCATTCGAACGCCATTACCATGTGCATGGTATCATACACCCTTCCACCCCTTCTTCAAAGAGCGCTTCGCCCTAACCCATCCACGCGCTTCCTGTCCGAACGGCGCCGCCACCAGAAGCATCCTCCTACCCACAGTTCCTACCCTAGTATCGCTCCCACGGATATCCCACAGCTACATATACCAAGCCTCTTTCATACTGTTCGGTTTCATATCCGTGTACTCCCCTTTCTGTAGAAACCGCTCACCCTTCCTAAAGGTTTCGCTGAGACGTGACTGTTTAGCTGGGGTTCCGGAAAACGCAATGTGTGTAAAACGCAACATGGTGTATCAACTCTGTGCAGCATAAGGGGAAACAAAAACACGACGCAAGGCACGTGGCCATACAAAGCAACCTCGAGGAAGGCAAGTCCACAAACGCAGCACACCGATACTCCTACCTCTTATTCAACTTCGCCTCTTTCTCTGCTGCGTGCATAGCCGCGCGGGCGCTCCTGGACCCGCCCAACTTCGGTCCTTTGGAGAGATCCTTGACTCCAGTGCCTTTGGCGTTCGCCTGGGAGGCTGAGGCCGGGGGTTTCCGCTGGTAGGTGTTGCGTGCTTGCTCCTGGGACTCAAACTCTCGGCGGAAGGATTCGTAGAGGGCGTCGTCGGCGCTCAGAGGGGGCTCGGTGCCTGCCGTGCCTGTGATGCGTGGTGGTGACGGAGGAGCGGGAGAATCGAAATAGTCCACTGTCATTCGCACGAGTCAGCATCACGATCTCAGATATAACAGTAGAAGAAATGTGGCTTGCGCCGCAACATACACTTTGCTTCCCGCAAGACCGCTTCCACAAGAGCATCTCTGCGCAGGTCCTCGCTGTTCCTCCTCTTCTGCGGCCTCCTTCCCCGTTTACCCGGTTTCTTTCCGTCCCTGTCCGTGTCATCTGCCGTGGCGTCAGCCTTTCTCTCCATCTTCCTTCGTGCTTCCTCGATGCGTTGGAGGTTCCTGGCTGCGGCTTCGGGTCCCAGGTCGATTTCCTGGAGCTTGCCTGACCCCGCTGAGATGCGGAAATCTCGGTCTGGTGTCGCTCCCACTTCCGGAACCGGTTTGCCTTGAGCGGGCGCATTGAGCGCGGTAGTCGGGTTCTCCTGTTTCTCTCGGTGCTTATCTGGTCCTGCATCAACCGTGTCGCCAGCGCTAGCCGTGAGACCCGGCGCAAACCTCGCAACCGCAGCTTCGAGGTGTTTTGGAATAGGCCAGCCGTATTGACGGTAGCTTTGCTCAGCTAGTTTCGCTTCTACATACAATGCCCTGAGGTGATTAGCCAGTGTTCCCCTTCCGTTTCCTACACCACTGCCATGGCAGGGTGAAACTGGGCCGCAGGGCAAGAACACTCACATATCCTTATCATCACGGCCCACAAATTGCCCCGTCTGCGCCACAAACCTCCCGCCGTATAGATCCGTCTGCGCGCTCGCGTTGTTCGTGTCGGCAACAACGAGCGCAGTACCGTTACGAAGCACGGCGGCCTTCTCTTCAGCCCGGCGCGCGGCTTCCTTCAGGTGGTCCTGGCGCCTCCTGCGCTGACGCAGAATCGCCTTGAGATTGGGCACGGATTCATCTTCTTCTTCCCGAGTAGGTACTGCCTGTGTTGCTTCCCCGGCGACAACAGAGGCGGGCGCATCGTTTGCACCGTCGGCAAGCGAGCTCAAGGTCGTGGTAGCGGGCGGGTCATCGTCGCCGATGTCTTGAGTGCTATATCTGCGTCTCGGGTGGGCAATCTTGCGGCGCTTGAAGCGGATTTCAGGTGCAGCGCTTTCTTCTTCTGCGGCTGCCATTGTGGTGGCCGTTCACCTTTGGAGAAGTCGTTAAAGGTGGAGTCGGGAGTACGTAGATACACTGCGGGATGCGGGTAGAAAAGTGGAGCCGGCGCACGCTAAACGGGCTTGGCAGGTGGGCATGGGCAGGTGCGCGTGGGCACGTGAGGTGCGATTCATTCCCGAGTCCCAGGGCTGCAACCAAATCAATCACCAAAGTCCGTTTCTCCAGCATTGAGACTTTCTGCTCCAGAGCTGGTGTGTGAATAGAGACGCCCTTTATTGTTCTACTTTATTCTACCATGGCGGGTTGATTGCATCCAACACTCATGCCCAATGGGAATCAGATGCAGAAAACCTACATAGCCACCACTGCCACCCCCGCCATTGAGGCTGAAGCAGGCTCAAACTCTACACAGTTAACGTCGGACGGTTGCATGAGCTCATCGTACACTCGGTAAACAAAACAATCAACCTTCTCACAGCTCCCTCAGACAAGCATACCTCCCATTGCCCCATATATCGCGCAATAGAAATGTCTCTCCTGTCCGGTAGGTTTATTATCTCTCGTGGCACAAGCAGCCCTTGACTTACTAGATCAGAGGCCATCTGGGCCCCTTCTCCCACCACCAGCAGAGGCCAGCCAACACCTCTCTCGTCTGATCCTAAAGGCGAACGTATAGCATATGCTGTATGGTTCCAAAGCCTTATAACAGTCTCATCTTACTGATGGAGCCCGATGTAGTCTAACAAGTCCATCTTCCTCCGGTCCATCAACAACCCTTCCATCAGTAAACAATACACCCAACACACCGCTTCAACCACCGTTGCCCGTTTCTCCCCTTCCGGCTTCTACGTGGCGAGTGGAGATGAGTCGGGCACCGTCCGCGTATGGGATGCACAAGGCGAAGGTTCCACAAAAGGTGCGTTGAGCCGGCGTGTGCTGCCCTGCAGCCAGCGAGCTATTCCACTGCTGTTACAGAGGCGCCGACGCTAACGGAGATGCTCTCCAGGCGAGTACCATATCATTGCTGGCCGTATCAATGATCTTGCTTGGGACGGTGACTCCCAGCGCATCATCGCCGTAGGCAATGGCAAAGAGCGGTTCGGGCACTGCATTACAGCCGACAGCGGAAACAGCGTTGGCGAAGTATCCGGCCACTCGTCTCAAATAAACTCCGTCTCTATACGCCAGCAACGCCCCCTTCGCGCCGTAACCGGCTCGGATGACACCAGTCTCGTCTTCTACCATGGCGCGCCGTTCAAGTTCAACACCAGCCTCAGGGCCCAGCACAAGGGTTTTGTATTCGGCACTGCTTTTGCACCGGACGGATCCGTGTTTGCAAGTGTTGGAGCCGACAAGAAAATCTGGCTATACGACGGCAGGACGGGAGACCCAAAGGGCCAGATTGGGGAAGGGGTCCATACTGGCAGCATATTCGGCATCTCGTGGGCCAAGGACTCGAAGAGATTCGTCACAGCGAGCGCAGATCAAACCGTCCGGATCTGGGATCCAGAGGCAGGTAAAGTGATCCAGACATGGAGAATGGGCGAGGAGGGCACGCCCAGTATCCCAGACCAGCAGATGGGTGTCGTTTGGCCGGCTGGAAGAAGCGATGGGCTCGTCATTAGCGTCGATCTCGCTGGGAACCTCAACTACTTCTGTGAGGGTACGCCAAACCCGACTCGAGTAGTCCGTGGACACCAAAAGGGCGTCACAGCCGCCGGTATCTCTGGCTCCACATTGTTCACAGGAAGCTATGACGGCCGCGTGCTTGCGTGGGATACCTCCGCTGGTGTCGCAGAGAGGGTTGAGGGAGACTCGCACTCAAACTACGTTGCGGGTTTCTCAGCCTCGGACGCCAAAGGCCAGCCCGAAGTCTATAGTGTGGGGTGGGATGACACTCTACGATCCATATCGGTCGCCAACAGGATATTTACGGGTACCGCGCAGTCGCTGGGTTTTCAGCCCAAGGGAGTGGCGGCTGCAGCTGGTGTTGTGCTTGTCCCGTCTGCAGATTCGATACATGTGTTCTCCAAAGGTAACAAGGCTGGCTCACTCACGGTCAAGTACACTCCCACCTGCATAGCGGTGCATGGATCCACAGTCGCCGTGGGAGGCGATGATAAGCTGGTTCATGTCTACACGCTCGCAGGCAGTGATCTCAAGGACACGGGCACTGAGCTTAGACGTGCGACGGCTGCAATCTCTGCGTTGGCCTTCTCCGCCACCGGTGAAAAGCTCGCCGTGGGCGCAGGAAATGGCAAGGTGTATGCCTATGAGACCTCTGGAGACTGGAGGCTCATCACCGATCGCTGGAGCGCTCACACCGCACGCATAACTTGCCTTGCGTGGGACCGGACAGGCAACTTTGCAGCAAGTGGTAGTCTCGACACCAATGTGATGGTATGGAGTGTGGAAGAGCCTGGCAAACGAATCAAGGCCCTCAATTCTCACAAGGACGGCGTCACAGGCGTTGCTTGGGAGAAGGCTGACACTGTGCTGTCGACGGGTGGAGACGCCAGCGTGAAAGTTTGGAAACTGGCAGGCTGAATAAAGGTGGACGTGTAGGTTAGTTCCGCCCAGTAGTGGTTCTCGTCAGCGGACACGTCGTGCGTTTATATTTACCAGGGCCCATGTGAAGGCGTGGCGATGCTGGCAGGACGAAAGTGAGGCGGCCAGACGGACGCTGACGCTTCAGCACAGCCGCCCAGGCTGTGGAACAGTCTGTTCACACTTGTCACAATTGACTCCCCAACCATTCCGTTCACTCGTCTGGCCGACGTCACCGATCAACAGCCCTGTCTGCCTTATTTTCAACATGTTCCATGAGGCCTTCCGAGGGATTTGGCTAAACGAGCGCCCCGTACTTGCATATAACTTATGTTGTTCACTCTTCTCGTTGAGCACAAGACTTTCTCCACTTCTGACTACGCCCTGATCTTCCTCTTTTTGTACAAACTCTTTGTTGATCGGCTTTTCCGCGTTGTTCGACCTCATCATGGCTGCCCATGATCTCACTGGTCGCCATCGACGCTATTCATCCGGGTACCAGAGGACTCTCGCAAGCACCGTACCGGATCTTCCGGATCTTCCTCCTCAGCACGACGTCGACGAGGCGTTTCAGCATTTATTCCCGCCTCTCGATCCAAGCAGCTTTGGGTTGTCGTTTTCGGCGCCGGCGCAGCTCCAACCCATCCATTCAAATCTTCGCCAGCACAGTCGCAGCAGCTTTTCCACGAGTAACACGGCTTTGCATACGAGCAATCTCGCGCATAGCAGCTCTTCGTCACCTTCCACGTACTATGCTCCTTCGGTCTCGGTCGCTTCGAATTCATGTGGGAACAACATCAACTATGGAGTTACAACACCGTACGGCAATGGTGCACCATCGCTTGGTTCTGGCACTAGCCCATCCCTGTAAGTCGTCTCTCTGTACGTTCAGTGGGTGACGAATAATGTCAGGTAATCCCTTTGAGAGTTTTCCAGCCGGATTGCATACCCTTAGGACCGTACTGGACCAGAGAACGCGGGCTTGAACGCCAGGAGACTATTAACCGGAGGACTCACCAATTTGCTGATTTAATCTTGATTCATGCGACGCCCAAATGCCTTCTGAAAAGGTCTCCCGATGAGTGGATGTTCCCGATGTTGATGTTGGAAGGATAAGCACATGGGGATATCTTCCAACGATGCCCCTTCGCTCTATCCGATCTCACGAACCTCCATTGCCTTGTGCTCACTCTGGGATATGTTGTAACTATACATAGTTCCAGCAACCCGCATCCGTCCCTCCCGGTACCTGGCACTTTTCTCTTGGGCGAACTATAACTCGGGCCGGCCTCGCAATCTACCTCAACTCCAAGCGCAGTTCTTCCTGAACCACAGGTGATCTTATGTGGAAGACCAGCTCCTTGGACCGCTAATTGCTTCTGGCACAGACCTCCGTGGATAGAGTTACGGTACCTGCCAGAGCTCTAGTTAGGTGCTTTCACATCAGGATATTGAGCCAAGTTTCTGTTATGGACTTAGCGGCCCAGAAAATCTCCGGAAACGCAATCCGGCTTGCACGGTGAGTGCGAAATAATCCCCTTGTTGTTATGATTTCTTGTCACTTTGCAGACGTGAGGAGCATATAGATGGCAGCCCACTATGCGAACGTCAACACAATCGTGATTCTGTCGCACCAACGGACTTTCGACTGGAAGCCTGTGACTGGAGATTCTCCCGTTAATGATAGGACTCCCTCAATCTCTCAATCCATTCGACCTCGTTTGCCATGCAATACTGCTGCAGGAAGGACTACTCCTGATGAAGAACTTGTCCGGTCCACAGGAGACGGCCCGTTTACGAAGAAGAGAGTCCCCAAGTCAATACTTCTCTTTTCCAGCCGGTTCTTCGGGTTCTTCTCTACGAACATGGTGCCCCGCTTGCCCGTCTTTGGCAGAGCGGCCTGATTGGGACGGTGCCGTCAATTCGGATGTTGGCTTGGACGCTTACGCATACGCAACACTCACTCTCTTATGCTGGAGACCGACGCCGACTGCAAATCTCATTATTCAACCCACGAACGTTGCGCATAGTTGTAGGCTCGTCAATGGACTCCACTTCAACGCTGCCCGGCGGACGTCGGTCCAAACTAAGTCCCCGGAACAAGTTGGATAATGGATTCGGCCGTAGATTGGAGTCGCTTTGGAAGTGGACATCCTCTGACTTAGGAGAACCGCAGACTTTTCCCCCCACTAGCCAGTCCTCGGTCCCCTAAGACTCCACCTGGTGCCACCGCCTCTGGACCGCCAATCTCGATGCAAGTACAGCTTCAGCGGATGAATAATGAACACCCAGCTGACTTCAATCTAGGCAAGAATTCCACCTCCTTTCTCCTCTGGCTCCGTCGTCGTCCTCCCTCCTTCCCCCACCGCAATTAGCGCCTGCACGTTCTCATCCTCGGTCGCGTGCCTCCCAATCCGGGGTTACGGACCACAATTCCAGCGGCAACGGGCCTCCACCGGCCAATACCATTGGCTACGTTCTCGCAGACAAGCGCAAGTTTCGGTGCGCGAAGAAAGAATGTCATAACAGCACATTTGGGCGACTGGCGGACCTGCGCCGACATTACGAGGCTGCACATGTGAGTGCTGCAAATAAGCCCGAGTATTACTGCCCCGTGAGCGGATGCGCGAGGAGTCGGTGGTTTGGTGGCGGTGGAGGCAGGAGCTTTGGAACGAGGAAGGATAAGTGTGATGAGCATGTGAGAAATGTGCATAAGGGGTTGCTGGCTGATGGCGGGAGGAGAAGGGAGGGATATAGTGAGTAGTTGGTGGCGGCTGCGGGAGAGATTGTGAAAAGGTTCTTGATGGGTCAGCTCCCCTCAAAACTGCGCTGGAAATAGCCCATACTGGCCTTAAGGGGGTATTTCATGTTTTTAAGGTTGGGTTGTAGTTATGATAACGACTTTCTCTGTTAGAGTTTAGTGGACGAAAACACATCGTGCAGTTTTATGTTGTTGTTGATGGAATGATAGTCAACGAAAAGCCCAGGTCAAATGTACGCAGATGTTTAGTTGGCATGGGTTTTCTCATGTCCTTTTGTAAGTGCTACGGATTCTCAGCGATTCACTCTCAGGGCAAGGGCCTCTCAAAATTGCTTGTAAAATCCCTAAGAGCAACAGTATCCGGAAAAGGGAGCGCTTCCTACTTTCGCATATGCGCCCCGATCTAACAAAAGCGTTTCCATCGCCTGTGCATTGTTACTTGCAAAAGTTGGATGATCCGGGAGGCTGCAGAGGTTTAGACGAAGTCAAGATTGGGACATTGGGCGCATCGCATATATTGTATCGTCCTACTGAGAGAAGGGAACGCTGAGGTGACGGGATTTTGAATGGCACATATGCAGATTTCGGGTCGCGGTATCAAAGTGATTGTATTGCGTTCTGTATTCAAAACGAGCACTTGAGCTTATCATTGTGCACTATCTACACCGTCACGGCTAAGAGGAGATGAAAAGGCACCAGTCACAAAGCACCCTTCAACGCCGGGCTCGCGCTCTCCCCGCTCGCCGTCTCTCCTTCTCCCGATCGCGCCTCTTGCTTTCCTGGCGCTTCGAGTACCGACTTGAGCGCGGGGGTGACATTGAGCCGACATTACTGCCGATCACAGACGGCCTCCTGCTTCGGGATGCGCTTTCCACGGTCAAGTGGCTGGATGTTACTGTTGGAGCGATCCCTAGCGGCAGATCGTCCGAGCTTGTACATTCGGACGCAGATGGAGACTGAGGCTCGGAAGATGACGGTTGGTCTTGAGCGGAACTTGGACCACCATCACCGTCGTTGGGCATACCCATTCCAGACTTCGGTTCAGGTGATGGGGAGCGAGGTGGCTGCTTCAGGTCCATCGTTTCCTGCTCAAGTTGTGGGGAGTTCACTACGTCGAGCTGGGCTGTCTCTTTGATGCAGGGCAATTCCGTATTTTGACGCAATGAACGTCTCTTAGACTGGATTTTGAGCGTACCCGGTTTGTCCCTGTCCTTGTTGTCGCGCTTGCGCTTCTTAGGAGATGTCGGGTTGTCCTCTGCCATGAATGCTTCAATTGACAAAGTGCTGTTAGGAGTTGTTGACTTTGACACAAGAAAAATGTGCAAAGGGCTCACTGCCCGCTTTTATACATATGTCGCAAGGTGCGTATACTGAAACTAGGGTTCCTCACCGTGTATGGGGTGCACCGAGACAGCCGGATCATGTATTACAGCCTAGCCTTCTATCGGCGGAGAGTAGCTCAGCAAGGCGGATGATTCAGGAGAGCATGTCTACGTCAGCTGGCAAGACATCTTTCAGAGCACTGCATAGGGCAGGGATTTGAAGACATGGTTGTTAGACTTCATGCTCGAGCGCCGCAACGGTGGTCTAGGACATATTATCATTGTCCAAGCATATGGCGTGAGGGAGTCAAAAAGCAGCGGGAGATGATCTGCAATATTATGATTCTCAAATGTGGAAGTGAAACGGTGAAGGTGCGGTCGGTAGTAAGTCGAGTTGAGCTTGAGGGTCAACGTTGGGATCCAAGCTCACGGTGGTGTGCCAAGCCACTGATCTATAACGTGCTTAATCAGCCAACGCACGGTCTCACTCAACGCACGATTTTTAGATGGTCGCCATCTACAAACTTGAAGCTGTAGAGCTGTATATATATTGTAAAATCGTTAGATTTTTTGTAGTAACAATTAGAGCGCCCCAAAGAGAAATCCCACGGTCTCATTGGCTACCTAAAGCACTCAGGGAGGCGGATTTGGTGGCTGCACGTTGAGGGGCCAGCATTAGGTACCTCAACTTCAACAGGCAATAACTCAGACTCAGCAGGCTCAATATCCTTAGATCTTTTTGCTGAAGCCTTACGGCTACACTGCTTACCCTTTTTGGAAGCTTTGAGCTCATTGCGGAGTTGTTTTTCAATTGCCTAAGCCTTCCAAAGTTCCTGAGCTTGAAGAGCCTTCTGCTCACATGCCTGAGCCTGCTCTATTTTAGCAGCAGCTCTCTCGCACCTCCTCTCCTCAAGTAGAGCTGCTTTTTGAAGCTTTAGCTCCTCTCTCCACTTACTATCCTCATCTTTTTGAAGCTGTACAGCTTTCTCCTCAGCATCTTTTTCTATCTGGCGATCATGAGCTTTCTGCACCTTGGATGGGGACCAGAAAATAGCTCCACTATTATAATCCTCCGGCAGCTCAAGTAGGAGAGCCTTGCCTCTCTTATAGCACTTTTTCTCGTTGTGTAAGGCCTCGCAGAGCTGCTTAACTTCATGCTTAAGGATTATTTTCTGAGCTGCAATTGTATGAATTGTATGAGAGAGCTTTACAGCCTTTGAATCGTAAATATCTTCGACAACTTCCCATAATAGAGTCTCAATTTTTCGCCAGTCACTCGCACTGAGTACTGATGAGCTGCTGCTGCTTGAGGATGGATGCTCATCCTGGCGGGCCTGAAACCAGGTAAGGATTCTCTCCAGATTAAAGGGAGCTAGCCCAGTGGCCTCAAAGGCCTTCAGAATAGTCGTTTTAGTTAAAGTGCTATCCCAGGCAGCTCGAAATAGCTGCCAAAAGTCCCTCTTTGTAATACTCAAGAGCCCTTGGCAACTATGTAAAAATTCAGTGAGGTGGAAGCTGTACGTGCTCACGAATGGCCCAAAGATACACATATCTAGTGGCTGAAGCATATGAGTACTGTGAGGTGGAAATACAGCTAGTAGGATCTTGTTGGCCTCACAATAGTCGATAAAACTCATTGTCATATGAGATCCATGGCCATCGAGGATCAAGAGCCTCCAGGATATCCTTGCCTTAGCCTTAGTCTCCCAATCAAAGACCATTTTGAGCCAGCTAAGCCCAATATCGTGATTAGTCCAGCCTGATGGAGATGAGGTGAAGTAGGCCTCATCCTCTTCTGGGTTAAAATCCTGTAGCCAGGTATCCTGTATATTGCCTGAAGCTGCCTGGTAGATCAGGCTTGGCTTTAATGCTGAGCTATCGGCACAAATACAGGCTATTGTTGTAATCCACTCTCTGTTGCTATCCTAGAATGTTTTTCTGAGCTTCCCATCATCATACAGGCTTCGGATGAACAGCCTTTTTGATTTGCTGACTATCCCAATAAGGAAGCCCTTTTCATCCATATTATATATATGCTGGCTATCAACCTTATATTCCTCGATTTTGCATTTCAAGAGCTCAAAGTACAGGCTGTATTTCCATACTAAATCGGCGTTTTGGCATACAGCGTCAATCCCAGAGCTCCAGCACGATATAAGCTCATCTTGATGGTGCTTTACAAAATGGGAAACCCAGCTCTTGCCCATAGGCTTTCCAGCGATTTCTGATGCAAAGTTTCATATCATTTGACTTGTAGGAGGTAGGCCAATCTTATTAAGCTTCTTAATATACTCTATAAAGGCTCTTTCCTGTGAGGTGTTGAGATTTCGATGATTGGTGATGTTCTCAGCATTGGATTGGTAGACTCCGTGATGGCGCTTTGACAGAGTTGAGTGCTCAACACCGTACTCTGCAGCAATTTGAGTATAATTAACCTTTTTTCCTGGTTCCAGCGAAGCTATTGCTGCAAGAGCTAAGTCAATAGCTGCCATATTGACTGAGTTATAGTGAGTTGAATATTTGACGATTTTTCGCCAAATCGTGCGTTGAGTGAGACCGTGCGTTGGCTGATTAAGCACGTTAGGTAATACATGGATAGCGCAACACGTGCACTCGCGTTTCTAAACACGATCCCCCGCGCTCGCGTCCCCCCAGAATCATTCACAATCATAGGATGGATGACGACAACAAGGAGCGGGACTTCCACCACCCCTATGAACCTTATGATATTCAGAAGGAGTTCATGAACGCCGTGTACGACTGCCTAGAGAATGGTAAAGTCGGAATCTTCGAATCACCCACCGGCACGGGGAAATCGCTGAGCTTGATCTGTGGTTCATTGACCTGGTTGCGTGACCACAAGAGACAGAAGTTTGAGGAAGGACTGGTGACGGAGACCGCCGACGGTGATGAGCCATCCTGGGTGCTGGAGAATGCGAGGAAGCAGAAGAGACAGGCCGCGTTGACGAGACGTCAGGAGCTCGAAAGTCGCATTGCGAAAATAAAGGAGAAGGAAAGACGGATGAAGGAGCGCTATCAGAATGGAGAACCTGAGCTTAAGCGGCGAAAAGTGGCAGCGGATCAAAAGAAGGAGGAGGAAGCGGACGAGGCACGTTTCGTTCTGGGTGACTACGAAAGCGACGAAGAAGCCGCCACTAGCTCCAGGCAAGGCAAGTTCGATGAGCTTGGTCTTTCTGCCGAGACGCAGGCCTTGATGGAGGAGTTAGGCTACACAGCGAAGCCGAAGAAAGAGCCGGAAGAAGAGCTGATTGACGAGATAAAGATTTTCTTCTGTTCGCGTACGCATTCGCAGTTGGCGCAGTTTGCATCCGAAATGAGACGTGTGAGGATGCCACCATCCATCACGCCTGAACCAGGGCCGGGTGCTGATGATCCTTCATCTCTGGTCGAAGAAGTCAAGCAGATTACTCTCGGCTCCAGGAAGAATCTCTGCATCAATCCCAAAGTGAACAAGCTCGCAAGCGCTACATGGATAAACGAGAAGTGTCTGGAGCTGCAACAACCAAGCACTTCATCCGACTGCAAGTGTCCCTATATGCCAACAAAACAGACCGCAGCTCTGGTGAATGAATTCAGAGATCACGCGCTGGCCAAGATTCGGGATATCGAAGATCTCGGAGCGTTGGGCAAGAGGTTGGGCATATGTCCGTACTATGCGTCTCGCCCAGCCACGAAACATTGTGAAGTAAGTGGAACGAGCATTGGTCTCTTGAGTGCGGCGGCTGATGTAGCAGGTTGTGACTCTTCCCTATCCGTTACTCCTGCAGAAGTCGGCTCGGGAGGCGCTTGACCTCTCTCTGAAGGACCACGTAGTCATCATCGACGAGGCTCACAATTTGATGGATGCCATAGCAGGAATATACTCCGTTTCTGTCACCCTTGCCCAAGTTCAGGAAGCTCGCTCACAACTCACTGTATATCTTCACAAGTTCCGTAACAAGCTCAAGGGCAAGAACCGTGTCTATGTGGCACAGACCGTTCGCATACTAGATTCCATCATCGCATACCTTCAAGCGACACAGATGGATGCCAAAAGGACGGACGGAGTTGTGGATATGGGCGCATTAATGTCCGGGAAAGGTGTCGATCAGATTAACCTGCTCAAGCTGACCCGGTATATTCAGGACAGTCGGCTGGCTCGAAAAGTCGATGGCTACACGACGTATGCTGAGCAGTCGAGAGCTGAGCATCAAGCGCAGCAGCGGAACCTTCTCCCGACACGACGTTCAGCACAAAGTGTGCCGGTCCTGACGCATGTACAGGGTTTCCTCCTATCCCTGATGAACCCCACAGCTGAAGGGCGGTTCTTTTACTCCAAAGACGGGTCAGACATAACGTTGAAATACCTGCTCTTGGACCCGACCTTTCATTTCAAGGATATTGTCGAAGACGCGAGAGCCGTTGTTCTAGCAGGAGGTACTATGTCTCCGGTATGTGTTCCAGAGAAGCCACTGGTGTGGAGCCATTCAACGCTTCCAAGTCGCTAATGTTCAGCAGATGAGTGATTACGAGCGGCATCTCTTGCCCTACCTCGACCCTTCGAAGATCATGACCCTCTCATGCGGCCATGTCATACCTGCATCAAGTCTCTTAGCCGTCCCAGTCGTCAAGGCCTTCAGTGGCACCGAATTTGACTTCACTTTCGAAAAAAGAAAGTCAGAGACGATGGTAGGTCCAATACACGCTTTCATTGGTGGCTCGTAGATAACCTGGCTAGATGATCGACCTTGGACATGCCATTTTGAGGTTCACGCAACGTGTACCCGATGGCGTTGTCGTCTTCTTTCCGAGTTACTCTTATCTCGACACCTGCATCGAGGCTTGGAAACGCCTGCGCACGGGTTCGCACGAGAATGCATCGTCATTCTGGGATTCGTTAGTCACTGTCAAACCCGTCTTCCTGGAGCAACGTAGTCAACAGCCACCTGTGAGCACGAACAGCACTGTCTGGGGTGCAGCCGTTGATTCGGTCCTCAGTGCATACAGCGATGCCGTTGCGTCGGGCAAAGGGCGCGGGGCTCTTCTATTTGCCGTCATTGGCGGGTCTCTTTCCGAGGGCATCAATTTCAGCGACGCCCTCGGACGCGGTGTTGTCGTTGTTGGGCTTCCGTTTCCGAATCCTCATTCTGCAGAATGGAAGGCGAAGACGCAATATATCTCCGCCAAGGCGATCGGCAGCGGACAGGACGGCAAAGCTGCAGCACGCGAGTTCTACGAGAACGCTTGCATGCGCGCTGTGAATCAATGTGTTGGAAGGGCGATTCGGCACCGTGGCGACTATGCTGCCATCCTCATGTTGGACAGTCGCTATGCGTCGCCCCGGATTCAGGCTAAGTTACCCAAGTGGATTCGGGGAAGTCTGGCGAATGCAGCAGGGGTGCAAGCCGTTGAGAATCAGTTGGATGAATTCTTTGCGGGGAAGCCTTGATAGGTATGTCATCTCTTCACACCCCTGGATCATGCTTCTCGTCAATCTCGAAATTTCCTGTCCATCGAGATCTTGGCTTCGGCGCTTTGATGAACTGCGGGTGTGGCTTGCCAACCTTGTACGACTTCCAGACCTTTTCGTGTCCAACATGCGGCCCTCTTCTGGTATAAGGCTAACGTCAGATGGTCGGATCGACACCAAAACGCGCGTTTTCATCGCCCTTGTTGAAAACCTCCGAAAGATCCACCTTGCTTGTTGCAGCCTATGCAGAGCTATCATAGGCTGGGGTGCTTGTCGTACCGGAGCATATGCAAGCTGGTTGGCCAGGCGCAGGCACAGCAGGGAAAGCAATAATTCCTGAGTTGGCCATCCCAAGCATTCTTGACAACTGGAGCCATTGTGCCAACCCACTTGCCCTCAGGCCCACATGTGCGCTTCCTCTTAGGGCCCCTGTCCTCAACTTCGCCATCGTCAAACCGTAGAGTAGTGTTGTCTACGCCGCAATCTTTCTGCATCCCTTCCCGCGGATCTGGTGACGGTATCCCGGCCCAGCGAGCACTCTCATCAGTGTACACAGTCCAGTCCTCACAATACCCCTCACCCTCCGCCCGCTGCTCGTCGGCCTCGGGTGTCCTTCCTCCTCTTTTCGATTAGGCGCTCAATATCCGCGAATAATTCGTGTTGGGGAACCCAGGCTCCTGCATACTGCTCCGGGCACCAAGACATACTCCGAGGATAGAAAAGACTCGATAGAGCCATGACTACATGACCGAGCGGCAAAAGGCCATCGCCCTGAACCGTTATTCAAGCGTACAGTCGACTCCGAGAACTTAGTCGCTCGCAAGCGTCGATTTTGATTGAGTTACAAGTGCTGAACCCTTTGCCTCTGTTACCCCATCGACACTCTGTACCAACAACCCCACTGTGGAGACTACCCTCCGCTCGGCCAAGCAACTTCGCCATGTCAAGCACCGCAACGCTACCGGAGCCATCAGCGCACTCAACATACACCACACCCCCTGTCCTCGCCTCCACGACCAGCATTCCTGCTGCCACCAAGACTCGAGAGGCCACAAACATCGGCATCATACTCGGCGTCGTCGTCGTCGTAATCCTCGCCGTCATAGCCATCTCCTTTTGGGTCTTCGATATCCGACGAAGGTATCTAAGGTGGCGCAATAACGGCAAAGGTGGCCAATTACAGGTATCCCAACAGGAGGCTAGACTGGGAAGAAGACGGTTATGGCAGGGGGTGATGGGTAGAAGAGAAAATAGAAGAAAACGAGATGAGGAGAGGACACCTGGACTTTGGGACAGATTCAGGATTGAGCGGATGGAAAGGGAAGGTAGGATGAGATTGGAGACGTCGAATGACATCCGCCCCGCGCCAGAGACGTTCTCCGACCCACCAAGGAGTCTTGACATGCGCGAGAGACCCAGGTATATTGGAGATGGGACAGCAGGTCGAGATACCGAGATGCTGAAAGGGCGAGCCAGGCCCTTGACGGATTTAGAGGGGCCCTACATCCCTCCTGCGCGCGATCAGAGGGCAAGTGTAGTGTCTTCGTCAGCGGGTAGTTCGGGTGTGCCGTCGCTGTCTGTTGCTGTCGTTGCGAGGTCCTTTTTGGATGCGAGGGATGGTAACGGGAGATGATAGGAGATGAAAAGAGCAGTGCCTCTCCAGTTATGGAGTCCACTACCTTTTTCTTTGGGGTTGAAATACTTGGCTTCAGCAACGGGTGGGTGAGCAACCTATACGAGTACGAGTACGAGTACGAGTACGAGGGTGCCACAGGGAGTTGCTGCGGTAGCGAGTACAGAGGGTGGATTCACACACGACATGTTCAATTGCAGGAAAGATGTCGAACTTCCCGTTCACGTACGTACTTATTGACATCTGCTGGCTTTCACACCGGTCAATCATCAATCCAATTGATCTCAAGTGTCAGGAGGTTCTGTGCGCGGTGAATGCATCCCATTGGTCAGTTCACTATTGATGCCTCAAAGCGGCTTAGCGTCAGTCCTGTCGCATCCATGGATCCCACCCTAGAACTCGCTTTCCAGCATCGTGTCTTCAACGTCTGGAGCACCAATACCGACGCATCATATTATCTAGCTCCCATCGAACGCACTGCCGAAACATGAGCCTACGACATATGTCATCTGTCTTACACGTCTAGATCTCCCGACGTTCGGCCAACACAGACAACCTTGAGGGCTACTGCAAAAGGGGAGCGCGATGGCCATGTGATCAAACGAAACCTGTAGAGTCGCGCGACCTTATCCTTCAAGACTTGACGATATGCCTTCCGCGTGGCTGACGTCAGGCACGGGAGAAAGAGGAGCATATGCGTCGATAGCACAAGCAGACGACGCGGTTGAGGATGCAGAAGCCACCGAGAATGCTAAACTGTATGTGTGCGTTGCCTTTCCTTCTTCCTCTCCTCCCCATTTGTATACGTATCCATGGCTGCCCACAGAGCTTTTCTCCGATATCCGTGAGACACATTCAGATCCTGAGAATCCCACAGATCGAAGATCCCAAAGTCGTCTGAGGAGAAAGTTATCGGAAACCCCAGAAGTACCTTGAACGGCGACGAACCCACTCCGGAGGAATATGACACCCTATCCAAGGTAGCGGACCGTCTACCTAGAGGCGCATTTCTGGTAGCCATCGTAGAATTGTGCGAAAGATTCGCGTACTACGGACTTTCAGGGCCCTTCCAAAACTACATGGCCAACAAATACAACGATCCGAATGGACTTCCCGGAGCTATTGGCCTGAAACAATCTGGAGCAACTGCCTTGTCCAACTTCTTTCAGTTCTGGTGCTACGTGACGCCCATTCTCGGGGCGATAGTCGCCGACCAGTACCTAGGCAAGTACACAACGATAAAGTATTTCTCCGTCGTCTACATCGTCGGCATATTTGTTCTTTTTGCTACATCACTACCCATATCCATTGCAAATGGAGGCGCATTTCCGGGCCTTGTTACGGCCATGATTATCATCGGCCTTGGGACGGGCGGTATCAAGTCGAATGTGTCACCCCTAATTGCGGAGCAAGTTCGCAGCACGAATGCTTACATTAGGGTCCTCTCCAACGGAAAACGGGTCCTTGTGGATCCCGAGCTGACGGTCCAACGAATTTATATGATCTTCTACATGTGCATCAATATCGGCTCTGTTTCGGCGATTGCGACTACGACTTTGGAGCTGCATGTTGGTTTCTGGAGCGCCTACCTTCTTCCGCTCATCATGTTCGGTATCGGCTTCTTCATCCTTGTTTCTGGGAAGAAACGTTACGTTATCCATCCTCCGCAAGGTGGTGTCATTGGCAGTTGCTTTAAGGCGTTATGGATTGCCATTACGAATGGGTTCGACCTCCAGACCGCAAAACCGTCGTTTCAAGGGAAGAGCCAGAGAGGGTACACAATAACATGGGATGATGTTTTTATCGACGAACTGAGGACGGCATTGCAGGCCTGTAGGGTGTTTCTATTCTTCCCCTTGTATTGGGTCACATATTCGCAGATGATGAACAATTTCGTATCTCAAGGTTTGTCTCCAACGACTTCCAAAAACTAATACCATCTGACAAGTGACTTAGCTGGCCAAATGGAACTGCATGGTCTTCCCAACGACATACTCCCGAACATCGATCCGATCACCATCATCCTACTCATTCCCCTCATGGACCGGCTCATCTATCCTTTTATCCGCACCAGACTCCATCTCGCTTTCACCCCTGTTACGCGTATTACTTGGGGATTCTTTGTCGCTAGCCTCGCTATGGCTTACGCTGGGGTCCTCCAGGCCAGCATTTACTCGTCTCCCCCGTGCTACACCTCCCCTTCCAACTGCCCAGCAGCGAGGCTCGGAGAGGACCACTTTGCAGCTAACAAGATCCATATAGCATGGCAAGCCCCTGCCTACATTCTGATTGCCATCAGCGAGATTCTGGCCAGCATAACCGGCCTCGAATTAGCCTACGCAAAAGCACCGAAGCACCTGAAGAGCTTCATCATGAGCTTGTTTCTCCTTACGAGCGCATTTGGAAGCGCACTAGGTATGCTGCTCGCGCCTGTGGCGAAAGACCCGCACCTCGTGTGGTTGTATGCTGGTTTGGCTTGCACAGCCGCGATTGCTGGTGCAGCCTTTCACTGGACCTTTGCTGGCGCGGATAGGGACCGGGGGTTGAAGAGAGTGGAGAATGCGGAAGAGGAGATTGAGATGATTGCTAGAAAGAGCGAGGATAGTGATGGTGAGGGAAATGCGAGGGGGAAGTTGTAATACGGCACTTCGCACATGGTCTCAGCGAGCTCTATGGATATAAAAGCGGCCTGGTAAAAGCCCAAGACCTGTCCGGTCTCGCGCAGCTCGATAGCGGGACGACAGATCTCAGTTGACACGATACGGAGTCGTGCCGTCCGTCATTCGAAGCCGGATACGACGGACAGGAGGAGCGAGAGGGACATGAGTGGCAGGAACCCAATTACTCACGAGGACGTTCCATCTCGCCACTTCGTCGTTCCCGCGGCTACAAATATAGACGGTGCTGTACCGAAGCATCAAATTCAGCGTCACCCATCGACCCCTCTCGTTGCTACTGACTGCGGCCGGTCGATGCCGCGTCGACGCAGTCATGGGACGGTCAGCTTAGTCTGGGCATGCGAGCACACTCGTCTGCGCTCCGGATGCCCCAGCCAGGAAATGCGCTCGTCACAACACTCCCATGTCGTTTACAGAAGAGAGGGATCGCACCACAGCACTACACCCCTGTTCCCATCCTCGAGTGGGACGGTCTCGCCACGAACTCTTGCGGGCCGAAGTTCTTCCGAACTGATAGATGAGACCAAGAGCTATCGTTAGTGATGCAGGAAGTAATAGTTCCTTTCCTTCTCGAGAGTTCCCAGACGAAAGCTCCCAGGTCCATCAACGCAATGGCGTATATCCTCCCTCGTTCAGCTCCCCGGGCCTTCCGCTTCACTGCGCGTACGGCGTTGCGACTACAGGTCAGCTATCAACGCCCCGCAGCGCGATCACTCCTGCGACGAGGCATCGCGACGCCCACGGAGCAGCCACGCCTCCGTCTGGGGTCAATTGGTAGGTGCCGTGCAAATGCTTTTGCTGGTCTCTGTACCTGACGTATTCTAGCTCCCAACTTCCAGGCAAAGACAACGCATGGCGACATTGACTTCCACAAATTTATCGACAACAGCTGGGCCATCCTGTTCTCGCATCCCGCCGACTTCACCCCCGTGTGCACGACAGAGCTGGGCGCTTTCGCGAGGTTGAAGGATGAGTTCGACCGGCGCGGCGTCAAGATGATTGGTCTGGTATGTGGTCTTCAGCAATGCTCCCATGTCACAGCCCTAACAAGCCAGGTGTAGAGTGCCAACGATCTCTCCTCACACGACCAGTGGGTCTCGGACATCAACGAAGTCTGCAACACCAAGGTCCAGTTTCCCATCATCGCCGACGCGGACCGCAAAGTCGCCTTCCTGTATGACATGATCTCGCAGGACGACCTGGACAACATTGGGCGGGGCATCGCCTTCACCATCCGCGCCGTCTATATCATCGACCCGGAGAAGAAGATACGCCTGACGATGCTCTATCCTGCGAGCACGGGGCGGAATACAGCAGAGGTGCTGCGCGTCATCGACAGCCTCCAGACGGGCGATAAGAAGGGCGTCGTCACACCCATTGACTGGCAGGTTGGCGACGATGTCATTGTACCGCCGTCGGTGTCGACGGAGGATGCGCGGAAGAAATTTGGAGACGTGCGCGAGGTCAAGCCCTATTTGCGATTCGCCAATGTGGGTAAATAGCGGGAGGCGGTCGCCTTGCGGGGAAGTAAAGTCTTGAGGGTTGATGGGGTGCATTCTACTGCATCCCACCTAGCTGTCCCGTTTATGTATGATAGCCCTCGAATCGCGCAAATGAGTGATTTGGACGATGCAATCCACAAACCTTCGTCGGAGCTCAGCTATATGACCGCTCGGGTAGCAGTTGTGTGCAATATCGAGTTTGGCCGGAGGTGGACGCCCCGGGGTGGTGGTGGTGATGGCGGGGCATTCATCGACCTTGTTGCACGAGACAAGTTGCCGAGGCACGACGTACGCCAAGCCCGGGATACATAGGTCGATCTGGAGCTATCCGCGCACCCGGAAGATCCATAGCTCTCACATGCTCATCTCAACCGATCCCCTTCTGTCTTTCCCTTAACGCGCACAATATTTTCCCTTCTCCCTCTTCCTGCATACAACTGTCCCCACTACCCTTCTTCGCTGCTCAATTGACGCCGTTCTGCCTCACCCCAGTCCCAATTGCCCGCGAACTCAATCACTTTCGAATCCTCCCTACGAACGCCGCACTCCGCAAACTCGGCTTTTTCCGTTCCTCCGTAATGACCCTCAAAGACACTGTCAAGGACGCCCACCTTCCGTCCCCGCAAGAGATCAAGGAAGATGTCGTTGCTGCCTCCAAATCATCATTGCAGTCGCTCCGTGCGCTCGTCGCAGGTGGCGTGGGCGGTGTATGTGCAGTCGTAGTCGGGCATCCGTTCGACCTGGTCAAGGTGCGGTTGCAGACGGCAGAGAAGGGCGTGTACAGCGGCGCCATGGACGTGGTACGGAAGACTATCGCCAGAGAAGGCCTGGCGAGGGGTCTGTATGCAGGCGTGAGTGCGCCGCTGGTGGGCGTTACTCCCATGTGTACGTCTTCGCTGTAACGACTTCTTATCGAGGAAATGACCACTGATCCACATCCAGTTGCTGTGTCCTTCTGGGGTTACGATCTGGGAAAGCAGCTCGTCAAGTCCCTCTCCACTGTGCACAACGACCAGTTCTCCGTTGCCCAGATTTCTACCGCCGGTTTCTTCTCTGCCATTCCCATGACCTTGATCACTGCTCCCTTTGAGCGAGTCAAGGTTCTCCTCCAAATTCAGGGCCAGAAGCACCTCGCCCCCGGCGAGAAGCCAAAGTACTCTGGCGGTCTAGACGTGGTCAGGCAGCTGTACAAAGAGGGCGGCATTCGCTCAGTCTTCCGCGGTTCCGCCATGACTTTGGCTCGAGACGGTCCCGGTTCTGCAGCCTATTTCGCAACTTATGAGATTGTGAAGCGCAAGCTGACCCCCAAAGATCCCGAGACCGGCCTCCCGGGCCAGCTTTCCCTCCCTGCCGTTATGGTCGCAGGTGGCGCCGCAGGCATTGCCATGTGGATTCCCGTCTTCCCCATTGATACCGTCAAATCGAGGCTACAGTCTGCAGAGGGCCGCCCTACCATCAGTGGTACCATCAAGAGCATCCACGCTTCCGGTGGCTTCAAGGCATTCTTCCCTGGTATCGGCCCCGCCCTGGCACGCGCAGTGCCTGCCAATGCCGCCACCTTCTTGGGTGTAGAGTTGGCTCACAAAGCCATGAACAAGATGTTTGACAGCGATGTGGAATAGAAAAAGTTTGGTATGCGTTTGTCGGTCGGCATTCCCAGTGTGTGGAGCTGTATCCTCTTCTGACATTTTCTTTTCTACGTATTCACGGATCTTTCTACGTCATGATCGACACGGCTTTTTCGTTTCCACTACTCTTTCATGTTTCCAGCTTTCATATTTCCAGTTTCGCCCTTCAGGCGTTCCCACATAGATCCAGCTCTTTTAGATGGGAATCCATGGATTATCCATTTCTTCCTCTCTTGTTGTCTTCCAAACGAACCCTTGTCGTGCTTACAATTTCGATGTGGTCGGGGACTACTACTGCTCGTCCCGAGGTCTGGAATGCAACAATGGACGAAACGCCATGCCTAATCCAGGCAACATGAGCATTCCACAACTACAAAGGATAATTTCCGCAACAAACGAGTTATTGATTCCTTTGTTTATGAGTGGAACACCTTGGAAGACTCGTAGCCACCGCCAATGGTCATTGCCACCACCAGTTCTTGTTCCCAGCTTCAGGTAGCTGTACTGTCTGCGGCTCGTTTGTTCTCAGTTGCACCTCGTTTTAGCAGGCGCGTATCTCTTTGTCTTCAGTCACTACTCCAAGTCCTTAAGAGTGTTTCAGCTGTTTGGAAGAAGGCCGGTGATAGGCATTCGATATCCGGTCATTCCGTACTAGCTAGACTGAATCCCCCAACCGGCGATTGCACCCTCGATTATGATGTCGGCAAAGCTGAAAGGCTTTTTCTCCAGGAACTCAGCAACAGCATCCAAGGGGCTACCTCCTCCAGCCGTAACTCAGCAAGCGTCCAATTCATCCTCTCCCCTCACAGCGCCGCCTCCCCTATCAACGGGAGCGTCTACAATGGCGTCGCCAGCATCACTCGTAACACCGCACGGTTGGTCGAAGACAGAAATTAATCTACCTGAGCCCTCCACTCGTATATCCGTCTCTCCATCTCCTGCATCTTCCCCCCGCGTCGTCGAGCCGGACGCACACGTCTCGCGTACGCGATCTCAAAATCCTGAAATGTCCAGCGCTGCAGCAGCACCTTCAACAGCGGCCATGCACAACGGAAGAGCGAGCGCGAGCGCTTTTGACTGTATGGATGGGGGCATCGAACCCGGAGCCGACTTCTTCGAGGGGAGCAGCAGTTCTAGTGAGGGCGAGGAGGAAGAGGGCGAAGATCGACGCCGAACCAAAGGCGAGAAGGAGCAGAAAAAGGACACTCATAGTGGGATGGAGGATGCTGATGAAGATGCTTGGGAATTCTCTTCATCGGCCTCATCAATATCCGTTCATGGAACCGGCAAAGCGAATTCCGGGCTAGGCATCAATCTCGACGCAAAAGAACGCAAGACGGTGACGGGAAATGGCTTGCTCCTAATGAAGTGGAGATCTGGCGAATCCGGAGAAGGCCAGGTACTCCACCGAGTTGGTGAGTCGTCTACCGCAGATGTGGACATGGACGCAGAGGAGGACGAAGAAGAGGATGGCCTGAGTGAAGAGGAAGAGCGCAAAGGCAGGCCTTCGACGCGTCGCCCGCCTACTGAGGCCCCCGCAAATAGCAAGGACAACAACAGTAATGACAAGGGAAATGGCAAGCCCAGACAAGCGCGGCAGATGAGCCTTCGGCGACTCGCACCCGGCAGTCGAGAAGGAGTCCGCCTGGTGCATAACCATGGCTCGCACTCCCGTTCAGGTTCTGCTTCGGTGTCAAGAACACCGAGAGACTCGCTCGTCAGTGCAGGAGATGCGGCCGACCAGCAGTGTGGACAAGGCCATCACCGTAATTATTCATTCCCCACTTCAATACCATCCCTCTCGGCGGTCTCGCTCAGAGGCTCAGCGGAATCATCAACGCTGGAGAAACTTCCTGCGGCCCAAACACGGCATCGAAGCGACACAAACGACAGTTTGAACGCAGTTCTGCAGACTCATGCAATGACGATGCGGGCGTTGGAGTCATGGTCCCCAACCGCTTCCTATGCTCCCGTGCCCGATTCTCCAGAACGAACGAAATGTGCTAGGGCTACCCTGGGGTTCTCTGGCGATCAGGTATTGTCTCCCTTGACAAGGGGAGGCAGTCTCTCTGCTTCCCGACACATCCACATCCCGCCTATTCTCCCTACAAGACCCCGACATCATCCTCATTCCAGAAGAGCAGCGAGTGACGAGCCGACTCGGTACAACTATGATGTTCGTGACAACGAAGAATACTCCGATGTTGAAGAGGGATATAGTGACCGTGACGATGCAAACCGCCCGCCGCATCTCCCCCCGCACTTCGTACGCACGCCGTACCCCCTTACGCCGAAGAAAGAGTTCCCTCGCCCCAACACCCGCCCGCGGCGCCATTCGTTGCATGATGCGAGCGAGGGCGAAGAAGGACGCCTGGTCAGACATGCACGCCCCGCCGGAGACCACCATGTGCGCACAGGAACAGATGAGGAGAACTACTCGGATCAGCAGCTCAAAGGCAGCCTGGTGGTTGGGCTTGTGCCGTCGACGAGCGACAAATGGAGCGTTAAAGGGAAACAGGTACTTGGACTGGAGCTTGGAGATGATGAGGGGAGGTATGTACGAAGTGGAGGGGCAGGGGGAAGGTGGCCAGTAAGGAGGACCCAGAGTGAGAAGGTCAGACGAGGTGGGAATGGGAGAATTGGAGGAGGTGTTGGCCGTGAAGGAGGAGTCAATAGTGGTGGCAAACCTCTCTTCCCAATCCCACATTCCGGGACGGCGGGAGGGAGCGATGGAGTGATGGGTGCAACGCATGGAGTCATTGGCATCAAAGAGCTGGGCGTCGTACGCAACGACGACACGAGCAAGCACGTGGTATACATCAGCCTACGACACCGAGGGTGCGAGGACGGCATTTCAAAACGGCTGGAGCGACTTGAGATACCAAGAAACCTAACTGCCACCACGGCTACACACTATCCCTGGCGAGGCGAGGGAACCAAGGGCGCAGAGAAGAATCCCCGGGGAGCGAGTAAACTGGTGTCAAAGACCACAACGTGCGATTTCGACGACGCATTCTTCGCTGAGCACCTACATCTCGCATATCGCCACCTTGCAGGATCTTGGTTCAGACGCGCACTCAGCGCAAGGAAGCTTAGCTATATCCAACTTGCCCGAGTGGATATCTGGAATTGCGGAGCCTCGCCCTCGGCGGCCTGTACCCCTGAGCGCAACTCTAGAACCAGCACAGCTTCCTCCACTGGTTTGCTCATGGCCGTCCAAGTCCGCAGCGGAGGAACAAGCGGTGTTGGCAATGATGACGAGGCCAACAGCTTTGACATTGATGCCTCGAATCCGTTCACCGAGGAGAAGCTGTGGGATCTGTGGCGCCATCCGCAGGATGGGAAAGGGAGATATACGTGGGTGCACTGGGCGAGGCGGATAGCGGCCATGAACCCAGGGTTACTGGGCGTGGAGAGCGAAAAAGACTTGTCCTCCTCATCCCCGCCAACCGGAACCTCCACCCTTACCGTCCAACTTACCCACGCCTTTTCCATCCTCCGTCTCTTGGTCGCGCTTTCTGTCATGATCGCCTTGACCGTCGCAGCGGCCGTGCTCTGGATCTTCCTTGGGACGAGCGGTTGGCGTGGTCTTCAGGCTGGGGGAAGGGGGAGAGAGTAGGGCCGGGCATGTTGATTGCGGTTGCGGCGTTGATGGTACAGATGATTGGGTTTTGGGTATGGGTTGGCGTGAGTTGGTGGGTTGTTCCTTGAGGGTGCTCGGAGCGCAGTTCGGGCGTGTAAACGTCCAAGGGAGTGTTAGCAGTTTGTTGTGTAGGAAAAGTTAGGGCCTGAGAATGGGCGGGTTAGAAGTTTTATGTCTAAGTTCTGTATATTCTAGTGTAGCATGATGATGTGTTTTAAATGAGGTTAATCTTTCGTCTTCGATCTCTTCTGGATGGTCAACGAGGAGTTCAGGAGACCCTTTGTAGCAGAAATGGGTATTGTTCCGCCCTCCAGTGCTCAAGTGTATCAGCTGCGATTTGGAACTCAACTACCTAGGTACCTATAGCTAGGTAGGCACCTGGGCAGCGGTATTTGCAATTGGGGAGAGACTAGCCAAAGCTGGCTAGCGCAATATTTCCTTGGCGCCATCCACGGATCCTCCTTGACTCCTCTGCACAGCACCTACCCAGCAACTACAAGTACTTTATACTGTCTCTTCCTCCCACGTCCGACTGAACAACCTCCTGTACTTCCAATCCAAGTCAGAATACCTATCTCAAGAAATCCAATTGGACATGTTCTAGTTACGCCACTAGGGCACGGGGTTTCACCGGGAGGGAGGCGCAGAACGGCCCAACTAGAGGGTCAATAACCCCTACGCGCACCGTCGTGTTTAGCCGGACGTGAAAAGTCGACCGCAATGCCTGCTGTGGCTGCAGAAGGAGGAGAGGAAGAAGAAAGACGTCCGAGGTCGCCCGAAGAGCACGTGCAACGTGACGATGAGCCCGAGGTTGCCCAACAGGCGCCTAAGCGGAGAAAGCGCAAGAGGAACAAAGATGCCCATGTTTCCGATGACAGTCCGCCAAAGGACAAGTCAGGAGGGAAGCAAAAGAGAAGGAGAAGGAGTAACAACCCCGCTCAACCAGAAGAAGAAGAGGAAAGAGTCGATGAACGAGTTCCAGAGCCCACGCAGACGTCTAGTGCTCATGACGACGATAATGACGACGCCTCATGCAGGAAAGGCAGAGCCATGACCGGCGCTGAAGCGGAGCTCCAACATCGGCACAAGCTGCATCGGCCCTATGATGTTCGCCCGTCAGGCGAATTCAGCGACGACGAAAGGGAGCTGATCCGCCGCAAAATCAGGCAGTACCAGCAAGCCCACGGGTTAAGCGTTGCCGACCTGGTCGCGCTGATCCAATTCACGAAACCGTACCGCAGCTCCACCCAGCAACAAGGTAACCCCCAGGTCGAAGCTCGCCAGATTGCCATGAGCACCCGGTTCTGGGCCCATGTCTACGATGCCCTGCCAGAACGCAAGAACAACAAAGCAATGAGTGGGACGACTGGTATCCAGCGCTTTGTCCGCCGCAAATATCACAGCTTCAAAGGATCCGGCGGGTGGACGGAAGAGGAAGATGAGCTCCTCGCCCAACTGCAGGAAGCGCATCCCAACAGCTGGAAGCTCATCTCTCAGACGATGGGCGATAGGGATCCGACCGCCTGCCGTGATCGGTGGCGAAATTACCTTCAGTATGGCGAGAGACGAGCTACCCATACCTGGTCCGAGGAGGAAATGGACATGTTGGAGAGCGCGGTTGAAACGGTGATATCAATTGCCAAGCAAGAGCGGGCGGACGCCGGCCAGGAACCCCTACCAGAGTACACGTCGCGCCACATCAACTGGAAGGCCGTAGCCCAGAGGGTGGGTTCGCGCAGCCGGTTGCAGTGCTTGATGAAGTGGAAGAGTTTGCAAGAGCAGCGCGAGAGAGAGGCCATGTTTTCTGGTGACAAGAAGCGGAAGCGGAAGCGGAAGCAATCGAGAGCATGATTGCTCGGGGATAAAGAATTATTTGGAGAGACAAAGAGAACGAGAAGGAAGCACTTGCAAATGCAGTAAGCTTCAACACAAAGGAAGGCGATGAAGAGAAGAAGAGCAGGAGTTGTACGATAGGTGGGTTGCCTTGTCCTTTGACTTCGACTAGCTACTCTTATGAAAGGGACGTAATAAGATGCCCATCTATATTTGTCGGCCCAAAACTACGCTGCACAGATGGTATTGCCTGTCCTCAGCTCCAATCAGATTTAGGCCGTCAACCACATAAGGAGGTGGTGGTGGTGGCAACGTCGATTTTGATTATTCCATTTTGATCAAGAACCGATGCTATTCCCCCATCCACGGCGTGGCCTCTTTCCTGGCTTCTTGTTAGACAACCAGGTACAACGCCGTTAGCACACTTGGCCCAATAAACAGGCCAAGCCAGAAGATGACGTTCCCCAGCGTATCCCTCCCCTTGAGCAACCTCGTTCGACTCAACGCCGCCAGCGGCAACTGCGCCAGCTGCATCGCAAACAAGTACCCCCTCACCTTCTTGAAGAGGCAAAACATCAGCAGCTCGTGCACCACGGCGCTGAGCAGGAAGGTGACGAAGGTGGCCTGCAGCCTGCTCAGCCTAAGCGCCGAGATGGAGCTATGGTAGACGTGTCGGAGCAGGAAATGATGCACGGGCCGATTCCAATCCCGCGCATACTGATCCCAGCTGGTGCTGTTCCACCATTCGCCGTAGAAGCTACGATCCGCAAAGCGCGTCACCTCGGCTAGCACGTTGAGCAAGCACTCCCAAATGACATACCACGCGAGGAGTTGCTCCAGCAGAAGCGGGAACAGCATATCCGACACGAGCCAGGGAAATTCTCTCCAGCGAGTCTCGAGCGGAACACCGAGTACGTCGCGTTGGCGGACTGCTTCCATGACGGCGGGGTAGATGTAGGCTTGGGACACGATGATCATGATCCAGATAACGCCAAGCGTGGCGGCCGACTTTTCGGCCACATAATACCAATTGATGTCTGGTTGGCGGGGATATTCGACTTCGTAGACAAGAGTTGGGAGACATGCCCAGTCGACAAAATCGGAAAGCGTGAGGTTGTGCGGGTAGGCCTTCTGCGGGGACGTACTCGTGCCACGGAGTTCTTCGTTCAAGATGGTCATCTCGGTTTCAATGACGCGGGTGAAGGCTTGGATTTGGGATGCATCCAGCGGGGAGCCGGCTTCGATGGCGTTGGCCATAAGAGCGATTTCGGAGCCTTCGCTGGAGAAGTCGGTCGAAAATTTGGGACCCATGCTGCGGCGACGGTGCCTTGGGGTGTCAACTCTTCTCAAGTCAGCCCCAGAGGCTGAGGTTCGAGAGAGCAAGGGGGAGGAACTTTTAGTCGGCTCGAGCGATTCCAGTTGCCCTAGCTTCTCCTGTAAAAGCTTCTTGCGACGGAAGACTCGCGATACTATCAAAGCATTTAGCCCGGGCAGACTGGATACAGACAGGGAGAAGCATACAGTAGCCATTGGTGAAGCCATATGAATGCTGCTTCATGAGAAGCACAAACACATGCAGGACAATAAACACAGTATGGGTCCAGGGCCACTCTCGATAGAAGCTGAACCAGATAACGGTTGCTGTGAAGAGTACCTGCCAGACTGACTGGATGATCCAACCCCAGCCATCCCAGGTCAGGTAACCGTTGGCGATAGACTTCTGGAGAAGGAAGCCAAGACTGGTGGAGAGACACATTGCTCCATCCGTAGCCAGAAGCACAAACAAATCGCGATCAATCATCAAGTGGAGTATCTCGGCCCTCCCGAACACGGAGCCTTGATTCTTCCAGTTCAAGGCGGCGATCTTCACGAGCAACAGCGCCATGGCAAGCCAGAACAAGGTGAAGAAGCCGTGGAAGGGAGACTGAGCCCCGCGCGGGTTCTGGCGATCAAACGTTGTGAACTGGCGAGTAAAGACGAGATCTCGGAACCGGCTGCGACCTTTCCCATATCCTTTACCCGCGGCGCGGTCAATACCGGCTTTGATGATTTCGCGGAGCTCTGGGTCATCGACTGAGAAGGTATGCCCTTCTTGTTCCCCCAAGTCTTGAATGACGACCTGGAAGCTTTTCGACTGAGCCTCGTGTGCTTCCATATCGGAGGGCTGATCGCCATAGCCAACGTCACTGCTCCTTTGATCCGTCCCAACCGGTTCTGCGGGGGGGCTTCCACCAGGCTGACCTCGCCACGCCGGCTCATCGACATCTTTCTCGGACGGGGAAGAGCGGCTCTCTGTGGTCCACGACGATTCGCTTCCTCGGCGAGGGAAACCTGCCAGGCCATGGAGAGCGTAGGCCATTGCGGATTTGCCGTCTGTCAGAGCAGACGGGTTGGGTGCTGTAGGGGCCATGCTTGGTTTCAGCAGTACCGTGGCCTCAAAGGAATGCCGTGGAGAGGAAGCATTCGAGAGGACTAGGTGTTGTTCTCCGACGACGTCTCACGGGGGTTGGCGCGAGGCAGTTTCCGCAAGCATGGCCGGGTGGTAAGCCGAATACGACATAGGAAGCACTGAAGAGGCGGCGTTCCAAGATGTGTGGCCTCGTCCAGGCGGGACGTCGGTGGGACGACGAGATGGAGAGAGAGAGAGAGAGGACAAGTCGGGCCAAGTGAGGGGGACTGGGACTGGCGGAGTGGTGATGGGAGGGATGGCGATGGCGATGGGTGGTTGACGATGACACCGGCGCCACTTCTTACCAGCCACAACACTCAATGCAGTCGGTCACATGACATGCACCCCGACCTTAGGTTCCCGAGGTCCAAGGTTCCTCTCGGGCTTCATCCAATGGAACCTGAACCTGGCAGTTGCTAGTATTCAATCAGTAGTTAGTAGAGAATAATAATAATATTTCCAGAACAGTAGCAGCGTTCCATGTTCGTTGTACCTAGCTAGCAAAGAGAACCGAAACTCGCCGAGAACAAGCACATACCGACTTCTCTGTACACAGTACGGAGTACTCGTCATTCGATGAATGTCATGGACTTGCTTTGGATTCTTTTCTATCCAGAACGCCCAGCAGAACGGCATAACGGTGACTGACTCTCATTCTTTCTCTCGTCCCCTCCGAAGCCGTGCATTAGTTGGTTTGCCGACTTTTCGACTGGCACTACTCCGTACTACTCTTCACGTGGGACATTTGAAATGGATATGATCATCACCATCCCCCTGTCAAGGCTTCATTCCTGTTCACCGGTCCTTACGGAGTCCCTCGTATTCGCCTGCCCGCCTCTCCACCCCCTGTCCTTTTGAGGCTGATGGGGGACTCTGCGGGCATGCTCGGGCATGAATGCGGCTTCAGCTCCGCTCGCTCTCCCTTCCCTCAGCCTCGCCCCCATTGTGGTCCCCTGTGCAGCCATTCAGCACCCGCGTCCGACGCCGCTTGAACTTGGTCGAATCTCAAGCCACACTGTGATTCGACAACAAACATGGCGATACGAGGGCGGGCCAACACAATCCAGAAAAAGATCACACACCGGTGGCCGCCATGACAACAGCCATCAGGGAGTGACCATCAAACTTATTTTTAAAAGGTGCGACGGCCTTGCGACGCCGCCCAGTTGCTCCCAGCGGCTGCTTTGCGTCGTTGTTGCTGCCGTTGCGCCTCCCCGGACCACCATCGAGGCCACACACTGCGCGAGCTCTCTACTTCAAACAACACGGCACACAACTCTTCTCCCCAGCGACGTCGGCAAAGGCTGCGACAATGGCTCCAAAGGGTGGTCGTGGAGGCGGTGGTGGTGGGAGGAGCAGAGGATACGGAAGCTCTTCGAGCTGCCCCGAAGGCTTCAGTGACTCCGTCACCATCGCATACTTCGTCTTCTACATCGTCTTTTTCCTCATGATCCTCTTCATAATGATGGCTGCGGCAAGAACAAGGAAGCGCCACCCTCATGCGAAGAAACTGGTCGGTTGGACCTACGGCACCGCCCTCTTCCTTTATGCCATGTGAGTCGTCCTTGCTGTTCGCTCCCAAGCTTCCATTAACCGCGACAACAGCGGCTACGGGCTTTTTATTCTCGGCACCTGTCTCCGAGAGTGCCAGGTCGGTGACTATATCAACGACTACCTTGCCATAGCCATCACCGCCGGAGTGCTCCTCCCACTAGCCGAGTTTTTGTTGCTTGTCCTGGTCGTCTGGAGCTTGAACAAGGCGCTTCGCGACCCCTTGGGTGGGCGACAGTTCCTCTTCAAAATCAGCTCCGCTGCCATGCTCGCCGTGGTTGGCTGCATCACCTGCGCCGTCATTGGTCTTTCGTCCTACAACACCTGGACTGCGACGGACGACGGACGGGGCTCTGACCCGCTCAACTCGGAGATGCAACAGCTCAGTTTGGCTTACTATATCCTCTATCTGCTTGCGTCTGTGACTGGCTCCGCCATCTCGGTCGTGACCATTCTGGCACTGCGTTCTCACGGCCGCCCCGCTGGGGTTAGTCATTCCTCCCCTTTTCTGCGCAATCGCAGAGGCATCGCCATTCGTGCCGCTAACTCGTCGCAGAAACTGATCGCCTGGGTCATCGTCCTTGGAGTCTCCATGTTCTTTTGGCTCCTCCTCGTTCTCATCCAGCTTGGCTCGACCTTGGGAGACACGTTCAACGTGTGGAGCGTCGAAACATACGAGGCCTTTGCGTTTCTGATAGGCTTCTTCCAGATCTTCTCCCTCATCGTCATCCTCCACCTATCCAAGTCGGTGGATTCCAAGCCCGGGGTTGCCCAAGAAGCCTACAATCAGCCAACATACACGAATACTGCCCAGCCCGCACACGCTCAACCCCAATTTGTTCGGCCGCAGCCGCAGTACGGAGTGAACCAGGGTCCATCACCTCAGCAGCAGTACGGAGTAAACCAGGGCCCACCACCTCAGCAGCAGTACGGAGTAAACCAGGGCCCCACACCTCAGCAGCATTACCCCTACAACCATACGGCCCAAACCCCGGCTTTGCAGAATTATTACACTGTACAACAACCAACAACCTCTGTATAACGGATCTGCATCTGCGTCCGATATGAGGTCGTCCTGGGCGCTTCAACAGGCTGGCGGGCTTATCGCCTCTAGTCTTGAGGGGGGCGGCAAAGCAACTTGTCCTGACGAAAGACTGAGCGCGCTTGCGTTATATCTCACCAGGTTCAGATGTTTGCTCCCGTCTTTGACCAGCACAAATGGCAATTCCCCCGACTGTTTTCAAAGCATTTCTTTCAATCAATCAGCGTTAGATACCCATATATTAATCGTCGTCCAAATTCCATAATATTCTCCGCCTGACGGATGCTTGAGCTGATACTCCGCACTGGATGGTGATGCAATTAGATGTCTTGACCACAAAACCAGTCTTTTCTCGGCCGTGGCTTCTAGTCTCATTGACAACGACCCTTCAGGGGTGAATTGCTTGGGTAGGAGGGTTGCAAGTGTTCCAAGGTTGGGCTGGGTTGGACGGTCCTATCACGTGACACTCAAGGTTTAGTTTGAGCCTCGTTGATTGGGCGGCGACCGAGACTTCTGGCGACAGCTTCATCATCGACATCTCGTCGCCGCCCGACACGTTGATTGGCACCACACTCTCTCCCCGCACAATGGCCTCCAAGCTGACCCCATTTCTCTCCAGAGGCGCACCGAGGGCTCTGCGCCAGCTCCAGCGGACCCAATGGCGGTCCCTGAGCGCCACAGCGCAGCGGCGGAGCGACACCCTCTTCGTCGTAAGCATCGTCCCTTCTCGCCCTTTTGCAGCCATTGTTGCCCAGCTCACCACCTGTGCAGCATCGTAATACCGATGTCAATAACCCCTCGATACCCTTCAAGTTCAACGCGCAGAACGAGAAGCTCATCGAAGAGATCCTCACCCGCTACCCGCCCCAGTACAAGAAGGCCGCCGTGATGCCGCTCCTGGACCTTGGACAACGCCAACACGGTTTTACGAGCATCAGCGTCATGAATGAGGTGGCTCGGATACTCGAAATGCCACCAATGCGTGTGTACGAGGTGGCTACCTTCTATACCATGTACAACCGGGATCCGGTCGGACGCTTCCACGTCCAGGTATGCACAACGGTGGGTGGCCCGCGATCGCGCAACAGCTGCCCCAATTGCTGAGTGAGACAGACTCCATGCATGCTGTGCGATAGCGACTCGGTATGGAAAGCCTGCGTGGATTTCCTGGGCATCCAAAACGGAGAGATGACCAAAGATGGACTGTTCACCCTCACCGAGGTCGAGTGCCTGGGCGCCTGTGCAAATGCTCCCATGGTGCAGATAAATGACGACTATTACGAGGATCTCACATACGACCGCACCATCAACCTTCTTAAGGCCCTCAAGCACTCCGCGGAGGCCACAGGCATGAAGCCAGCAGAGCAAGGTGGCATCGAAGTGCCGAGACCTGGGCCTTTGAGCGGACGAAAGAGCTGCGAGCCAGCCGGCGGGTTGACATCTCTAACGAGCGAACCTTGGGGTAACGAAATGTTGCGGAAGGATGGGGAGCTATAGGTCTGTACTTAGGTACGTCCCATCACCTCTCACAAACGCGACGTTGACTGACTTGTCTGCGGCAGTAACCTTGTAGAACACAGAAATACCATTTCATTAGACGTTCCAACACGTTGCTCAACTTCACGATCCACATCAACGTCCGCTAGGCGTGTATGCTGACCATTGCAGATAGGCATTACGATGGAGATGCCGCCAACTCTCCTGTCCCGGCGCCAGCGCAGTCAGTGGGAGTGAATATTGCCAAGATTATAGCGCTGTGAAGCCGTTCGTTTGAATTCACAGTCGCTACTGTTATTCTCGGGCATGCCTGCTAAGATGGAGGGTCCCTGTGAAGGCCGACTATTGAATTTGGCAGCCAGGCGTGGCATAAGAACCCACAGAGAGCCCATTACACCCATCCCCTGAAGCGAAGTATCTTCCTCAGCACTCACTGATGGCCATGCCGCCCAGCAATCAGGACAAAGAATGCAAACTCGGAATACACGCTTCAACCACTCATACCTACCAATCAAGACAAACCATCACGACCCCTCACCCTACCGACATGAACCACCGCCGGCCGGGAAGTCCCGTCGACAATGATGAGGAACTAGAGCTCGTCCTGCGCGAGTCCGCCGCACAAGCGGAGGAGGACGAAAAAGCGGCGCTGCGACGCCTTCTAGAGCAATCACGTGCAGAGGCCGAGCGTGTTGCTGCAGTTGACGAAGCAGCCGAGCTCGCGGCGGCACTAGCGCGCTCCCAGCTCGATGCTGTCAATGAGGAAGAGGCACAGGTGCAGCAGCTGCTCGAGCAGAGCCGTGCGGAATTCTTCAGCGCGCTGAAAGCCAAGGGTGCAGTGGCGGATGATGATGAAGCCACGATGGATGCGGTCAAGAAGCGAAGCGCTGAGGATTGGCACAAGTGCACCTGGGATCAACAACCACCCGTGGAAGGGAATTGGTCAGAGCGAATGGGCCTTACGCACGAGGAGAGGTTTCAAACTACAACTTCTTATACGCACTGCAGCACTGCGAAAGGGAGTGATGTAGCAGCAATGGGGTTTGGATCAGGGGTGGGAATGGGGTGCGGTGTGCATCCTCTCCCTCCCTATGCAGTAGGGGGCCCGGGCCAGTATTCACGCTGGCATTCTGATGGCGGAGGGGCTGGCGGATGGCCCTCTTTCACATCCCGTGGACCGCATTGTCCAGTGCCCGGTGCGCTTCCAAGTCTTCCAGCTCGTGGAGCGGCTTCCGTACCAATTCCGTGGATGCAGGCACCCCAGCCATCCCATGCCCAAACTACGGCACCTTTATCTACGCCCACTGGGCCTTCATCAACCCCTACTGCGCACCGACCGACCGGTGCTGCGGCACCGTCGGTCGCAGAAGCGCTTCACTCTCCGGCAGTTACGGTGCGCTCATTGGGGAAGCAAATTTCTCGACCTGCTCGCTCCACTCCGCAGTCTCCAGGGCCCACTAGCCAAGCCTCACATCCGGTTACCCCTATCGAAAGTCCTCGTCAGGTCCCTGCTCTGGCTGTTGCTGCAGAAGATGATAAGGTAAGGGAGGGTCCCGAGGACCCGACTGAGACCACAAGAGACAGGGTGGAACAGAAGTCTGTGGGGGATGAACCAGCCGCTGCCATGGAGAGCCAGGTAAGGTCCAAGAAGGAGAATTTTGAAGAACTGGAGCAGCTGGTGAACAAGGAGAAGGAGGATCTCGACACTGGAGGCGATGTTGAGGGCGACGCGGCGGGGGTGAAGGAAGAAGTATGCGACGCAGATGGCGACGAGGACAAGCACGAGCTCGAAGATCCTGAGCTTGTCAAGGCCAAACGTTTGGCTTTCCTGGACGGGCTTTCGAGATGATATACTCCGTACGGAGTACTTCCCTCTCAAAGGGAAATACTAGTCGGTGTGGCCGGAGATGGCCCCCATGATCTATCTATTGTCAGATTTTAGCTCAACATTATTTAGTCATTGGCCTATGTGCATGGGATAGACTTGTTCCAGATTGCAGTGCGAGTTGCGGCGAGTGAAACTGTAAGTTTACGTTCTACAGCATCTACAGCGCCCCGCTTAGGTGGAATTTATCTTATACATAATCCATACTCATTATTGATGTGATGATAGCTCCCGTTGTGACCCTGTCCCACCCACCCACTGCACACTTCCACCACAGCTGTGCGCACCTATAATACTTCCTAAACTCCCCATTGTTTGCCACATCGTGCACAACGATTCATCGCTCACGGATATGCGTCTATGGACCACGTAACAGGTCCTGGTTGCCCACCAGGCCTCGGTGTTCAATTCGACAACCCCGCTTTGCCAGTTCTGGATTACTCCACCCCTCCTACAAATTTATCCAGGCAAGGGCACCAGAGGGCCCCTTTCTCCTATCCCGCCATTGGTTACTTGTTCAGTCTTTTTAACCTGTTCTGTCCGTAAGCGGGAAATGATTGGCCTTGTTGTGGTTTAGAGGAAGGCCGTACGGCCCAGGATAAATGGACCATGGTTCCGGCGGAGGAGAAATAGGCTTACATGTACTCGCCTTTGTACACACCGGACTATGTGATGCGATGACAAGATCGCCATGGGCGTGTTTGGGGCCACAGATGTGAAGGCCTTGACACTTGTCGTGTGCTGCTTACTACCGGAGCTATGGGAACCGGAGAGGAGGGGGTACATAAGGGCGTTGCGCCTGTTGTTTCTGTTGGAGTCTTGCACACACGTCGGCCCTGATATCCTTTGTTCGACAATTGGTTTGTATCGTCGTTATTCGGAGTTTGACGGATTTCGCCTCCCCCAAACCTCAATAGATCATCACCGTCATGGCGGCTGTGCCCGTCTCGCAGACTGAAGTCAGTGGCACTGTTGACCGTGGGCAGAATGCGCAGCAGTACGATGTAATTGTAGTTGGTGCCGGCTTCTCTGGCATTGCCAACCTGTACCGGTTGAGGAAAGCTGGGTTGAAAGTGCATGTGTTTGAGGGTGGTATGTATCCTACTTCTCATTAAATCTAAACGCTGTCTCTCTCCATTTCTTCGTTGGTTTGCTACGGTACTTTACATCCGTCTCAACAACCAGCCATAAGACCACTAGTGTGGACAACCTCGCTTCAAGATTGTTCCTGGTTATTAACAACTTCCAGCGTCCGATTTTGGTGGCGTGTGGTACTGGAATCGCTACCCTGGAGCTCGCGTGGACAGCGAGACTCCATTCTACCAACTCAACATCCCCGAAGTCTACAAGACCTGGAACTTTTCTTCGCGCTACCCCGACCACCGCGAGCTCCGGCAATACATGGCCCATTGTGACAAGGTGCTCGGCCTCCGCAAAGACGTCTCCTTCAACAGCAGAGTGTGCTCCGCGGAATTTGACGCAGCCACTGCACAATGGCACGTCAGGACGGAGAATGGCAAACAGGCCCGCGCTCAGTTTCTCATCCTTGCTTCGGGTCTCCTTCACCGCACATACAAGCCTGACTTCCCCGGCCTGGCCTCCTACAGGGGGATTTTGCACCATTCCGGTGCCTGGCCTGAAGATACCTCCGTCAAGGGGAAGCGTGTCGCAATTATAGGCGCCGGTGCGACGTCCGTCCAGCTCGTACAGGAACTAGGCAAAGAGGCAGAGCACCTGACAATGTTCATGAGGCGGCCATCTTACTGCCTCCCCATGGGCCAGCGGGCCTGGTCCAAGGAAGAGCAGAATCAACTCCGTGCTTATTACCCCACTCTTTTCGCTGCAGGCAGGAAGTCTGCCGTTGGCTATCCTACTCCTCGCACAGATGTCCGTGTGGAGGATGTGTCGGCCGAAGAGAGGGAGGCGTTTCTAGAGGAGATGTGGAATGTTGGAGGGTACCACTTTGCGGTGAGGAACTACAAGAATATTGCATTGGAGCCCGAGGCGAACAAGGTCGTTTATGATTTCTGGAAACAGTATGTCCTCAAACCCTCCGTATCACTGGGCGTTTCCGCTATTTGGAAAGCCATCATTGATCATCTTTTTTAACAACGCCTTCAGGAAAGTCCGCGCCCGCTTCACTAACAAAGAGAAAGCCCGCATGATGGCCCCGGACGACGCGCCGTACTACTTTGGCACCAGACGAAGCCCTCTAGAGCACGATTACTACGACGTCTTGGACAGGGACAACGTATCTATCGTTGATCTGAACGCCAATCCTCTGGAAACTTTCACTGAGAAGGGTATTACGCTCGGTGGCGAAGACAGTGAACGGGAATTCGACGTTGTGGTGTTGGCCACAGGTTTCGACTCGTTTACTGGTAGCTTGACACAGATGGGGTTGAAGAATAAGGACGGTGTGGACATCAAGGATGTTTGGGCTAACGGTGTGAGAACGTATCTCGGTATGACCGTGGCTGGGTTTCCGAATGCGTTCATGGTATATACGTCGCAGGGTACGAGTATCTCATCTTCGAAAGTATCCTAGCATTCGATACTGACCCTGTGGATAGCTCCAACGGCTTTCTCCAATGGCCCCACCATCATCGAAGCGCAAGCGGATTTCATCTGCGACACCATCGCTACACTGCGTGCTCAAGGCGCCAAAACAATCGAGGCCAGGCCTGAAGCAGAGGAGGAGTGGAAGTCCGCTATGAACGCTGTGGTGCAGTATGTTCTGCTCTTTACAATCAGACGGGACCTAACAAGTTGCAGACACACCCTTCTCCCCTACACCCCCAGCTGGTGGAACGGCTCCAATATCCCCGGCAAAGTCGCTGAGAATATGACGTATATCGCGGGAATCGACAACTACGAGGCTGAATGCCGTGCGAAGATGGCAGGCTGGAAGGGTTTCGAAATCTCTCCGGCGCCGGCTGAGGTGACGAATGTGAAGAGCGCCGGGATAACCGCTACGACGACGGAGGTGGTGGGTGTGGAGGCATAGAGTCTATCTATAAGGATTCGTTGGGTTTGATTGCTCAGCTCAGTGCTTGTTGAAGTTATGATTCGCTGACATATACACGGACCTAGGGTGATTTCGTTCGGGGTTTGCTCATTGCTCTTGGTACATATTAGGTATTTTTATCGAGCTTATTTTTATTCCTTCGGGTCGCTGTTCGTAATCTTTCTGTGTATTACTTTGAATAGTGTGAGACCAAGCATCGAGTCACCCGGCCAAGATTCTGCGGTAGCACAATTCAGTGACCAGTTGCAGCAGAGTTCACGAGAGGTGTATGATGAAACAAGCATCAGGTTTTCTGTCGGGGTCTGTGGCGTATACGTACATGTGGAGCGGGTTATATGATGTTACTCCTACTTAATTAGCTAAACCTCTGCTTTCTGCTATTACTTGTATAAGAGTTAAGAGTTTACAAACAGAATAGAGATCACAGCTGACTACGTTGCAATGCCACCGTGCGTACTCTTTCCCTGTGATACATCATCAACAATGGTTCACCCAAAGAATCAATCCATCTTTTCATTCTCCATTGCTGCAAGCTCAACATCCGTCCTGCGCCAGTAGTGGCTCAAATCGACCACGGGCAGATTCACCGTCCATCGCATTTCGGCTGCCATCATGACGAATATCATATACCTGCAACCTCGTCAATTCTGGAAACCGCCAATGCCAGCAACCACAGCCACTTACCAGCCGAGCACACCCACAACGAACAGCAGCGCACCTCCACCCTAGATAGCGTCAGTTCGAAACAGTCTCAAGCACCTGCATCATGATACCACGTGCACAGAGAGCCTACCTTTTGCAACTTCTCAGCAGCTTTAATGTCACCCCGACTAACCTTCCAGTAAGCTCCGCTAAGAACCCATGCACCCACCGTCACGAAGAGGAAAATCCCCGCAAAGACAGCGTTGATCCTGATGGTAAACAGCCAGAACGTAAACAACGCGAAACCCCAGACGAGTAAATACAGTGCAATAACGGCGTTCATCTCCTTGGACGCGGCACCGCCGTTAGGATAAGCGTCCGCGAGACCGAGGGTAGGGAGCTGGAGGAGGCCGAAGGACAGCCAGAAGACGCAGAACATGCCGCAAACCATCATCGGGAAGAATTGGGACTGAATCCATAGGAACACGGTGCTTAGGAAGAGGAGTACGGGGCCGGTGAAGAAAAATATTCCACTGTGGACACGCATCATCAGTCCAGTGAAACATCGAGTTGGGCGCGACTTACGCAACAGCTGGTAAACCGCTGGCCCCACCCCTACCAATTCAACGGTCAGTGGTCATGATATGCCGCAAAGGCACCGTGCGGCCACTTACCAGCCCATCAAAACCATGCTAAAGGTGAATGTTGAGATGACGAATCTAACCGGGTATCAGTACTCTTGCATGCCGACAACAGCACTTTTCCAAGTGTTCCGGTACTCACCCTAGGAATCCAAGAGGCGTGGCATTGGCATATTGTGTAGCATGTTCAACGGCATGTGGAACCTTTGGGGCAAGGTAAAGCTGCAGTATGCCATCAGCAACCCCAAGCCCCGTAGTTAGGTACGCTGAGTTTGAACCAGACCTTCTCGAACAATTCCGGCGAGAGCGAAATATTGGTTGTGGTATGCTTCAGCGAATTGTCTTGTTCAATACCGTCTGTTGTTTTGGTTGGCGCCGCCGCCGTTCCTCCTCCATTGTACTCCTTCACAGGCGATGATTCCGTGGCCGTTGTCGCCATTGCGATGAGTCTTTGATTTCAAAAATCCCGAATTACCTGCGCTACCCTCTACAGGGTCCAGGAAGCCGGACGTCTTATACCTCACGCGGTCGGCCCCGCAAACCCAGGCCTCGTCGCTGACTTCCTTCTCGGTCAAATGTACGGCGTACAGTTCAACCCTTAGTGACGGAAGGCCCGTATAAACCCTGGGAACGCAGTCTGCGGGGCCAGTCGTCAGCACACTGCATACGGCACAGGCGATTCATCACAATCTGGTCGTGGGACTCACATAACATTCCTGCGTGTACGAACCCACTCCACAGGTAGATTTCCCCTATTCGAGTACTGATTGACGAGCCTACATGGACACACTCGCAATTTTCAGGGCTTGCTCCCGCATTCGCGACCCAAAGAAGTGAATGCCCCGCAGACAAGACCTCTTGACCACAGACTGTCGCTTCAGTATCGACTTCCGGCAAAATAGTGGGGAGGGAGGTGATTGGTGGGCAGATACGTAGGATGTAAGCCACCCGCTGACGACACGCGCATGTGTAGGGATTCCAGCTTACAGTAGGCGTTAATGTGTGGTGGATTGAGTTATACCAAGTGCAAGACAGCGGTGCTCAGGCCTTGGCCGACTGGTTGGCCCCACAATCTATTTGCGGTTACAAGCAGAGGAGGGCATTGTAATTGTAGAATTCACCGAGAATTTCCATGCGCTTCCCGGGTCTTGTTTTATCCAGGATGAGAGTACGTTCACACATCCGTCGTTTCCAAACATTCCAGTTGTTACAGCCGTGGAACGTGGTGAAGAAACCGCTTAATCAAGACTGGGGCTAAGGTATTGGCGTTTTGTATATACATGTAGTATATCTTAACGGTCCAGGACGAGATTGAAGTTTGGCCTAAAGGAACTTTGCATCGATCCTGGAACGGACGAGAAGTATATACAACTGAAGTGAAAAAATCAGAACCAGCGAGACTTAGCGAGCGACGAGACGCAGGAGAGATCATGGGAAGAGGACGAAGGAAAGAAATAGGAAAAGAAGCCAAACAAACGAGTGACGAAACGAACAAACAAAAGACAAAGCATATACGAGAAAAGGTCTCCTGCGGGTCCACATCGGCAACGATGAAGTCCCCCTTTCCCTCCTCGCCAAGCTGCAACAACAGCGACAGCAGCAACAGTACGAACAACAATCTTGGTAAGGGCGTAATGCCTCAATATCCACCGTGAGGTCCATGTCGCCCTTTATAGGAGTCTACTGGCGTAATCTTCAACGGCAGGGGGCCACCTCTTCTTCAGACCAGAATCATCCTGGGGGTAGACGGGACGGTTCGCTTGATAGTTGTTCCAATTGCGGCACGTGTTGTACCACTCAGAATTGATAGGCGGGAGGGGGATTTGGGACTTGCGCTCAAGGAACTGCACGCTCAAACCCATGGAAACGTGGAACGCAATGTGGCAGTGCATGAGCCAGGCACCCGGGTTGTCGGTTGGGTAGGCAATAACGAGCCAACCACCTCCAGGAAGGAAGGCGACGTCACGGCGGGGCGGGTTGTTGAACTGCAGCTGTGCGAGGTTGGCGTTGGCAGAGAAAGTCCCGGTGCCGGTGCCGAGAATGTACATATCATGGCCGTGAAGATGGATGGGGTGCGCAATGGGTGGAGCCCCCGCGGCTTGCTGGATGACCCAGAAGGTCCACTGAGAAAAAGTACTTAGTGGTGGTTGAATCTACGGCAAAAGAGAACACTTACGGTAGCGGTGGGAGAGACGGAGACAACGTTGTATGACGCGGGGAAGCTGTTGTTGTTCTCCGCAACGTACTTGAGGGTGGGCTTTCCGGGATCAATGATCATGGAAGTGCCGTTGATTGTCCAAAGCACCAAGTTCTGGCCGTTGGAATTGACAGGCCCAAAACTGACGGGTAGATTTTGGGCTTGGGTAGCGAACTGCGTGCTAGGAACGTTCTTCACGGTCTTGGGTGTCGCGACAGGGTTGTTCAGACAGCCAGTAGGGGGATTGGGAGCCGCAGCAGTGGTCGGGTCTGCGACAACTGTGCCCTGATAGGTGAAGATGGATCGACCCGTACCGTTGTTTACGCTCTGGCAGTTACCATCCGCATCCGCGCGGAACCAGAAATTACCGGAGCCCTTATCGGCTGTGATGATGACATCGTACCGCTGACCTAAAGGGAATGAGTATATGTAGATGGAAGTAAAAGCTCGGGGTTTACGAACCGATGCCGACCTGAAGGTAATTGGTCGTGTACGGCACAAGGGGGACGAAGTCGTGCGCAATGACCTGGAAAGGATGACCATCAAGGGAGACGCGGAAAGTGGCGTCGACAGCAGTGTTCACAATTCGGAGGCGATGCTTTTTGCCAGGAGTAAGCGTGACGCGGTTGTAGTTTCCACCACCATTGGCATTCTTGTTCGTTCCGTTGATCAAGATATTGTCGCCGGTTGGTGGAGCACCACCCAAACCACCATTGAATGCGCGAGCAGCAGCCTGGAATGATGTGATATAGTACCAGTCTGTAATCGCGTAAGGGCCGAGATCGATGTCCTTTTCGAGACGTTAAGTTAGCTGAAGTCATTGAACACTAATTCCGAACCACTAGTTCAGGATCATTATGCGCGTTTGGCATCACTTACATAATTGGCAGTGGCAGGTCCGTTGATTTGGATGAGCCCGACTACACCGTCGCCGTACTGGTTGCTGAAATGAGAGTGATACCAGCTAGTTCCATATTCCGTGGCCCGGAATTGGTATGTCTTAGAATCACCAGGAGCAAGGGCACCTGGTAACGGTTAGCTAGGTCGCGCATCTGACGCCGGTGAATACATACATTCCGTGACGCCGTTAGCGCCATCTTGAGAGACAGAGTTGAGCTGGCGGAAGCCGTGCCAATGAATCGACGTTCCGTTGTGCTGCAGAAAGTTTCGAACAGTCACACGAATGGTATCACCTACCAGCGAGTTAGAGCAATTCAGCGTGCTGTTCTCCAAAGACATACCCCAGTTGGCAGTAATGAGAGGACCGGGATATTTCCCGTTGATGAGCATGCATACCCGTGCACCGTGGCCATCAGGGTTGCAAGTAGTGTTACGAATGCTCAAGTCATACTGCTCGGTCTCAGAAAAGATCTACCATAGCATTTATTGTACTCACAACGACAGTCCTGCCGGTGTTAGGCCAGGATGTGTACTGATCAGTGTTGATGCTGAAACCCCCAGTCCAGCAGCCACGGTTGGTAGGCCCATGGACGCAAGTTTGGCGTTGCTCAAGATCAACGACATCCGGCTCGGCGCTTCGCTCAACCTCAGTAACAGGAAGGGCTAGGCGCTCTGCACGAAGAGCTGCTCCATCAACGAGAGACGTGGAAATTCCCACGAGGACAAGCCCAACGGCAAGAAGGGACTTCATGTTGGGGTCGTCGCCCACAGCCAGAAAGGTAAATATGAACAAGAAAAGAAGGGAAGAAAGACGATGGAAAGGAGATCCCGGCGGTCGCGGTCTGAAGATCGACGTCGAAGAGCATGGCCCCTTTTATATCCATCCGGATAGTCATAAGCCCAGCAGAGGCTGTTTTCTCTCCATCGCTATCGCGGCTACGCATCTCCCTCTAGACTCTCACGAGGGAACGCCATACAGGGAGTCAGCCTACCTAGTGTCCTTCGGTTTCGTCGTCGGCTACGGACACGAGGTCGGTGAAGACCTAGTCAAGCTGTGGACAGTCAAGGAGTTGGGAAAGGAGTTCAAGGCGCAGTCGTCGAGGGCCGCGCCAGTGGGGAGGCTTGCAGTAGTGGTCGGATAAGAGTATCGAATGCGGCTGACCAAAAGAATCTGCACCGTCAATTTTCCTCAGAAGTGCGCGTGAAGGTCATCAAAATGTGCAGAGAAGGGACCGCCTGAGACTTGACATGGGAGAGCCCGAACTATTAGCAAGTTTGCAAACTCATACGACCCTGCACCTGATAGGGTTCTCTCCGAACTCTTCCAAACAATCTTTACATGAACTGACCTAAAGAATAAGTGAAAAGCAAGGTCACTTCAAGACGGCGGCATCCCCTCTCAGATTTCCCGGCAGCCATTCGTCGACGCCACCATACAGTTCTCGGGCTCTCAGTGGAAGTATAGCATTGGAAAGGTAACCGTGGCTACTGTCACGCAAAATCTGATCCACTGGCACTTTTTCTCACCCTTGGGATGAGTGAGCGTGACTTCAAGCCACAGTACGCCTTGCAAGTGCTATTTCAGCCGCTAAGAAATGTTTGTACGGGTCACATAACCAAGCCCAATATTTTCTAATGGGAGACAGCGGAGTTCGGTATCGTCTTAGCCCTTCATACGAGCCATGCTGACCAGGGAATGGTAGCATGTAGGTACCGGATCGGAGGTTTTTCCAGTGCATTATCTGGAAGCGAACGCAGTGGCTTCGCTTACGGACCTGGTTGACGGAGCGGCAGCAATCGAGTACTAAACATAGAGCTATCCAACCGCTACAGGGTAGGCCAACTGGACAGGGAATCATGATGCGGGTGGTGTCATGGAGTGTCGTATCGTTACGGATGCTTTCGACGCCGGTTCCGGGAATAGTAGGCGCCGATAGAGGGAATCGAGTACCGCCCATGCCTGTGAGCTATGATCTCTCGGTTCACACTAGGAGTGAAGTACCTTTATGTCGAAGCACGTCTGCAAGACACTCCCACCCTTGCGTATGCCATGACGTGTATCTTTTGAGTAACCTCTCTCCCTACTAGTACCTTGGACCAGTACAAACTGGTGATATTCCGTCCCTTGTATCTGCAGTGCCGCTAGCGATTGCAATGTCCGATGGGCAAATGCACAATCATGCACGTACGCGTGCTAGACGGGAGCAGGCCTTCCCGAACCACAATCCTGGAACGCGTTGGCCATGGCCAAGAGTCCCTGCGGCTCGCATAGGCAGGTGCCTCGAGCTCTGAATTCGGTCATGGATGGATATTAATATCTTGTGGCAGCAAAAAGGTATCGATACACCTGGATGGTAGAAAATGTTCTGCCGACGTACTGCACGCATGGCATTCCCCGGCTACCTGGATGGCGGCGCAAGCAAAGCGGACTATTGGAAGACGTATCCAGCCCCACGCTTGAATGCTTGATCCAAACGAAAGCAAAAAGGTTGCTCCCAAGGGGCGGTCCTCTGCTGCGCGCACTCAAGTGCAAGCTGGAGCGATCAGTGATATCGCAGCTGACTCGAGAGCCATCTATTGGTGCCACAACGTCCCAAAACGTCCTAGTGCAAGTCTAAGCAAATACGGCCCGGACGATCCCGCCCCGTGGTCTTCCCCGTATAGATGCTAACCAGGCGGGGACATCTCGCCATCCTTAGCATGCATATGATCCACGTGGAACTGGGCTGGGTCTACCAGACCGGCACAGTTTGGCCATTTCACCGATTGGATTGTTCCACATCGCGAAGAGCTTGTATAAAGAAGGGTGACGCGCAGCAGGACCTCGGTATACCACCAGTCCGGGCCGGAGCATCGGAGCATCAAAGTCTTACGCTGTCTCAAACGCCATCAGCAGGCTTCGTGGCCAAAGAGGAGTGTTCAAGGCCTTGTATCGTTGCTAACCTGCGCCACGGGTCGTACGCTTCACCTTATACTTGTCCTGGCTTGGAACAGCCGAATCTCGTGTGCTGTTACAATGACCGGCCACTGGTTAGAGACGAATGAGAAACAGGAAGCATTTTAATCGCACAAGTTAATAGGGGGTCGAAGCTAATGTTCGTCCTCTGCGATCAACATCACGCGGATGCACCAATGGCCCCATTGCGGTGTAAGCTCGCTCGGCAGCTTGTAGCTACTCGCCATCGGTGCGTAAACGCAGGTCTCACTGTCGTGCATAAGCCACCCGGACACCTTGAACCTTCTGAGGTTTGAAGGCCCGCAGATCCGCCCCTCCGGCCAGATGTTCACCAAAGTCTTCTGGAGACTGGCGACAACTTCACTCCGCTGACGGGCTTGTTAAGGGTATCGTGTGATTTTGGACTTATCCGACAGCTGGGACTATGAGTGCTTCGCTGAGAGAGATGGGCGCAGGCAGGACTAACCAGATCTGCGTGTAACAGATCTGTTAACAACTGTAGTGCCCTCCATTTGCCGACTTGTTATGTCCGGACTGCGCCTATGAACTCATGCCGGGCTTCGAGCTCCATGCCTCCACCTCAGGGAGCAGGATTCTACATTAACCTTGAAGGGATTCACAACCAGCAGCATCAGTGTCAATCAGTACGGACGAAAGCTTAATAACCACAAAGTTCCTTGGCTATTTTGAGGGAGCCCTTAGCATGAACCAGACAGAGTATCTAGTTGTTCTAGAGATAGAAGTTGTAGTGCAAGGGAGGAGGAAATGGCTACCTGTAGGTATACCCGGTTAAGTTGCTTGGACGCAGAAGCATCTCAAACCAAACAAGTCCACACCAAAAAGGAACAGAACCGCACTTGCGCCAATTGCTCGTAAACAACTAGCAGTCATCACCACACAGTCATCACAGCCACAGCAAACGCAACGAAAAGGCTCAGCAGCGCGCTCCCTTTCACGTTCGTCCCCTCACCACGGATCCCCAGGACCTCGTCCTGAAGACCAAAAGTGACGTTTTGCTTGATTGTCTGGTTCCAACAATTCCCGTTGACAATGTCCAACCCCCGGAGGTCATCTGGTACCTTGAAGAACATGTACTTTTGCTGCGGCAAACCCTTAAACCCCTTCGTGTTGTACGGGAACTTGTTGGACTCGTCCGTGGCAGAGGTGTTGCGGATAAAGATGCACTGGACCTGGTTGGGATAGTCGTGGGCAAGCTGCGGGTAATGGGTCATGATGTCCGAGTTGGACGTGTCGGCGACTAGGATGAATTTGCGACGCGGGAAAGTTTGGAATATCTTGGTGAGTAGGTATCCACGGATGGAGAGGGTCGCGGAGACGTCTGAGAAATTGAGTGGTCGCTAAAATGTGTTAGGTCTGCTGGGGATAGTGAGTGCGGACTTACAGTATCAAAGGACCCGCCAGGATAAGTCTTGTATATGAAATCCATGTAGAGCCTTGTAGCCTGCTCTGGGGTCGTAGTTAGGTAGTGGAAGTGGGTATCGTTGGGCAAGGTGCGACTCCAGTTCGCGTAGATGTCAGGCATGTTCATCCAAGGGGTGAAGGGACGAGCGAAAGAATTCAGTAGTCCCTCTTTCGGATCGTAGATCTTGGTGACACGAAGGATGTCATCGATATCGGAGATGAACGTGAGTCCATTTGGTGGCACAAGAAATGCGGTCGCATTGCCTGTGAGTGTGCCATTGGCGTAGACGTTGAGACGTTGAACATTGTTGGTTTCATTCCCCGCCAACAGCCCGCCCCCAGAGACATTTTTTATTGGAACGAAGACGTCAAAATCCCCTTGGTCGGTCGTGAGATATGGAAGGGTCAGATCCTGGGACCCTCCAGGCGGTTCTATGGAATTGCCGCCGCCTGGTTCTCCGGAAGAGCCTTGCATCGGCGCAGGCTCAAGGTGCATTGACACATTCTGATTACCCTGCTGCACGATGAAAATGGACCTCGTCAAATTTCTGGCTTGCGCCTGCTGGTCGGGCGGCAAACTTTTGATGTCGGTATCAATCAGGAATATGTTCGCTAGATCATCCACTTTGTTCTGATCAATATCCGGCTGTTTGTACACGTTCCCGTGAAATCTGACGTTCCATCCTTGGTCTGTCCAATTCGCGTATGGGGGGATGTTGAGCACTTCAGTGGGCTTCGCGGCCAAGTCGCTATCGTCAATCCCTAGCCTCGACAGAACCTGGGTGCCCGTGGGCAAGTCCTGGAAATAATTTGGAATACCGCTCATTACGTAGCTTGGCAGATCTGTCCCAAGCACGCTACCCAAAGAATGGAGTACATTGTTTGCGCCACTCAGTATGCCGTCGACAACATCTCTTCGGTCCTGCATATAGCGAACTGGGGGGGTGATGAGAGGCGCTCGCGCTTCGACTTTTGCTGGGACTGGAGTGGGTCCGGGGATTGCGATGGCATTTCCCAGCGTGAGAAGTGCAGTGCCAACAAGCAGAGATTGCTGCTTCCTGGAAGTCGCAGACATTGCGGTTGACGACAAGCGGGTGGGGAGTCGGAGAGGAGTACAATTGCTCGGGACCGGCGGTGCAAGCACAGAAAACGGAAGCGGGGAAAGGGCGACCAGATTTATCGAAAGGTTGGCTCTGGAAGGTCCAGCCGGGGTTGCAGCAGAATGTTGAGATGCTTGGGCCCGTCTTGCGGGTTCTCTCGACAGTTGCAGGAAGAGGTCCTGCATGGATAGGGGTCTCTATCATGACGTAACTGCTCTAGGAACAGGGCAGGCCAAGAAGCGAAACACGAGCTTGCGGACCGCACCGACCACATCGCTGCACCGAATGCACGTGGCTAAGCTTGGGTAGTACGAATCAATAAGAAAAGGTTAGCCTGTGGAGAACGGGTTGAATCTGAGTATTCCCATGTTACTTATGGGTTTCATGCTATGGGTGTGGTAACTCCCAGCAGGGTTAGTTCATTCATCTCGGATGCAGCTATGACAGCAACTGCTCTCCGGTAGGTAGCACGCGTTGCATGTAATGTATAAATCCGGCATGCAATGGACTATAGATATAGACGATTGTACATGCAATGATTTACTACCTTGAAAAAGTAGCCATAGATGAAGCAATGCCTATGGTCTCCTTGCGACCTACTGTGGAGGTGGCAGAGGGGTTGTGAAAATGCTCCTTTCCGTGTGACATGGCTCTCACAGGCTTAGTACCATGCCAAAAAACCTGCCCTAGATCCGCACATTATACCCCCAGGTCAAGGGTAGACCAAGAGGAACTCCTATTCAGAGTTCTCCATATCCTCATCAATGGCATTCTCCTCTTCCTCGCTCTCAATCTTCGTCTTCGCCTTTCGCTTCCTAGGCGCCTTTCCCCCGGCCTCCTTCTTCCTCTTGCGCTCGACCTGCTCGCCGATGCGCTCGCGTTCGCTAGCACCCTCATCAAAAAGGTCCTTCTCCATTTTTTTGAACTCCTCGCTCTCCACATCCATGCCTACGAGCCGTTCGAGCATCTTGATTTCGCGGGCCCATATGGATTTATCCTCCATCTTCTTGCCATTTTCATCCCTGACTTCAATGGGCGTTTCCAATATCATCGGGAGGCCATGGAGCCGCTCATCGTTGACGAGGTTGTGAAAAGCCCGAAGTCCGAGATAGCCAGTACCAATACGAGCATGGAGATCGCGGTAGGATTTCAAAGGGGCCTTGCTGTCGTTGACGTGCATAGCCTTAAGATACTTGAGCCCAATCACATCATCAAACTCCTGCATGACTTTGGCAAAGGATTCTGGGGTTCGCAGATCGTAACCTGCAGCGAAGACATGGCATGTATCCAAGCAAACGCCGATGCGGCCCTTGTCTTCAACAAGCTCGATTATATCCGCAAGGTCCTTGAATGTCCCCCCAATTGTGTTCCCCAGCGTAGCCATCGTTTCAAGCAGAGGCATGACTTCTCCCGTCTTGGGATCCTTGTGGGCCTCGTTAATGTTCTCTGCGATGAGCCGAATGCCCTCTTCCCGAGTGCAGGCGTTGCAGTTGCCCGGGTGGAAGTTGTAGTACTTGATACCGAGTTTGTGGCACCGTGTGAGGTCGTCGTGGAAGGAGTTGTAGGCTTGCTTCTTGCGCTCCTTGTCGGGATGGGCCAGGTTGACGAGGTAAGAGCCGTGCGGTACAGCGCATCTGCCCGGCTCAACGTTATGCTTATGGCAGTTGTCAATAAAGAGGGTCACATGTTCCGGGTTGAGTGGCGGATTCTCCCACTTGCGTTGGCTCTTCAGAAACAGAGCAAAAGCGTTTGAGCTTTCATTGTTAGCCACTGGGTCCATTATCAAGGGTGGGTATCAATGTGACGACATACCCAATGTGTACCAGGTTTGTGATGGCGTTATGCACACCTGTTTAACAAGTGTTTAAGTCAGTGTATGCAGCACGGTGCGGAAGTAAGACGCATGAAAACGCGTACCTCCTGCTGAGCTGATATGCGCCCCGACCAAAAGCTTGCTGCCAACTGTACGCGGTTGTAGTGGAGGTAAGTCTTCTATCTTGATCCGCTTCTGCCGCTTGCGTTTGGTAATGGTCACCCCATTCTCACCATCTGTAATCTTGTGTTCGATTGTCTCTTCATCGTCCTTGACTTTAGAAACTCGTGCCCGGCCCTTGGAAGGCGTTTGGGTCTCGCCCTCTGCCTCCGCCTCTTCATCGCTATTCGCAAGGTCTTCTGATATCACGGTCTTCCGCGCCCGCTTCGCTGTCTTGACAGTAGTTCTGGCCTTGCGCTTCCTGCTTGAACCATTGACCACCTCAGACGTGACTGCTACTTCAGCTTGTTGTGCCAATGCATTCTCATCCGGAGGGGACGACAGATCTGAGTCTGAATCGAAAGTCTTGCGCGCCATTGCAGCAATCCCGCGGATCTTGAGCGGGGGATTGCTGCGTAAGGGTGAGGCTGAAGTGAGAGTGGTGTATTCCTTAACTACAAAGCTCAGAGCAGTGCTTGAGACAATCAGGCCCCGGCGAGATGCGGTGAGCACTGAGCGAGCGTTGGGTACCCTGAGCAATAGATACTTCCAGACCCGCTGTGTCCTTGATCTGTAGTTGCTACTCGGAGGTGTTGGAGGGAAAGAAAATAAGGTTCTGGAGTTCAGGTAAGCGTCTTCACGTTGGAAAGCTTTCAATTGTCGTGCCGAGCCTGGTGATGCATCGTCTAGAAACGGAAGTGAGAGAAGTTGTAGCGGAACTGGTGTGGTGGAAGAAAATCGTAAGGAAGATGGAACACAGTCTGGGGAGAAACTAGCGCGAACTGAACTCTTTAGCATTGATCAAAATAGCGGTGAAGCAAAGAGACGCGCAGAAAAGTACACAAGCTGATGCCCTGACGGATTCTGGACGCGTTGAACATTGAGAACCGTGGAAGGTGACGCCTCATCACGTGATTGTGAGCTGACTGGTGCGCTTATCGATAAGAGGCCAGATATCTCAACAGCCAAAAATAATTTCGGTCGCGAATTGCCCCCGGCGGACAAACAATCAGGGCATATCCCACCTTCCACCTTCCCCATATCACCAAGATGCCCAAGGCGAAGCGAAAGTCCCATGGGGCGGGTGCTGGAGATTCGACGCCGTACTCCAAGCCCTCCTCCAAAGCCGACGCGGCGCACTCAATCTTCAAGATGAACAAGGACCTCGGTCAACACATACTCAAAAACCCAGGGGTGGCGAGCGCGATCGTCGCGAAGGCGAACCTAAAGCAGTCGGATCACGTCTTGGAAGTCGGTCCTGGGACAGGAAACCTGACGGTGCTGATACTGAAGGAGGCGAAATCGGTCACCGCTGTGGAAATGGACCCTCGCATGGCTGCCGAATTGACCAAGCGTGTGCAAGGGAAGCCGGAAGAGAAGAGGCTGAAGATTCTGCTGGGCGACGTTATCAAGACGCAGCTGCCGCACTTTGATGTTTGCATATCCAATACACCGTATCAGATTTCTTCGCCGCTTGTCTTCAAGTTGCTCTCGCTGCCGCAACCCCCCCGCTCCTGCGTGCTCATGTTTCAGCGCGAGTTTGCGCTGAGATTGTTTGCCCAACCGGGTTCCAAGTTATACTCGAGGCTATCGGTCAACGTGCAGATGTGGGCAAAAGTAACACATGTCATGAAAGTAGGGAAGAACAACTTCAATCCCCCACCCATGGTCGAGTCCAACGTCGTTCGCATCGAACCGAAGTTTCCCAGACCCCAGATCAGTTACGAAGAGTGGGACGGATTATTACGCATATGTTTCAACAGGAAGAATAAGACTCTGAGGGCGAACTTCGTTGGTACCACGGTCGTGCTGGACATGCTAGAGAGGAATTACCGCCTTTGGTGCTCGCAGAATGATATCCCCGTTGATGACTCTCCCATGGGAGATGGCGAAGGAGAAGCCGAGGACATGGACGTTGACACCATGGAGGATGACGACGAATTCAACGGCTTCTCCGAACCCGACGAGGATGATGAACTGCCCGACTTTTTCAAGCAGGCACAGGCGGAACAAGCAGCGCGCAGACAGAAAGGATCGGGTCGGAAAAAGAGAGGCCGAGTGTATGAACTGGTCAGGGAGAAAGTTCGGAAGGTCTTGGAAGACGTGACCGACCTTGCGGACAAGAGAGCGCAGAAGTGCGAAGAAGGCGATTTCCTGAAGCTTTTGTATGCTTTCAACCAGGAGGGCATACACTTCAGCTAAGTGTGTTGGAGTTATCTGGCAGCTTCCATCGCATGTACAATCAATGGAGCAAGCATGTGTAGCAAGCACTTATTCACTATAAGTACTTGCTCCTTTCCATCTCATCTGGACCCATCGCCTAGGTCCAACAAAGTGTTCAGTTATGGGCACGCCGCGATTGAGCCCTCACATTGTAGGAGTTCCGGATTATGTTTGGGTTATGGCGTTGGGTATACCAAAATCTGCGATACAGTAGTTGATGGCTCTGGGATATCATGTCTATAGTCTAGATTTCAAACGTCAAGTGAATGCAACTGTCCGTTATATGTCCTCCTCGAACTGTCTCACAAGAAGACCTCTCCCCTGAAGATACTCTTTTACTTGCTTGACGGTGTATTCTCCTCTGTGAAACTGCATCTGGCGTTAGCATCCTGCGCAACCTCGAACGGCAGAGCAACGTACCATGCCCGCTCCGAGAGCGGCGTCTGTCGCCGTCTGTTCGAAAACTTCAGCGAAATGGCCTGGGTTGCCCGCGCCGCTACTCGCAATAACGGGTATCTTGATGGCATCCTTAACATCGTTGATCAGTTCAATGTCAAATCCGCTGTTGGTTCCGTCCTTGTCGATGCAATTCAACAGAATCTCCCCTGCACCCATCGCTTCCACCGCCTGGACGAGCTGTCGCACGTCAACATCTCGTCCCTCTCGTCCGCCCTTGATTGTGCACTGGTACCAACAGTAATTTTCTCCGTTGGGCCCTGGCGTCTTGGTTTTGATGGTGTGGTGAGGTGTTGCGTCAGGAGAAGCTACATAGACGCGTCTAGGATCAACGCTGACAACGACAGCTTGGTTCCCGTATGCAGCTGATATGGTTTCAATGGCCGTCGTAGCGTTCAGCTTTTTGCCTCGAGCGTAGTACTCCTCTGCCGCTATAACAGCATCCGACCCAATGCTAACCTTGTCAGCACCGGACTTGAAGTACATGGTGGCAATGTCCAGTGCAGATATCTTCGTTCCGTCGGTGTCGACTGTGTCTCGGATGCCACCCCCTATCGTCAGGGGCACGAATACAGTCTCGCTTGTCCGCCTCAAAATCTCGAGCATGGGGGTATCGGCCACAGGACAGTTTCGGAACGAAGTGATATTGAGGAAGGTGACTTCATCTGCGCCTTGCTCATAGTACTTCCTCGCCATGTCCACTGGCTTCCCCAGGTTTCGGACCGCACCCCCAGTAGAGACGCCGTCCCTCTCTCGAACGTCGTACTGGTCGCCCTTCGTCACCACCAGGTCTCCCTGGTCGTTTGTTCGAACATCCAAGCACGCAATCACCCTCCTTGTCAATCCTTCTTTGGTCGCTGCTGCAGGAGGCGTTTCTGCCAACTTCTCTGTCCGCTTCCCATCCAAAAACGCTTTGATCGCCCTTAGACCGGCGGCACCACTCTTCTCGGGGTGGAATTGGGTCGCGAACACGTTGTCTCTTGCAACAGCTCCAATAAACTCCTCATCTCCATATCGTGCCGTCGCCACCGCCCAGCCATCCTTCTCAAGTTCACCCTGGCGGTAAGGCGCGGCGTACGAGTGAACGTAATAGTACTTTGAGTCCGGTCGCAGACCATATAGACTCTCCCCCGTCACCTCAGCTGTGCTCGAGGTATTCGCAGAGTTCCATCCTATGTGCGGTACGCTCTTGTCCTTGTCGTCGAATCTCTTTAAGCGTGCGGGAATAACGCCGATACCCCTCACTTCGGGATCTTCTTCGCTTCCTTGGAACAGAGCTTGAAGCCCTACACATATGCCCATGAAGGGCTTGCCCGCGGCGATGTGTTTCCGAATGGGTTCGACATAGCCAGCTTTCTCGAGCTGCGACAGACAATGTCCGAAGTGACCAACGCCGGGAATGATGAGTTTCTATGGCGGAAACCATATCAGCGTGCCAAATCAATGAGACGTGCCGGTTGACAACCAGAAAGCGTACCTCAGCGGCGGGGATGTCGGCAGGCGACCTGACCCATTCTACAGTGTATCCGACTTTTTCAATTGCATTCACGAGCGAGCGCACATTTCCCGCAACATAGTCGAGCAGGTGAACCGTCGGCATCGTGGAATCTTCGTCGTGTGGTGAGTAAGTCCAAATTGACTCCAGAAGGCATCGGATTCATGACTCCCTTTGTCACTATTTTTTGTCCTGCGGCTGCCCCGCCGCTCGGGTGGTTCGCGCTGATCCACAGCGCCGGGTCTGCGCGCCCCGCACGTGCCTCTTGTAGATCAGATCTATAATGCCAAGAGTAATTTTCGGACGACGATGGACGGCAACTTCGACGCCTTCAACCATCCCTCCTCCTATTCGACACCTCGCCATTTCGCATTGTCGCCAGGATGGTCCGCAAACTCAAGTACCACGAGCAGAAGTTGCTGAAGAAGGTTGACTTCACCACCTACAAGAGCGACAACAATCACCGCCAGGCTGCCGTCGTACGGAGATACCATATCCAAAAGGTACGCCTTCGTCATCTCTCTCTCCTAGCGCCTGCGCTATTCATTTGACTGACTCTGCGCAGCCCGATGACTATCGAAAATACAGCCAACTGTGCGGCTCTCTACGGCAACTTGCGCATCGGCTCGCCAACCTCGAACCCTCCGATCCCTTCCGCCGCAAACATGAGGACTTGCTGCTCGAGAAGCTCCACGACATGGGCATACTAGGTACGGGTGGAGGAGGCAAAGGAAAGCTCAGTGATGTCGAACACAAAGTTACTGTCAGCGCTTTTGCGAGGCGGAGGTTACCTGTTGTGATGACGAGGTTACGGATGGCGGACACAGTGCAAGCGGCGACGAAATTCATAGAGCAGGGTGAGCTGCCCTTGTAGATTTGTTATCACAGACTATAGCTGATTGATCTCAGGACATGTGAGGGTCGGCACAGAAGTCGTCACGGATACGGCGTACTTGGTGACGAGAAACATGGAGGATTTCGTTACCTGGGTCGATTCATCAAAGATCAAGAGGAACATTATGAAATACAGGGACAAACTGGATGATTTTGAGCTGGAGGCAATCTAGGAGAGGCGTCGTTGCGTTTTAAGAGCATTGTTAGGGCGTTCAGGTTGGGATATGTCGTCTGCTAGACAGTTGCAGCCGACTCCAAACTTCAATCTCCATGTTAAGAAGATCGCCCACAGAAGATTAGGCCAAAGTTGGGAATACTTGCACTTGACCGGTTGCGCTCTTTTTCCGCGATATCAATCACTGTGGTGAACGCCGGGCGCAGTTTGAGCGCGTACTCTTTCACTCACACCACGCAGCTTCTGTGCGTCGCACTCGTTTGGCGCTCTCCTTGCCCCGCTGCGGTGAGTGAAGGCGTACGCAACCCGAAGACAGAAATTTTACTCGCTCGCCTTCACCTTGGCGAAATCTTCCTTCTTCTTTTCTCTCTCGCTCTCCGTCTGCTTTCGAGCAAGCTACCATCTCCTCCCTCGCTCAACCCAACACCAGTCTGCGAGTTCACGACTACTACACCGAACAACTCCCCGCGTGTCGACCTCATGTCGCCGCCTGATCCTAGTCAGACGCAGCTGGCACAGCTCGAGGATGCGATTGTCGACTTGACGCGCCAACTTGATGAAGCGCGCTCATATGGCTACTCTGGAGAAGTGAACGGTCGTGAGGGAGGCGCCTCCGATGATGAATTTGCCAAAAGGGTCTTTCAGCAAGAACTTGAGGCGCAGCTACAACTCCTCAAAGATACTAAGGTAGCGCACAGTATCGCGATGGCTGTCGACAGCGATGCGGAGGCACTGTCTTCAAGCGCCCGAGACGAGGACTGTGCCATGGAAGATCGGAACCTGGCTATACGGATGGCTACCGACGACCCAGAACTTGAGAATCCCCCGCCGGGAGTAGTGGAGAGACCACGCGCCGTATTGATCGAAGATGATCTTTCGCGAAAGGTCTCTGCCCTCATCATCGCTGATGACTCACTCTACAGCGATCCGTCAATTGAAGGCGAATCGTCAATCCCGCATGTGGAAAGCCAGGCGCAGGCACTCAAACATCTTTCCCAGAATCGATTTGAATGCTGTACCTGCACGGAACGATATCGATGGGACAAGATAACCCAGCTTGCCTGCGGGGATTACTATTGTACGCCATGTCTCCGCCGTGTGATCCTCCGCGCTGTCACCGAAAGGGACCTGACCTATCTGCCACCGCGATGCTGCCGCACCTCAATCCCCAGAGAGATTATCGAGACGCTACTGTCTGCAGAGGAGAAGTCCGAGTTTCGACTCGCCGAGCTGGAGAAGGATACGGTCGACAAGACTTACTGCAGTGGGTCACAGTGCGGCAAGTTTATCCCGCCAAGCGACATCTACGCTGGGGAGGCCAAGTGCTATGCTTGCGGCGCGACCACCTGCAGTCTCTGCAAGAATTCCTCCCACCAATCCGACTGTCCCAAGGATCAAGCGCTGCAAGCGACGTTGGAGCTCGCAGTCGCTCAGCACTGGCAGCGATGTTACTCCTGTAAAGCTTTGGTTGAGATCAAGCATGGTTGCAATCATATAACGTGAGTCGCTCCAACACTGTGTGGCCTTTGCATGGAGTCTAACTGTAATTCTAGCTGCCGCTGTGGTGCAGAGTTCTGCTACCTCTGCGGAGCTTCTTGGCGAACCTGCCGCTGCCAGCTCTTCACGGAGGCCAATCTTCTTCGCAGAGCGGCACAAGTGGTCGATAGGGTAGCGCCAGCCGCTCTTCATGCACAGGAGCGTCAGCGTCAAATTGCGCGGATGCAGCACAACCTACGCACCGCAGAGGAATGCGACCATAGCGGTGGCTACCGGAACTTCGAGCAAATCGAAGGAGACCGAGAGCAACCCTTCCGATGCGATATGTGCGATGCTCAGCACTGGCTCTTCATTCTTCGATGCAGGCGTTGTCACATAGATATTTGTGTCAGATGCCGCCATAATCGCATTTGAGGCTCTCGGAGTTTATGTCTTGGACAGGACTGTTCGGCACTTCTTGATGGAACGCATTTTCAACCCTCAATGTGGGTTTGCTCTCTCCAAGGCTAGGCACCGCAGGTTGATGGGCGATTGCTACCTGGTCGCTAGAGATATCATAGCGCGTATACAACTGGATCGTCCCACGTGTCTTACGTCCATGTAGTGTTTCTAGTGATAAATCTCGACTTGATTCACGAACATATGGTGCCTTCACGGAACGTACATAGGTAAAGCATGACGCGCCAGTGGTCAGTGCTATCACTTTGGCCGAGGAACAGCGTAGCCTCGGAGAATATGGGACATCCGCCTTCGTAGGCTGCTTGGATGGCCCGAAGACCGTGTTGGCGAGTGTACATGTGCAGAAGGGGGGTTTTCGTTTCTAGCGTCAACCACCCTTATTTTATCAAATCTGCGCTGACTAGCGAACAGTGTGTTTGAGCGCGGACAAGGAAGCTTGCCTGAAATGCTAGCTCTCAACGTTCTAGCAGCACTCGAACCAGGACGGTCCCTCACTTCTCATCAGACACTGTTATCCTTAAGCAGCTCCTTCACCCTTTTTTCTTCCGCCTTCTGCTTCTTCGGATCAATCTGGATGTGCAGCTCCTTCATAGCCTGCACCTTCTCCCACGTATTCTTCGCCCTATACCTCTTCAGCACCCACCCCGCATCTCCTTCCCTCTCCCTCCACACAACCGTCAGGGTACACAAGGGGCACTTTTTCCCGCGAAGCAACAAATCTTCCTGCGGCAAAGGCTTGATATCCAACATGTCAGGATGGATCTTGTCGATGGCGCGGAGGTAGGCACGAGCCCAGAAGATCTCCTTCGTGACTACACTATGGACGAATTTCTCGCGGAGGTCGAGGAACGTTTGCTCGCAAACGGGGCATCGGGGTTCTTTGAGTAGGTAGTGGCGGATCTCGGAGTAAGCGAGCCGTAAACCTGTACTCTCCTCGATGATAGCCTTTTTGGCCTCTTCGGGAGTGGTGGCAAGAGGAAGGGGGCTCATGATGGAGGACATTGCGGAGTGGAAGGTTTGGTTGGGTTTATGCAGGCTATATTGTTTGGTTTCGGAGGTGAATATCTGTCTCGCATTGTCTTGATCAGCTCTCGGTCAAAGCAAGCGCAAAGTGGCTGATTATTCGGAATGTGATGGAGAACTCACACGAGTTGGAACTTATTTGTGTTTCGAATCTTGCGCTGGTATTTCCTCGACTGCTGCGCTTCACTCATACTTATATATTCACGCACATCTTTGGTAATGGACTCGAATGCACTGACTGTGTCTCTCTTTGACGGTGCCGACAACACAATTGTTGCCCTTGCCGATTGCGAGACAAAGAGCGGACATTCACGAACTCGGCTCTCGAGAAGCATGGTCAAGCAGTTGGGTCTCCTGCCTTTGTTCACATGTACATCATGTTACTTTGTCCATCTACCCTCAGCCTCCTCCACTCTCGTATTCGGAAAAAGGCAAACGGTTTAATGAGCATAGAGAGTTTCAAACTTGTGACGTAGTTACAGCTAGCGTTACTTGAATGCGCCCTGCTCTAATTTTAGAGGATACACATGTGCATCTCCCTCACCTAAATCCCCGCAATCGATCCGAGCATCTTGACAATAACAACAAGCAAGCAAACTCAAATATATCGCAACAACAACATTCCCCAGATTGCACAAACAAGCGAAATTCATCCCAAACAAAGCCCTTTGGAGCACACCTCAAATTGCCTACGCATGCCGGCATCATCAATTACCCACTCCCAAAGCACTGACAACAATCACGCCAATCACTGCATCAACTCGATCAACCAAGTCCTCACACTAAATTCACTCTAACAACGCTATCCACACTCCCTCCTGCTATCCATACCGCCAATACGCCCATCAAACACGTCAACATGATCACCCCTTATTTCACAAGCCCCAAACGTCAACTACATGGTTAACCCCAGCAAGAACACTTCTTTCCTTCCTCATGCATAAACATAACGGACTCCCGCAATCCCAAAACGCTCAAATCCCGTCGAACCCCCAAACAAACCTCCAAGACGAGAGCGCCCATGACTGATAAAGACAAAACGATAAGACCTATCATCCAAACAGACCGAAAAAAGCAACGTTGATCAAAGACACCAACATCCAGGCGCCCACAAACGATAAGCATGAGACAATGGCAGAGTACTCGCTGCGTAAACCATGACAACTTTCACGCAATTCAACCGAAAAAGAAATCGAAGCCCCCCAAAAAACCGCCACTCGCAAAGGTCAAACAGCAAAGAACTCTCAAAAAGCGGCACGAGGCCCTCCAGTTCGCCGCAAACCCCTTAACCGAGAGAGAAATGATTGATGATGATATAGGAGAAACAACGCCCAAGACGCTTTCCTGTCCAGCCTTTCGTATTCTGAAGTGCGCCTATCGAACAGGCCTTTTCTGTGTATGGTCGTGTAGCAATATATATAAATATATGCATGCGTGTATGTATGAGCGAGGAGCCACCAGGGCGATAAAACGAGGCGTGCAGCGTTAAAAGATAACCAGGCTCGTGTATTTATTGTTCCGGGAACGAGACGCGCGATCATGATAGCGAGTTTCATCCTGCCGTGGAGGTAGGCGTATGCACAGCGCTGATAGAGACAACCGTGTGCGCCATTGCAGATACGTGCGGAGGGGTTCAAAACGAGGTAGGTACGAGTCATTCATATGCAGTCGTCAATCGTTCAAGCGTTGGTGGTTGCCGCAGCGTTAGCCTTCAGCTGCTGCAACTCCTTCAACTGGCTCTGGAGTTCATCGAGAATATCAGACATTGGGCAAGCCTGCTCGAGCAACCGCCTCGAGCCAAAAGGTCTGACCATGTGGCGGAGCGCGAGAGTGGTGGTACACGTCTATCATTTGAGTCAGCAACGTATACGTACTGAACACGCCGTCGCAAACATACCTCGATTCTGGAGATCTGGTGCTCCACAAAGTTAATCAAGAATCGATCCGTCAGCTCGCCAGGACGACTCCTCATTCTCTCCAAGAGCGCCGTCTCGGGGGGCTTTAGCTCCATACTTCCAGGGTTCTCCAGCGTACTGCACAGCATTTCCAGGCGCAGGCTGACCTCACACAAGTCCCAGACATTCTGCGTGTCGATCGTGAACTGCGCATCTCCCATCCGCTGACCCTCTTCAGGGACAGCGGTGCTGGGTGGCAGGAGGGTTTGGGCATCCAATTGACGCTGTACAGTGAGACGACTAGCCAGTGAATGCGGATAGATGAGGTAGATGTATTCCGGGTTCTCGAGGCCCTTCAAGCGTCGTTCTCCCAAGTCCTTGACTTCGTAGCCCTGGCTCTGTAGGGATCGAAGTTCTTGGCGTACCCTGATGTCGTCGAGGATACTGTCTTCAGACCCTTGGGAATTACTCCGATCTCCCTCTTCGTTGATCTCGAATAGGCGCTGGATTTCGGTGATGAAGTCCGCCGACACTGTGATTTGGCCACCATCTGCAACCGAAGAGATGCGAGAGGCGCGATTGACCATCGGCCCAAAATAATCCATACGCTTGGTGACAGGATCGACTTCACACACGGGCCTACCATAATGGATGCCCATCCTGACTGAGAGACCGCGGAAGATCACGTTACCGTCCGGGTCAACAACTTCTTGCCCGTTGACACTGCTGAGGATCTCTTCTGGCCATGGCACCTCCAGCAGCTGACTTTGGATAGTGAAACACCATAACAAGGCGGATGTGACGGTTGGAAAGGCGACCATAAAAGCATCTCCTTCAGTTTTGACTTCATACCCACCAATGATGCGCAATTGCCGACGCATCAACGCGTTGTGCATCTTGATGGCCGATCTCATTGCAATCGGATAAGTTTCCCAGAGCAAAGTCGAGTTCTTGATATCGGTGAAGACCAGACTGACTTCTCCGGTGGGAGGGACTACCTCCGGATCCAACAAACCGAGCTTTGAATCGTTGGGCTGATCCCGCTTGCGCCTGGGTGCTCTGCGCGAGGCGAACAGGTCGTCCGGAGAGCCAGAAGGAACCATGGACATAGGATGCGTGGGGAAGCGAAGCCGGTTTTGCTGCCTCTTGAGGTCGCTAACTCCGAGCAGAAGGACCGTCATTTTGTTAGTTGCACCAAATGCGATCGCAAGGTCTCGGAGCTTCTGAGCGGCTCGCATCAGGTCGCTGCGCTCGGAACGTGCCACATCGACGGCGAAATCCGGTGTCAGATACTCCCATAACTCCCGAGAGGCGATTAGTATCATTTCATCGGCATCGCCAAGCGTAACATTCGTGATGTGAGGAGAAGCGATGACGGAGGGTGACATTTGCACGTAGCCAAATGCCCTCGAGACGTCAAGCATATCATTCAGCTTTCCTTGTCGCGAGACGAACCCTCCTGCCTCCCGGATCCTGTTTCGTTCACTAGCCTCGGCGGGATCATGCTTCATTGTGAGTACTTTGTGCCCTCCCTCGGAGCGAATGAGGAGCGCCTGAGCGTCACCAACATTTGAGATATAGAGCTCCATGCCTTTGAGATAGAGTACTGTAGCCACGCTCCCGGAATGGAGGTCGTCGTCACTGAGATCTGGTAGGGAGCCTCGATGCGGAGCAAGCGGGGAAACGAGGTTCTGATGCAACGACTGTGTTGCTGCAGTGGCCAGTTCCTTGTTGAGACCAAGGTATGTGCGTCTCAACGCATCCACAGGGGTTTCTTGGTCCCGAAGGCGATCTAATTCCTCAGCGAACCGAACCTTGAAAGTGTCGTATAGATACTTCGCGATTCGTGAGCCGCCACCGGTGAGTGCCTGTCCGTCGAAGAGACCCAATATCTGCTCGTCATCGTGACTCCGAAATCGAGGGATAACCATATCCATCGTAGACAAATGCTCACTGCGTCCAAGACTGTCGGCCATTCCATAGGCCATTACCCCAACAGCTGAACCGGATGTGCGCACCCTCCTATCCTCACTCTGTTCAGGGACGGAAGGTATCATCATGGTAACGTCCATTAGGCCCAACACGCGCAGATTGGTCAGCGAAGTGAAGTCGGTAAGATCTCGCCCCTCTCTCATCGCGGCTCCTCCACCGCTGAACGCGCCAGTCGGCTTGATCTCCAGGCGCTTATTTCCAGACAGGTTCAGGTACTTCAGATTGTGATTCCAGTTCCAGTTCCAATCGTACGGCCAGTTGGAGACATTGTACTTTAGCGCATTGCTCGCAACATCAAGTATGGCAAGCTTTGTGACCTTGCCTAATTCGGCAGGTAAAACTTGAAACTTGTTGCTGTTGATATGCAGTACTTTAAGGGAACTTACATCCTCCAAATCTTCGGCGGGCAACGATGTCAGGTCATTGCCAGAGAGGTAGAGCTCTGTTAGGGAATGCCATCGTCGGATGATTCTCGGCGGGATCTCATTGAGGAGATTGTACGAGAGGTTGACTATTCTCAGTTCAGGAAGCAAGGCAAGCTCGTCGAAGACATCGTATTCGAGCCGATTATCCGCGAGGAAGATGTGACGTAAAGAGCCGGCGAAAGTGGTGGTCAGCCTAACCGTAAGACTAGAGTCTTTACGTGAGGTGCTGCCTCCTTCTGTCGTCCGCGATGCGATGGACGGCTTCCTTGCTGTGGCATATGATGCCATGGAACCTTTGCGTGTTGATGTAGCCGGTGATGTGCCCGAGCTCGCGAGATAACCTCCAGACGCCTGGCTGGGACGGCGATTCTGGAAGCCCTCAAGCTTTCCCAACTCCTCAAAACTTTGACTGCTGCCGAGGCCGGGGGTGGACAACGGGGTCGCTGAATCATCGCCGTTCGATATGGATGGTGGGGATGAGGCAGGCTTAGGAAACCCACTCAGAATGTTGGACGACACATTGAGCGTCTCCAGTCGCCGAGCGTACCAGATTTCGGGGGGTAAGCGGCCCAAATTGTTTTCGCGTACATCCAGATAGCGAAGCTCAACGAGACGCCCAATTTCGGCAGGTAGTTCGTTGAGCGAGTTACGTGCGACGCTCAGATACTCCAGGCGGGACAGTCTTCCAATATTTGACGAGAGGGACGTGAAATGGTTCTTATCCAGAATAAGCTTGGTGAGCCCGGACACCTTTGGGAAGAGATCCTCCGGGAGCTGAGATAGCTTTGCTGACGCAAGATTCAAGACCGACAACGTGGGCACTGGTGCGCTTACGCCAAAGCGGGTCACTGGATTGTGATTCATATGCAGGACCCGAATTCGAGCGAAATACCCTTCGAAAACCGATATGCAGTTGTGGCCGATCATCAGATATTCAAGGCTTGGCAGTTGAGACATAACATCCATGTTGTTCAGCGAGTTGAAGCGGACATCAATCTCCCTCAGGTTGACAAGATTACCAAGCGATGAGGGAAAACTGCCAGAGAGTTTGTTGTTGGTTGCCCATAGGCGTTCCAAGCATGTGAGCTGCCCGATCTTAGGGAGACTGGAGATGGAGTTGAAACTGATGTCAAGATCCACCAAGGTTCGCACTTCGCACAAGAAGTCGGGAAATTCGGTCAGGCAGTTGGAACTGAGATTCAAGCTTCTCAACGCGCGATACCTGTCAAAGTACGGTGGTAACCTGTTTAAGCGATTGTTGGAAAGTCGCAGGCCCTGGAGGCTCTGTAGATTCTGTAGCTCAGCTTTGTCGAGTGACTGTAGACGATTGTTGGAAATGTCCAACATGGTTAAACGGGTTGCCAAACCCAGACTGGGTGGAAGTCTGCGCGCCTCGTTGCTAGTGTACTTGATCTCGCGGAGATTGGTGCAAGCGGTGATGAAGTCCTTTGGAACATTGAGGGACAGGTTTCGGGAAAGGTTGAGAGATATGATTTCGGTGGCCTTCTGGTAAAGGATGATGGGGATCGTTACCAGATTGCGTCCTTGGAGGTCAATGTGGCTGAATTTCTGCATCTTGCTGAACCCCGGATCCCTTTCCAGACTGGCGTAACCAGTCATTTTTGCAGGGAGAAACGTAAATCGACAAAGATAGCTGTTGTCTTCTCTGCCAATCTCTTCAATCCTGTCCGCTTCAGTATAACCAGCCTGCTTCAGTAGTTGTTTCTGAAGCAGCAAAGGCCTCTCGGTCGGATCAAGTTGGCGGGATGTATCGTGTTTACGCATAACAATATGATAATTGTCTAGCTCGTCCTGAAGTAGCGTCTTTTTCCCCAGAATCTGGATGATCTGCGAGACGGTAGTGGTCAACGAGGCCGACAATGTAGCAAAGGTAGAGTCGGCACGGAAAATGCGCACACAGTATGTTCTCGTATCTTCTTCATCCTCCTTGCTCACAGTGGTCTCATCCATATCATCGTGCCGCGGAATATTTTCGCCATCAAGCCGTTTCACCGCCCAGGAATCGGGAGCGTCCCACACATCGTCTTCCGGAGCGAATTGAGCCGTCACATCCCCTGTAGGCGGCGTCATGGGCGGCTGCTGTAGGATTCCTTCCATGTGATCGAGGTCCGTATCCAACTTCCACGTTGCATCGTTCGTCACGGCATTGTCTCTCGCCTCGTTTGGATCCATCAAGCGCGGTTGATCGTATCCCTGATACTTCTTCGAGGACTTGAGGAACTTGTGCTTCTCTTTGCCCTCCTTCGAAGACGCACCGCCCTTCAGTCCCATGTCCAGTCGGCTTCTCTTGTGCAAACCGGCTGGAGATGGCTCCTGCCGTGGCTGTTTCGCGGATCGTACGGAAGGCTGCAGGGATACTGTGGATGAAGGGAGGTCTCGCAATGCTTCCGGGGTGGAGCGATCCTGCTTCACTTTCCCTGTGAAGCGCTGAAAAAACGTACGAGGCTTGCTGGCGCTTGGTGATCGTTGCGCAAGCTGCTCTTTGGATACATCGCTGAGTGAGCTAGGCGTGGGGCTTGACGCGCGCACGAAGAGACCCGTCTTGGAGCCAACGGTTGGGGGGAGCGATTGCTGCTGGTCCCGCCTAACGCTATATGCTGACTCTTCACGACTGGTCAAGGGGCGGAGGGGAAAGGGATGGCTGATATCGATACGTCCCTCGGAGGTTTTGGTATTGTCGTCCTTGCTTCCCTTGTGACGATGCAGCCGGGACTTCTTTCCGAATTTTCCAGACTGCTGTTCAGAGGAGGCACGACCATTTTCAGAAGCACCAGGAGCGTCCTTGAAGTAGTCCTGGAATTCCCAGGGCGTAACCTCCGACGAGGGCAGAGGGGATCGAGGGCGAGAGCTAGACGGCGATCCCGGTCGACTATGGAGACTACCTGCGAGGGGATTATTGAAGGAATTTGTCCGGTTGCGCAGGCTACGAGTCGACTGCGAATCGAGGCCATAACCTGCGCCCAAGCTGGTGTCGGAATTCTGACGAGAATCACCTGGAAAATCTTCGCCGAAGATGTTTTTCAAAGGTTTGTGATAACCCCTGCTCGATTTCGAGCCCGTACTGCTCACCGTGCTCACAACAGATGGCCGCCTCGTGTCGCCGGCGTAACCCATTGCTTCGTCTCTTCCACTGCCGGGACGGAAGCCTGGCGACAGCTGCGAAACATCCTCATTGGAATCATTGAAGAAGCTCATGACACCTGCAGGCGTCGAAGAGCCATTCGTGGAGGGATACGAGGGAGGAACAGGCGACGTCGCGGTAGGGGGATTTCGCGAAATAGAAGGTATGCGGCCGCCCGAAGTGTCCAAGACAGCTAATTGCTTCCGATAATCCCGGAAATCGCTCACTTGCGGAACATCCCAATTCGAAGGTCGTCGTGGCGGGGGGGCATTATCCTTGGGGGGAGGGATTGGAGGAACTGTGCCCGGGGATATTTCAGACTCCCTTTCCTGCCTATATGAAGGTGTTAGTAGTCTTCTGGCAAAGCGAGCACGGCCATGTGAGAGTGAGACAGATGCAAAGACATTGCTCAGGCGAGGGAGAGGGCGACTATGGTGCGACGGGCAAGGGAGAAACAAGGCGAGCGGGCTAGGCGGGGGCAATGGACGTACAGCTGGGCAGAGTCCTTGGAGGTCTTGACGGTGGGCCGGGAGCGAAAGGACTCGCGCACGGTATCGCTGGATCGCCAGCTGCCCGAACTCTCGGTGGAGGTATGCGATGTGTGCCGTTCGGGATTCCTCGTCATTGTCGCTCAGACAGCGGCGTTCGGAGAGGTTCGCAGTGTGGCGGGGAAGGCTGCTGAGCCAGGAGTCGCTACGAAGGCTTCATGGGCGCGGACGCGATGCGAGCGGGCAGCGTTCTGCGGCAAGGCGACGGTGAGGAGGGTAGTCTCGTAGACTCGTCGGAAGGCGTGCGGTGAAATGCTCCGAGTGCGCGTGTGGGCGGTGTCGCGATGGCGGACGGAGAGGGGGGGTAGAAGCTTGGGTTAGGTAGCAGTGGCTGAGCGATGTAGATGGGCGATAGATGATGGGTGATGGGCGATGGATGGTCGACTCCACAATCGGAGCCACGGGGGATGGATGGGGGGGCGCGCACTGGGACTTGTGTGGTGCGGGTCAACTGGTGGCCGCTCCGGGACGCCCAGACCCGTTCATGGCCAAGGAAGGCCCCAAGCCATGCCAGAACCATTGCGACTCATCTACAGTATGTACTTTGATGGTGACACTCCCACCCAGCATGCTTTGTCTCTCATGTCTTGCACTTGGGCCCTGTCTGCGATTGTTCCACCCCTTGAAACTTGCCTGGTCAATTGGGGGTCCCGTATCGTGGTTAAGGCTGCACCTGGGCTCCTGGGATATGCCCCTGTATGCACCCTGAACATTTCCCTCAGCTTGTCGCCATCTCTCGAGGGCGCTATCATACATAAGCCTCGAAGCCTAGATGTGCCGTGGCCTAATGGCATGGTAGCCCAATCATCTAGGTAGCGCTGAACGGGTCATCGAACCCACAGAGGGCTGCGGTGATTCCTGTACATTATGTTCCAACATGTTGGAAGGTTTGCACCATCCGGGGCACGTGACTTGGAGTGCTTAGTCAGGCCTCTTCCGTAGTTATAACACACAGAGGCCCTCTGAGTATCATCCCATTTGCGTCCTACTGTCCCATTCGCGTCCTACTGTCCCGCAAGGCTGGAGTGGCAACGGGGCGTGTTCAGTTGCGCCTGAAAAGAGAGCCGCTAGTCATCTGGCCCATCTTGTCGACTGCGGAAGCATCCATCGGTACATGGAATAATGATAGGTACATCTCGCTTTTGGTACACTCGGAATTGGCTCCCAACAAGATGCCATCCCTATTAAACCAAAGCTTACCCTCCCAATATCTAGTCCCGTCGAATGCCGCCATATCGAATAAAAGGATGCGACGCCGAAATCGTACACAAAACCTGATCCTCACCGGTACTGAGGTCCTTCCCGGCCAAGGACCCGTAAGATATCCTCTAATGATGAAGTCCCATTTGGAGGCGCATTCGCCTGTTGTGGCACGCTGGCAGACGGAGCGGGCTGGGGCGCCGCCTGCGCTGGATTCTGGCTCATGGCTGCCGCTACCTGGAACCAACGTGCCCACTGCTCTGCCATGTTCGGTTGTGGTGGTTGCTGCGGATTGCTGGCGGCTGCAGGCTGCCCATAGAACGTGGGATTGAGATATGCGCCTGCCGGAATCGTAGGATGCAGTGCGCCGTACGGGTACGGCGGTTGCGGCGTAACGGGCGCTGGAGGCATAGCCCAGCTACCGCTGTTGAGCGTTGCATTCTGTGCGTAGGCGCTGCTGGTCGTGCTCACGGGAACCGGAGACACTGGAGCGTTTGCGGGCGACGCGGCATGCCGGTCCTTCTTGCGCCCAGGTCGATGGCCACGAGAGGGAGATGCCTGTTGCTGCACTCTTCCACCACGGCCCGGTGGGTTCGGCGACTTGCCACGGCCCTGGCGGTTGGGCGATGCTGACGACGCCGCCCTGTTCCCCTTGTGAGGAGCGCCGCGACCGCGATGGCCGTTGTCATGATGTCTCCCGCCACGGTCCGATGGCCCTGCCGGAATCTGATGTGAAGCTGGACCCGTAGGAACTCGACCACGCAAACCGCCACGGAAGTTTCCTCGCCCACCAGCATCTGGCCCGCCCCGTCCTGGCCCTCCTCCTCCTCCTCGTCCCCGGAACCCACGACCTCTATCCGGCCATCCACCCCGCCCTCGCATGTTTCCTCTGCGCACGTGACTTCGATCCTCGAGCGGAGCGCCGGCGCCAACAATATCCTCGAAATGCTCGGGACGCGCGAGAGGTCGATACATGCCAAGGTCGTCGTCGTCATCGCTGCCATAGTTGAGGCCACCTCCAGTATACGGCGCGGGTTGGGGTATGGAAGATACACCGTTGTTGGCCGGGTTTGCAAGCTTATCTGTCGACTCCTGACCCGCTTCCACCTTTGCCTCCTGCCTTGCCCTCTTCAACTCCTTCTGCCGCCTCTTGAACTCTTGCTCTTTTTCATCGTCGGAGAATTCCACGTCGTTCGCTTCTTCGTCGTGGAGATTGGAGGCGTCTGTGAATTTCTGCGATTTTAGAGGTTCCGTGAACACAAAGGTCGAGTGCTCGTCTACGTAGTAGATCGTCGTGTCCTTCGTGATGCCCAACTTTCCGATTTCGGCTGCGTCATTGAACCCTACCGAATATCTCGGCTCCTGAACGCGGCCCAGTGTCTCGGCAACCTTTCCAATGACGGTGCCGTCCGCTAGACACAGAGCTGAGCCCGACTCGAGGACCCGTTCGTCTCCTGATGTGTTTGCCTTGATGACTACCATGTTGTCAACGATTGACTCCACCGTTCCCAGCTCTGTCTTCTTTGTCTCTTCGGTGACCGTGATATCCGGCTTCTCGAAGACTTCTACCACCTCGTTGGCCGTGCGGACTTTGATGGGACCACTAGCACCTGGCTCATCCCCAGCCTCCATCATTAGCCGTCGTACTTGCTCTTCAGGATCTAGAAGCTCGCCCTCGTCTGACTCTTCCTCGTCGCTGTCATCAGAGTCTTCGCTTGATGAATCCGAAGATGAGTCCGACTGTTCCGAATCTAGCTGCCACTCGGCTTCAGCATTCCCTTTGTTGGCCTCCGCGGCACGGAGGAACTCTGCCTTGCCCTCATCGATCGCATTGGAATCCTGTGCAGTTATTGTCTCCGCCTTTGCTTCATTGGTAGGCACTTCTCCATAGGAAGTGTATGGGGCGCCCGTCTGGCCCGCTTCAGCCGTCTCGCCGGAAGTAGGAGCGGGCACCACCTCCATCGACTTCGTCCCATTGTACAGCGATTCTGAATCGGAAACTTCGCCATCCTCAAACGCATCAACATCGCCTAATCGCGTGTGTTCCGAAGATGGCTTTTGTTCGGCACTATCGTTCCAGAGAGTGAGGCCAGGAAGGTGCAGAGCAGTGGTGTTTGCAGGCACATCGGGTGGAGCAGCAGATGATTGAGCAGCGTCTGCAGCATCTACGCAATGCGGTGCAGCTTCAACCGCCGTAGCCGTATCGTCGTAAAAATCGTCATCCATATCATCGACAGGCGAGCCCGGCACGTCGCCATCGGGTTCATCATAGCGCGCCCGTTTCGCGGGTGGTTCAAGCGTGTCGGACATTGGGGAAGAATGAGATGTGCTTCTCAGTTCTTATGACGCCAGCGACTGCAGGTGAGGGTTAAAGATACGACAGGGGTTTCTAGACAGGTTGTTCGTACAGGGACCAACTGCGTTGTTCCGCGCCGTACGGCGGTGATATGTATGAGTCCTACCTCTCCGTTCTTGAAGAGAGAGAAAATGCAGGGAGAGGTTTGGGATGCCCATTGTTGACCCTCGTTCGTTCGTTCGCCGTTAGCGCATCCACCAGCCTTGGCGCCGCACCCCGGTCGCTTTCTACCACACCTCAATCGTGCCAATGAGCACACTTCTCCTACGGTACGCCCACTGCGCGACTGATACCTGCGGCGCGACGACCACCGTAGAATCGGCGGGCAGATCCATGGCTCCTCCGCCTGCTCATAGGGCTTCCGTACCTCGGGGTTCGGCGGGTGCAAGGTAAGTATAAGATTTACAGCAATTCCTGGAGATGGTTTCTGAAGCGCTGATTGCATCATATTCTCAGCAATGGAGGTCTTCATCTGGCCTTCATTTTCTCTATATTCGCTGCCGCCAACAGCTTGGCTGCTGTTTTCTCGCCAATTCAAGATTGCGATGAGGTTTTCAACTACTGGGAACCTACGCATTATTTGAACCATGGCTATGGCCTGCAGACCTGGGAGTACTCTCCAGAATTCGCCATCCGGAGCTGGGCCTACACTGGCCTGCACGCAGGCATCATCCACGTTGGACGACTCTTGCCTTTTGGAAGCAAGCGTACAGAATTCTACTTCCTAAGGATAGTGTTGAGCCTTGTTTGCGCTCTTTGCGAGACACGCTTTTACTCGGCCATTGCGAAGGCACTTCATCCCCGTGTGGCCTTCTTCTTCTTGATCACCATGGTTTCCAGTCCCGGCATGTATCATGCAGCCACTGCTTATCTACCATCCAGCTTCGCCATGTACACGGCCATGTTGGCATTCTCCTCTTTCATGGACCGCAATTCGGGCGTTGGATCCATGTCCGGTACTTTCTGGTTCGCTTGTGGAGCACTGCTTGGGTGGCCATTTGCAGGTGCCCTAATTGCACCTTTTGTAATTGAGCAGCTCCTCGCCATGATCTCCGCAGCGGGATTCTATCCTGGCATCCGGAAATTACTGAGCGCGGCAATTCGCTGTTTGATCCTCCTGGTGAGATTTTTCGTTCTCCAATTGGATCATCTCTGACAGCTCAAATAGATACTTCAAACAGCGGTCGATAGCTATTTCTACAAGAAACTTGTTTGCGTGCCCCTGAACATCGTGCTTTACAACGTGTTCAGCGGGGGCAGCCGAGGACCCAACATCTACGGAGTGGAACCGTGGCACTTCTACTTGCGTAATCTTGCCCTGAACTTTACCGCTTGGTTTCCTCTAGGGCTGGCCGCTCTGCCATTACTCTTGCTACATAGACTTAGCCGTCAAAAGCCCATCCTCCAACAAACCCTTTTCCGGAGTACAATACTTCTCACTCCCTTCTACCTATGGCTCGGCATCTTCACTTTGCAACCGCATAAGGAAGAAAGGTTTATGTATCCTGCTTATCCGGCTCTAGCGCTAAATGCGTCCGTCTCATTTCATGTGCTCCTCTCCTTCATAGGTACAACGGATCACCGCAGCCTACTCAGCAAGATTCCCGTACAGTTGAAGCTGGTAGTTGTCATGTCCTTCGTCATGGCCACTTTAAATCTGGGTGCTCTTCGCATTCTGGGGCTCATGACCGGATATTCTGCGCCTCTTCACGTATATCCCTTTCTGCAACAGCCTCAGATAGCAGCGCAAGGAAGCACCGTCTGCATCGGGAAAGAATGGTACCGATTTCCCTCTTCATATTTCCTTCCGAATCATATGCGCGCAAAATTCATCAAGAGCGAATTCTCTGGTTTGTTACCAGGCGAGTTCAGCGAAGCCGAGGGGCCCGGTCATTTCCCAGGGACGTGGCGGATGCCTTCTGGCATGAACGATGAGAATCGCGAGGATCCTGGAAAATACGTACGTCTAACCCCCCAGCTGCCTTAGTTGGATTTGCTCATGCTCCGCAGACCAACATTATCAAGTGCGACTACTTGATCGATTCGCGTTTTAGCGGTCTTGAGCCTTCCGCTCTGGAGCCAGATTACATAGCCGACTCAGCAAGTTGGGAGAGGGTGACTTGCGGCGCGTTTCTGGATCACAGCCAAACACCTCTTCTCGGCCGCCTGATCTGGGTCCCAGATCTGCCGTTTGTTCCAGAGCGTTATCGGCGGAGGTGGGGAGAATACTGCCTTCTGAAGAGAAGAAGGGATACGAAGATCAATGGCTCATAGTCGTCTTTAGCACCCCCCAAGTTAACTTTTCGCCTATCCAGCTGGTTTCTGGTCTTCATTTTTCGTCGCATCGCGATCACAGTAGTATTTCGGGCGTCCATGATGCGAAAGACAGCGTGAGAATGCTCACTGGCTACCCCACAGTCGATGAAGCTGTTGTCACAAAGCGCAGGTCTTACAGTACAAAGAGGGACCATCAGCTTTTATATTTGCGCCTTTTGTCCGGTATTTGATGCTGCATAAAGTCAAACTGTTCGCCTACGAAATATGTCTTCTCAGTGAACCATCTCCTGTATGAATTCATCAAACGTGACACAGAGCATGTCAGCCTTCTCACACAGTTTCTATACATCATCTCTGCTCTTGAATTATAACCTTCCACGATGGACGACCTGCGCCTCCGATACTTACGCACCATAAAACCAACTGAGGATTGGATACAACACCACTGGAATACCGTCTGGCTGACAACTTCCTTCAAAGTACGGCTTCGATAGTCTGATCTCCGTCATCATATTAATCAGGGAAGGATGCCGTTGTCAAAGTCGTATATATACCTGGAAGGCGCACACCACGACGAAATCGAGGGACGTAGAGAAACCCTCGTCCTCGAAAGCGTCAAAACGAGGACCCCGAGATATCTTGAGTCAGACCATATTTCTCTTGATTCGGCAAGCCAGCTCGAATGCGACGAGTCTCACGGACTTTGATCTCTCATTCAGCCGTGCAGCGGGCATGACCTGGATTCGTCGATTCCAAGTTCTGCATATCTAAAGACGCACAGGAGACAAGGTCGGCTTAAGCAAGACGTACCGCGCCATTGGGACGCAGTGCATGCATTCCTTGCTACTGACTGACTACCATGACATGTAGCTACAGCGCTATGACCGCTCCCATGCCTGAAAAAAAAACTACACCATACCATATATATTCATACAATACAACGCCATAACTGCCCTTTTCAGCGAACCCCATAAGAGGAAGAAATAAGAAGCCCACCGTCAAATGCTGGACTAGGTAAAACGCCATCCATATGTGCATGCATGCAGCGGAACCTCCCCCTGACCCATGCTATGGCGGAGAAAGAAGAAGCCACCGTCATCAATCGTGCAGATCCGCCCTCCCTCCCTGAAACAGAAACGTGCCATGATGGTCAACTTCAGCCGCTATCAGCTAGCAGCTGAGCGACCAATGAATGTAGTCTCCTACAGGAACGTCGAATTGAGCCGTGAAATCGCGACTGTGTCCGCCGCCCGACTATTCGCTGCCGTAACCATCTCACGTGGGGGTTGCTGAGCCGCACCTGGGCTACGGCTACCAGAACGGGAGGTCGCTGAGGGATTCGGGATAGACTTGCTGGCTGCGTCGCCGTTGGTATTTGTGGCACCGTTGTGCTCGGGAGTATGGCTGTTAAGCAGGGTATGGATATTCGGAATGGTCCTGTTGGGCGACGGAGCTGCAGTAGTCGCACCGGGCTGTGTCGACGCGCCATTCGTCTCTGTGACGCTGGATCGAGACTGGGATTGCGCGAGTTCGGGTCGGTGGTCTGCAGATTGCGGAGTAGATGGTTTGTCAATGTTGTTCGGGACGTTAAGGGCGGGGAGGATGGGCCCTTGCTCCGGGATTTCGGGAACGTTGGGTGGTGGGGGCGGCGGTTGTTGATGGTGAGGAGGCGTATGGTAATTTGCTGGCTGTGGTTTTGGGTAATGCGGGGTATGTGGGTGCTCCGAAACTTGCAGAGGGCGTGGTTGCAGCAAGTATTGTGGTTGGAGAGGATGCGCATGCGGGTGTCCTGCGAACGCTGGGTGGCTGACCGGTGGATATGCGTGCGTCAGGTGAGGCGGGAGGCGCTCCATGTGGGCAATTGCTTGCGGATGCGGGTGAGCATAGCCGGGAGGGGGATAAAAGACTGCAGCACCACCTGGATATGCGATATGCGCGCCAGGATGACCGATGAAGTAGGTTGTGGGCTGGTAAGGCGGTGTAGGCGGACCTGGATAAGGGGAGAACAACACAGGAATCTGCGGTGAGGGGCCAGGACGATTGTATGGCGATTGCGACCCTACCGGCTGAGGACCGGCTCCATATGGAGATTCGGGCATTGGGCCACGAGTGACGGCGGGCACAGTCTGGCTCTCGTTCACTGTTGATTCAGGATACATGTTCCTAGGAGGCCGGATGTGCCGTAGTGTGGGGTCCTGTGTGGGTTGCATCAGGCTGCCGCAATGTGAGCGCGAGAAGTAGCTGATCAAGTGGAGGTGCTGTCCGCTCTGAGTGGTGATGCTGAACGACTGCTTCATCAGACCATCTGAATGCTCGTCAGTGTGGCGCGGGTGAGTGTGCAGGACGAGAGACATACCCGGCTTGTACCGATAACCGTCAGGGCCTTCTCCTTCTGATTCCCCATTCGCTGAGGGATCCGGCGATCTGCCATCTGTCCTTCTCTGTCCTTGCCCATTTGGGGGAAAACTGCCCCGTTTGCCCTCCATTTCTCTGTAGGTCAGGAAGCTGCCAGAAACGCGACTGGCACTCCACGACTTGCCATCTGTCCAGCGGCGCATGCCTGCTTCCCTTTCATCCCATACGAAGACGGATCCAGACTTGATCTGCTGCCGTTCTTTTTCTGACAGGCGCCGCTGTACTCGGGGGAGTAGACCTAACCGACAGGCTTCGAAGAGTAATATGGCGTCGGCGGGTGTGCGAACGTGGCCGTTGTAGGTCTCCATTTTAGGATGTCAATGCGGATATCGAGGAAGTGTAGTGAAGACCAGGCCTATTGTAACGCCTGACGTGTTGGGTAGAGGGCCGTAAAACTTGAGGTTGAAAGCGAGATGGGAACAGTTATTAACCAGTCATGGATGCTAATGCACACGTTAGCAACCAGCGCTTGGGAACTGCGTGTACGTACGAGACTCTCCACGGTACATGGAGCACGACGGCCCCCAAGGACAAAAGTAGATGGGCGGCTGTGCTGCTCGAGGTGAAGGAAGGATCTGACAGGGGGAGCTTGTCGATGCCACCTCGCCCGTGGTCGCTTACTTGTGTTACCCAGAACGGTAAACACGCGCAGCACCGGAAAAATATAGTAAGGAGTGTGTGGGCGCGAAATGCGGCGAAGATACCAGTCACATGAGGATGGAAGGGGAAAGATATGCTTACAGAATGACAGTTGAACAAAATCAATAGGGAGCGCGCCACCTAAGCGCAACCAGCTTTCTTCCCCAAACAACTTCCCCAGAATCAGATGCCAACAGCTAGGTATGAGTATCCGGCCGGACGGGTAAGATGGGTAAGAATGCGCCCTACGACTTGAAACAAGCGGGTCGATGAAACGGGCAGACGATGGAACAAAGGCGGCGAGGTTGCTGAAGGTGTGGGGATGGGGCGTGAGGGCGCGTAAAGTCTGCTGAGGACGGGAGGACGAGGAGGCCGTAACTCCTCATGTATGTATGTACTTTCTCGGTTCGGTGCTGTTACTGCTTGGGCTGCTGGGCTGTTGTCAGCGGGAACCTTGGAACTTCAAACGCCCTGGCGCGAAGTCTGTTGTCTGTTGATCGCCGCCAAGCTTGGCACAGCGCTATGAAATTAAGGTCGTCCAAGCAATTCGCCGCTTGGTACAAGGGCCTTTGTGCAACGATGCGGCGTCGCTGGCAACCTGGTCGCTTCGCACGTCAGCTGCGCCGCAGAGGAAAGGTGAGGGAAAGGTGAGAGGGCACCTGCACTGTGGAGGGGCAGAGACTCGTCAGTCAGAGGGGTGAAGGAGGGAAGGAAATGCGAGCCTGCTTCATGTTCCCAGGGTTGCCGTGCGAAGCGTGCCCAGGTCGTCCTCACAGCACCCCCGATCAGCCAAGCTTTCCGTCCGAAGATAACTCTAACACTAGCCCAACTTAATCCACAGACAAGCCTTTGGCTTCTTGGCCACGAACCATGGTCGCCGGCTGTTTCCCAATAAGGGCATCGCGCGGCCTTGGCGAGCCTTGGCATCTTGGCTCCAAGAAACACGCTTCCACCATCCGCCTACATATACACTGCCATGTTGCGATGACACTCCCAAGAGTGAAAGAGTGAGATTTCAACAAAGGTTGGCTGGTGGTTGTCCCTGCGCCGTTGGAATCTCCACAGAGGATTCCGCTGCTGTTCCCTGTCAGCGCCTTTCGCACGATACGAAGCAACGGGCACCATGTACTTCCGAGATCCGGACTGACAATCGTTTCCGTACGCCATACTCGTCGAATAAAGCTCGGCTCCCCAAGGCCACTTCGTGTTCGCGGAGCTTACTGCCATGGTCCCCTGCAGCTGCCCGCTGCAAGTTGGTCCAAGTTCCACAGTCAGTCGGGTGCCACGGCCCAACAACTGTCTTTGAAATGTCGCAGGCCCCGTCCCCATGTTGTCGGATTATCATTAGTATTACTCAGAGATTGATGCAAGACCCGCCAAGTCTCCGACTAAGGACTCCTGATGACCTGACATATTCGGCTTTGCGAGCAGGCGAGCACTCTGGTCCATCCTGGCCTTGGCCTTGGTCGGCCGTCCCTGTCCGCGGGGAACGGCCCCGTCAGCGGAAGTGGGAAGGCTTGCTCGGTAGCACCGGAGAGCTCGCATCCTTCTCCTTGGTTAATACTCATGGAACCGCGTCCCCCGCGTGAAGAGTACAAGGTTGAGCTTCATCAGGGGAAGAGGGAAAGTTAAGAATACTGTTTGTTATACACCATCTAACCGTACCCGATCATCATCGACTGTGCGTGGATGCGACATCTCTTTTGAAGGCACTGCCGAGCTCGGTACACAGTGGTAGTCAACCAAGTTGTCGCTCCAGATAAGGTTCGTGGTAGTTAAGCATAAATGTCGACCCGCCCTCGCAGATGGACGCGATTCGCTGCCCCAGGGTGGCCTCGGCCCTTGGGCCTGCAACCGCAATATCTCTTCCTGAACTCCGTCTCCCCCCAGCTGGTCAGCAACGACACCAACGACACCGATGCTATGGTGAACGGCCGTACAGTATCTCGTTGTCGCCTTGTTCCGGCTTCTGCGGCCCTCAGGACCTCACAGCCGTCGCACACGATTGTCCTGTTGGGCGCCTCACCCACATGAGGGGTCTAGAATGCGCCTCGAGCGGGAATCTCACCTTCCCAGGAAAGATTAAGGTATGTGCCAAGCTCTACCTGGTTCCGGTAGCGTTGGCAACCTTCACTCAACGACTCGCACCACTTGAGAATAATTGACGTGCCCAGGTTCATCGCACAGTGAGCTGCACGATATACAGCCTGTTAGACGAGTCGGCCAATAATCTGGCTTCACTAACGCTTCGCCCTAGGAGGGCATTGCGCCTCGGATTCTGGAATCCGGGTTTGACGGTGCGCCCCGTTTGCCTGGTTTCTCCCAAGGTAATAGTAATGTCTGCGCCGCAATATGATTCGGCTCAGAATCCCACCTGCCCGCGAGTTACTTCGAGACAGTATCGAAAGGGTCAGGCAAGGCATCGGCACAAATCGCAAATTGGACACTTTTACTAGCTCAGGTGCATGTTCCTTGTCCAACAGATTCTTACTCCTCCGCTAACCGTTTGTCGGGAAAGTTCTCACATCAGCCTGCTTTAGTCATATCCCCACCCTGCTAGATAGTCACCAAGATCTGCGCTCTTCTTGTAAGCTTATTACGAGAGCCTTGTCCTAGCGAAGCGACCTTCTTCACTCGGTGTCTATTGTCTTGATTGTCGTGTGGCATTCGCGGTCGTTGTTGCGGATCAACCAAACCTTATGGGAGATGATCCTGTATGCGGCTAGGTTGGCGTATGTCGGTAGTGAAAGCCCCTTTGGTGGCTCCATTCCTCTAACGGGACTTGGACGAAATACTGTTATAGTCGTCCTTGTAACTCGACTTGTTTCTACAGGGTAAAGGCTTTGCGAGTACTTCTCATTCAGCACCCTTCCATCCTACCAAGTACTCTGCGCAAAGGGCTGCCCCTTCTATACGCTTATTAGAAGGAAATAAGGATCAACTTGCCTCCGCAGCGGATAACAAGCATCCTCGTAATGCTACAGGATTGCAGCCGGATTTCGCAATGCTTGTTAGTCTATGCAGCGGGTTGCAGGAGAGCTTACCGTGTTAAGCACATACTCTCCGCCAATATCTGATTGTTGGCCTAAAAATAGCTGGGGCTTCTAACAAATTCCTTGAACGGGAAGCCTTTGGGGAACCTCTACGGAGTGGAGAGTACGCGGTTGTACTCTTGCATTACCATCGCTACCAGGACCTTCGGCTGGAAGAAGATGACCTATCCGCTCAATAACGTTGAAAACAAGCTTAATGCGTCGCCATCGCTTGCGTTGGTTGCCCACGCAATTAGTGCGCCCTGCAGATGTAGGGTGGTCAGCTCGACTCTGCGCATTCGGAACACGGACTTAGCCAAGCGTCCGTATTGTCTCCCAACCTGATGTCCAGAGCGAGAGTATACGAAATACGGTCATTTCTATTCAGGAAAGGCTACTGCTTCATCGCCTAACCCCAATAGCATCCACATGTGCACACACTGTAATCGGTCGAACAACATCTCACACTAGCAGAAGAACTCATAATCCCTGTTTGATCCTTCCAACCACCTATCTGGTTGTCCTCTCTCTTGGACCGAAGATTCATTTGGCCCCCAACAATCCATGCTCACATCACACCAACTTATGGCGAAACCAATAATGACCTCTTTACATCTGGTTCCTCATAAGCGAATTTGATAAAACCCTCCGGAGAGCTTCAAGGCACCGACGCTAAGCGCTGATTTCAACTGTAGAACGGATGAGGGGAAACTGTGCCGCAATACCTTGTTGGCGATCGACGGTAACTGGCTATTAGGAAATAGAGTCAAGGAGTGCGTGCGAGCAACGAACTTGGATATGAGTAGATAATCAATCCTTGACTCCTTGCGTTGGCAATCCCGAAGGGTAGCTTGTCTCAAGCATAAGCACTCTATTCCCTCGGGGAATTTACTTCGCCGCGTTTTACGAACCGCACGGTGTGGTGGCCCGGGGCCGTGGGGCGCAGCGTAAGGTTGGCGCGTAGAAGATGAAACGGTGAAACAGTGAAACAAAGAAACAGCGAAACAGCGAACCGCGAGGCGTGGCTGAGGCTAGGTAAGTTGGCGTTATGAATAAGCCTCTGAAGGTTTCGCGTCATAGGATAAACTTGATAGCCGGAAGATTGAGATATACTCGATCGTGAGATAGTGCTGAGTTGCTCGGATAGCTCTTCTCGAACGAGGTCCAGATAAGGCACCGTTCCACCTAATAACGTGAACTCTCAAGAGACGGATTCCGTTCGTGTGCTTGACAAACTCGATTTGTTTGCGCGATTATGGAAGCTTACCCTAGGGTAGGCCCCGTTGATCTGTCCTGCCACGTCTCCTCCCATGGCTGCACCGCTTCATCATACGCAAGAAATCCCCTCCCATAGCAGCCACGAATCTGTCCCGATCGGGCGCTTAACGTACGAGATCGAGCTTTCTCAAACTTTATCGCGCGAATTGCCCCAGCCTTGCTAAGCGGCTATATTCACCGACCTGTCCTCCACGAAACGACCTACGCCGCAATATACCCCTGAGGGACTCCGTTGTCCCGTTTCTTGGTTTCGCGTGCTTCAGCCTACGAGGATGCAGAGAGGTCTAGCGTAGCGCCGATGGAACCCGTTGGCGGCACAGCTGAGATGATGCTAACAGCGTAATAGGGAGCGGCAATGAGAGCGTTGGTGTTGGAAGGGCGGCTCACAAATGGGGTGGAACTGGAACAGGACCGAAAGGGGTTCTAACCCTTGGGAAGCATCCCCACCTGCAGGTCCGGAAGGTTTCAGAAATGCTGGAGGTGGCGTAGATATGTTGTGTCGGGAGGTAGGCGTTCAGAGCTGTGGCTTGGTCCCAGTAGTAGAGATTGGACGGGTCGAAGCGTACCTGAGGTGAAAGTGCATCTGGTCTTACTCCTATGTATGTACGAATATGTTAATGCTCTGCGGTACTTTCAATCCCAAATTCATTGTCAAGATAGCCGTGCCAATAGCCACTTTCAATCATTAGACTCGCCTCACCCGAGCTTGGCCGGCTTCGCGCGAGTTCGGCCTGACCTGATTCTCTGAGGTCACGTGTATTCACTGATCTTGCCAATTTCGGCCACCCTTGGCCTATTCCGGCCAAGATAAAGGAGGCCCTAAGGGGAGAACTTCTACGAAGTATGTCGTGACGTTCGAGGTAGAGGACATTCAACGAGATGATGAAAGATACGATGAGGAAGACGGAACGAGTAGTCCAACGTGAGAATCGGAAGTCTCGAAGCGATTTTCTTCGAGATATATTTACATAAGGCATATGTGATCCTTGTGCGTGAGAGTGACGGCCGTTATCAGCATGTCTCGATCCGCAGTGCTAACTAGTTCAAGTTAGTCAGTATGCATTCTATTGATTTTGTGCGAGTGCGTTCATCTACGGTGGAGGATTGGCGTTTGGAATTCTCTGATTGACTTGGACACAAGCTTGTGAGTCGTATGTTCTCTCTTCTCGCTCCTGATGTCTGATGTCTGAAACGAATTCCACGGCAGCCTGGCTGCCTTTCAGTATGCCCAGAAGAACTGCTCATGCACTGTTGACCCTAATCAATGTAGCAGGACGAGAACCGTCACCATCTCTAGATTATGCGGCTACGTCACATCAGATGTTTCAAGTGGGGCTGAAGAATGCCACATTATGTTCGTGACGCACTGATAGCTGACTCCACGGGCAGTGAATCCGTTCCAACCAAACCTTTTAGATGAGTAGCTCTGGCCCTGATATGTACAGTTCCCCGATGCAAGCGTTTCAATCTCCTTGTTGACAGTTCTTGATTGGGCGCCCTTGCAGGAGACGGTACACACATTCCAGTGTGGTACGTTCCAGGGTCGCCCCATCCCTTTGCGCTATCCTCAAGGCCCACTCTGCCTACTACAAAACCAGGAGCTGCCGCGCAGTCACTGTTGTTCTTTGCCTCGAATTGTTTTTCCTGCTTTGCTCCCGCTTCGCTTTCCAACCAACCTTCGTTTATCCAACAATCGTTCAACAATCAATCTCGCTCGAATATGCGGACTCTAGTGCGTCTCGCGCTACTGGCGCCTCTAGGCGTATTCTCTCCTGTCCAAGCTGGGCCGGTACTTCGCGCTGAACGGCTGGTCGCACGCGCTGCTGTGCCGCAAACCGATGCTGACCTAGGGATCTATCAACGCGGTCTTGCGTAAGTGACCTGTTCTCAGAAAGTACCCGAAGCTTGCTAAACAACGGACAGTGATGGTCCGGCAGGTGGTGGAGCAAACCTCCACAAAAGGCAGACAGCTCAGGTGCGTAAATTTTACTGATTTTGCGTGCTCTTGTGCTCGTTGCTCTGCATCTCTGCTTCATGTATTTAAATCCAAGGAAGATACGGTGGATTGTGAGGGGTAGGGACTGGGGGAAGGTGAGGGAAGCTCGGTTCGTGGTATTCAGCGGGATATTCTGGAATGTAATTGCTTTCCTGGTCCATTCGCAATGAGAGTCCTCTACTTTCCTTGTAACCCTGATAATGCCATGCAGGCATATGTCGTCTTCTTCCAACGATCCTTAGGATCCAGAGCATAGGTGTCGCGTTCTATCCCTTGAAGTACACAGTAATAGCCTGTTCGGAATGCTCTACAAAGGGTTATGTGTGATCACCATCCTCCCTTTAAGGCTGATAATGGAATAGCCATCTATCCGGAGATATGCGGTAATGGTCGGAGAGAAGAGCATGCCAGTCATACCTTCCGTCATCTCCTCACTTCTCCATGTGTTATCGTGAATTGAAGCATGTGGTCCCACACTCCTCTGCTTTAGCCATGTGTCGACGTCAAAGTAAACTTCTTGCACCGTTGAACGCCCAGGCCACCCTTCGCACGTGCACCCGCGCCCCCTCTAACCCCAGCTAAAGCTAACGCGTCTCTTATCCAGACTCCATCCATCACACGTCCACCATCATGCCTCTCTGAACCACGCAAATGGCCCCTTCCCGCCCTGCCACCACCTCCGCCTCCTCACACCCCACCTCGACCGCCGCGCGCAAGAAACCCACCACCGAACCCAACGTCAAAGAAGTCGTGTTCGGGAACCTACTCATAAAACCATGGTACCCGTCGTTCTATCCCGAAGAGCTTGTAGGCCGGACGGTGGAGAGGTTGTACGTGTGCCAATGGTGTTTTAAATACAGTCGAGAATTGATGGGGTTCCTGGGACATGTGCGGCTTTGTCCGCTTCGGACGACGGGGCCGCCGGGAGAGGAGATATATCGGAAGGGGGAGTACTCGTTGTATGAGATTGATGGGGAGGATTGTAAGGTATACATACGAGCGTCTCAGATGCCTCTGAATGCAATGCGCTGTCGAAGTCTGACTTCCCGCAGCTATACGCGCAGAACCTCTCCCTCTTCGCCAAACTCTTCCTCGACACCAAATCCGTCTTCTACGACGTAACAACCTTCCTCTACTACCTCCTCGTCGCGCACAACCCGGTCCCTTCAATTGACTCTTCCATCCCCGCATCTCAAACCCCGTCTTCAACCACCCCCTCTCACAGGCCTACGCACACCTCCCAAGTCATTGGCTTCTTCTCCAAGGAGAAAATGTCCTGGGACAACAACAACCTCGCCTGCATCCTCGTCTTCCCGCCCTGGCAAAAACACGGCCTAGGCCAAATCCTCATGGGTGCTAGCTACGAGATGTCGAAACGCGAAGGCCGCCTGGGCGGGCCCGAGAAACCCTTATCGGAACTTGGAGGGAAGGCATATAGCAAGTTTTGGGCGCAGACGCTGGCGAGAGTGGTGCTGGGCCTGGAAGAGGGGAGAGAGATCACGGTCAAGGAGTTGAGAGATGAGACGTTCATCGTTGTGGAGGATTTAGTGGCGACTTTGGTCGGGATGGGGGTGTTGGAGCTGGGAAAGGCGGGAGGGGAGGGCGGGAGGGCGAAAGCGGTGATCAACAAGGCCAAGGTGAGGGAGTGGGCGGAGAGACATAAGGTCGATCTGAGCAGTCCGGTGGACCCGGATGCATTTGTTAATGCAGACGAGACGGAACGGATGAGTGAGAGCGGGGAACATTGAAAGGCTAATCATGCTTATGAGAAAAAATGGGTCGCGAGATGTAGAGGCATGGCATTCATGTACGGGCTTGGATGTGGAGAGTTGATGAATAATGATACCCTGGGAGGCGTACACGGCGTTATTTTAAGGCTTCACTTGTATTCTTCGCTTGTTATGATGGTTCATTACATCTCTTGCATCGTCTCATTGGGGGTCGAAAATCGATATGGGGTATAGAAATAAATACTTTCCGTCCGAGGTGGTTGTTTGGGTATCTGAAATATGCCGCTTTCCCTTCCACCGTCCTCCCAATTCCCAGAGCATAAAAATCCCAACAAGATATGCAAAAGGAAAATCTCCCAGACGCCATAAGCCAAACAGAAGACAACCAGTCCCAGACTCATCTCTTAAGCCTCGACCTTCCTTCCCCTCCCCCTTTCCCCCTCCAAATATCCCACCACACTCCCCGCCCTCTCCAACCTCGCCCTCGTCTCCGCCAACCCCGTATCCAGGCTCCCCAACCCCCTAACCGCCCTCTCATACGTCCTCTCCACCTCCTCCCTCCTCTTCAACTCCACCGCATCCAACACCGCATTTCCCCCCTCCTGCTGCTGCACCATCGCCTTCTCTTCCGCCTCCTTAATCGCAGCATCCCATTTCTCCCCCTCTGCCAAAAACCTCTCCTGGAACGACGCGGCCGCCGCACGCCCCGTAGTCCGCCGATGCTGCGCAATCTTCGCAATCAGCAGATCCCGCCTCGCAATCGTTGCACGTAGCCTGTCGCGCAATTTTTGATCGAGATCTTCATACTCTTCCTCTGTCTCCCCAGGACTCCCCGTATCCATGTGATGTGCTCCGCCGAGCCCCGAGTCGGACACGTCCATGCCGTTGATCTGCACATTCATCCTCATGCCCCGGATCACCCTGTCTATGAAGATATGCATGTATTCTGCTGTTTTTGCTCTGAGCGGGTCTTCCGCCTCGGGGGCAGGATGGGTAGGTGCGCCGCTTGTGGAAGTGGTGGTGGTAGTGGTGGGTGCGACGGGAGGGAGGTGGAGGTCTAGTTTCCGCTGCGTGTGGGTGCGCAGGAGGGATTCGAGGTAGGAGAGGTCGGCGCGGGATTGGAGTTCGATTTTGCGGTGGATTGGAGTCGAGTCCATTATGGCTATGGAGTCTGTGGGATGAGGGTTTGTGAGGTGGTGGACTGCAGTAGTGCGTCGGGAATGATCGATGCGGCACTCTTTGTGGCGTTCAGTGTTTTAAGGTATATGCGCAGGCCCGAATACTTCAGATAATACTCCTCTGGAGGACTTATATTGTACAGATGGTGATCATGTGGTAGTACAACGCGGCACTGACATGACTTTGATGCTTCCGGTGACGGTTTGTTTAGATCCGCATGTGTTGTCGCCTAGAAACGGGTAAAGCGCACGAGGTCACGTGGAGATAAGTTTGTTATCGCTGACATTCACTTGGTTGAGAGCAGGATGAGATGAGGGCGTCAATTGAAGTGTGAGTACGGAGTAAATCAAGGCCAATTACTTATCTACTTCCCCCTCCAGAATGCTAACAGTGTTACAAGACATTTATGATTGGAGGGATACTCCAGAAGGCGCCTCTTTTGACGAACGCGGTCCTAGCGGTGTACACTCTAAGCCCGCTAAACGAATTTCTATGTTCCATGTCTAATATGCCTATTCTCAAACACTCTTCTCCTTACTATACTTCCATCTTTAGAGTGCATACCTAGACACGCAGTCAGACGCACTTTCCTCTTCCCTTGACTGATATCCTAGCACAACCCTCCCATCTCCCCATCCCCGCCCTCTCAACTCCCAAGGCACCCCCAGCACCCTCTCGGCCATCCTCCTTCCTCCTCCTCCTCCTTCTCTCCGTCCTCTGTATAATCTCCCTTTTGTTCCCCATCTACCCTCTCCTCTCCCATTCCCCCCTCCCCCTTCTCCCGTCCATCCGTCATCCCACCATCCCCCTCTTTCCCAACCCTATTCCCACCATCCCCCTCCCACGCCTCGCCCCAAACCCACCGACTGTCCTCGTCGGTAACGAAGATGTCGACGACAGGTGAGTCAGACTTGTGATAGAGGTAATCCGTATTGAAAGAGTGCATTGGCGACGCAGGGTCGATGTCGTCCTCGCGCCAGTCACTGTTTGCGTTGGCGTTGGAATGGTGGGGAGTAGATGAGGAGGCTACCGATGTCCCGGTGGCGGAAGAAGAGGGTAATTGCTGGCTGGAGGAGGGGGAGCGGGCTGGGAGGCGATGGCGGAGGTAGCTGGGGAGGAAGAGTGCTGCGGCAATGGGGTCAGTGTCTTGGTTTTGATCGATTGAGGTGACCGAGTGTCTCTCGAAAGTGGACAAGCTGAAAGTGTCGCGGGAATAAGCGGGATGGGGAGAAGTGAGCAGTGAGCTGGAGTAGCAATGCACGAAGCACTGAAGCAGTGATCAAATCGTTCTCAATCAACGACCTGGCCGCCCCATTTCCGCCGTCCGACTCCTGCCACGTCCGCAAACCCACAACGTCCACAGCTCGTCCATACCCGCCACATCGAACAGAAAACAACCAGCAGCCATGACACAGAAAAACAGCAAACGCACAAGCCAAACACACACAGCGCCAACCATCACATGCAGGAAACAAGGAGCAATCCCAACAGGAAAATCATGAGAAAAAGCTACCACTTACACGAATTCCACTCCCAGCCCTGCTCCTCCTTGATACACGAAATCTGTTTATCGTCGCCTCGGTCAGCACTTCTTCGCTTGCGATCTCCTCTTCGACAAGATCAGGAGCGAAAAGCGGGAAGAAGAGTGGACGTACCAGATGAGGGTGGCCGGGCTCTCCGACATCGACCGTCAGGTACTCGGCGTGTGCTATTTCGGGGGCTGTGGAAGCGGTGTTAGTGGGTTGGTTAGTTAGAGGATGGTGGCGTTTATGAGTGTACGCTGAGCAGCAACGAAGCAATGAAGCAGAATCTCAAAATGACTGACGACGTACGGGGAAATCAGGCAACCAAAGACAGCGAAGCGCCTTCCTCCCGTCCATTTCCCCATTTCCCCCGTCAAATACCAAATCTCTCGAAAGCGAGGACCCAGACGGAAAAGGGGGAAAAAGGAAGAGAGAAAGTACATACCCAACACGCTCCTCCAACCCACATCCAACCTCTCCACTTCCCCCTTCCTCCTTTCCCTCCTTTCCTCCATCTCCCACTTTTCCCCATCACCACCACCACGTGCACGCTTCCTCCTTCTCCTCACATCCCCCTTACCACGCTTCCTCCCCCCACCATCATCGATCCGCAAACCCCGAAGACGATCAGCAACAAGTGAATCGTGGCCGTGAGCCTTAATATCCATAACATCCCTCCTCCTCCAGTCCACCACCGGTCTTTTCCCTAGCGCTTTCTCCGACAGTGGCGGTGGACGCGGAGGAGGAGTTGCATAGCTGGAGTGGCGGTGGCCGGTCCCATTCACGCTGCTCTCGACCCGGGATGTCGATGCCGAGCCTGCTCCCGATGCCGAGGGTTGCGCGCATTCGTGTCCAGGCGCGGACGGGGAGGTGGTGGGTAGGGGACGGTAGAAGACGGTGATGGTCGAGCCGTCCGAGTCATCGTTGTTGCCGTCGTTCCTGTTGTCATTAGAATGGCAGCGGATGTGTCTGCACACAGGGCGAGGGAGAGGGTGCGTTGTATGTGATGAGGTTGATGAAGTTGCTGAAATTGAAACTGACGGCGAGGAAGAGGAAGAGGGATTGGGAGAGAAGGATGGCTTTGCGGACGACGCAAGGCTTGTGGATGAGGATGAGAACGAGGATGTCGTAGTGCTGAATGACGGGGTCGTGGATGAGCCAGACTGTCCCGAGATACGAACGGACGAGAAGCCTGCCCAGGACATGTTGATTATAGCTGGTGCTATTGTTGTCCTCGTCGTTGTTCTTCCCAGGACGCGATGCAGGCAGGTTGATACACGATGTATGCGCACTGAGATATGATGTCTGGAAACGCAGAACTACACTCCGCCTCATCTATCCCCCAGCCTCCCGGTCTCCTCAACACCTTCCCCGCTCGTCTCTCCAAATACCGCCATGGCCGACGACGATGACGACGTCGACAACGGGCGGTGGGTCGATCAAAGATAGTCTCTCGGGCCGGGACGATACAGCGATACAGTTTCTTATTAGAGTAGATCATACTCCCCACTGTACCTATCCACACCGTGTATTTGCCATATGCTATATGCTATATGCAGTAACCATGCAAGTACGGAACCTACCTACCTTTCCCACACACACACGCACACTCGCTCTTTTCTCTTCTTAACCAATAACCTCACCAGTGAGAAAAGACCAGTATCCCCCTTATATTCTACACCGTCACGGCAGTACACAAGTAAACGCACACACAGTGCACAATATCCCCTCATCAACCAACTCGAAATCCCCCCGGGTCCTCCATATCACATCACATCCGGACCGACTGACTGCCTGATGGGACGTCATTTTCATCCCTACCCCGCCGATGGCCATTCGGGATGCTTACTTAGTTGCGCACAGCATGTCTCGACGTACCGCTTAGGTACTTAGCGGTAGAGTTAGCGGTAGATAGGCTGTACTTACGTTCCTGTCTACTACTTCCTTTGGGAGAAATGGGCATCGCTGGCTTGGGAAAGAAAAAGGGAATCGCAAATACCATACTTGTATGGATACATGTGGTATGTGTTGACCTGGAGGCATGTGACACTCATATTTCACGAGCCACCCCCTCGCTACTTGCGTAACAAGGACGTGGTCAATACCATGTCAAGCACACCATCTTCACACGGCACAAACGACAGACAGAGGCAAACGTACTTGTAGAGCGAGCAAGAAGAAGACAAAGAAGAAGAACCGCCCGGCCATCAAGCCAGGCCCATTACCCATTCCGACTCTACATACTCTACTCGAGCACAACTACCCTCAATCTACGCCAACCAAACCATCACTCTCCACACCAGAACCCCTACCTCAACATCGTCCACGATCTCGCTCGTTCCCACTCCCGCAAACAGAAAAAAGTCCATAGTACCCATCGAAATTCCAATCCTATTATCATACATGGGATATCGTAGCAGCCACTGAAAGGGAGGGGAAAAAATAAAAATAAAAGAAAAACACAAACAAAACAAACAGCGAGCAATAAGCAAGCAGCAGCAACAGCCTCGAAGCCACACAGACAACCCCAGCAACGAACCACACCCCACCCCGCACCCCGACACAGCATCCCTCGGTACCCGCCGAAGGACCTGCCGTAGGGCGCCTGCTGCATGAGGTGAGGCAAGGGAAAGGTAATGCATATCCAACAAACAAGCATAGCCAACATATCCTCATCCTCATCCCTGACCATGGTCCTAACCCCTCTCGTCATCCATCTCTCTTAGCCCATTAACGACTTTCCGTAGTCATGTAAATATGTGTATTACAAGCGAGCGCATCGAAGGAGAAAGGCGACAAACCGGAAGGAAAGAAAGGGAAGGAAACAAAGCAAAACACAACAATGGGGGGTATTGTTGCGGCAAAGAAAATACATACCAAAAGCAGGCTAGGGAAAATAGATGAAGGAGGAAAAGTATTGAAGCGACTCTCATGGGTAGAGCGTCCTGTTCATTGTAACATTGACGTTTCGACCGCCCGCGGACCCACGGGTCATCACGAACGGTGTCGAGTTGTGCCGGATATCGTATCTTCTTAATGGTCCTCGTTCAAGCACGCTAATATGTGTCTCCTGGAGATGCTTAGGCGACCGGTGGGCTTCCTTGGAAGGGAATAGTTGATGGTATATCCCACGGCTCCAGACTCCAAGACCCTTCCTCAAGTGCTTGTGTCCGGAAGGTCAAGTGGAAGCTCCAATGATGTCGACAAGTATCTCCAAAGAAAGGGGGTATCAAATGTCCTCCCCCGACATCGACGCTCCTCGCTTACCACCCCTTCTTCCTCGCGAACCGCTTGTTGAGCAGAATCAGCACCTTCGACACATTGAACTGCACATACTCCAGATCCAGATCTTCCTGATTATCCTTCTGCATCTCGAGCAAATCATCCAACTTCAGATCCAGCTCCAGCAAACCGCGGTTGCGGCCCTTGTAATGGAGCGAGATGACGAATGTACCGGGCAGAGGACTCGTGAAGTTGAAGTAGATATTCGCTCTGCGGTTCTCGGGAACATTGCTCTTCTGGATGACACCTTCCTTCTCGAGCTGCTGATGCGTGAATTTGTAGGGACCGAGTACCTGGTGTTTCTGTTGCTTTCGCGTCTTGCCTTCGGACTGGCTGCGCACATTATGGAGGTATGACTTGTAAGTTTCGAGCTGGCCGACGAGGTAGGCGTTGTGATCGCGGATTGTTCGGAAAACTTCTTCGAGCTTCTTGGTCTCTTCGAGGACCTTTTCTTTCATGGAGCCCAAATGCACCAGCTCTTGCTCAACCTCGTCTCGAAGAAGAGCAAAGCCATCTTCCTTGTCGATGACGCCGGATTCTTGCAGTTGGCTCAACAGCTCCATACTCCTGATGCCCTTCTTGACCATGACTGAATCATTCTTGGTTGTGGCTGCGGCTTCGGCTATTCGATCCAGCCTCAGCGGCCTGCGTGTTATTGATGAGTTCGGAGGCAGAGACCGCAAGATCATGACGAATGTCGACTTGGCCTCCATGAAGTAGATGTCATCTTGTGTGATATCGAGAGCCGCATTGAGATCATCCAATGGTGTCTCCCACTTGCTGAACAGGGGAAGGTTGATCGCGCGATTCTCCTTGCGTGGCAGCTGAGCTGGTGCAGGTCCGAGCTCTTGAAGAAGTACGGCCAGATGAGAGCCTTCATCCTTTGCCTGCATGGGATTAGCATCTTTGTGGGCATGGCGCAGCGACAGGAAGCACTCACAAGCTCAGCGGCATGCTTGTCCAAGAGCGCATGCGTGGCATAGACCTCGTTCAGGGTGATGGAAAGCTCGAGGTCCTTCTTAGACAGCGCAACATAGTTGTCCAATTCCAGGCTCTCGTAGAAATCACCAACCTCGCACAGATCGAGAAGGAACTTATTCATGCGATCCTTGTTCTGATGGATGAAGGGCTGCAGCTTCGCCATGTACGGCTCCTTCGCGTACGAAGGTTTGTTGGCCAGATTCTGGAGCATCTTAGCAATGTAGGTGAGCGTGCGCTTCGGATTCTCTGCTGGCGTTGCGTCGATGAGCATGTACGACCTCGGGGTGACGATGGCAGGATTGATGAATCGAAGGAAGAAGAAGCCTCCGATCAGAGTGCATATAGTCTGGTCCTGTGCGTCTGGGTACTTCCTTCTTGACAAACTTCGAATCTGCTTGCATATCCATCGGATACCGTAGGGCGTTTCTTCCAGACCGTTGATGATGGTTGTCAGAAAGTTGTTTGCGATTTCCGAGAGCATGGTCAGCCGCGGTGCGATTATCTGCTGCACCGTCTCGTTCTCGGCCGCCTGTTCTGCGGTAACTCCCTTGGGAAGATCGGGCGGAAGGCAGCCCTCCTTTTCCTCGATCTCGCTGACCATCTTCTCGTATACCTTCAGAGGGTTGATCTCCAGATCCAAGTCTTTCAGTTCGATCAACGAGTTGATGCTGTCGGCCAAGACGACCCGCAGGTAGCTCTGACCCGGACCTCTGCGGGTGTATGTGGTCATCATGCGCGACACGGGGGTATTGGCGCGCAGTAGCGAGCTATAGTCAGGGGTGTGATCGAATTGATATGTCAGGACAGACTAGATTGCTTCAGCAATGAATCAAAAACATGCGAAACAAACATACCTGAAACATGGTCAGTAGCAGATGTTCCTCACGGCTCTCATACTGGTTTCCGTAGATTGTGAACATGACGGTCTGCAACAAGGCATCGATCTCGGCCATGGAGACGAGGCGACACAGGTGTGCAATGTGTTTTGGCTCCGACTGCAGGAGGAAGAGCAGATTTCCGTATTTTTGTGTCTTCTCGTCGTTGGGGAAGAAGCCCTCCTGCAGCTCGGTGGATTCGTCTAGGTGGTTCGCAACCTCATTTTGCTATGGTTTTCCGTCAATCGTGGCTTCCATGGCGCACATGAGTGTGATGCATACCTCTTCCAAAGCCATGCGATTCTGAATGAGCAACGCTATGCGCGAGTCCAGATAGCGCACGTCCTTTTCCAAGACGAAGTTCTTTTTCGACTGTGACGATATTTTGGCTTTCAATTCGCGCAAAGCCTTTTGTGCTAGGAAACGGTCAGCATACAAAGATTTGCTGGTCGGGCGCTTCCAACTCTACCTCTTGCCAGGTCATCCTCGATTTCCAGCTCCTTGTCCTTTGCGGACATGGACAGGTACAGGGCGGTGACCGAGTAACGCTTCGACTGGCGCACCGAGCGGGAGCCATCGTGAGAGGACATGGTGTTCTGGCGAGAAACGGGAACGAAGGACGAGGACGACGACGTGGAAGCCCGCGAGGGAGCATGCAGCATGGAGACGGCCATGCCGGCGAAGCCACAAGGAAGCGTGCGTTGGCGGAAGTCGAACCTGCTGGGGCAGCAAGAAGGAAGTTGTACAGTGTGAGGGCGGAGGAATGTGTCGTCGCACGAGGCTGGCCGGGGTGATTGGTGGGCGAGCGACAAAGAAGATTAGGATTCAGGTACGCTGTGTAACGCGAGGAGCGGAACAGGCCCGCAGCCCGTGGCAGCGGTGCTCTGTGTCTTGTTTCGAGGAAATTCAAGGTGTGAGAGGGGTGGTGTTTGTGCGCGTCGAGAACAGTGCCTTGGGTGGATGGATCCCTCAGCTAAATTGCACCAGGGGGCGGAGGGCCCGCGGGGTTGGGAGATGTCGTGGACGTCTGTCGGGCGGCGCAGAGAATTGGTAGACTGACGGCGAGGCTGGATGGCGCAATGTGGTGGGAGCGGAGAGAGGGCGGTCGCGGGTGCTCAGGCTGCGACGGGCCGTAACATTCCAACAGCAGCACAATGCGGCTCGTGCCAGGGGCGCTCGAATCGAGGGCGGGAGCGGGAGCGGGAGCTGGGGCGGGCGTGGGTGATGGCGAATGAAGAAATGAGCGTATGAGAGTGGTGGAAGTGAGAGAGAGAGAAGAGAGAGCGAGAGAGAAGGAGGATGGTTGGGCGGAAGTGGAGGAGGGCTGGGAGGGGGGGAGTGGTGTTTCAGGGCGGGTGGAGGAGAGCAGAGAGGAGAGAGCAGGGGGCGCTAGGCTAGCGACTTGTTGCCCAGATGCACAGGAAGGTGCAGCGCCAGGGGAAAGCGGGGGGGAGGAGAAAGACCAAGGAGCAGGTACACCAGCAGATGGAACCAGGGGCACCACACCCACCCCTTTACAATTATGTATTGAGAAATCGCTCCCAATACTCGGTCCATTTTCCGCTAGTAGTAGGAGGGAGTACACAGTAGTTGCCGAACTCCGTCGTCTCTCGCTGATATTGATCATCTACCGTGCTGTAGGTAATGTTACACAGCACAGACGCCCGCACGAGCACCAACGACGTAACCATATACACTCTACTGTGTACAAGTACAGTAATACTCCAACATATCTACCGACTGTCTGCATCCAGGGCGCAGAAGTGGTCGACGTCCGTTGCTAATAAACCGTCTCGCCGATGATCAGAGACCGTAGACATTCCCCCATGGATGGATGCATCGATATTCCCAAACCAGTCTAGTGCAGAAGCTGAAACACTGAAACCATGTCCAAAAGGGGCCAAGGGCCGCCCGCTCGTGGCTCGCCACCCCGTCCACGAGCAGTGTTTGTTCATTGTCCGTCGAGCTTGCTGCGAGGACTTTTACACAGTACCGGTACATATTATTATCGCTGTGCGAGAAGAGCTCCTTTCCCCTTCACACAGTACTTTCCCGTGTCCGCTGCAAAAGTACCCAGTAGGTACAGATTGGCATCATTTTATACATGACTTCAATCATTGCCGTTTGGACACGGAATAAGCCGCTCAGTCTGGCTATCACCACAAGAGTGTATGGCATGACGTTGCCTCTAACTATTGGAGTATAATGACACGGAGTTGCCTCTATCCTGAGCCGCGCACGCTGCCTATCATCATATCGTGCCCGTTTCCCTTTGCCCTTCAAAAAGCATACTGTGTACAGAGAGAATTTAGACCTGTCCTGAACGCCAAACTGTGGTACAATATCATACCATCCTCAAAGAATCCCAACGGTGGAATTGTCACGCATACCGAGTGATTTCGTCCTTTTCCGTCCGTCCCACGCCCATCCATCATCGCATCACCAGAGAAAACAGCCCTGTTCAAAGACCTCGACGCCCTCCCCCGCGAGTCAGGCCGTCACCCCCGCAAGCAACGCCATGAACCCAAAATAGCTGCACCCTCGCATTAGCCCACGCACGTCACCAGCACACTCACAAACACGTGCAGATAAGGTACCTGGACTACCTAGGTACAACACGGGAGGGAGGGGAGCACTTACATGGACGCACAGACGAACCATTCCCGAACCGTCATCAGCCCCATCAACTCGCTCGACGTCACCACAAACACCTCTGCCGCCCCGATGACCGTGAGGATGAACAGCCGTGCCAGTAATCCAGGCACAATCGCGAACGCCATGAGCGGGAACACCGCAATCAGAGGGAGCCCCACCGCTGCCCGTTGGTGGGGGCTGACACCTCCTCCCCCTCCAGTACCGCTCGCCGACCCATGTGGCCGACTTATTGCGACCAAGTCGTCTTTGCACTCGAGGAAGCGCGCCTCGTTGGAGTCAATGGGACAGTGTCTCTGGAGCCATGTGCGGTACGTCTGGATATCGGCGGGGCTGGCTGTGTCCAGGTTCTTCAGCATGCTGCTGAATGACGACAAGGCTTGATCTGCCATCTGCGCATCAGTCTCTGACCATCTGAGATTCTGGGAATGGATCGCTCCCTACTGTACTGTCCCAGCTTCAAGTAGATTCGACCCAGCAGCTCAGTCCTCTTGTACTGCAGCTCTCCCCCATATCGAGCATCCCCCCTCCGCGACGCTGGATACACCTGACCCGCCTCGTTCCGCGGCAGGCACTGAGCAATGCACTCATCCGTACACCTCAGCTCCTCCTCCAGCTCGGCTATCTCATCCTGCAGATGAAGCAGGACCCTGTGGTTCAGTTGCTCGAACTTGCGGTACATGGGAACAATCCTGTCATGCTCTTGCGCCGCACTGGCATCGCTCTTTGCAACTCCCGTCAGCTTGTCAGCGAGCAGCTCGTAGCCCACGACCGTCGTCCTCGCCAAATCCGGTCCTGCTGGCTGCGGTGCGTAGTACTGTGGGTGATGTGCCAAGGGCTGGGCGTTGAATGGGGCGGGTTGGAGCATATCATTGGGCGCCGCTCTGGGGGGTTGCGCCGTCGTCGAATAGCTGTTCTCAGCGGCATAGGATGCAGGCGCTATGTAGCTGGAGGAGTAATAACTTGTAGGCGGCGGTGGTGCATGCCCCGCCCAGGCAGGTGCATGAGGGGCTTGCGCGTGATAGCCCATGGGCGAACCTGCTGAAGGCGGGGAATGCATGCCATACAATGGCAGTGCAAGCGTATTGGGCGAGAAGCCTCCTTCGAAACGGATGTCTCTCTGTGGCTGCGGTTGCAGAACATGATCTCTAAGTTCTCGCTCCTGATCTCGAAGACGTCTCAGGTGTGGGTCGCTATGTGTGGAAGCCGACGATGCGGAAGGCATACGAGGAGGCGCATCTCGATGTAGCATCAGGTCTTGTCCTGGATGTTGAGGAGGCACTGCGTAGTTAACGTAGGGGGGCACTCCGTGCTCACTGTGATCCTCATCATCACTGTCACTTTCTTCCTCCTCGTCGCCCTCTTCTTCGTGGTCAGCATGGTGCGGTGGAGCGTACTCATGAGCATGAGGAGCGGGCTGAGGGATGTCACGACGATGTCGGCGAAAGGACACACCGGAGTCACTGCGGAACCCATCCGGACCGTGCGACGCAGGACCATCTGGCCTCTTGTGTGCATCTGAAACTGGGCCACCTGGCGTGGGCTTTTGTGCAGCTGTGAAGTTCGTAGTGGGATTATCATTCTCCTCTTCCTCGTCCGAAACCTCTCCATCATCTTCGTCTTCGCTACCGGAGCTTTGGACGGGAGACATAGGCGTAGGACCGGTCTCAGGTTCAATTGGTTCCAGCTCTCCGTCCATATATTGAAACACGTCGGGTGCCTGCGACTCCATAGCGGTCTGTTTTCGTATCGACTTCTGGTTCTGTAATCGTTTTCTATCCTGCACCGGCCTGCGTTTAGAGATATGGCCCTTGTCGTAAGACTTCTGGGTTACTGTTGAATTGCTTCCACTTGATGCGTGAGAATGCTGAGTCAATGAAGAGAGTACCGAGACGAGTGACGAGTTCGGGAGATTAGCTAGGCTCTCAGCTCGCTGCTGTAGCGAAGGTTGAGTCCGTCTCCTCGATCGATGCCCTATCGTCCCATCTTTGACCGGACGACGTTGTCTGGAAGACGTAGATCGATCTGATGTACTGACAACCGAGCTTCTTGAGCTTCTGACACTCTTGCTTTCTCTTCCTTCCAGTATACGGCTGAGCTTAGGCAAGAAGCCAATAGTATCCCCTTCTTTATCTGTTCCTCCGCCTTCGGATGGAGGCTTCGAGGACGAGGAATAGTTTGGGGTTTCGGCCCCTGATGGCTTCCGTAACGTGTTGTTGCGACTACGCTTGGCCTTCTGGGCTACCTTCCCATTCGTGTCTACCCACTGAGGGGAAGTGGAACGAGGGGACGCATCGGGATCTGACTTGCCCCGCAATGGACGACGTCGAGGACCAGACAGGCGAGACGAGACAGCAGATCCGGAGGCCACAGCCTCAGGAGAGTCCTGGGAGTCCTCGACCAACTCCTCAGACAGCGACAATAGTGTACGGCTTTGAAGCCCTTCTGGAGACACTTGTGGGTCTGTCTGAAGGATGGTACAATGGATTAGCCTCGCGAGCGCAGAGGGAGGAGGTCAATGGGGTCTATATTGCTTTTCCCACGCACCATGCTAGTGTGGTCTCGCTAGACAAATTAGCAATGCAGCAGCCGCGGTTTGCGTCAATGGATTTGGAACTGACGCCGTGGGCTACGGCGGGGGGATTTGGTGAGAGCCGCAGGGGATGGCTGATTTTCGAGGGTGACGCAGAGTGCGAAAGCTTGCATGCTGGAGGCGCTGAAGAGCATACGTTGTGCAACGGGAGAGGCCTACGGAAGGGCAACGAAAGCATCTGAAGCAAGGTGCGAGCGGCTCAAGCGGTTTACAGGTGTCACATGGGGAGGGCTGGGCCCACGGAACCCCGGAAACGGGTGTGAGCTGGGATGGTGCGGGAAGAGAGCGACGATTCAGATTCGTGGGGGGAAGAGAAGAATCTACCGGAACGAGCAGGATGCTGGCGAGGTGTTGCCCCGCGATGCAGCTGGGGCGGCCAGTAGTGTGAGTGATGGGAGTCCATGAAGGATGCTGCGACGTGAAAAGAGGTGCCAAGGTGTGAGTTGGGCGCGGAATCGGGCAAGCGAGCGAGCCAATGAATAAATCTATGGATGCTTGTAGATGAAGCAGGACGAGGCTCCCTGCTGGGGAGCGATCCAAACCTGAGGTCCGCCTACTCTGAACTCTCAGTGTGAGTGCAAGCATCATTGAGGTTTAGTTCAGGATATTGAGTCATTGTATCTCGAGGGATGTTTAGCATACTGGAGGTCAATGGAAGTAAAGGATCGGGGTGACGGAACTCGAGCCCAACATCAACCTTGGAGATTCTTAGGTGTAACACAACCTTAAAACCTTCGAGAAGGCTGGCCACGTGTGCTGCCGCTAGCTGTTTTCGAAAACTCCTGCATCCATCTGATGGATGGCACACGGGCATGCGGATGAGCGCATTCCCAACGTGCGGGCGCCTCCAGGGCGTTGGTGCGGGATGCCATTGAGTTGGCGGACAGCAACAGATGTAGCGCATAGCCCAGGACGGGGGGATTATAGGGAAATCTCACAAGGATCAATCGTGTTTCAAGTATACCTGTACGAAGCCAACAGACACCGTAACCTATAGAAGGGTATCTCCAAGCGCACACCTCACCAGGCTAACGCCAGTCCTGACTGTCTCGCTCGCGCCGTGCTCCTCCAGGCTGGGATTGACTTCGACCAGATCCACGGCAACCAGCGACCCGGTCTCGGCGAGACACTCGCAGATGAAGTCACCCTCACGCAGTGTCAGGCCGCCGCGCACAGGAGTTCCCGTGCTGGGCGCCCACAGAGGGTCCAGGGCGTCGACGTCAAACGACAGATGGATAGGTGTGTCACTACCAATCCAGCCGACGGCCATGTCCATGACTTTGCCGATGCCATGTCTGTTGACAGAATTAGCTGCCATGAAGAGAGGACCGTACAACCGTATGCTTACCTGTCGATATCGTGCATCGTGAACACCTTGATACCAAGCTCTCTCAGAATCTTCTTCTCGCCCTTGTCAATGTCCCGCAGGCCAATGTACACCAGTTTCTTCGGGCTGAGCAAATGATGCTCCTTCAACCACCCAAACGTTTCCTCGTGCTCATCCTTGGCCAGCCCTGTTAGGAATGACACCGGCATACCATGAATATTCCCACTCTCCGAGGACTCAGGCGTGTTGATATCCGCATGGGCATCCACCCAGATAACCGCCAGCTCCCTCCCCAGTCTCTCCCTCACCGCCCTCGCCGACCCGGAAATCGTCCCGATAGCAATGGAATGGTCCCCACCCAGCGTCAACACCAACTTCCCCTGCATGCTATACTTGTACACCTGCTCGCTGACCTCGCGCGTCACGGCGCTGCAGAACTTGGGCCTCTTCATGCCCCGGTAGTCCGGGTCGTCTTCGGGCAGCATCTCGGAGAAGTTGTGCACCTCGCCGTCGTAGCTGACGTTGTACTCGAGGTCCTCTCGCAGTTGCTGGATCAGGCCGGCCTGGATGAGAGCCATGGGCGCAGCGTCGACGCCCGGTTTGGGCTGCCCACCGCTGAAGCCGACGGCTACAACGCCGAGTTCATTGTGGGTGGGAAGGAACTTCGGCTGTTTCGAAGGAGCGTGCGTCATTTTGAGCGAAGTAAGGGAAATGTGCCGTGCCCAAGGGTTGCAGATGAGACAGAACTGGATATTTTCTTGCTAGATGGCCGCGATTAGCCGATGCGCGCAGATTGTAGTCGCAGAACCGTAGTACTCACGAATAGGAAAGAAATGACTGAGAAGCAACAGCTGGCTGGCTCTGATTCAACCCTGCGAAGTTACGCCTTTACTTCAACGGCCTGCAGCCACCCAATTCGCGGCTATATCTCGTATACGGACTTCGTGTGCAGCCAAAAACGTGCAAGATCAGTCAAAGGCCGGAGGTCAAAGTGGATGAAACTGGGCAGAGGGAAAAAGGAGGCCAGCTTGTCGCCTTTTGTAGGCGCCGCACAGCCGCCATAGTCTTAGGTAATTTCGGCATCCGAGGGTGCGCGAAGACTTCTTTCGCGGGTGCAACTGTACTTAGGGGAAGGGAAGCGGTCCCATGGTGTTGCGATTTCCCCTAAGTACAGGATTTCGCGAGCGCGTTCCTACAGAGACCCCACTCCCTTCCAAGATTGGCAAGGCGCAGGCCGGCTTTCGGACTTTCAGCTTTCATCCCGTCTCTTATCAGATCTCCGCTCCTAGCCGCGCCAAGCTCCCGACATCACCTGGGCAATTCTCAACACCCGCATCTACACCTTGTTTCCCCCGTTCTTACAATTATAACGCCTGCCTCACAATGTCCATCATTCAAGCCATCCGCATCGTAACCCCCAAATCCAGCAAATCTCGAACCACAACCCTCGTCCACCTATTCTGCCACGTCAAGCCCGGCGTGAGTGCGCACCGCGAAGGCATCTCCGCTGTGACAGATTCCCACATCGAAGTCTGTGTCGCAGCATAGGCTCGAGACGGCGAGGCCAACAAGGCGGTACGAGAAGTCGTCGCCGAGGCCCTCAAGGTGCCAAAGTCGGATGTGCACATCGCGAAAGGGATGAAGAGCCGGGAGAAAACCGTGGAAGTTGTCATCACCGATCATGATAACAAAGAGACCAAGAGCCAGGAAGAAGAGATTCAGCGGATAAAGAACCTTTTATTATTACTGACGAAGGAGTGAATTATTCGTACCGTGTTGCGTTCGATATTATGCATTATATGACCTCGTAGGCTGGACTGTTAATCACGACGACCATCTCTCCTTCTCACAGAGCACGAGCTCTCAACTCCAGATATCTAATCATACCGCATTTAAGTATACTGCCAAGCACCAACATCGGTCGTATTTACTAGTCCATTGTCAGTTCCCCATTCTACACTCGGTTCACTGCAGAAGCACTCAATAACTCACCAGTGACGGCATTAAACCCAAGACAAGCAGGATCAAACTGAACCCCAGCAATGTTTCCGAAAACCTGCCACCCCTTTTCATCCTCCCCCGTCGGACAAGCAATCAATCCATCTCTGAAGATCAGGTGGCCGAACGACTCACTCTCGGTGCGAGACCAGCCGTCGAGAATCGAGCCATCGGGGATGTACGCCGAGTGCGCTTGCGTGTAGCTCAGGGAGCCATCGGGTGCGACGTAAACTGTAGTAACGATTAGCCTCCATCTGCCAACTACTACATTTTGTTGAAGAACAATATGGCACATCACATACCCTGCTGGCCGCCAGGCACCATAACCGCCAAACTCAGATAATCATATCCACCCGCCAGCACCGTAGTATCCCCCTTCGGACACGCGTCCCCGACGACGTCCGGGCAGTAGGTCGAGGGGGGCCCTCCATTGAGGTAGAACTTCTGGCCCCGTGCGGTGAGAGGGAGGAAATGGATCGGGGAGGCGCTGCGCGTGGACATGACGCGGAAGTAGGATTGCGCTGTGGCGCTGGCAAGGAGCGCGCTGAGGACGGCGAGGGTGTACATTGTTAGCTGAGTGATTGATCTGTATGTGTGTATGTTGGATGTGGATGTAGACAGAGGGATAAGCGAGCGTGTGAACCGAAGTGTTCTTATTGCTTGTGGGGTGTGAAACGATTGGAGGTGTGGACGTTGTGATGCAATCTCTCGAGCAAGCGTCGACGCCGTCTTTTATACATCCCTTCCTATTGCCCAACTGCCGGTAACTTGGTCTACGTAGTACGCAGAGCCATCGGTCTCTATCCAAAAATATTTCCGTCGGCGCATCACTCTGGAAACAGGCTCTCGCCTCCATCCTGGACCCACTGACCTGCGTCACTGCAACGGTCCCGCATCCGCTTCAGCTTCTACCCCGCGCGCATCGCACCTGATCAAGCATCGAGGTCCGGGAGTGGTGGTCCCGTTATGGAGTGGCGTCATAACCGTCGCACCGCGCATGCAGGGATCAGTACAGTATGTACACACTATTGGGGAAATGGAGCTGACTGTGCGAGCCGAGGAGCTGTCAAGCCGCGTACTGGTAAAGAGAGTACTGGGTGAGTAGAGCGGAGTAGAAGCGGTGAGTATCGAAAGTGGCTGAGGCTACGGCAAGGGTATTTGGCAATGGCAGACCACACTGGTGATGTTGCATCGCGTAGCTGGGGATTTTGTGTGATGCGGATTACACATCACATCGTTCACTTTACTACATGGTACGTTGTACTGTTGATTACTCTGTATTCCATGTACACAGTACCTAGGTATACGACGGTGCGAAGCGCACAGCTGAACGCTAGCCCGGACGTTGCCAATACTGTCATTTACCGCAGCCGAGCAGGGAGATCGGCGCCCGCGATGGGACAAGGTTGCAGATGGGATGGATGGTCAACGTGCATGCAGGTGTCACGAGATGGGTAGGTCTAGCAAGGCGTCGGTTTGGTAAGCGGCGTGCAGGAGGGGTACTCCGTACTGTTATCAATAGAAGACTGTGGATCTGACTCTACAATCTTTCTGATGAAGATGATTCTCGGAGGACAGGAGAGGGGAAGAAGAATCAAGTCCGGTCGAACTCGCGAATCCACAGAGAAGGAATCAATCGTACTGTTACAAGCGGATGAAATCAAGTTGTGGTACGGGAGTACCTGTATCATTTGCAGAGGGATCCCGTGTGCTTCGCCATTTCCTCACCGACCACACAGTACATCCGCAAAAGGCGAACAAACCGAAAAGCGAAAGACATACCCAAACCAAGGCTTTCTCTTCCCAGAAACTCCTTCCTCACCCTCACGGCATCGCCGTAGTCATCGATGGAGCGCTACCAGCATCGTCACGCTAACCAACGGCCACACCTTAACCTTAAATCTGCCTGCTATTTATAGACATCCCGCTACTGATCCGCTACTGCAGGGCTGGAGCTCTCCACCAATTTGCGGGTAGCTTTATCACAGTGACCTTGCAAATAACACAGCATCGTGTTTAACGAGAGAGGCGGTCAACGGTCCCTGAATTACACAATCATTCCAAAGCGCTTGGAAGAATGTCAGGTGAGCTATCGTGGGCTTAGCCGTCTCACGAGATGAGGGCGTTCAGGTTCCGGGACGATGGACGCAGCGGCTAGGTGCTGCAGAAGGGACGTTAGAGGCGCCAATGCAAAGAGACTCTACTTGTTTGCCTTGCGTGTGTGACTGTGAGAAGTCGGCCTACAAGTCGAGCGGACGGTTGTGCGAACTGGATGCTGAACAATTTCAAAATGTGTAATATCCGCAAATGAGGTATGTATATCCCGTTCTGCCGCCACCGCCCCGAATTGGCAAACGAGAAGATGTGTACAAGCTCGATTTGGTACCCAGAGGCGTAGAGCGAACTAGATCAATTCGGAGCAATTCTAATGCAGACTGTCGTGTTCAGGGTCAGTAAGCAAGACGGATATATTGACGTAGACGCCACATCCAAATTTGAGTGCGACTCATGCTGAGCAATCGCTTCCGCCGACCGCAACCCGCTGTCCACGACGTATACAACCAGGTCGCCCCTGCTGAGCCAAAATTGACTGTCGTGACGTCTATTCCACTGGCGCAAGTCATAAGAAATACTACATCCACCTGCAAGCAATCAAATTAGCATATACGCCTTTGAGCCACTGGACCCAGAGTGCAACGAGAACGACAACGACGACAGAGAGAAAACAACTTACAAGCAAAGCTTCCCACTCGCCGTACCCGCCGCCACCCAATCCTGCGTAGGATGGAATTTGGCGACGGCAGGCACGGCAGTGATGCCTTCGCCTCCTAGCTGCGCCAATTGCTGGCCTTTGCCAGTGTAGATGTCGACGAAGCGGTTCATGTTGCCGATGCAGAAGCGTTGCACGCCATCTTGGGGGAATTGCTGCCATTGGGGGCGTAATCTGGAGATTTTCTGTTAATGCACAGCTTCTCTAATACCGCTAACATCCATGACGTTGCGAGATCACGCGAGCATTCACTTGGAAGGAGACTCACATAGTTACCCATCGCCCCGTCTGATTATTATGCGGTATTACCGTCGCTGGCTTCATCTCCTTTTCCGTCAACGTCGTCCCCACCTTCCACTCGGCGCTCCTGCTAAAATCATGAATCTTGATTGTATCGTCATACGACGAGGTAGCCACCTGTCCAGACGAATTCCAAGCAGCGTGCGACACAGACAACCTGCTCTCGTGCTCTCCAATCAGGGCCGGGAGACGCGAATGACCCTTTCCGCTGATCTTGCGCAAATCCCATAACTTGAGGGTGCGGTCGAGGGAGGCGGTGGCTACGAGATGAGGGTGTAGAGGATGAAGACTAAAGCCGCCGATTTTCTTTTCGGAGAGGTTGAAGATTTGGAGGCCCGCGGCTTGCTCGGAGGGCGTGCGCATGTCGTAGATTCCAAAGCGGCCGTCTAGAGTGGAGAAATAGAGCGTGTTGGCGTTGTCGGCGGCAATCTCGATGCCAGAGAGTGGTGCATCTTCGTTCTTGTCGGCGGGTGCGTACACTTCCACCGCAACGCCTTTTGCTAAATCTAGTTTTCTTACCGATGAGTCGTAAGACGCAGAGAACATGGCGTTCGCATCGTGCGGACTGAAGAGAAATGTATGTATCGTTCGCGTATGAGGCTTCAGCGTGGTTATACTAGGGCCTTCAGGGTCGGAATCCTCATCGTCTTCGACCTTGACTTCTGCTGCTTTCTGTCCGCAGTCGCATATACCGAGATTTCCTAGTTTATCGCCGGCGAATACAAGCGGTTTATCCATAGTGGGATGCAGTCCAATTGCATACTGTTCGGATTAGAATGGCGGCCTCCAGCATAGGAATCAAGAGACCACGTACAATGCGCTCGGGAGTAAGCTTGATTTCATTAGGTTCAAAATCCTCCCACAGCTGCAATCCAGTCATCTTCTCTCTCAATGCCCTCAATTCCTTGTTCGTCGTCTCCTTGACATCCTTGGCCGTGAACGTCCTCTCATACGGCTTCGCCGGCCCCACGCTGGAGAAGAAATTGCCATTCACATCCCACCCCTTTCCGGCAACAACAATGTCTCCAAAATTGAAAGCATCACTGACGCGCTGTCTCTTCGCCTGTTCAGCTCGTCTCCGGTCCTCCAACTCCTCTTCGGCTTTTCGCTTCGCCTTCTCGCTGTCCGCCTCAATGCCTCGTAGACGCGAAGATGTGCGCCGCGGAACTAGATCCTCCTTTATCTTTGGCTTCGGTGCCTGCTTCTTCGATTTGGGCTTGGAGGTTGCGGTAGCGGTTGGCCGGGACGTAGGTGCAAGACCAGCTTCGGCGGCTTCCATTTCCAAGTTGCGTAGGAGCGCCTGCGTCTTCGCGATGTTCTCTTGTCTCTTCCGCTCATATTCGCTGATTTCTGCCTTTTGTCGGGCCATCTTGGGTTCGTCTTCGGGGTGGAATGCAGGTGGAAAATCGCGATAATCTGGATCGGCGTGGCGGCACTTTGAGAAAACACAGGATTGTATGTTGGTAAAAGCGAAAAGCGTATGCAAGTGCTTTCACAACAGAGCGGTACAAATGGATGGTATGGTCAAAGCCTGGTCAACAGAAATAGGAATGTGCGGTGAGTGAACAAGATGGAGGCGACGGCGTTCACCTTTCCCGGACCGCGACGCGTCGGTTTCGACTTGTCCGTCAAGGTCGCGTCCCGTAGTCACGTGCATCTCAGGTTACTGCCAAACCCCAAAAATGAAATATTCATCAGCCCTGCAGCAGTAGTTCTCCGGTCGACACCTCTCAATAATCGGAAAGATGATATATGTATCAAAAAGGCGTATTCTTGTGTGTTTCTGCGGAGCCGTGGACCCTGATCGACATGGTGGTTGGAGTGGCTTGGCGAATGCGAAAGTCGTCGTAGCCAGCTCCCATCTCAACATCACCCGCCCATATCATGTCGAGATTATCGAATTTCTCTTCGAGATCGTGGCGCCTGGCCTCCAGACGACAACCTCTGTGGAAACAGAGGTCTGCCTACCATTCCTACGAGCACCCGGAATCGCCACCCTTCCCGCCCGCAGAATCGGCAATCCTCTCCGCTTCGCTATCACATGTCCCGGATCATGGCTTCACATCAACTGCGCTCAAGCTAGGTGCGCGGGACGCAGGCTACCCCGATGTATCTACCAATCTACTACCTCGAGGGGTATATGATTTGGTCAATTACCATCTCGTCACGCAGCGGCTAGCTTTGCGAGACGCACTACAGTTTCCTTCGGACGCCGAGAATGGAAAGCCCATAGGCGTCGGGTCAAAGGTTAGGGCGCTGACTCTGGCGCGCCTCCGAGCGAATGCACCTATTGTGCACCGCTGGCAAGAGGTATGCTTGGCGCAATATAGGCATATAACTTGTGGGATCCCGCAACTCACCAGCTCCAGGCTCTCGCTATCATGGCACAACCCGGCTACGTGCCCGCATCACTCGCCGAACTCGCACGCCTAGCAGACGAGATCTGGTTCCTTGCAGGCGACACAAGCGTTGACATGAGCTGGTACACCAAACGAGCGACGTTGTCAGCTGTCTACTCGGCTAGCGAAGTGTTCATGACACAGGACACGTCGGCGGACTTTGTGGATACGGAAAGATTCCTCGACGCACGTTTAGCCGATTTAACAAAGGTTGGAGGTTTGATTGGGGCGCTAGGGGAATGGGTTGGTTACACTGGACATTCGGTGGTGAATGTGCTTAGGAGTAAGGGAGTGCGTATCTGAGGCAGGTGTGGGGAGCTCCCCAGTCAATAGTGTATATCGGCGTACTCTGGACGGTGAGTATCAGACGAATTGCAATCTGGCTAAATGTGCAATAGTCCTTCTGTATCCAGTGATAGCATAATTGGGCCATGGCACGGTTGCTACATGCATGTCAGTACTGTACATACATTTTCGAGCGGATACCCACACAGTACCATCCCCCTTCCTCTAGTTCTGGGTCCAGAAGCCGGCATGCACAGTACCACAGTACTGTATCCATACTTTAGTGTACCTATAGTAAGGAGCAGAGACAGCGTGGACATGACGGCGGAAGTCGCAACGCAGGGCAGGTGACGTGACGTCACAGGACAAGAAGGCGACGCTCCGTAAAGAATTGTGCGATGGTCAGGTCCACTTTGGGTGTCCCAACAAGCCAGTCCTTTGCTTCCCTCAAAGGATGCAATCCAATCAGGTCCCCCAAAGGGTCACTGCGAAGATGGGTTTCATTGTGTTTGTTAGCGGCGCGCGTTATTGGTCGGTGTTGCCCTCCCCGAGTTGAATCTGGGTCGTGCGCAGCATCCAGAGAGCGATTCACACCACTTTTCCCGATCTTGGACCCCTTCACATAATCTAAGTGGCGGAATCCAGTTTTCAGTCCACGCCCTCACGATGTTCGCCAGGTGTGTCGCCAGCTTCAAAAGGGGGTCATCGAGATCTCACGCCTCAGGCCGCGGAGAGCCATGGCGACGCAGCAATGCAGCGAAGGGTGCAGGTGAGCCCCGTCCATGGGCTCCGCGGGACGAGGCGTGGAAATGTCGGTTGTAGCCGTGCAAGCTCACTCGTCCGTCAGAGGTTGCGGGAGACGGCATCTGCCTCGATGGAGGGAGACTTTGTTAGGCGCATCGCAGAATCGGCGTGGCGTGAAGAGCAGGAGGAGGAGGTTTGGAAGTCGGAACAGGTGACGAGGATGAGGAAGTTCGCTCGGCAACAACCGCAACCGCAAGCCTTTTGCACGCGACCGGGGCCCTAGTGCCGCAAGTGGTCTGGGCCCTGGCCCGTGCCTTTCGTTGGTTTCCTTGGCCCTCGCCCGGATCGGATCGGTCAGAATAATCGACGATTGCGCCCTCAACATGGCCTCGTCCATGGACCTCACCTCCCGCCGTGCCACCCCCCGCTGGGCTGGACCGGCTCTCCTGCACCAGCCTCACCTCCTCATAACCACCATCACACCACGCCCCGCGCCCGTCGTCTCCCCCCAAACCCATCTCCAGATTGACGCCCTGAGCGTCCTCAACGACCCATTTTGACTCCGATTCTCGAAATACAGCCTCCTCGGAGCCTCATTCCCTGGTGCCTGCCGCAAAATCCCTCCAAAACCCCTCAACAGCACAACCGCATCGCATACCCCACATCCGGGTGCAGCAGGTTCAATTGACCCCTTGTCGATCACTTCGGGTCCCGTTTCCGCTCCACTGCACTCTCATGTGCCCCCGCCGCCCATAGCTTGCCTTGCCGCAGCACCCTCAGCAAACTCTAGGAGAGACATGGACCGTCGCCATGGCCATATGCCCCGTCGCCCCCCAGCACAAAAATCGGTGTCCCTGCGCCATAGCCCGCCCGCTCAGCTACCCCCATCAACTTCCTTGGAGCCTCAACCGAGCACACTCAGACCCTCGAGCGTCTCCCCCCCTCATATAGACAAGAACCAGAGTTCTGGCGAGAGTAGCGATGCTGGCAGGTGGTTTGAAAACAGCAACCACAACACCCAGCCCATCACTTCACAACCCGTCGACAGTGTGTAGCCCCTTGGTCCTCTCAATTGCCCATATACGTACGGCAGCTGACCCACCCTTTGCAGATGACCCGCCATTCTTCCTGCACAATAACTCCTCCGGCTCGTCTTCCCCGCCCGACGCCCCCGACTCACGCGTGCCTCAAGCTGGTCCCTCCATTCCCTACCGCCCTAGCGCGCGGCGTGTACCTACCGATGGCAGCAGTACCGAAGACTATAGAGGGGTGATTGATGACTTGACTATTGCGAACAAAAAGCTGAAGCAGAAGCTGAAGAAGTACGAAAAGCTACACGATGCGAAGCATCAGGATGAAAAACTCTTCGAGGTTCGATTTCATGGTCGCCTACCGGACCACAAGAAGAAGGAGTTGGAGGAAACTCTTCGCAAGTTCGCTCAAGAGCTTGAGAACGATAAGCCAGAAGGCCGCCATTCGCCTGTCCCACTTGCGACGCAGCATGCTACTTCCAACCTGACCTATCCTACAGAATCCGGCTACGTATCCATGTCTGCTTCAGGCCAGAATTCCAATTCCGCCGCTCCTTCTGGCCACGACAGTGATGCTCGCAACCTTTCGAAAACGCAATATAATGACCGTCAGCAAAGCATCCAGTCGTATCTTCATGACATACCGGTTGGCCTGCTCCCCAAGCATACTGCTCCAATGAGCGATAAATCCAAGAAGAAGTTGGTCGTCCGTCGACTGGAACAGGTCTTCGCCGGTAAACGGTCGACGCCCGGGGTTCATCCACAGCCCATGCAGCAAGAAGAAGTGGCGCAATCTGCAGCAACGGCCGATCGGAAAATCAGAGAAGCGGCCGGTCAACGGACGAAAGAAGGTCACCGAGAAGCGCTCATCATGCCGGTGCGACATGAAGACGGTATGACGGGATCCGAGTCTGCGCACGCGGCAGCACAAGTACTGTTCCCTGCTTCGGCTGGGCAGGAGCAGAGTGGAAATGGATCGGGGTCTCCCGATCAACGCCCAACTAGGCCTTTGGATCTCGACCCTTATCGTGCTCAAGTTCCTGCCGAAAATTTGAATTATATCCGGCATCTCGGGTTTTCGCTTCCGGGAGACTCCACGTCCGGTGAGACACCGCAGGATGGACAAGGTTGGATCTATCTCAATCTCCTCATCAACATGGCCCAGCTTCACACGATCAACGTCACCCCAAACTTTGTGAAAGATGCTTTGACCGAATACAGCTCCAAGTTTGAGCTGTCTCATGATGGGCGCAAAGTACGGTGGAGAGGTGGAAATGAATTGACACTCAACAGTGACAGCTCGTCGGAGCAGCTGAGTGGAAACTCGCATTCTCCAGACGATGTCGCTGCGTCGACATCCCGATCGCCCTCAAAGCTGAAGACGGAACCCGCTGGGAGCGCGGCCGATCTTGCTGAAGAAGAAAGGCAAGCTCACCTTGCGGCGCGGGCGGCCAAGGAGCAGGACCGGAACAAATTAGCCTACACACCTATCTTCCCTCATAAGCAAGAGTCGGATGAGTCGGATGATCTGTACAACGGCATGACGTCGTCGGGCGACTCACCTCTCCACCCACAAGCACACGCAGACTCGTCTGGTCTCGGCAGCTCAGGCCTGCGCAGTAGTTCATCACGCAGGAAAAGAGACGACGGACCCATGATCTTCTACACCAAGGCCAATTTCTGCACAGACTTGAGCGGGGACCGGAGTGGTATGCCTGGCAAGCCGCGATCTGAGTACAAAAGCATTACCTCCCAGCCGCTTGGGGCATCATCCAGAGATCCTCATGAAGCAGTGCCTCGAACAGGAATCGTGGAGCCAAGGGGCCCTATGGATCATGCCATGGAGGTTGATTCTAAGGACGGTGATGGACTTGGAACATCAAGTGAAGACGACCATGAATTTGGGCTGACAGAGCTGCGACGCGATGTAAGCGACAGCAGCACTTCCACTATGGAGTTTGAAGCCTCTGGAATCGGTGGTGTTCTGCCAGAGGACAACTTCGCCATCCGTGTCCGACGATCGCAATCTCGTGGGACACCCGATCGTAGCCTGCCGCAGAGGAGTCATAAGCCACGGTTGTACCCTAAGAAGATCCTGGACGCGCTGGATGAAGAGCAGGCGGCGGAGTCTGAAGATTCTGCGTCGCCTCAACCTGTGATAAATGAGCAGATCATTTCAACATCCAGCAAGATGCTGCCGAGCTCGACTCTCCCCCCTCCCTCTTTCCTTCCATTTGACTCTACATCATCCGGTGATGTGGACTCCGACCTTGAGTCGGATGTTTCCTCCACGCCATCGGAGTCGGCAGAGTCAGGCAGGCCGGTGAAATCTGGAACGCCCGAACCAGCGATGCAATCTTATCAGTATGCCCAACCGCGCCGAGAAGAGGGCGCCGGGCGCGACTCAGAAGACTCATACAGCAGCGCCGGGTTTCTCGCCATCCACCCTCCCGTCGACCTCTCCACCATGGAGCGAGCGGATCGGGAATTGGACGCTGAGTTCGCGGACCGGCTCGCAGCGGAGATTCCAGCTGGGAGTTCCGCAGCCACGGCGGGCGGTGGCAGTGGATTCAACAGTCCCATCAACATGCCCATCTCGGAGGGCGGAGAGAGCAAGAGCAGCGGCAAGAAGGCCCAGCAGCAGCGAAGTAGCGCGAGCCCCACGTCGGCGGCGGCGAAGGCGAATCTGAAGCGTGCAAGGACCAGCGATAGTATTCAGCAGGTGCTGCAGGAGCCGAGTAAGGCGAGGCGAATGAGCTGAGCAATTCCAACCACATTGAAAGCGAAGGGTGTAAAACGAAGAGAGCATGAAGCAAAGAAGAAATGCACTTTGTATCGGGTCACGACGCGTTGTACCACATGGGCGATCTCTGGGGCTTCCTGCATCATCATTACGGCATTTGTAGAAATATTGCTTTTCCTGCGGCGTATCCTTGATATCAATACCCTGTTAGTATTCTTCCATTCGAATTGGGAAGAGTTGATAGATCTGTCGGTACATGGTTTGGACCGGGCGTTGTATGCCTAGTGTTTCCTCCTATGGTGGAGTTTACCCTATGGGGATGGCGAGCGGATTGGTGGAGCGCTAGCGCTGCGGAGGCTGAGATTTTGGATATCGAGATGTGAATGCGACATGTTCGATGAGACCAATGACAAATATTCCAAGAGATGGCGAATGCTATCTGTGTCGGGAAATGATTTCGCGTTTGATACCTCTCCTGAGAGGTGGGAAATACTCTATGCGGCTATGATGCTAAACCCCCTTTTCAACTCCAAATCACCCTTTACCTCATAACCTTATATGCTGATGTTATACAATCCCGTCGCTATTGTACATAATCTTACAAGACTCTTCAGTCGCGCTTCTCTTCCGCCAGGAGCAGGTCCATGTCACCCAATTGCACAGGTTCCGATTTGTCTTCTCCCTTCTCACCATTCCTCCACTCCCCCAAGCCTTCTTTCTTTGGCGACTCAAGTCCATGCCTGCCCAACCTTCCCCCCATCGCCTTTCTCCTCCCACCTCGGCCCGCCTCAAACTTACCATCCGCTCCTACCCCAGCACCTCTTTTTCTCACCCCCGCCAGCACGCCAGCCGCCCTCAACCTCATTTCTACCAACTTCTTCCACTCCTGCACCTTCCTCTGCCCGTCCCGCACCAGCTCAAACCGATACAAAAAGCTCAACCCCTTGCCCCACTTCCCATCCCTCGCCAACCAATACTCCCCTACAATCTGTTCCAGGAGCGCCAGGGTATGGGCATCGAACTCGATGCCTGAGTTTTCCATGTCGGTGAGAAGGTCGTCGATCTGGGAATATGAGGCGTGCTGGATCCAGACGGTGCGGATGAGGAGGTTGTAGAGGGTTGTGGAGGCGCCGAGGGCGTAGGTGGAGCGGCCGAGGGATTTGAGGGTGGGAAGGAGGGAGAGGGGGAGAGCGGAGCGGGGGAAGTGTTTGCGGAGGACGCGCGTGGTGAGGACGAGGTGGAAGGGGAAGTTGTGGAAGAGGATGCGCGGGTCGGAGGGTGAGAGGATTGGGGAGGAGACATCGTCTATATTCTTGAGCTTGGGTCTCTTGGGTTTCTTGCTGGTGCTGTCGGTAGCAGAGGAGGCCGAGGCGGACTTTCCTCTTAGGCCGTCCAGGTCGAGTGCCCGGATCGGAGCTAGAATTTCCTTTTCGAGAATCTGCCAGACTTGGTGGTCGGTTTCTGCGGCCAGCATCAAGGCTTCGATACGCCCTCTTTCGGTTTCACGCAGGCGGTGCAGCTCATCCACGTGGGAGGCAGCTTCATCCTTGGGCTTCTCCCGTTCCTTCTGGGCTCCTTCCTTCTGGGCTCCTTGTTGCAGGATGCTTTGGGCGAGAGTCTGCAGGTTCTCGACCGGCTTCTTGAGGGACCGACGTTTGCTAACGGATGTACGACCGGAGAGCACGGCGTCGAAGACGGAGTCGATAGATGTCGCCGAGGCGAGGGCGTCATCTTCGTCGAGGAAGTCGTCGGAGAGAGGATCTTCGGATTTCTTCTTGAGGTTCTTGTACAGCTTCTCGAAGGCTTCGCGCTCAGGGCTCGTCATTGTCGTTTTCCGAGGCGGTTGCACTTCGTCGATGGGCGGCGGGAGCTCTGCATCGTGCTCGAAGGGAATGTGGTCGTCCCCTCGCCTGTACGATGACGCGTTGCGCCGCGCCGTGCCATGGGTGACGGGCTGCCATTGCTGAATCGTAGGGGTCTGGTAGAGAAAGGGTGCCAGTGTCTTGGATGTCGAGAAGTTCACAGCGATACGTGCGCGGGCCAGTGAGCCTGCCGTGGTTTTACATATAGACATTGAGGATGGAGATGGTGTTGACGGTCGAAGACGCAGGTGATGGTACGTTGAAGTCGGTTGCGACGAAAAAGTTCATGTTCGCGGCTAGAGAGACGCGGAAGGGCCCGTGCGCTATTGCCGCATTGGGCTGTAGTGTTGTCTTGTGTTAACCCCCGCAGGTGAGTTGCCACGGCTGCCTGGGCGGCCTCGATGATAATTGCAATAACTGACTGTGTCGCTCAGATGTGCAGGTAAACGTGATGAAGGATGCAGCTGTTGTTCCCAATAATTGCTGCATGTTTCAGGCCGGCAAACTGGACAGTGCTAAGGTTGCTTTTTCCAATGTTGCTCTCTGCACCCGTGGACCCGCCGTTTCCCCAGCACCGCGCCGTCCAATCGAAGCACGCGCGGCAGCGGATGTAAACGAAATGCTAGCCGCTTCAAGCTAGCAGCTGGCAGTGCAGCGCATGGCTGCAGGGATCCCAGACCAGTCACCCATCTCTCCAAGAACTCGATGATACCAGAGATGGACGGCCTCCTCGTCCCACCTCCCTCATCCTCATCCTCCCCTCTTCCCCACATCCTCGTGCTTTGCTGTCCACCTCGCCTCGGCTGTCTCTCTGGTCGCCTTTTCCTTCGCCTTCTTCCGTCGCGACCCGCCTGGCAATCCTATATAAACTCCATCGCTCGCCCTTCTCAATCCTCGACAGTTTCCCCCGTCGCACCGCGCGTCCTCTCTCTCTAGGCATTGCGTCGGTATGTTGTCCACCGGTTGGCCCAGCTTGTTGATCTCGCCAGCTAACTTCGTCGCCGCCTTAACTCTTTTCCTAGCAATGACAACACTTTGAATTCTCTACGTCGTCCGTGGGATGCCCCAGTAGGCGCCCATGGCGGGGCTGGAACAGTCTGCGAACGTGCGACGCGATTACTTCCTAACGGCGACGCCTGAACGCGAACGACCCTCATCGAAGCGCCGCCTGCCCAACGGCCCATGCAATTATCGCGATCAGAGCCTCGGCTCGTGTGGATGCACCCAGTTCTGGGATAAGGAGAGTGCTGAGCTGCACGATGAGTCTGTCGAGGGTGCGCCGCTGAGGAAGCAGTCGACATGGTGTGTCTGTAGCCATCATGCCTGCTTTCATCTCTTCGCCGGGCAGCGACCCGCAGAGACCACCTTGAAGCCTCCCCCATCTGTGCGACAGCGCCCTCGTGATGGAGGCCGAGCTCAGTCGCAGGCAGGATCGCAAGCCAGTGACTATCGGCGCGTAGCCCGTAGCGGCCACGATCACTCCCCAGCGCGAGGGGCACATGCGCTTCTGAATGCGCAGATAGGTTCGCCTCGTTCCGTGAGCACTTCGGGCTTTCCTAGGATCCCTGCAGTGTGTCTTCTGTCTCATGAGAGACGCCAAAGGGCCGCTGCTGATGCCGAGGCTGGGGTTAAGCAGCTCAAAAAGGAAGAGCAGACAAATTACCAGCTTTCTGGCCTTGGATTCCCGCTGTCGAACGTAATTGAGCGCCCACCCTCCGTTTCGCCTACCATTGCGGAAGAGTCCAATAGGGCCCCTTCGTTCTGCAACGCCGTGCTCCCTACAGCTAGAGCGAACTCGATTCGTGCCCAGTCTGACCGCATATCCACTCCCCCGTGCGGTGGTGACCTCGAACACGTGTTGGAGTTCAATCGCACTCTGCATCTCAACGTGGAAGGAGATACCATACCTGACACGTATGATCCTGAAGACTTCATTCAGAGTGCCACTGAGGTCGCTACCCCTAGCAATGCGGACACGCCGCGTTTAGGACCCGTGGATCAGGCTGTATCAGAGACAAGAACGCTTGTTGATACACTCATGCGACTGACTTCTCAGACAGGGCGTGATGTTGGCCAGAGTCCCAACGCTCAGTGCGCAACTACTGGGCCGGCACCGCAACCTCCTCCAACCAGCGCACCTGCCACACCCCAAGAGGAGCTGTCACAAGCCATCAGGACCGCGTCTCCGGCAACACTCCAAAAGCTCGTTGCCTACCTTGCCCCATTACACAATCTCCTTACCTCAATACCAAACTTGGCGAATACGATCAGAGATGTAAATGCGCGCTTAGACCATTTGGAGAACTATTCGTTCAATCATGTGCAACCTGAGGAGGTGCAGCAGCACCTCGAAAGCTATGACGGCCGGCTGTTGGAACTGGAACACCGCATGGATGACCATGAGTCTCTTCACAAAGCTATCGATGCCGATCATGGCGCCAATCCACTTGGCCGACAAGTCACGGCAGTTACAGATTCATTTGGTTCAGTCCAGTCGGCCCATTCTATTTCGTCGGCCCCTGCACTCGTGCCAATCGCTGGCAAGGAGATGCAGGCCGAGTTCGACGAGATCAAAGACAGGCTAGAGCTTCTTGAGGCAGCAGCCATGCCGTCTTTCGCCAACCCCTGGGAAGTGGATGTAGTGTTTCTGCCCTGGGGGCCGGAACTTCGAGGTATATGGCACTCTTTGGATGAGCCAGTATCCGAATCGGTCAACGCTCTCACTCAGGAGTCAGAAGACTGGACCCAGAACCTGGACCTTACGCTGCGCAAGCGGCGCTCTTCCATGTCTGCCCAGCAATCCTCAGGCCCCAGCACCAACGGCAAGCTGTCCTTGACAAGCTCTTTGGCTCTGAGCGAAGCAGAGAGTGGGTGGAGCAGCGAAGCCATCAGTAACTGGGCTGCCGGCGAAGTGGACGAGTGGCTCTTCCCAAGAGCATGCGGCCCATCAAACCTCGTTTACAAGAGGCTGCACAGCCGTGGCTTTGTAAAGAAAGTCACATTCAGGAGCGCCAGTTCTCGGGACATTCAGAATGCTCTGTCAACAGCCTTTGCTGAGCTAGGCCATCACTTAAGTTACACTGAAACAGACGACGACGATATTGTGGACGCTTTCCCGGCTCTACGTGCTCCCTTCATCCCGCTAAGGAAGGTGCATAAGGAAGCCAGGCTTCGCTTTCTCACACGTGCGGAGATGGCAAGCTCCGCGCTTTGGTCCGCCCAGTTTCTGTCCGCTGGGGTTATGATGAAAGCCTCAGGAGGCAAAAAGCGACTGTACGTGACACAAAGGGAAGCCTATCTACAGCGGAACGGCAAACCCGAAGGGATGAGCGATATGACGGATGCAGGGAAGTCGTGGACGTGGCAAGACATTCGAGAACTCCCCCGCTTCCAGCCGGACATGAACTCCCAGATGGAAGGCAATGACGAACATTGCCAACCCAAAGTCTCGGAGACCGACGCCAAAGAAGCGTGCTGGATGTTCGTCGAAAGGCTCGACCTTCCTCCTGCCAGTGCGACGTCCTCCTTCGACAGCAATCACTCCGCCCCTGTCCAATTGTCAATGCGTCCTGCAGGTCGCCAATGGCGAAGGTCCATCACACCGAGCTCGATATTGAAGAACAGGCAGCAGCAGCCCATTTCGCCCACGAGCGAACTACATATGACACGACCAGCTCATCGTCGCGCTCGAACCTTCTCGAGCTCTGTCGTGGAGCAGGCCCGGCCGAGCTCATCGAAACGCCGCCTGAATTCTTCGCCAGTCAAGCAATCATCCGTACCGCTTGGCCATGGGCGTACAGGCAGTATCGCCAGTATCGCACCCTCTCGGCCGAAACGCCGTAGAGTGGCTACTGACTCGCTCCCGCGTCTCGACCATGCCTATGCCCGGGAGGGACAGGTAGAGCTCTGGGACAACGAGAATTCTCGCCCCCCACGAGCTCTACCGTCACCGTTCTACTCCTCCCACCACGAGCTCGCGAGGACGAGCTCCGATCAGGCAAGTCGGAGTGAGCAGTCCGCAGCTGTCGCTGGCAAGGGCACGCCTTTTGCCTATGCGACGCCATATTCTGGGCCCATTGCTGGCGGCCGACCGTCTGATCGCTCCAGCGATATGCCTGGTGATACAGAACCGGATGATGATGATGGCGACGACGGGGAGCAGAGTTGGCGGGGCGTGGAAGATGGTGACGAGCGGGATTCCAGTGACGACAGCAGCGGCAGCGGCAGCGAGGACGATGACGCCGTAGGAGGTGCGCAAGCAATGGAGGCTCTGGCGAGCTTTTCCGGCGACGACAGCGGGTTTGGCAGTGAGAATGAGAATGACGACGACTCTAGTGTGGGCGGGGAGGTAGAAGACGAGGACGATGATACCTATTTCGCAGCGAGAAACGATGATGACGATGACGATGATGATGACGGCGAGGCTGAGGATGATGAAGATGACGACGATGAGGTGTTCGATACCCTGCTTAGTATTCTGGAGAATTGACGCCCGCTAACAGGTCTGATTTATGGCGCGGTGTCAGGGTGCGGCTGGTCAGAGTGAGTTGCATTCCTAGGGGGATGGATGCAGACGACTTTGATATAGACTACTCGGGCGAGAATGTGCATTCCGGCGTAGACATATGTTGACTGGGCAAAGTTTGGTGGTAGGTGCCGATATGGATGCGGATTTTGTATGATTATTGTCTCATATACCACATGCGATTGGCGTCATCTCAGGCCTGTAGTTTTATGATATCGCTGGTATCATGTAGCTAGCGCGAGTGCTGGCTGGCTGCTAGTTGGTAGATAGCGATAGCAAGAGCTTACTCTCCCCTTAGAAGAGTGGGGGATCTTTTGCAACGAAGAATATCTAGTTTTCCGATAAAGTTTTCTAATTCTCGATGCGCCGATGGTGGATTGTTGAATATTTGCCAACGAGTTTGTAATTTGTGAGGATGACGATGAAGCTCTTCACTGCTGGGATCGTAAATGGGAGAATGGGTCGGGTTGTTAGATAGAAAGCGCATAGTTCAGGATAAACAGACTTTAACTCGAGCAGCAGGACAATGAAGGAAAATCGTTGTGCAAGTAAGGAAAGGGCTGCAAAGAGTGCGAAGAAGGGTCTTATATAAGTTTGGCCCAGAGAGTTCAAGGTTGCTTTCGGCTTGAGAAGAAAAAAAAAAAAAAAAAAAAAAATTCCGATATGGTGGAGGCATGTTTTGGAATAGAATGGTATGTGTACGTTTCTTGGTTTTCTAGGAGCAGGATGAACGTGTCTGGTGGTTGATGGGCTGCTGCTTATCATCACAAATAGTATTTTTATTCTAATGGTGATGGTGAGGGATCTCGTCTCTGCCACCCACATGGTTAAAAATGCAAACTTGGCGAGCTATGGAAGTAGTGACGTTCGATAGAACAGGCCCCCCGGCCGGACAGACATGTATTGCTGGGCGTAGTTTCTTTTTAAGAGTAAAGCGAGTGTGTGTGTTAACAAGTATAAGGACGACGCAAGAGTGGGGGGAGAGAGGGTTTACATGAATTTCTAGGACTACATGGACCGTGAGGTAGTAGATTTTTGCAACTGCGAAGCAAGAAAAGGCAGATGTTTTGCTCATTCTTTTACGTCGTTCGCATTGCGCTCTAGTTAAGGGATACATTGACGTGAACGATTGTGATGCTATTTATCATCGGCGAGTCTGATTCATCATCTCCTGCAAGTCCGTATGTCACATACTGTGCGCATTCGATCACTAGAGTGACGCTCCTTATCATCAGTGTTGCAGCAAGAGTATTTTAACATTTGACCCCTCTCAATACGAAGTGTAAGAGTCGGGGTGTCTCGAGAGTTAGGACAAACATGTACATCTGGTGTGCCACATTTCACTATCGAGGCCATGTTTCAGGAAGAACGACTCTCACATCAGATGGTTTCTGCATAAATTTCAGAATCTTGTGTCCCCAATGCGGCGAAGTGTAAGGAGACGAGGACATGCGGTGGAAGGAGGTACATAGGTAATATATAGGGTACTGGCCAGTAATGGGGATCAGGAATAACAAAGCAGGAGCCGGCGCGCACATTTAATTAGCATTTTACACTTCTGATCTATACGGCAGGTATAGGAGTCCTAAGAACGGTTACGCTCCTCGTATATTTATTTGTCTTGCCTCTACCCTAGGGTAAGAACTACATCGAGCCCTTCGCCGAATCATTTCGATGTCTCTTCTGGTAGGTTCCATAATAGGATCTAATGGTCCTTTTTCGCGAGCACTCAGCAAACACATCGTGTAATCTTTCAGTTCGTTTAGTCTTCGCAATGTGGCACGGAGGCACTTGCGTGAGGGAGGTAGAGGTCACAAGAAGGATTTATATAAGATATCGAGGTTTGTAGCAGTGCCAAACCGGCCGGCGGTAACGGGATGTGATTAGCAGCAGCATGAAGCGGACAAATGCATATTTCGAAAACATGTGAAGGGTGATTTTTAGTGCATGGTGAGCATCATCGGCATTTGTTACTCGAGACATCTCTATATGAGCGCGAAAGGGCTTTTGTTCACAGAGAGAATCATTTGAAACTAAGAATCGATACCGCAGACATTACATCGATGAAACTCATCTTTTTGGTGCGAAAGGGAATACAAATAGACCTGCAGGAAGATGTGATAGCAGGACGCGAGATTTATATATGCTTGGGGTGTGGGTGTTTGATGTGGAAACAGGGATGCGTATGGTCACGGAGAATTGAACTCCAACATGCGAGTGTGGGTGTGTTGGTATGCGAGGTGACAGTGACACTCACCACCACCGCGAAACATGGAGAGATGATACAATACACGCGGACACAGCGTGGAGGACATGACTCCGCCTCGAAAATGATTTTCTATGAATGTTCAGAAACGTGGTGTAAGATAGTGCTCTGTAGAAGTGATATTTATATTTCGACAAAGGCGGTGGGCTTCGTCGTGACTCTGGGTAGGCGTTTCAAAGATTTCCATGTGTTTCGTACGTGCGGCGTGAAGTGAGGACTGGTGAGAATTCTCCCCAAGATATCCATTTGATAGCGAAAACTGTTTATATGAAAGAAGAAAACAACTGGTCTAAGGCGTGAAAGCCGGACGTCTATCTTGGCTGAGAGGACTTCTGCGTAACTGGAACTCTGGTGGACGGAGGCATGTGGAATGGGGTGTGGCGCATGTAGTTACACAGCCACTCTTACTGAGGCACCCTCGGTTTCCGCACGAACCTCCAGTTGTTTGAGCGCGAAGCTCGCGACGTAAACATTGGGAATGTTACTGAGGAGAGGAGAGCTGCAATGCTCAACCAATTGTCCCGCACCGGCCACGCCACCTTTGCGCGCAGGCCCTACATATGTCAGGAATGTCTGCGACGCTTGCAAAGTCGTCATATCCGGTCAATTGCCTCTCCGGCACCAGCCTGGATCCGCCCGCTCTCAACCGCTTCCGATGACCGTACACCTCCGAAAGAAGACGCACCCTTCCGCAAAGCGCTGAAAGATGCCGCAAAGAAGAAACGTCTAGAGAACCGTGGAAAAGCTCAATCATCCGACAACCCAAGCGGAAGCTCAGAGTTCAAGTCGGAGAAGTGGGAGCTCACAGTCGGCATCGAGATACATGCGGAGCTCAACACAGCTCGCAAGCTATTCTCCAGCGCGGCCACGTCTGTCAACGATACACCCAATACGCATGTCGCCTTGTTCGATGCTGCGTTTCCTGGAAGCCAACCGCATTTTCAGCGGGAAACGCTGATTCCTGCGCTGCGAGCTGCGTTGGCGCTGAATTGTGAGATCCAGCACAGGAGTAGCTTTGATAGGAAGCATTACTTCTACCAGGACCAGCCGGCTGGGTACCAGATTACACAATATTATGGTGAGTATATATACATCTTTGTCGTCTACTCAGTTTGACGAATTATCCCAGAGCCATTTGCCCGCGACGGCCACATCACTCTCTACCCTCACGACTTCCCCGGTGGCGTGTCCCCTGAAGGCGGGCCCGTCACCATTGGAATAAAGCAAGTCCAGATGGAACAAGACACGGCCAAAACCATCCAACAGCCACCATCGACCCATCTGCTCGATTTCAATCGTGTTTCGCACCCTCTCATCGAAATCATAACGCTTCCTCAGATACACAATCCCGTGGTCGCTGCCGCATGCGTGCGAAAGATCCAAGCCATCCTCAAGGCTGTGGATGCAGTAACCGCAGGCATGGAGATGGGCGGTCTGCGTGCCGACGTCAATGTCTCTGTACGGCGACGCGACAGCGCAGACTCGTCGCAGCAATCGCATTCGTATCACGGCGTGACGGGCCTGGGCCAGCGAACCGAGATCAAGAATTTACCGAGTATCAAAGCAGTCGAGGACGCTATCATCGCCGAGCGGGATCGCCAGATCGATTTGCTGGAGCGAGGTGGTATCGTTGACGGGGAGACGCGAGGATTTACGCAGGGGAGTAAGACGACCAGGCGGTTGAGGGGGAAGGAGGGCGAGATTGACTATCGGTATATGCCGGATCCGGATATCGCTCCTGTTGTCGTTGGGAAGGTAATCAGAACCACACCTGGGTGTATAGAAGTAACGTCATGCTCACACCTTCATTTATAGGACCTTGTACAACACCTCAAATCAAGCATGCCTCTGCTATCCGACGACGTCATCGAGATGCTCGTCGATCCCAAGAGATATGGGTTAACGGCGAAAGACGCCGGCACGCTCGTCGTCCTGGACGACGGCGACCGCTTAGACTACTATCTAGAAGTTGTTGAGATCCTGCGCCGTATCTTCTCCGAAGATTTTGCTGCTTTGTCCCGCGTTGGCAAGATGGCGGGTAACTGGTGCGTCGTCTTCTTACTTTTTCCCACTCTACCTCAACGCCCCTCAATCGCTTAGTCATCATGGTCTTCGTCTACCTCCGGCAAAGTAGCACAAGCTAACATGACGGATAGGGTACTCATGGAACTAGGAGCCCTCTTCAAGACCACACAGTGGTCGGCTGACCGTGTGAGTCCTTCGGAACTCGCTTCCCTCATCGCACATGTCCTCCGCAAGCAGATCACAGGCCGGACCGCGAAGCTCCTCCTCGCCCAGAAATTCGACGGGGATGCCCGCCCCGTGGACCAGATCATCGTGGATGAAGACCTCCTGCTTCGGCCTCTGAGTCGCGACGAGTATCTCGCTATGGCGCAGCAGCTGCTGGAGGAGAAGAGCGATGTCGTGAGGGATATTGTTGAGAAGGGCAAGCATCAGAAGGTCAAGTGGTTTGTGGGGCAGATGATGGCGAGGGGGGCCGAGGGGACGGTGGAGCCTGGGACGGCGGAGGAGGTGTTGAGGCTGTTGCTCCAGCTGCCGCCCATGGAGGAGCAGCGGCAGCAGATGAAGAAGTGAGGAATCGACATTGGTGTGGCACAGGTTGGCCCTACCGTCATATTCACGAAGGAGGAATCGAGCAAGTGGAAGAAGAGGCAGACAAGTTCAAAAAGGTAGATTAGCCAATCCAAAAAGTACGACTGGCAGCAGCAGGAACTCCATGGTATATAGCGACTCCAAACCCCATGAAAGCACAGAAAGATAAACATCGGCAATCAGCATCGCCGGGATATCGAAACACAAATCTAACCGAAACACTCAACAAGCAAGCGCAGTATGGCGGCTAATGACCATTACTCGTGAATTCCGCCTTTCTCGACCCCCATGGCAATGGCATGCCTATCGCCCCCAATGCCCGTATGCGCATGGCCATTCTCGCTGCTCTCGCTCGGCGCCTTGCCCTCGAGCATCTGGCTATGCTCGTGGATGCCGTGGCGCTCGACCTGGGGGATGGTATGCTCGTGCGAATCCGGGTCGCCCTTTGCTGGGGTCCAGGCCAGGTAATCCCTCCGCACCTCGACGTAGTCGTAAGCAAACTCGCCCAGCTGGTCGTCGTCCATGCCCAGCAGCTCGGCCTCCTCGCTCGCGCGGAGGTGCAGGCCGGGGATCTTGTCGATGGCGTAGGCGAGCAGGGCCGAGACGACAAACGAGTAGGCGGTGGCGGCGACGATATAGGCGATTTGCTTGTACATTTGCTTCCACTCGTGCTCGATCCAACCGCCGACAAAGAGGCCGTTGTTGACGCCGTCGAGGCCAATGATGTAGTTTGTTGCGAAGAGGCCGTTGAAGATGAGGCCCACGATGCCCGCGACGCCGTGTTCGGCAAAGATATCCATGGCGTCGTCGATCCTGATCCAGAACTTGACTGTGAAGGCGGCTGTCAGTACATGTTTGTGATACTGAGAGAGATGAGGAAAAACATACTCTTTGTGGAAAAGTTGCAAATGACGCCCGTCGTAATGCCCAGGGCAACGCTAGCCCAGGGCGGCAGGAATCCGGAGGCGGGCGTGGCAGCCACCAGGCCCGAGATGGTGCCAGAGCACCAGCCGACCATGGACCACTTGCGAGCGAGGCGCCAGTCGAGGAGGACCCAGCTGGCTGCGGCGAACATGGCCGTGAGGTTGCTGTTCCAGCAGGCGACGACGGCGCGGAGGTTGGCACCAAAGGCGGAGCCACCGTTGAATCCCAGCCAGCCGAACCACAGCATGACGGTCCCGAGGGTGATGAGCGAAACGTTGTGAGGGCGGAAGTTGAGCATCATCTTCTCCTGGCGGCGGCCGAGGATCATGGAGTAGGCGAGGGCGGACAGACCCGAGCAGATTTCGACAGGGCCTCCGCCAGCGTAGTCGAGGACTCCCCACTTGAAGGCCCATCCGTTGACGTTCCAGACCCAGCACGCGATGGGGCAGTATACAATGGTGGCCCAGGCGAACATGAAGACCATCATGGGAATGAGACGTCCGCGTTCGGCGATACACCCGACGATGATGGCGGCGGTGACGGCGCAGAATTGCATCTAGGCTGGTCAGAGGGTGTCATGGCAGTTTCGAAATCGAGTATTTGCGCACCTGATAGAAAGCATACAGCAGGTCGGGAATCAAGGGGCTACCGGGACTCGGGGCGCCCAACGTCTTCATGAGGCCGAACTTCTTCAGGTCGCCGATGAAACCATTCTCCGCATATTGGCTGAAGGCCAATGAGTAGCCCCAGAAGTACCATTGAAATGTAATGACGGTGGTAGATGCCATACATGCCCAGATGAGCGAGAGGGCGGATTTTCTTCGAGCGAGGCCAGAGTAGAGGAATCCGAGACCGGGGACCATGATCAAGACCATGGCCGAGGCGATGATGATGTACGACTGGTCGCCCGGGTTGTACCATTGGTTCAGGTTCTCGGTGTCTACAGGAGTCAGGGGTTAGAAGATGGGCTTCAAAAGCGCAAACTACGACAGAGATGTGGTTGTTCGGGGATGGGGAAGTGTTGATTGTGGTCACGTGGACGGTGCCATGAACGGGACCGAATTGGGACTTATAGAGAACTCACTTGAATCGCCTCCGAGCTCAGGGTTGGTGCCGTTGAACTCGGTCGGCGCACCGACCCACGAGTACGACATGACTGTGGGCGGAAGTGGTGCGGTATGTTGTGCGGGTGGATTGGTTTCGTAGGGGAGAGTTGGTTGGGATGGTCGGTAGGGGCAAAAAAAAAAAGGTGTAGAGGGAAAGAGGCGAATGTAACAGAGAGAGAGGTGGCCCTCGCTAGGATATATAAAGGAAACGACGACGAGGGAGATTATCGGAATGGTTGACCGGGGCTGTCTCAATGGGCGCAGACGGATTAGAATAATGGAGAGGCCCAAGTTCTCGAGCTTATCTCCCCTTGTCTACCCGGGAAGATAGTCAACAGTTGAGGCAAAATAGACGAGAACCCACGGGCAGGCGTCGTGGGGTCTCATCAGTCTGCAGTGGGTCGGGTACTAGCACTGTCCTGGTATCAAAAAGTGCCCAGTGCCCAGGTCAGCGTGAGTGGGTGAATGTCCCTTCCTGGCAGTTCGCACAAGCGCGCGTCTTCCACCTGGGTTGTTCCCTTATCAGTGGTGGAGGTTCACAGGTCGTATTTGTGGTGGCGGAAGGCTTGGCGCGGACGTTTCCAAAGTCTTGAAGTCATCGTCTGCTGCTGTTGTCTACGAAGATGAATCCCTCCGATATGGCTCTGATATGCGTTCTGATCTGCCTCGAGGAAGAGCGTTTGTCAAGCAGTTTGTACATTGATAAGGAGCCGCGCTCTGATTGGGCGGGGCTGTGGCAGCGGGAGCTAGAGCCCGTTTCGAGGGGGCGTATCGGCGCGGCTGGTCTCGGCGAGGCGCGGCGGGCGATCCAGGATTCCAGAGATTATGCGATTCCACCACAAAGGCTCTAGCCCAGCCCTGATAAGATATGGGTACTCTCTATTCCGTATCTTGTTCGAATTCACCTTTGAAGGATACCGAGTACTGTGCATTCACCCTTTCTTCATGGTGACCTGTAGTCTTTGTGGTCAGTAGTGCCATGCTCTTTTTTTATACACGCGGCTCCAGTGCAACGGCGACAGGACCGGGCGCCTGGGTTGTCTCGTCCCGCAGAGATCCACGTTCTTATCAGTGCCGTTGCTCCGGCGAGTGCACGGCGAACACGAAGTCAGGTGACAAGGACCGCGTTCTGGTGTGTGCTACCACAAGTCCATGGGACTGAGATTGCTTGTTCAGGTGCGCTGTTGCCCACTGCCTTTTCTCCCAACTTTCCATTCTGGGAACTGCGTGGGGTTCCGCCATCAGCGCATCCTCGACTTTCGTATTTCCACCTGGGCACGACCGCCTCCATTTTTCAGCCTTCAGAGGCCCTGTGGGATATTTTCTGCGACTATCAGCGTTTTGCATCTTCTGTCAAATCCTCATACGTTCCTGCATCTTCGTACAACACTCCCTCCCACTCCTCGCCAGAGCAGAATCTTGGCCGACTGCACTCCCATTGTACTGTCGGAGAGAGACATCGGATGGTCTTCCAAATCGTTGGCTGTCGTCTCCCGTCTTCTTCTTTTTCCTCTCTTTTCCATCTCGGTCACGTTTTTTGCTACTGGCCTTCGTTTCTTCATGTCCACCACCGCGCGTCTTGATTCTCCCAGCCATCAAATCAAGAAGACTTCTGCGGTTGAGGTGCAGCAAATCCTTCAGTGTGCTGTGCTGTCTCCCGACACTCCTGATCCCTGAACACACTCGTACCACAGTCTCACCGCTTCTGCGCCTGCCATCCGACCTTGTTGTCATCCTCACCGAGGCCATATCAGGGAATCATGGAGCCATCCGAGACCCTGCTTCATCCTGTCCCGTCGTCTCGTTGATCTCATGTCTCCTTTTGGAAGCAACCGGGTAGTGCATTGTTTACTCCTGCATCTTCCGTGCCCAGGTGGTTGCCTTTTCTCGCTTGGGATGCAACTGCTTCCCCAGCTGAGCCCCTCCTTACCAACGGCCAAATAAGAGTCTTCAAGCGGATGCAGCTACCAAAGGGTGGCCCTGCCAGGCCGAGGATGAACTGACAGCCTTGGAATTCTACTTTGTGTGACGGGTAAATTCTCCTACCGCCCATGAGATGGTTCCAAGGTGCAACCGCCCCACACGTCCATAGACGAGAAACAACATCTCCTGCAACGGGTAACCGCCTTCCTCGTGAGTAATGTGCGTCGCCCAACCCTCCAATTTGCCTTTTCCCTAAAGAATACTATCAGTCACACTGTGGGTTTGGAGGACCCCCGACCAGGTATTGGGGTCCATGAGACCGTTGAACGTGTCCAGGTACCGTGTAGAGCAACGTAGCACAAGATCTCCCCGCGCGCCACCATCTCGACTAGTCTACCGAATTGTTCAACCGTCACAGCCGTTGGATCGACGAGCAAGGCTCGATAGCCTGGGAGATTCTGGTGTCACAAAGGCTGGCGGTCCATGCCGTGCCGTATGCTACCCGTTCCGGTTCTCTCTTGCTCCCGGATGACCATGAGCTTTGGACCAAGGATGTGTCTGCAAGTTCACCATCACGAGCCTTTGCAAACCTCGTCTGAAGCGGCCTGACGATTGGTCACGGTTCTCCCGCGAGTGTCTCCGTTTCAGCAGTGGACGCTACAGCATCTAGCTTCCCCGCATGAGACTTGTTGTAGCTGGGCAGCTGCACCTCTCACGCCACGATATTCGGAGGATAACCGATCAAACTTGGGGTTTCCCTGTCGTGGTGATCATAATCTTGACTGTTAAGCAGTTGTTGTGTTGAGAGTTCGTTTCGCTCTTCGTTCTAGCCATGCTTGGCTATCCTGAAACCCCCAACGAGTGCTGCCAGTATCGCAAAGCCGCTTCAAGTGCCGACCTTCTCGGTTAAGTATTCATCTGATGGCCGAGTCCGCGTCAGGGCTGGCTTCTCCATTGATTGCGTGCTCTCCATATAGCAATGAAGCCATGTCCTGGTCTGCTTTCGTGGCGGCAATGCAGCGTTGCCCGGGGTCAATCGTTCAAGGCTGGAGAGGGCTCGAGTGAATGCGAACTTGGTCGAGTAGAAACGTTCATCAAAATGATGGTGAGGATGTGGATATCTGGATTTGGCTCCAACGTTCCAGTTCCCATTGGATGGATGGACGATAATGGCTCATTTGGGAATAGTGCCGTTACCCCACACTTTTGACGGGATCTGTGGACCAACCCGGCCCTCGCCTTCCTCACCTCAGACAAACTCCCCTGGCCGCCATGCGATTCCCCGCTTCTGTTCCTCGAAGCCTTTTGTGCTACCTGGCCGGGGCAACTTTGACCACACCTTCTTTTGACGTCCTTTCACCTTCATGGTACAAAGTGCACAACGGAGAATTCAAACACCGGTCACTAACACCTTCCTCGGAAGTGGAAGACGAGCTTACTGTGTACGGGGACACCCTCTGCGAAGCCCATGCGTCTGTCTTGCGACTGGAGTCGACTCGCCAACTGTTTGGCCTCTCCGCACCCGTCCTTCACTGCCAGAGGGTGGGTAAATTCAAACACTCCGGACAACTCCTGGTGTCGGCTTGGCAATGCACATACATACTCGAACGAGAACACGCTTCAAGGTTGCATGCAGGTGCAGTCCCAACCAAAAATCTGGAATCTCACCGCCAGATGGTGAACTGTCTCCTGTCTTCCCTCTGCTTTTTCACTGGCGGATTTTTCCTTTTCTCTGCAATTCATCCAGACCTGCCATGGCCTTTCTGGGAGAACCATTACTAGGCTGTTAACCACTTTCAATCAGCGGAGCCTCCGTCATCCGCATTTCATACCAGTTGATAAAAGTAACCCCGAAGGGAAATAGGCGAAATGCGGATACAGTACCTCCCGGTACTCTTCTAAAGGTAGGTTTCCGTCATGCAAATCACCTCTTGGGAGCCTTCTCATTCCTTGCTCATTGGAGAGGCGCACAGGAGTGTTGCGACATGCGACGAGCGCCAGGCTGAAACCACCACTGCCTGATGCAGTCAACCAAGACACCGAACATGAGTTCTACTTCAAGAGTCTACGGGAGACCGACAACAAGAGATAACTTCTAGCGTGTCTGCGCTTCACACGACCAGAGCTTCGAAGCCTGTTACACCATCCATCGTGAGCCGTGCGATCCATCGCATAGGCGCACACTCTAGTAAACCCAGTCCGTGCTTTTTACAGTCCATTTTGCAATAAATGTACCGGGTTACAAGTCTTTTTCAAGCATCTGATTTACAATCATCCCTCGTCGTCACCTCCAGCGTGCAGGACCAGCGCAGTCCCATACCTTGAAGGTTTCGCTACCACATTACAGGCTAGGCCAACACAAACTCAACCTTATTCGGACATCAGGGCCGCGCAGCTGCACGTACAGGGTTATGCTTTCTGCCGGCAAAGTCTACTGAGAAGGAACCCGAAGCCTGACTTCTGGGAACTTGCATGCCTTTCTCAGCAATTCGTTCACGCCTTTCTCCACGCTGGCCATGCCTTTGCCTGTGGAAATGCAGGGGCGCTACCCATCTACCGGGGAAGTCGAGCGTTGGAGGGGTTCAAAACATATATCTGACCCACTTATCGTCCTTTTCGGTTCCGTCAGTCTTCTGATTGAACACCGCCGCCACAGCTTGTCGTCTGTTCGCTTTGTATAAGACCTGGTGGTCTATGCTTCATCAACGAAAACGCTGCTGATCGGCCGCTCAGTGCTCAACAGCATGCCTTTTGGTTTCCCTAACCTCACCGCTTTCACATATGCAGGATGGCCTCAACCATTTCCCAGCCCAGCTACGCGGGGATGGTACTCGCCATACGCTGTAACGCTGGCGAGCTTAGCAATCGCCGTCGTGATCGCTAGGCTTATATCACAGGCAAGGAAGAGTACAAAAGGTCTCGGCATCGAAGACTTGTTCGCTTGTCTTGCGTTGGTTCGTCCGTTCTCTCTGTCATTCCGCCTCGATCTAAGTATGAGCTAGATATTCTGTTTACTCTACGCGGCATCAACCATTAGCGGTATGCCTTCTTCTTCTAGCTCCATCATACATGTGTACAGTGTCACCTTCGGACCTGTTAGACCAAGTTACCGTTTCGTTCTATGGCGTCAGCATGCACTGGTGCAGTGCAAGAAGAGAAGTTTGACATAGTGCTTAGGGGCTCTTGCCTATGGTTTCAACAGGCACATGTGGGATGTGCCTGATGAGCTCTACCGTCCGGCCGCTCTGGTAAATAACAGCTCCATCAGCTGCTCTTACACTTCATGCTAATAATCCAAAAGGTTTACTGGCTGAGCGAAACCATGTTCATTCTGAGCGCCGGTTTCGTGAAGATCTCTGTCCTCTGTTTTTATCGCAGGCTGGAACCTCCTTGCACGGCCGCCATTAAGAAGATAATATGGGTGCTTATGATATTCACCACGGCTTACACCATCGGCTGCCTTCTGGGACATGTTCTGCTTTGTCATCCCGTGGCAGCCTATTGGGACGTTCCGTCTCGCAGCGATGCTATACAAGGGCGGGCGTGCGGGAATCAACAGACACTCTACCTAGTGGAAGGGCCACTCGACCTGTTCTCGACTTTGTATTGCATCATCATTCCTGCATTGGTCTTGCGGAACCTGCCTATGTCAAGCTTCCAACGCAACGGCTTCCATGCCCTCGTTCTTGTTAGTTTGAGGTATGTCTACTGCCAGATCACTTTCCGAACCTTCATGTGCTCATAGCGGGAAGTGCGCTGGGGGCAGCCATTGCCAGAGCTGTATTCCTCTACCAGTTAACGCATAGTGTCGACGGAGACGCCACTTGTGAGCAGTCACTCCTGTTCCATTCGCCGAAGCTGTCACTGACGGGAATCTAGGGAGATCCCTCAATGTCTTTGCGTGTGCTCAGTTTGAGCTCAGTGTCTCCTTGGCATGTGCCTCAGCACCGTTTTTACAACGTTTCGCTTCCCAGTACCCAAGATTCCCCATCGTGGACCCATATCAACAAAGCAAGGGAACAACTGGGTCCGTTGTATCTCGAGTAAGCAGTTCCCTCTCAGGACAAATCAAACGCCTCCCTTTTGCGCGCAACCCGAGCCCACGCATCACCGAGATCTCAAGCCCACCACCACGGGCGCTGGAAATACCGGAGTGGGAATTCGAGGCCTTTCACATCACGCAGCGCCCACAGTCTCCCATTGACGAGCAGTCATACGACAGGTACCTCGCAGGTATGTACGGACCCCCGGCGCCGCCCAAGGATATACGGCAGCTCCTCGACCAGTACCGGCGAGAGCATGGCGAAATTGTATGAGGTCTCTCAAGTGGTGTGGCAGCGAAAAGCATGGTGCGGGATCTATGGTTTCAACGCTGGGCAGTCATCTGCTTGTGACGACAATGCATAACAGTTTCAAATATAAGCGGCCTTGTGATTGCGTGCAGCAAACCGCGACTTCGACCCCTGACACCATGTGCGAGCGGTGACACAGATGCAAGACAGACGGCGGAGATGTGCTTGGTGTACATACCTTGAGAGGGGTGAGCATCGGTGGTTGATGCTGGGGGCTTCTGGACCGCGCCGGCTAAAGTTGGCTCCCGCACCTGGCCAGATGTCCCGCAGCTTGGGAACTATAATGCCTGCCACATATAGACTAGCGCCAAACGCCCAGACTCGAGTTATCCGCGAGGGGTCTCGTACTATCAGTGCTGTGTACAGGCACGTCAGTCACGCACATAATCCATTCCTCGATTGCTCTTCGGTTCGGTTGACCAACTGGCTTTTTCGGCCATGGTCCTCTCCTTCATCCTAATCCAGAATCGTCAGTAAGTTTTGCGAGCTGCTGTCAGCTGCGCGTAAGTCACAAGCTAAATCGGCTTCACCAGAGGGAAGACAAGGCTGGCGAAGTGGTATGCGCCGTATAGTGTAAGTTTTGCGACCGCAGATACGAATCAGAGGGATCGATTGACTGACAATCTGATAGGATGAAGAGAAGGTCAAGCTGAAGGGCGAGGTACGTCGGGCGGAATCCCCATCCATCATTGGCATCCTTCTCCTCCATCTCCCACTCCGCCCTTGTACCTGTCAACCCACCATCATCGCCGACCCTGTGCACGCCCTACCGTTCCACCGCCCTAAGCCTATACCTTCCGAACAAGCCAATACTCCCATTTAACCAACCGATACTCTCCAGGTCCACCGCCTCATCGCCCCCCGCGACCAGAAGCACCAATCCAATTTCGTCGAATTCCGCAACATGTCCAAGATCGTGTATCGCCGCTATGCAGGTCTCTTCTTCTGCGCCTGCGTCGACACAAATGACAACGAGCTTGCGTACCTCGAGGCAATCCATTTCTTTGTTGAGGTGCTGGATGCATTCTTCGGGAATGTGTGCGAGTTGGACTTGGTCTTTAATTTCTATAAGGTATGTGGGTACATGGCAGGATGGAAGGAGCGGGGGAAAAGGGGGGTCGGAGAGCAAGTCAGTTCTGATTGATGGGGCAGGTTTATGCGATTCTGGATGAGGTATTTCTGGCGGGGGAGATTGAGGAGACGAGTAAGCAGGTGGTGTTGACCAGGTTGGCGCATTTGGATAAGTTGGAGTAGAGGGTCTGGGGGGAAGAATGAGGATAACTGATGCTCAAGTGCCAGAGGAGGTTTACGGACAGCCATGCCGATCTATAATAGGTCGGACCGCACGCCGTGAGAGACGCAAGGACGCTGGAAGCCGCTCGTGCTGTATTGGAAAGAGAGGGAATGGGTTCTCGTTTGCTCGAGGCCAAAGCAAGCCAAAGTCAGGCGACGGAGCAACCCAGGCCGAATGGTCACTGTGGGTTCTAGATGCGGTCCTACATGACCGAAGTATGATATGGAACGATGTGTAACTCGAGTAAAGCCATCAGCTCGATATAAAGAGTTAGTTGCAAAGCCTTTCAACGTCCGCGGGCAGTCGACTACTGTGATATATCGTGCCTCTGATATCCAACCAATCACGAAGCTCAGACATCCCTCATCGGAAAGTGCAAAGAGCACGGAACATGCCACCTTACCTTACCCACATCTAAACTTCAACGTTCGGCTTTGGGCACACACTTAACATTGCAGAGACCATGCACGCGTGACATGGTGTCCATACTCACCGTTTCCTTTTGACCGACTCTTCGCGACGATTGACCGCGCAGCTTGACCCTAAACGCCCACCACCGAGACCGCCGACACCCCCGCGATATCACCATGGCTGAGTTCGCCATGTACCATGCCCTTGGGCAAGATTCACCCAATACAAACGGCGCGCAGAGCCAGAGGGAATCGAACGCCTTTCGTCCTCCTGTCGCAGCGAGTCCGGGAGGCTATCAGCAAGCTGGTAGTCCGGCAATGGGCCATGTCCCTAATCAATACGCCGGAGCACCGAACCCGAATATCTCCACACCTCAGGATCCGAGTTACTTTCCGCCACAGCAGTCGCCATACCCTGGCTCATCGAGTATGGAAAATTTGACATCACAAATGGGAGCGGTTGGATTGGGTCTGGATCAACCAGCACAACCGGCGCCACATAGGCACAAGAAGAAGGACAGGCACGCTTACCACAACATTGGATCACCAGGAGGAAGCTCTCAGGCGTTCAATGGCATACCGCAAACTGGAACACCGACGCAATTCTTGAACCAGAATTCGCCTTCGGTAGGTGGTCCTCAATGGGCCTCTCCGCAGATAACACCGGCCATGAGCCAATTCCCTGCTGCGACGCCGATGTTTAGTCCAGTAAATCCAGCGACACCAATGCAGCATGCAGCACGGACGGGTGCTGGTGCTCTTACCGGTGGCTCTCCTGCCTCATCTGCCCAAGGACGTGTGGACCCGGAGCAGATCCCCAGCGTACCCAGGTCGCGAGATATACCGGCGAAATACTACTTGGAGCATATATATCCTACAATGGAGCACCATCTTCCGCCTCCAGCCCTGGTACCTTTTGTCGCCTATGACCAAGGGAACTCGTCTCCCAAATTCGCAAGACTCACCCTCAACAGCATTCCAGCGTCCGCAGAGGCACTTGCCGCTACGTCTCTGCCGTTGGGTTTGGTGTTGCAGCCCCTTGCCCCTCTGCAGGAAGGAGAGGTCCCTATACCGGTGTTGGATTTTGGCGAGACTGGTCCACCCAGGTGCAGAAGATGTCGGGCGTATATCAACCCGTTCATGACCTTCCGGTCCGGCGGAAACAAGTTCGTCTGCAACATGTGTACCTTCCCGAATGATGTGCCTCCGGAATACTTCGCGCCTACGGATACCTCTGGCGTGAGGGTTGACAGGTTGCAGCGTCCAGAGTTGACCATGGGAACGGTGGACTTCATGGTACCGAAGGAATACTGGTCGAAAACTCCTGTTGGGCTGCACTGGTTGTTTCTTATCGATGTGACTGCTGAATCCGTAAATCGGGGGTTTCTGGACGGATTCTGTGAAGGCATCATAAGTGCGCTGTACGGTACAGAGGGGGAGTCTACAGAGGGCCAGAGGAGGCTACCTCCCGCTGCCAAGGTCGGCATTGCTACCTTTGACAAGGACCTACACTTCTACAACCTGAGCCCCGGTTTAGAGAAGGCGCAGATGCTGGTTATGCCGGACATTGAGGACCCGTTTGTGCCGTTGAGTGATGGCCTTTTCGTCGATCCCATGGAGTCGAAGTCTATCATCACCTCGTTACTTCGGCAACTTCCGACAATGTTCTCCCAGATCAAGAACCCTGAGCCTGCTCTGCTCCCGAGCCTCAATGCGGCGCTGATGGCACTCAACGCTACCGGCGGCAAGATTGTTTGCTCCCTGTCTGCGCTGCCGACTTGGGGCCCTGGACGCCTGTTTTTACGTGACGATGGAAGCATGCATAGCCCGGATGCGGAAAAGAAGCTTCTGACCACGGAGCATGCGGGATTCAGAAAGGTCGCGCAGAAGATGGTGGAGAGTGGAGTTGGAATCGACTTCTTCCTGGCGGCTCCTAGTGGTGGATACCTTGACATTGCTACCATTGGTAAGCTGGATCTGTGGTAAATGCGCAAACTCGATTGCTAACCGTACCAGGTCATGTATCCGAAAAGACCGGCGGCGAGGTGTTCTATTATCCGAACTTCCACTCTCCACGTGACACGTTGAAGCTCTCCAAGGAGATCAAGCATACAGTGACTAGGGAGACCGGTTATCAAGCCCTCATGAAGGTGCGCTGCTCCACGGGATTGCAAATCTCTGCATACCATGGAAATTTCTATCATCACACCTTCGGCGCTGATCTTGAGTTCGGCGTGATCGATGCCGACAAGAGCATTGGCGTCATGTTCGCGTATGATGGGAAACTGGATCCAAAACTCGACGCTCACTTCCAGGCCGCCTTGCTGTATACTACTGCTAGTGGCGAGAGAAGGGTGAGGTGTGTAAATCTCGTTGCTAGCATTAGTGCTACTGTGGGCGAAACGATGAAGTTTGTCGATCAGGATGCGATTGTTAATATCATCGCAAAAGAAGCGGCAGCTAGGATGACGGAAAAGAGTCTCAAGGATATCCGGGGAGCGTTGACTGAGAAGACGGTTGACATTCTTGCAGGCTATAGGAAAGCCTCCACCAGCAACAACCCACCTGGTCAGCTCGTGCTGCCGGAGCACATGAAGGAGTTCACGATGTACATCTTGGGCTTGATCAAATCCAGAGCATTCAAAGGCGGTAAAGAGCCGACCGATAGGAGAGTGCACGACATGAGGATGATAAAATCGATGGGTCCCCTGGAGTTGTCCCTGTACCTGTACCCTCGGATTATTGCAATACACAATCTGGATGAAAAAGTCGGCTTCCCTAATGAGAATGGCCATCTGAGGATGCCTGACACGATTCGAGCCTCCTTCTCTAAGGTGGAAGAAGGCGGTGCATATCTCGTGGATAACGGCCAGATCTGCCTTCTCTGGTTTCACGCCCAGGTATCTCCGAACCTACTGGAAGACTTGTTTGGGCCCGGACACACGACGCTGAAGAGCCTGGACGCTTTCTCCTCGACGATACCAGTCCTAGAGACGCACTTGAATGCCCAAGTACGAAACATACTGCAGTGTATTGAAAGCAACCGAGGCTCGAAAGCTCTGACTATCCAACTCGCCAGACAAGGGCTGGATGGCGCAGAGTACGAATTTGCCCGGCTCCTCTACGAAGACCGCAACAACGAGGCACAGAGCTATGTAGACTGGCTGGTGCATGTACATCGGCACATCCAGTTAGAGGTACGTATTCTGAACACAAACTGAGGAACTCGCCTTAATAACGTATAATGCAGCTTTCTGGCCAACGGAAGAAGGAGAGCTCGGACGATGCGGCGGCTTCGGCTTTCATAGGACTTAGGACGCCATATTGGGGGAACTGAGAGGGCGGGGTTGGGGTCTGTATTGCATAGCGATTTTCTCTTAGGTGTACAGCGCATTACTTATATGGGGTTCCACGAGATATGCTAGGATTAAAAGGGGAGTTTGTCATTATGCTTCAATCCTGCTGCGCTGGTGCCAAGCGTGAATGTCTCCCGCACGTGATATCCTTCGGAAGATTCAAAGGCCCGCCAGCCCTTGGCGCTCGCTTAGCTTTTGCGCCCACCACCACACCAACTTTCCACGTCGCGAAGCGACTTCCCGGACTTCAAACCACGACCACATCAATCCACAGTCGCCGCCATGCCCACCAGACTGAGCAAGACCCGCAAGGTTTGTCGTTCCAAATCCGTATCAACCTACGCAGGTGTTAGGATGGGAAACCTGACTCTGAATACAGCACCGCGGACACGTTTCCGCCGGCCACGGCCGTGTTGGAAAGCACAGGAAGCACCCCGGTGGTCGCGGTATGGCTGGTGGTCAGCACCACCACAGGACCAACCTCGACAAGTACCACCCGGGATACTTCGGAAAGGGTACGTTTACGCAACCTCCAATAGTGATTGGAGCTAGGTTCGCTAACGACGACGTCTTCGAACAGTCGGAATGCGGTATTTCCACAAGACGAACCAGCAGTTCTGGAAGCCCGTCATCAACCTGGATAAGCTGTGGACGCTGGTGCCCGCCGAGAAGCGCGACGAGTATCTCCAGAAGAAGACGGATAAGGCGCCCGTGCTGGATCTGCTGTCTCTTGGGTACGCCAAGGTGCTCGGCAAGGGCAGACTTCCCAATGTGCCCATTGTTGTGCGGGCTCGCTATGTCTCTGCTGAGGCTGAGAAGAAGAGTAAGAATTTTTCTGTACCTGTAGGGGCTAGGGAGTGTGTTGGGCTGACCATTTCCGCAGTCAAGGAGGCCGGCGGCGTCGTCCAGCTCGTCGCGTAAACGATACCATTCCCACCATCCGGAGTCGAAAGTCGTCGCATTGGGGGAAGCGAAAGGGCGCTCTCCCCATGAAATAAAAATCACCGGGTCATTTAGACCATGTGGGCTTTAGGGTCTCTGTGTCTCCGTTCCTTGTCTTCGGAGCGCAGATTGAACTCTTGCAGCGTGGTGGCTGAGGAATGGTGTCGTTTTTCTGTAGAAAATGAACATCCATTCCTGAACAAACCTTTCTTTTCATGCCCAAGGGTGTTGTTGCGGTCGAGGTCGCGGTTGCAGGACCCACACCGTGTGTTGGCGGCTTAAGTGCTGCTAGTGCACGGAGTGTAGGGTTCTCGGACGTCGGCGCTTGGTTGTGTGATGTTTGTGTGTGCTATGGTGTTGTGTGTGATATGTGACTAACCGTGCATGTGACGACATCTAGGATCTTGCGTGGTCGTTTGACCTAGCCTTGCCTTGCCCTTCACCATTGCCTTGTCCGGAGGAGGAGCTTATCTATCTGTGGACACTGATGTCCTGTTCAAATTCGAACAAAAGCCTGAAAAGCTTCCCGAAGCTGTATCAATAATCACCAACTAATGTTTTAGCTTCCTTCCCGGAACTAATGATCCATACACAGTCATGATAGTAGATGCAATGGCATCATGTTGGAGAACTTTGTTACGTAAAAAGGGACGGATATTCTGTTCCTCTTTAGATGCAATGCAATCAATCTAAGATCATCTTATTCTCTTTCGATTTAACTTGATTCAACTGCGCACAGTAGTGCAGATCTAGGTTCGATCACTGAAATGCTGGGGAGCTTTTTCGAAGTTGCTGGATCGGTAGTTTGGTATGGTATAGTTCTGCGCGAATGTCGCTGTCCACTCTCGTCATCCATCTATCTACGGACACATTCTCGAGGCGTCTTCACAACTCGCTCGCTATCACCTTCAGACTTGGATCTTCGCTCGTACAGTTAGGAAAAGATCTTATTAACTTTCTGTGTACCTGATCTAGTCTAGTCTAGCCTAAGCAGAAAGCAACATTGCATGCAGGATGAAAATCTCCCGATCCCTGGCTGTACACTCATTCTCCCCCTTGCGCCCAATATATATATATGTGATAGACAAACAGAGCAAAACCGCGGGTATATACCAATCCACAATTCCAGAACAACCAACATGCATGCCCTACAAAAGCCGCATTTTCGAAGAATATACAGATGATTGGAGTCCGCTTCAATCCACGGCAATAAATCTTCCTTTCCTGAATCTGGTTTCTCCACCTTGTTCCTCTTCTACCAGTCCTCTCCGTCTTGCCAACCCCAATTCCCTTCATTGGTACCGGTTTGGACATCGGCGGTGGCGGTGGGGCAAGGGATATGGTACTCCCTTTCGTCTTCTCCTGCTTCTTCCTTCCCTTCTTCTCACTGACGTCGGCGGAGTGCCCGCGCTGCGCGTCGTCCTCTTCGTATTCAGCGCGTACTTGGTCCGTCTTCCCAATCCACATTCCCTTCATCGGCACCGGCTTAGAAATCAGCGTGGCGGAGGAGGAAGGGATATCGGAGTCTTTCTTCGACTCCTCCTTCTCCTTACCTCCCTTCTTCCTCGTTAACTTCGGCTCAGTACCAGCCCTGCGCGTCTTCGTCTTCGTTTTCGACGCCTAGTTGGTCGAGCTGCACGTCCGTTTCCTCCTCTTGATCGTCGTAGTCGCATTCGTGCTCCTCGTCGTCTTGATACTCATAGTCTCGCTCCTCGATCCCCTCGTCTTCTCCACCCTCATAGTCGTCCTCGTATTCATTACCTTCGTATCCATCGTGGATGCCTCCAGGTAGAGCGGGATGAGGATACGTCTCTTCTTCCTCGCCCGGGTAGGATACGGAGTCCGCCCATTCAGAAGGATCGCCCCGCTCATCGATTTGCTGGGCATCCTCCCCAATATCCTCGGGGGAATCCTCAGCGGCATTGCCATATTCGTCCTGCCCGTCTTCATCCACCAGATCCTGAGTCTGAGTCTGAGTCTCCGTCTGACCATGGACCTGCCCCTGTCCCTCCACCACTTCCTCCGCACTGGCACCTTCAACAGGGCTTCCCGGCCCACCCGCCAGCGCGCCCGAAAACGCCAAATACCATGTCAAACTCGCGCCCCCATCCAACCCCTTCGCATCCTGTACCTCCTTCGAAAAGTACTCCCACGCCCTTTTCGGGTCCAGCAGCGCCAAATTCCCCATCAACACGCCCCTCCAACCCCCCTCCACCTTCTCCGCCCTACCGTCGGAGAAGTACCTGTCCCACTCCTCCCTCACAAACTCCTTGCGCCGCGTATATGCCAAAGACGGATTCAGCGGCAACATATGGATCCCCTGGACAAACTCGTCATTGGCGCCAAAATACGTGGTATGATCAACCTTATTCTCAAACAGGATTCCCGTGACTTTATTGGGCAGGAATTGTTTCGGCTGCACAGTGTTCGCGTCCTCGAGGAGGAAGTAATTCCTCAAAGCGCGGGCTTGCACGGCGAGCATGAGGTTCGCTCTGGCCTCGAGGTTGGCGTCGCCCGAGATGAGTCCCCACATCTTCAGAGCGTATGAGGCGTAGGTGTCTTCGGAGGTGCTCTCTTGGTCTTTGCCGTCGGCCGAGTCGAAGAGGCCTTTTGCCCACGAATGGCCGTGGAACCAGTCGAAGCTGCGTTGGAAAGGGAAAAACGGGTCCTGGGTGCTCGGATTCGCGAAGTCGCGCACCAGCATGTCGACCCACGCCCGATTCGTGCCCTCCCGCAACCACGACGGGTCCAAGTAACCTATAACTGCGGCAGCATAGACGAAATACCCGTAATGGAAATGGTGGTCGTTATACAAGGTATTCCCGAAATCCACACCGCTATCCCCAGTAGCGTAACTCCCAGAACTCACCACCCCTTTCCAGACGTCATCGTACACCAGCGGGAAAGGCTGCGTGTTGTTGACAAAGACATTGAAGGCGTCTTTGAGTTTGATCAACCCGGCGGCCGCGAGTTGGGTGTTGTGCGCCATGTCCTGCAAAGCGTAGAGGATGTTGGCAAATTTGGCCAGGGCTTTGCCGCTGTAGTACATGCTGTCGAGCCGGGTTTGAGAGTTGAAGTCGACGCCGAGTTCAAGGGCGGCGACGGGATTGACGGCTTGGATGACGTTTTCGGCGAGAACGGTGTGCGACGTGCCTGTGTCGCCCTCTGCTGAACTGCTGCCGGGCGTCCAGGGGGCGAACCCCATGGTGGTGGGGAGGTTGGGTTCGAGCATTGTGATTGCGTTGGCGTGGACGGCGCGGGCGAGGCCTTTGGTTGTCGTCATTAGGGAGATGTTTGTAAGGGCGGATTGCGTGGTCGGGTCGAAGGATTCGATATGGTGCGGGAGGGCGAACATGAGGAGGTCCCTGCCTGCCACACCGTCTTTACCCCACGAAAGGGTATAGGAGCCTGTAGACTCGGATACAGTGCCAGTGATGGTGGCATTGACGGCGTAAGCACCGGCAGCGGAGTCGTAGACGGCTTCACCGGCTTCCTTGGCGGGATTTTTCGCAACCTGAATCATGCCGTAGAAGTCTGGTGGACCTTGGATCGTTTCCTCGTCGAGGAGGTCAAAGGGAGGGACGCCCCTGGAGGCAAAAGACGTCGCGTAGAGGAGCCATTCGGTATTGTCGTTGAGGGTGATTTTGTACTTGGTGGTGATGTCGTCGATGAGTGAGACGTATTCAAGGGTCCGGAAAAAGGTGCCGCTGTTGAGGATTGGAGTGGCGCCGGTGTAGATGCCGGTGACGAAGCCCATGCCCTGATACATGTTAGGAATCCCCGTCGGAGGCGAATTTATGCACTACATACCTGCACCAGTGGGAAAGAGAGGATTGCGTCAGCGCCTGGGGACGGGGCTAGACGAGCCCACACCGAGAAGGCCGTGAGGTCTTGGGTGAAGAGTGTTGTATCATTCCCTAGTTCGGCTGCGTTAAACACGATATGCTGCAACCCAACTGGGGCCGCAAAGAAACGTGGAACATCCCCTTCGCCCCAAGCAAAGTGCTCTCGCTCAACGTGAGCAACGGCCATGCCGTATCTTCCACCGCGACCCTGCGTCCATCTCAGGGAGTAGGGATGTGTCCAGACGGCATTGTTTTGGTTTCCCAGCATGAAGTTTGCATAGAACTTGTTCGTCTGGATGGGCACATCTTGATCATGAATCCCGAGCTTACTGACCATGTGATCGCTTCGGGTGGGTATCTGGGAAGGTGGGGCATCAGTGGCCATGGGCACGAAAATATTGTGAGCCGCCTGCAGGGCTGGTGCGGTTGGGCCCGGATCAAGGGTTGATTCTATAGGCGTCAAAGTTCCAGTAGGCTCGACTGTAGCAGAGGGGCCTAAGGGATCGCGGGTGACGCCCGGGGGAAGTCCTGTAACAATAGACTTGGAGAAGCGTTAGTCGAAATAGATGAACTTCCGGTATCGAAACGATGATGCCCAGCTATCGCCATAAGATGGAAGAATACATACTCCTGTAAGTGTAGCCGAGTCTGTGATGGATGCACTCTGCAGGGTCTCAGGGAGTGAGACATAGCTCGTTGTGATCTCGACATTGGTTGAGATATGAATCGCTCGATTCTCAAGTTCTTCGGTCCCACGTTTCTTTTGCGGTGTAGGAAGACCGTTAAGGAGTGTAGCACAGAGAAGGGTCAACAATAAAGCCAGCTTCGCCATGGTGTAAAGGCGTGTGGAAAAAAGAGTGTCTGGTGAATTGGAGCTTTTGCAAGCCAGGTGAATAAAAAGAGTATGGATGAAGAGTGTTTGATGCTAATAAGAAAGGAATGTGGAGAAGGGGTAAGGAATGGATCGTCGAGGGGGAACCTGCTCGCTGCATTGTAGGAGAAGGTGGTTGTTAGGATATATACGCAACTAGTCGCTATGGATCGCGAATCTGGATAGATGACAGGCACCATGACGGTGTTTCAAGTGACGGATGTATCATAATGAGCAGTAAACGTGAACCCCCATCGAGGGGATGAAGGGGTGAGAGAGCAAGTCGAGGCGGTGTCTTTTCCTAAAAGGGGTGACGATCAGCAGGGTATGTCCGTGGAATGTAGTACACAGTACAGTAGCACCGTAACATATGCAGTGTCTTTCTGCAGCCTTGCCAGGAACATGTGGTCAATGTTGTTGCTTCCAACTCTGAGCAAGTCGAACGCTGGGCGGATAGAGAGATGGCCATGTTTTCAAATTATGAGTAGGGAGTCCAATGGCAATGAAGGATTCAGTTTGAAAAGGTCACATAGCGCTATTTGTCTTCAACTAGGGCCTGACCCGCCGGAGAATAAAAGGCAACTGTGGTGAACCTAGCAAGTGTTAATGAAAAAGACGGTGGGTTGGTTGAAGCGGAGGATAGGTGGAGATCCTGGTTTGCCATGGCCCGAACTCAAGGCGGAAGGTGCCAGGGCATGTATATTAACGTCGCAGTACCTGGACTGAAAGGATTGACCTTGACGCTCCTTTTCGAGGGCTTCTTTCTGTAACCGTTGAGCCATTGACATGATGTTATATCCGTGCTCCAACAGCATCGAGAGGCCGCAACCTTACACAAGAGAATGCTTGCAGTACACCCCACATCCGGCCCGAAGTGTCTTAGAAGAAGGACAAATTGCGGCAACGTCCAAGGAAAAGCAGACGTCGTAAGTCTCGACATCGATATTCGAAGCAGGGCGAAAAGGTGTTGTGTTGGGGTTTTCTTGGGAGTGTTTGAACGGAGATGAGGTGACAGGGACCCGTCAGCGAATCCCATCGCAGAGACAGCTTGCACAGGTTGTCTCTCGCCCATCTCCCCGTACCATCACGTGACTGGCTACCCACACCAGCCTGCAAAACGTGAAACGGCTTTCAGACTGGCCGTCACCTGCAGATGAAAGAAAGGGGAGCCGTGACATCTCTGCCCCTGTTACCGCATGTTACGTTGCGCAGAGAGATGAGGCGAACCGTCTTTCTCTTCTCGTAGCTAGTGCTGAGAGTCTGGTCCAACCTGATGCTGCTACAGGGTTGTTAGAGATGTACAGAACAGTAGGAGCGAAGTTAAGTTAGGATGATGTATTTGCTACTTCTATTCTTCCTTCCCCTCCCGTTCTCCTGTCCCCATTCCTCCTCCTCCTGCTCCTCCTGCTCTTCTCCCTCTTATTTCGCATAAAGAGAACAGATCTTCACACCAAGCGCACGACACCAGGCCCACGCAGCGCGACTTCATTACAAGCACTTAGATCTTTCTATAATCGCGAGCGAGCCCAGCATGGCAATCTCAGTCAACAAGCAGAAAAATGAAAAGCAAATTCATGTCGTATATGAGAAGAAAAGGATAACTCCATGCGCCTCTCCAAGCCTGAGATGGCGGCTGTGTGGTATGCAGAAAAATGTCTGGAGAATGACGATGCAACGCAACGAAAGCACCATGTACAGATCCTCCCCACGCTTGCCGAAAACATGTACAGGTCAAATTGCTTCTAGATGATGCGCCGACAAGGGAAGCTGCCTAGTAGGCATGGCCTCGGTACCCTCCTTGCTGGTTATAGCCTGCTTCATGACCGCCGCTGTACCCAAACCCGCTGTGCTGAGCAGTACCTAGATCGATCTCAGGCAAGCGAGGTGCCCGAGTCGGACTGTCACTTCGCTCCCCGCTCAGACTGCGGGTGTGGCTGTGGCTCCTTCCTCCCATGCTGGCCGTGTCAGCGAGGAGGTGCTGGTTATCGGAAAAGAGCCGGGCGCCCTCGTAGGCCGTGGGCTGCTCGGAGAGGGGCACCGATTCGTAGCCGCGCGAGTTGCGCCATGTCGAAGCTTTCTTGTATTCCTGTGGATCCATGAGGAGCGAGTTGCGAGCGTCCAGGGGCGTCAGGTTATCGAGGTCGCGCATTTTTTCTGCATGAACATTAGTATAAACGGTAACCTGGGTTTCCCATCCGATACATACCCGCTTCCTTCCGCTTCTTGCGGTGAGGATTGTCACGGCAGCAGATGATGATGGCGTTGACTGCAATCAGGATTGCGAGGATTCCTGTCAACACAGCCTGCATGACAACGAGGACGAGACCGGTAACGGTCTTGGTAGTCTGCGCAACACCAAGCTCTTCAACAAACACCAAAATGCAGACAACTGACAGCACGCGAACGACCTGGATGACGATGTTGATCCAGTTCCCAGACTTGAGAGAGTAGGGCCGGATCCAGAGCAGAAGAACGAGCAGGAGGGCTTCGACAATGAGTTGACCAGAAGCCTGAGCAAGACCATGGCCATCTGCGCCGGCGATGACGCAGCCTCGAGCGAACATGTACACGATCAGTGGCACAAAGAGCCACCAGTAGCTCTTTTTGTAGTTTTCGTAGAAGATGCTGTACTTTCTCCAGACCTCCTTGTTCTCATACAGGGCCGAGGAGTCGCCTTCCATCTTCTTGAATTTGTTCGCGATGCTCCAGATCTTCCAGGTAAAGAAAGCCAGGATTGCTGTGAAGATGACAAGCGTCACGCCGGCTAACGTCTTGGCCGCCCACGAGTCTCCGCGCCTAAACTGGTAGACGCAATACAAGGTCCAGATGCCGTACAGGAGCAAGATCAGATTGGTGATTGTCTTGGCCAAGGTCCACCAGTACCTCTTGCGAAAGTTGGTGAGGCGTTCGGGGAATTTGCCGCAGAGCGCCCACGACTCCAATATGACCTTGAAGAGGAGAATGCCGACGGTGATTGCTGCCACAACGATGGCAAAGATGAGCAAGACGGTCATGAACGTGTTTCCGTTGGGTATCATGAGCTCCGCAACGTATCGCTGCATGCCTTCAACTGCGAGCATGAATTCGCTCTTCTCCTCGCTCGCGGGTTGGGTGCCATTAACATTAGTGCTCAGCTCATCCCGAGTCCAGAGCAGTACAGTGTCGAGTGCACGCTTGGTGATGTTCACTGAGGTATCCTTGTTGACCAGAGTGGCCTTCTTCAGGAATTCCACGCTGTCAGTGGTGAGATTGCCCCCGGTTTTATTGCGGAAACTGTCAATGGACTTCTCCATGCTTTCCCACTGGATCAGACCGGTGCTGAAGGCGAAGTTCTTGGAGAAGCTTCGATAGACGCCAGGATATTGGACACTCATCATGCCGTTGAGTGACATGGACTGGAACCAGCCGATGACTTCGAAGAAGGTGGGGCTGGAAGTAGCGACACCTGCGTTTCCTGCGCTGGCGAGAGCGGAAATACCCGAGACGATCAGAGCAGCACCGGCAATGCCAGCGGCGACATAGGAGACTCCAGGGACTGTAAGCGACTTTCCATTGCCGACTTGCGAGGTAATGCAAGCCAACTGCTCCTCTCCGTCAAGGGCTTTCAGCTGCATGGTGGCCTGGCTGTCGAGATCGGGGACATTGAATGCGATGGATGGGATCTGGGATATGTAGGAATCGGGAATGGTCTGGACGCCTTTGGCAGCGAAGTTGCCTTCGGGTACTGTTGCGGGTTAGCTTGTGGAGGTCCATGTGGGAAGGGCACTTGACGTACCTGGGCACAGTTCTTCCATCTTTGTGTTGTCGTCGCAGGGGTTGAACTCATTCTTGTACACCTCCTGGCCGTAGGCTTTGACCGTCAGGACGGCCACGACCTTCTGTGACTTGGAGCTGGATCCCGCTACATCGAACGTGATCTTTTTGGTTGACCGGTCGAACTCGAGGTCCAGCTTGTTGACCTTGATGTCCGAGTTTTCCTGACAGGAGCTGTAGCCATCGGTTTTGAGGACGTCGCCAGCCAAGGCACCCAAGGGGGCGGAGGCGAGCAATATGAAGGGAGCGAGCATGGCGGAATATGTGGTATGGACTCTCATGATGCAGGACTAGATGCCCGCCTGAGGGCGATGTCTCCCAAGCCTAGGGTGCAGTCGATGGGTTTTCGAAACGTCTGAGGGTGTAAAACGAAACGAGGATGCGATGGGGTTGGGTAGAAACTGGAATAGGAGACGATGGAGCAACGGAGCTTGAGGTTTGATTAAACTGGTGTATAGGCGCGCAGGATCAACCTCGTCGTGCCAGGGGTCGTGAGAAAGCGAGAAGTTGGGAACGAGAGGAAGGGTCGGAAAGCGGGCGACGGGTTGGCGAGAGAGAAAGCGAAAGACGAAACGAGAGACAAACGACGGAGACGAGGGGGTAGCACAGTCGCAGTTGCGAGGAGCGGAAGGGAAAGGGAGAGAGGTGGAGGGAGAAGATTGTGGTGACGGCAAGGTTTCAGGTGTCAGCGGGTTCTGGTCGTTCTGGTCCTGGCTGTGGCAGGGAAGGGGAAGGTGCGGCCTGGCAGGGGGAGCGAAGGTGGGTTCCGGCACGGCAACCGTCCGTAAGAGGAAGCGACGGGCGATAATGGGAATGCCGTGTGGCGATAATTTGGTTCCTCTGTGAGTGCACAAAGAATAATGGCCGAGTTATTATTATTGGCGCATCCTTGAAGATTTGTGGTTTGCAAAGAAGGGGAGCAGCGGAGAGGAGGGCACCACGGCACACTTTATCTGTAAGCTAGACTCAATAATACTCAGCGTCGGACGGGCACGAGGAGGACGGTGTGAATGCCTTCGACCGCGTGCTAGCCACACCCCAGTACAGTAGAGCTCGACCACAGCTGAAGCACGAGAAATGCTGGATCGCACAAAGGCGTTCGAAAAGGTGGGTTGCCGGCCTATCGCTGGCGCCCGAAAAACGCGTATAGTGGGCTTGAGTTCAACGGTCTTGGTCCCCTTGGCGATATGTAGAGTTCCGCCGCATATTCACCGTGTGTGTTTGTCTTGCTCTCTGTCGCTGCCAAAAAGGCTGCCCTCTACAAGTAACAATTCGTTTGCTGCGCCGGTGCAAGTCTTCACTTTTCTATTTTAACAGGGCCATGCGCGGCGGCTGTAACAGTGATGGCTCCTTCCTGGATGACCGCAGCGACACAGCGATTGGCGGGTTGTGCAGGTCCGCGTACGTGGCCCCCTGTGGCTGTGCTGATGCAAAAATAAACATTCATGCATGGCTTGCATGGGTCCGGAATCCACATGCATGAGATTCCGAGAAGTCTGGGCACAAGTCATGTGACATTAGGAAAACCTCCACTCCCACCCTTCATCAGACAAAAGCCCTGTTCCTCTTCGGACCAGCGGCAAACCATCATAGAGAAGTGTATAGATAAAGGAAGTAGACTGAGTAGAATGTACATTTGCTAGTTAATCAAGCGTTCTCTTGAGTATACAAGGACACAGGACCCCGCTAAACAACTTAGTAAAACCCTAGGCAAAAGAAAACTGGACCTGCTCACAACTTCCTAAAGGCTAACGAATAACGCTAAAGGAAGATCAAAGGCTACTGCTGCTGCTCATGTACCCGCTATCTCTACTCTGCACTCTCTCCAGCGGGGCGAATTCCTCGCTGTAGAGTCGGAGGATATCAGGATGTGCTAGTTGCTCTGGTTGGGATTCGCCGTCGACGTCAACGCCGTTATGCAATTCCATGTCGGTACGAGCGAGGAGAGGCTGGGTGGTGAAGTCCGTCGCACTTGCCTTTGCGCGCTTGTGTTGGGTATGGAGTTGGTGACGTGCTGGAGGGGTGCCATTGGTGTCTGAACAAGCGGTATTACTGAGACTGTTGCTTCTGAGTGTTCGGGACCTAGATCGGGATCGTGACCGTGAGGACCGGGCGGAAGCGGAGGAAGCGGTCTTTTTAAAGATGTCTCTTAACGTGCTCACAGGTGCCGTGACGCTGGAAGACAGACTCGAGAGGGTAGATGAGAGGGAGGGTGTCGGGCTTATGGGAAGCTCCATGCTTCTAATGTCTGGCTGCGGGATAGGCGGAGATGCAGAAGGGGAAGTCATGAAGACGTCTCCATCTCTGTCTTTCCGCACTGTCGTACTCTCCTTACTACCCAATCCTTCTTCTCCTCCCGTTTCTTCCATATACGCCGCCTCCTCGATAAAGGCGGAAAAGAGCGCGGCGTCTACGTCTCCGTCTCCACCCTCCTGTTTCGACCCCTCCTTCTTGCCACCTCTCTCATTCTGCTCTCGATAACTACCTGCACCGACTTCCTCTCTCTCCATCACCCCTTTTTCTTCTTCCTCAACTCTACTCAACGGACTCGGCGCAGCGAGAGTTTTGCGCCTCGTCGCGCTCGCCACGAGAGTGGTCCAGAGATCGCTGCCTCGTGATGCGCTGCGCATCCTCGAGGTGCCTGTGCCAGCAACGGTGGGAGTGCCGTTCCCGTTGCCGTCCTCGTCGTCATAGCTCCTGGTCAAACCTTTCTTAGACACACCAAACTTGTTCACAGAGCCGCAAATGTTTCCGAACTTCATCACTCCCTCCCTCACCTCCCCTCTACCCTTCTTCTCCAATTTCTCAGGCGACGGCGGAGAAAGCGGTAACACGGGGAACGACACATCCAGCGGCGTATGCACGCCATATTGCCTCCCCCAGCGACATTCACTCGGGTAATCACAGTTGAGCCAGCAGTTTTTTCTCTGGGGGAGGTTGGATTTGGGAATTGAGAGAGCGGGTGCAGAAAGGGAGCGAGAGGCCGTGGTGTTGCTGGATGAGGTATATGGACGGCCTCTGGTGGAGGAGTTGGTGGTGTAGTCGCTGTCGACATCGGTATCGGTGTCGCTATCACTGTCTTCCTCCGAGGCAGATGAGGATGAGGGTGAATACAACGACGCAGACGTCGACGAGCCATTACTCAATCCCGCATCCGAATCATGACTTGCCTCCCTCGCATCGCTTCTCACACTAAGAACACCCCTCCTCCACCTCCCCCACTCCTTCCACCCCAAATAATCAAACTCACTCCCACACGCCTTATGCCTTAGCACCCTTGCCTTATTTCCCCGCCCGCCACTCCTAGGATTCACGCTCTTCCGCCAACACTTGAGCGTCGTGGTGCCCGCGCAGAAGAAATGTCCGTCCTCAAGACAGCGCCGGGTTACGGATAGCGGGTACGTGCGGTGGCAGTTGTGGCATTGCCAGAGCCAGCGGAGGGGGGAGGGGGAAGGCGAGGGTATGACGACGGGGATATTGTTGAAGTTTGAGGGGATGGAGGTGTTTGGGTAAGTGGTGGAGGCTGGGGATGATGTTGAGGGAAAGGAGCGGAAGAATCTAGTAGTCCCTGTTCTAGAGGTGCCCTGGGTGGTTTGGTATAAAGGCGTTCGGGGGGAAAAGGGCGAGGGCGGGATGGCGAGGTACGAGGATTTGAAGGGCTTTGTTGTCGTGTGGATGCGGACCTGGAGGTCGGGTTTTGTGCGTTGTTGGCGCATCTTACTTTTATTATTTTATAATTGCTGATATCAGCTGGGTGAAGCTAGATAGCTGGTAAGGAGACTGCTCCAAAGTCGAAATGATATCCTGGGATGCAAAGGCCCGCTTCGCTCTTGATCCAGGTGATGCTCCTCTCCAAACGAGCGAGGTATGACTATCTGCAGAGTACGAAAACGAAAGGATAGAGAGAAACGTCCACGGAAGAATCGATAGAAAGTGAGAAGGGAGGGAAAGAGACGGGAAGCAGGAAAAATATCAAGAAACTCACCCTTCCCATGCTCTTTATCGCCACTCTCCGACCTGGACATCCCAAGGCTTCTCCCATTCTCCCAGAAAATTCCTGAATCACCAAGGTTCGTAGACGTCATATCCCGCTTTGTCTAAAGCCATATGACTGATAGTCAGCCTGAGAGGCATCATTGAGACTCTTTGTTCCCGTGGTCGACATAGCCCGAAAAGGTCCAATCACAAAGCGGAGAGTAGGAGATGGGGACGCGGGTCTTTGTGTAGGACGCCACCTTGTTAGAATGTCCGTGACTCTAATCTGAAACGTAGCGTCGTGGTGGCTGAAGTGCAAGAATAGAAGAGAAATTCGTGGTGCGTGCGATGGATGGAGAGATATACATGGGTTGATAAAGGCCACTTGACCCGTGTTTCGACTCGTTCAAAGGTTCTGTCGAGCAGCGACTGAGGTCGTACATTATGAAGACCTTCATAGCCCCCATCGCCTAGGCCTGACCCGCTGCAAACAGCTGTTTCAGTGCGGATGACGTACGTGTGAATGTGACATGCTGCTCCTTCGTCGTTCAGGGGGTCCAAGTCTGCCTTGGCCGGTTGTCGTTCTTCTCTCGTTAGGGCTTAGCCCTTGTGTAATCCCTCACTCCCCCTCCTTTAAGATAACAATCCCGTACGGATCCCTATCCACCTCGCTGACCAGCACTTCAAACTCCTCGTCTCCCATCGCTTCATTCAACTCCTCCCTTCCATTCTCCTCCTCCCTCACTACCTTCCATTCCTCCTGGACAGCTTGCTCCAATTGCCCGACAAGCACGTCCCTCAAGAAGCCCCTCTCAGAATTACTATGAAACAAACTTATGACCGTCTGCCCTTTTTCAATGGCCGCCAAGGCTTCATGATGACTCATTTCCCCCGTAAACAACAAATCCACATCTAACCCTTTGAACAGCGAAGCCCCAGATCCAGCACAAATCCCCACAGTCCGAACCTCAATTTCCGAAATTGTCTTATCCTGCGGAATCGCTATGGGAAAACCCTTAGGGTTATTTAATCCCTCGCCGATTCTATCCAATAAAGTAGGTAAAGGCTGCGGTTTCTCAAACGTGACCACTCGCCCTATTCCCGAGCCTGGATGTGATTCCAATTCCGGAGACTGCGGGACTATGGGCCAGCGGGAGTGGGGGATTGGGGGGTAGGAGAAGCGGAAGGAGAGGCCGCGTTGGCTTTGTTGGTAGTGAAGGGTGTATGTGAGGCGTTTACCAGCGAAGGCGTCGTCATTGTTGTCTTTGTTCTGAAGGGTGCTAGGTTGGGGTTGTGCTGTGTCTTTGTCTGATGTGTCATCATGTCGAGAAGTCTGCCTTGTACCGGTCAAGATGTCTGCGAGCCAGTCACCAAGGCCGCCGGGGGCGGCATCAACGGCGGTATGGGGGCTGTATACGCTGATCCCATGGCTTGCTAGGCGGAGGAGTGTTTGTTGCTGGGTATCTTCGAACGTCAAGGACTTTAGGCCTCGAAATATGATTGGGTGGTATGCGACAATGATGGAGGAATTGAGGGCGATGGCTTCGTCGGCGACGGCCCGTGTGAGGTCGATGGTGAGGAGGACGGTGTTGGATTTCCGGCGGGAAGGGTCGAAGGGGGCTTCGAGGAGGAGGCCGGTGTTGTCCCAGGAGGAGTCGGCGAGGGCTTTTGGGTAGCTGGTGGCTGTTTTAGTCTGATGATAACTAGGATTTCAACAGAGATCAGAAGCGATTGATTGAGAGCAAGAGAAGCGGAAGAGAAAGCCATAGTCCTCCTCAATTAGTACAGCAACCTCCCACCTCACCACTCTACACTCTTCCAGTTCTCACTTACAGCCTTTGCATGGCCCTGACCACCGCCCGGGAAAATGGGGCTGAACCCGTCATACTGGCCATTGTAAACGAGCGTCTAGCAGTCTGTAAAAACATACAGATATCCGCAACCACCAACAGTCGTTGACATTGGGGATTCCCACATACCTAGGTACCTTACCCCGCAAGCTACAAGTACTACCTAGGTAGCCTCCCCCGCAAGCCACAATGCCAAGACCCGCTACGCGAAGGGCCAATCGTCATCGCTCATCGGGACGCTTATCAGATCTTGATGAGAAATCCACATGCATGATGCACCACCAAGAGAGTTAAACATCGAGAGGCCAGGGTTTGGTCTACACGAACGAACCGATACAGAGACGTTTTGCCTGTGAGAGGAGACTTCGCATTTCAGAAGAATGAGCGCTCGAACCGACACCGAGGCCGCGCAGGTCCAAGCTGCCTCAGGAGTCACCATTGAGGGACTCAGAAAGAAGCTCGAAGAGCAGCTGGACGCTACCTATGTTGAGATTGAAGATATGAGTGGTTGGTACCTGTCTCTCATTATCTAAGATTTCGGATCCCAGTATTTCCTGGCGCGGCACCTTTCCATCTTCAAATGAGGGACTGGAAATCACGAGACTGATTCACGCAAAGGTGGATGCGGGCAAATGTTCCAAGCCATTATCGTCTCGCCGCAATTCGCAAAGAAAACGACCCTGGCGAGACATCGGCTTGTCAATGGCATTCTCAAGGAGGAGATTGCGGCCATCCATGCGTGGACGCCGAAGTGTCATACGCCTGAAGAATGGGAGAAGAAGAAGCCGCAGGCTTGAGATGCATGGCGGGATCAAGATGTCACGAGTTTCTATATGCATCGGATCTGAGTTATGGACGTGGGAGGACGTGGACAAGGGTTGGCTTGAAGAATCATCGATGAAGGGGCAACAACATGAAATGAAGCCACCAAACAATCCACCTAGCTCAACAACACGCGTATCTCCCCGCTAGTGCGAGGGAACAGATCTCTCAGCCCAGGTGCAGGTTCCTGGCCGTCTTCCGCCGGTTCCGTATCTTGAAGCAGGTCATCCGCGGCCAGAATCCTACTTTCAATGAATTCGAAATCCTCGCAGAATCGCCTTGCAGCTTCCTCCGTGATGTCGTGCACCATCTTTCTGCTCCGCAGTCTCTTGATGTTTTCTGATGCATCAATCAACGCCGATGGAAGAAAATCGTCGAGTTGCTGGCTTGTCGATATCAGAGCGTCGGGTTTGAAGGGGTCGAGAGTCGGGATACTCCTTAGGCTATCGGTGGTGTCTGAGACCTCAGAGAGCGCTTCAGTGAGCGGTAGAAGCCCGGACGTATGGGTAAGGTATTGATGTTGGTACTCAACTAGCTTGGCGACATGCTCACTAATCGTGTCTTGAATGTCGCTGATCCTCTTCTGCGTGAAGGAATAACCGAGCAACACCTCCTTTGCCGCTAAGAGACAGTTGACGGCAAATATATGGCCATCAAGAAGGTCCAAGCTTTTCTGAAGGTTCTCGCAGCCACCCAGGAAAGGCTCTAGAGCCTCTGTCAGCACGGCTTGGAAGCCTTCCTCGCGATCATCAAATGCCGCAATTGATGAGTCGAAGCTCTTGGCCAGAGCTTTCAGCATTTGCAAGGCGTCCTCAAGGAAGTCAGGCGGCGACAGATCTGGAGGCGCTAGGGTGATTTCGCTCTGCACGGCAGCGACATGATCGCGCATGTTGGCCCTGAATTGCCTCATTGCTGACTCTTCGAGTTGTGTGAAAACACCAAGAACTTCGGAGTCTTCCCCGAGGAGCTTGACAAAGGTCGTGCGATAGAATCTGATCAGATTGGCGATTTTGTAGGCAAGTGTAGCATCATCGTGACTCTGGATAACCTGCTCCGTACGCTGTCGCAGCAAGCGAGCAACGCCTGTTAGGTCGCGGCCGACGATTTGGTTGAGCGCTGTCCTCCCGTCAAATATTTCTTGGTCGCCGTCGCCCCGCAACCAGGGTTCGCTCTCCAGACCGGCCTGAATCGAACGCTTGATCTCGTCGCCCTCGGAGATGAAAAGAACTTCCAATGCTTCCCGCTCTGAGACGGTAGCGGCGTGTGTCCAAGCCAGCATGTCACCAACGTACCGCAAGGGATCATGGGCCTGGAATTCAATGGGTTTGGTGGCAAGCTTCGTTGTATCGGATGCAGAGCCAGTCAATGCAGCGTGGAAGGAGTCGGATAGTATATGTTCTCGCGCTTCAGCAAAGAAGTCCAGGCATGCTTGGAAGAGCGTCGGCCGTTCGGCCAGCACCCGCAGCGATCTTCGAACGGACGCGTTGATTTGGGGGTTTTCCAGGTCCAGCGTTTTAAATTCCGACTGAACCCACCGAAAGAGCTTCTGGAAAGCGGAATTCAGCTGCTTGGAGCTTTGCTCAAGCACTTCGAGGCCCAAGGTTTGGTTTTCGCTCCCGAGAAGAACTTGGCAGTCGTGGTGAATCTTCTTCACCCTCGTCAGTGTCTGGAAGAAGTCTTCGTCGACAGGCAGAGCGGTAGAGGTGAGAGTGGCCGCATCCTCCTCGGAGAGAACAAAATGTGCGTTGAAGGCGTTGAGGATCTGCTGTCTTGTTTCGACTTGTTCCTTTTGATTCAGGAGGCCCTTGGCCTCGTCCAGGACGGGAGCCGTCTCCCTGTGAGCAGCTTCAATATGGCTACGCATATCATCACAGTACTTGTTCAGGCTTTTAATCGCACTTCCAATGCGTTTGAGTTGCTACGCCAGAAGTATTAGTTGTAGGAAAAGAAACCAAAAATCTGATTACCTACATCTGCCACCGCGCCAAAGTCCTTCACGATCTCACCGTTGCACTGGATGACCTCTCTCTGCACATCTAAGCGTAGATGCCGCCGGGTCTCTGCCGTATTCTCAACCCCTCGAGCATCGAGTGTTTCCAACGCATCGCGAATATCCAGGTCGGCGTACGATGCCGAGAGGACATTTGTTATGCGACTGGAAAGGGCGCTGGAGCCACGGGATGCTGTTCCGCTAACCCCAGAGGCAGAGGCATCCAAGGAGGATGGATAGGGACGCTCCAATATTTGGGTCGACATGATTCCAAAGATTTGTGAACCCTTGCCTAGAACCTTGGGCGGAGTGGTTCACACCTGGTTGTACCATAGTAGGGCCTTGCACGTGTCGATAAGCTAGGTAGCTTATCGGGAGGCTAAGCCGAATGCGTCAATCCCGGCGGCCCGGGGGTGTTCTGGTGACGCCAGTCCCATGACTGAGGTCAACAGACGTCGACCTCCCTCACACTTCAACCTAATTCCCAACCTTTAACCTAACATCATAACACCTCCACTGCGGAAGGGTGCTACTTCCTGAAGCGAACTCCCCGTACGGCATGCGGCATGCCCTAATCATGCCCACAGCAACCGCGTCCGTGGCTAGCCATATTCGCTGCACGCGCTGCTTGACGACCACCCCGCCTTGCCCATTCACCTATCACTCGCCCTACTAGCCACCCGCGTATACTTAGTTAGTCGCAGCCTCGATGGCTTCCAACCTACTTTCCAAACTCCTCCCCTCTGCCTCCGACGGGCCGTTCGAAACCGACATCTCCCATTCCCACCGTGAGCGTCGCGCTTCATCCAGCGATGATCCATACGAAATGGATATAGACGAGGAGAACTTCGGAGCTCGCTTTGAAGAACAGGACCTGGAGAATCTGCTGGCTGACGCACAGTCGACCACCGCGACGTCAAATCTCCATCCCAACGACGGCGGACCAGCAGGGTGGAGCAACCGTGCTCCACATGCGGAGCACCCGTACGATGATGACGATGTTCCTGAGTCCCTTCTCCTTGAAGGTGAAGCCGATAAGCCGTCAAGCCCCCCTCGTTCACCTCCAGGCACTCTCCCACCCCCAGTCCCGGGCCCTTCAACACGCCAAAACATCGCGCAATGGGAAGCCACAAAAAGACATCAACGACTACACCATGAGGAACGTCGGGCAGCTCCTGTTCCAAGCTGGAGAGCGCTGGGTAGGCATGGCGTTCTAGCGGTAGATCCAAAGGAGAAGGCCATGTGGCGCTGGGTTAATGTCTCTGACATGGACGCCTTCATGAGCGAAGTGTATGCATATTACACTGGACATGGCATTAAATCCATACTTCTAAGGAAGACCCTAGCGTTGGTGTAAGTATGGGGTCCTTTTCCCGATACCATGGCTGACTCTCCAGGCAAACCACATTTGTCGTAGGCTACCTCACATTCTTGAGCTACTGCATTGACTACAAGAGTATTTCCCACAGCCACAAGATGAGCGAAGTGCTTGTACCCCAATGCATGAAGAAGTTCGTCGTTCAACAATATTTCTGCAGAAGATGCTGACCGGAGGACAGAATCCATGGCATCTGGATATTCGGGCTGTGGCTGTTTATTCTATACACCCTATATGCACTCGTCAAGGTCATTCTGGATATCCCTGAGCTGAAAGCCATGCACGACTTCTACCACTACCTCCTCGACATACCGGATAGAGACATTCAGAGCGTTCAGTGGCAGCATGTAGTCGGCCAAATCATGTCGTTGCGGGATCTTAATCTTACAACAGCGTCCAACCTATCGCCTGAAGCCCGCAAACTCGTGGATCATAGAGCCAGACAACGACTAGATGCTGTTGACATTGCGAGTCGACTCCTGCGTCAAGATAACTATATGATTGCTCTCTTCAACAAGGAAATCCTTGATGTCGGCATTTCAATTCCCTTCGTGGGAAAGCGATATGTCTTTTCGGAGACAACCCAATGGCATGTCCGCCTAGCCATACTCGACTTTGTATTCAGCGGACCAAACAATTCCTTCAACAAGGATTTTCTGAGCTCCAGAAATCGCCGTGAACTCGTCAGAAGGTTGCAGGCCCGATTCTTCTGGGTTGGCGTCATCAGCATCATTTATACACCGTTCCTCGTCACTTTTGTTTTGGCTTCGTACTTGTTCAAGTATTTTACTGTAATGTTCCCTGCTTTTCGTTCAAACCAAATGTTCAAACACTCACTCAATCAGGAATACCGCAAAGATCCCTCAATACTAAGCACGCGAGACTTCACGCCGTTCGCACAGTGGAAGTTCCGCGAGTTCAATGAACTACCGCATCTTTTCATTCGACGTAAAAACATGGCGTTGGAATGCGCAACCTACTACCTGGACCAGTTCCCAAAGGACAAATCACAGCAAGTCGCTACCTTCATCTCGTTTGTAGCAGGAGCCTTCGCTTTCGTACTTGGCTTGATTACCGTATTTGACTCTGAACTGTTTCTCAACTTTGAGATTGGGGGAAGGACTGCGCTTTTCTGGCTCGGGTTACTCACAACAGTCTACCTGGCTGCTAGGAGCAGCAGTCCGAAAGATGGCCACGTCCCGGTTCCGGAGTACTACCTGGAGATGGTCAACCAATACACACATTACGAACCACCGACCTGGAAGGGCAAGCTGCACAGCGACGAGGTTCGCGCCGAGTTCTCCGAGCTATTCCAGTTGAAAATCCTCATCTTCGCGGAGGAGATTCTGAGTATGGTAATCACTCCATTCCTGCTCATGTTCAGATTGCCTGGCTGCAGCGACCGCATTGTCGACTTCTTCCGCGAGTTCTCCATCCACGTCGACGGCCTGGGAGTCGTCTGCTCATACTCCATGTTCCCTTTCAACAAAGGCACGAGGAACGGCGGTGCAGGAGTAGCAAACCAGGCCGTCCGCCGCGACACCACCGACCCGCGTGCCGCCTACTTCAACACTAAGGACGATAAGATGTTGCGATCCTACTACGGCTTCCTCGACACGTACTCTACGAACGGAAGAGTCCCACATGCCAGGGAGAACTTTCATCCTCCGCCGCAATTCCCGAACGCCTTCGGCATGCATATGTCAGGTACTGCACATCCTCTCGACCCGAATCCCCGTGCGCATCTACCATTCCACCAGCTCGCTCAGCGCCTCAATGCCGTGCCCGTTCCCAAGGAACCCGTCCTCCCTCCCAAAGACGAATCGTACGCCTCCGCCCTGCTAGACCCCCGTCACCACCCCAATCCGGCCGCACTCCGAGCGTCCCCGCTCCAAGCACCGCGCTACCGCCCTTCGCATCTGATGCATAATGTAGCCGAGAGCCCGCGGTCCAGACTTGGGCTCTCGAGGCAGCAGAGTTCGTCACGTGTGGAGGAGGAGAGTACCTTGGGAGAGTCGTGGCGGATGGGACGGATGGCAGCGGCGGAAGACGAGGAGGACGACGAGATAGCGGAAGGGCAGAAGGGAGGGAAAAGGGAGGGGTTGTTGCAGGTGTTGATGGATTTTGGGAATGCGCAGGCGACGGGGAAGGGCGTTAGTGGGGTGGAGATTTGAGGGGTGGTGCTTGAAGGGAAAGATTTGCTACAAGAAACGTTTTTGGATTTAAGAAGGGGTTTTGCATGGCACGGAGTACTTGGGTAGATGAATCATGGTGAACTTGGGGCATCCTTCATAGGCGTTCGTTTGGATAGTAGGTTGGTTGATCAGGAATGGGGTTGGGTCTTCACATCTACTTCATTGGTACCTTGCTTAGCATTTGTGAGAGAAGTAGTGACTAGAGAAGTGGTGACTAGAGTGGTCGTATACATTATATTTTTGTAAATGAGCGCCCGTGTGCATGTGCGATTTGCCTTGGTTGAATGTGGCACTCTATAGCCTCACATAAACCATCCGATATGCGCGCATTGCCATGGGCTGGTTATACGATATCACCCACACTCCGTCGCTGGCGGTCACAGTACCCTTAGTTTACCTTGCCACGCCAACATCGTCAACCCGTCTACGTACGCGCCAGTCTCAAAGATCCAGATGAGAGAGCAACGCCCGTTCAGCGCAAGGTTTTGCGAGCATCGTAGGTATCAGACGGAAGCATTCGAATTGTCTCGATGGAGGAACAGTGCTGGATATAATTTATATATGGCAAAAAGCATCGCTAGCTATGCAAAGGTAATTCCCATTCCCTACCAACACCTAACCCGGCCTTCGATAAATTCATACCCGCGCATGCTTAAACGCCGCTCAACAACGCCCGCGCGAGCAATGGCAACGCAGGTACGAAGCGTAACCCCCACCCATCCGTCTCCCCTATTCCCATTTCCCGTCCAAACCCACACCCTCACCCAAACCAGCCCAATTCCTAACCTTAAGCAGCAACCCTCTCCGTCCTCGCCGCCCGCGCAGGCGCGCGAACCGCGCCCGGTCTATTGAGCGTATACTTCGCAAACGCTCTCGCGAGGGCCTTCTTCGCGCTGATCTTTTGGCTTCCAACAAACGAGTCGACGGCCACGGCGATGGCGCGATCAATGTCCTGCGCGGCGCAGTAGTCCGAAAGGCGCATCTTACAGAAGGCTTCGCTGATGCGGATGATGGCTTCAAGATGGCGGACCTGTAAGGGCGTCAATCATCTGCATCCCACCGCTAGCTATTACGTTGATCTCTGAGGGAGGAAAGGCAAGGAGATTTAAGTAAGCAAATAGGGGGAAGGCAGAACTTACAGTAATAGGATACGCCCCCGTCGCCAAACTCTCCCTCCGCATATCCGCAAACAACCTCGCCACCTTATCCTGATCAATCTGGTAAAGCTTCGGCCTACACTTCTCCCTTGCATACAATATATACTTCCTCAGCAACTCTTGCGGAATCTCGCCTTCCTGAGGCGGCATATCGTCGTCGACCTCCATCTGCGTCTGTTGCGTCGTCTCATCCTCGTGCGTCTGCTGCGACTTATCCGCCGCAAATCCATACGCAGGCGCTTTAAGCGGATGCGCCCGACCATGAGAATTTACCACAAAGTTGGCCAACCGCTCATCTTCCGTCGGATCAACCGTGTCTCGTACTACACAGAGGATATCGAAACGGGACAAAATGGGCTCCGTGAGCTCCACATTCTCCGAGAACGGGCGCGTGGAATTATATCGCCCGCCGATTGGATTCGCCGCTGCCACGACCGCACAGCGCGCCTGCAATGTCGTCACGATACCCGCTTTGGAGATGGAGATGGTTTGCTGTTCCATTGCCTCGTGGATGGATGTTCTGTCTTGGTCGTTCATCTTGTCGAATTCGTCGATGAGACAAGTTCCCTTGTCGGCGAGGACGAGCGCTCCGCCCTCGAGTGTCCACTCGCTCGTCATGGGGTCGCGGCGGACGGATGCTGTAAGACCAACGGCGGAGGCTCCTTGACCCGTAGCAAAGACGGCGCGGTGCGCGGTCTTCTCAACGTACTTCAAGATCTGAGATTTGGCCGTACCCGGGTCACCGAGGAGAAGGACGTTGATGTCGCCGCGGATGGACATGCGGCCTGGGGCTTCTTTGCTGACGCCGCCGAAGAGCGACAGGGCAACGGCGGTTTTGATGTCGGTGTGGCCGTAGATGCTGGGCGCGATGGAGTTGATGATCTTGTCGACAATTTTGGGGTCTTTGCTGAGTTTGCGGATTTCCCGTTCGTCCTCTTCAGTCAGGCGGAAACCAGCAAGCTGGTCGTGGGACTTGACGACATGGTTGGCTTCGATGATGGTGGCGAACACGGGAAATCCGTTCTTGTTGTTCAGTGCAGCATCGTAGTTGTTGCGATAGATGCCGGTTACTTCGATCTCCTCTCCTGGCTTGGCCGCATCAATCAGATCCCAGAGGAGGATGACTTCTCTGTGCCTGGGGAGACGCCCAGCTGGTACCGTTCCAGGTGACTCCTGAAGTGTGAGCTTCTGATAGTTTCGGTAGACAGTCTTCTCGGAATTCACAGTGAAGGGACCTCGTGACTGGCACATGGAGCAGAAGCTGATCTTCACCTCAACATTCGAGTCCTGGTGGAAAGGGCCTAAAGTGACGCCGCACTTGGTACAGTCAAACTTGACGTACTTCAACTGGGGAAACACACCGCTTCGGCGAGTAACAACACCGCTGACGCGCACTAAGCAGTTGAGGTGGCTCTGACGAAGTTGTCGTAGAGTATACTGGACAGGTAGATCAGTTATCCGGACATGGATTTCGGCATGAATACGCTCATAGTCCGGATACTGGAGTAAAGTCACTTCCATGGCCACTTGATCAAAAATCTTGAGCATCTCGGCGGGTGCGTTCGCAAGGAAGAAACCCAATGTAGCCTTGGATTCCACCAGATGGTCAAAGGACACTTCCAGAGATTCCGCATTCACTTCACCAAGGGTCCTTATCCTGTTGCCGTACACAGAGTCGTTGTGCTCGTCTGTGTACTCGAGCAAAAAGGACCTGAACTCGCGAGCAATGGTGCGCGCCACAGCAGGCAGAGCAATCCAATCCGGTAACGACGCAGCTTTAACATCTGAAAGTGCTTCGAGCGTCAGTTCCTCGTTCATGATATCGTCCTCTTCGTCCATCCGATCCGGCTCCTCATCGTATCGGTTTCGACGTCTGCGAGGCTGCCGAGTGAGGCCTTCAAGCCCTTCGTCGTCGTCTGCCAACCAAGCCGTCGGCATATGTCGACGTGCCTCACGATCTCTGGCATTAAGACGTCTTTCGAGTTCTCGCCTTGCTGCAGGATCCAGCTCGTCGTATTCTTGGTCGTCGATGTCTTGTGCTTCATATGCATCATTTTCCCGCGTTCCGTAATCTCGTTCGAAATCCTCGTTGAAGAGGTCAATGCCATCACGCTCCTCCACTTCCTCATCTAGATCGTCCGGATCCCGTAGTAGGTCGTCTTCATAGTCCATCGGGTCGATATCTTCGTCGTCCATGGCAGGGATTGGCGGTGATGAAGGCGGGGCTAGATATTTTGTTAGATTCTGGCATGTACATGGTGATCGGATCAAAACTCACGGCTGGACGGCGGGAGCGCCGCAGAGGACGGTAGGTCGTCATCCTCTCTCCCACGCTTGTTGGGCCTTGTGTTGCTCGGCCCGCCTCGATTTGAGGAAGACATATTTTGTGGGATGGAGAAGCTGACTAGGGAATAAAGTTTTCGATATGGAGGTACTGTCGAATAAGAAAATCACTTGTGGAATGAACGGGAGTTTTCCCAGAGAAGGGAGTGAACAAGTTGTTTTCACTTATGTGAGCGGAGAGAAAACAAGCCAGAGTGGGCTGGAGTCCCCTTTCGCGACGCGGCGCGTTTTCTTGGCGCGTCTCAATTAAGGCCCGATTGGGCTAAGCGCGTGTTGGAAGTTGCTCTTGCAGAGAGATACGCAATCCATAACAATTCGTCTACTCTGCAAGTGAGGATAACATTTTGGCACTATGGCTGAATTGCGGCGCGCGTCGCAGGCGTCTGAGGACTCGCAAACTGCAGCAGAGTAAGTGCTCACACCGGTTCGGGCGTCGTAGCCTAATGCGCACGATAGCTTCATTCGAGAACAGCTCCACCTTGAAGCAGAGGCTCGCGAAGCTCTTCCCTATGTACGGTTTGGCGCGCACACGTTTTGACGTATGGCTTTTGTCTAAGTCTTCCTAGCAATTCGATACTTGCACACGTCCCCTCGGTGCAATTCGACAGAGCCTCTTCTCGTGCCTCACTTGCAACCCGCCTCCACCCGATAGCTCCGCACCATACACAGCCGCTGGTGTCTGCTACTCATGCTCTATATCATGCCACGGTGAGCATACACTAGTCGAGCTTTTCGGAAAGCGCAACTTCGTTTGCGACTGCGGAACTTCGCGACTCCCCGAGACCGCTCCATGTCAGCTCCAAATCAACTCAAAGACGGGACTCAAGGGCGGCGTCACGGGCGAGGAGCCAGCCCAGGGCAATCGATACAACCAGAACTTCCGGAATAGGTTTTGCGGATGCGGCGAAGAATACGATCCGAACCAGGAGAAGGGAACGATGTTCCAGTGTCTTGGGCTTGGCTATGCGGAAGACGGAGGGTGCGGTGAAGATTGGTGGCATCCTGAATGTATTATTGGAATGAGTAGGGAGGATTATAAGAGATACGTGGAGGAAGAGAAGGCAAGGAAAACGGAGATTTCGCCGAAGAAAGAGACGGAGAATGTCAAGCGAGAAAGCAACACCGAGCCGACGGGGGAACAGAGCCGCGATCAGGCTGTGACAGATGAACCAAGGGCCGCCATTGAAGTCGGAGAAACTGGAACCGATGGAAACGACATCGCTGCCGAGGCAGGAGAGGAAGAAGAGGACGACGACACCCCGCTCCCTCCTGGATTCCCAGACGAGGATGACTTCGACCACTTCCTCTGCTACAAATGTGTAGAACGACATCCATGGATCAAGAGATACGCGGGTGCCCCAGGATTCCTACCGCCCGTTTTCCACCGCCCTTCTACCGGATCCCCGGCTGATCTAGGGCCATCCTCTGCTCCCTCCGAGCCCACCAGCGTCGATTCAAAGAAACGCAAAGCTGAAGACGATGCCCCCGAAGAAACCTCTCCATCTCTCCTGTCCGCGACTCCAGCGGTTAAGCGCCAGAAATCAGTCCACCCCTCCACCACCCTCCCACCCGTCCCCGAGTCAAGCGACATTCCATGCAGATGCGACGTCCTCCCTCCGGCCCCATCAGCCCCCTTATCTCTCTTCCTCAAGGCCGACTTCCGCACCCACATCTGCCACTGTCCCAGTTGTTTTCCCCTCCTAAAACCGCACCCCCAACTCCTCGAAGAAGAAGAAACATATGAACCCCCCGTCAGCGAAGACGGCGATGCCACAAACGGCTCCGCTTCCATAGGTACGGGATCCATCTACGACCGCGGCGAGGCTGCTTTCAGCAGTATGGATCGCGTCAGGGCGATGCAGGGCGCGATGGCGTATGCGCATTTGAAGGATAGTTTGAAGGCGTTTCTGCAGCCGTTTGCGGAGAGTAAGACGGCTGTAGGAGCGGAGGATATTAAGGCCTATTTCGAGAAGTTGAGGGGAGATGAGCAGGGGATTAGGGAGGCGAAGGGCGGTGCAGAGGCAGGCAGGAAGGGGGATGGGGAGGGTGGTGGTGGGGAGGGTGATAATAGGAGGGAGCAGAGTGGGTATTAGAGACGATTGTTGGCGTTCTGGCCCTGGGAAACCGGGTGGGTATTGGATTGGGTATTGAGTGGCGTCTTTCGGAGTTCAAGGCTCAGTGTGTATAACGAGGTATTAGGATTGCGTCTTGTGAAAGGGTATCAAGTGGTAGATTGATGACGCAGGAACCGCTCTTCGGATATTACCATCAACATTCATGTCTCCATCTCCCAGTTCATCTGCATTTCAACCTCCGGCGTCCCGTATATCTCTCCAAGCTTCACTAAATACCCCTTGCCCATCATCCCTCCAACCCCACGCGACACAATAGTGCTTCAGCAAAAGATCCAGCTCCTCCATCTCGTCTAGGAACTCTAATCCTGCCACCCGCTCCTTTTCCTCCTCTGGTATCCACTCCCGCCATATCCACTCGTTATCTGCCGCCTTTGCACCATCGGCAAGACCATACTGTTTTAGTCTGGCGCGCTGATCGCCAAGTTCGGGATATGCTGATAGGGTGGGAAGATAGATGTTCCGGGATGACAAGTTGGAGGTCATGACTCTTCCGAAAGCATCGTTGGGTAAAATAGGCTCGTAGAGGACTAACGATACTGGTGTTGGGGTGGGTAGGAAATCGTTGACAAATCTAGAGATGATCGAGGAAACTGTTGAGGCTTGTAGGTATACCAAGCACATCTCAGAAAGTATGAGCGTGGGTATTGACGGGTCGAGGTTGGGCAGAGTCTGGGGTGTGGCATCAGCGATTGTGTGCGCGAGAGAACGTAGGTCTAGCGCATGGACATTGTAGGTCGCGGAATGATATGTCGTCGCTCCTGGGCCAAGGGAGGCCGGGTCTTGAGGTGAGTCTGTGCGGAGTTTAGAATGCAATTGTGCATGTCTTTGGATTGCGGCGAGCTTTGCGGCAGTGTTGGTAGGGAAGTCGATCTCGTGGTAGACGAGTTTGGCGGAGGGATATTTGTCGCAGAGACGGAAATATCGTGTATCCGTTCCAGCACCCAGAGATATAATCTGTTTGGCTGTTTCAGGGGCGGCCATCATGAATCTGTCTATTAGCAGGTCTATGGCAGAGGTCCGCACATATGTTCCTGCAGTTGTTAGTAACGGTGTGAGGAATGGATTCTTGAGACATACCCCTGTTGAGCAGAGGTAACCGGCGAGTAGCCGGTTCCAAAGCGAAGAGTTTTGCATACGGATCATGAAGATATCCAAGATCTACGCAGCTCACCCTAGAACCCGCCGCGTCCTGATCTGTATTGCGCACCGCATCGTCTGCGTTACTCCCACGTCCAGTGTGACGGACCTCGGGAGGGCCTCGATGAGGTCTTGCATCGCGTCTTGACGCTCCTCCTCGTCTCGAGCCCAGCAGTGTTCTGAGGTCAGGAATGCCCTTCGCAGCCATGTGGGGTGAACGATGATGTCGTATCGGAGTTCTCGATGGATGTCTGCTCGCCCAGGGCGCGGTGACCCCTGTCTGCGCTTGGGCCTTCCAAGGTTCCTTCGACTTGGCGCATCCCGCCGCAGGAACCTCTTTCAACCTCCATAAACTTTTCCTTTGAGAAGCCGGGACTCATCACAGCTACATCCAGGCTTGCGCGCCAGGCCACGACTAGTCCGCAGGAGGCTCATTCCTCTCATTTACTCATCGTCCCCCGTTGCAACCACTACAGTCACAAAGATGGACACTGGAGAAAAGTACAGCCCGAACATGATCCGCCTGTGGCGCGTCTTCCGCACCACCAAGGAAATGTGCTTGGACAGGGTACAGCTCGAGCTTCGGGCCCCAAATACGTTGCGCTGACCTGTTTGCTTAGGGTTACCAGCTGCTTGAAGAAGAAACGCAGATAAGCCTTCAGGAATTCGCAGAGAGATACGGCAGAGGCGATGGCGAGCCAGAGTTCGTCCCCTCTTCTCCCTCGGCGCATCCCCACCGCTAACCCTCTCTGCAGCCGCAGTCGCATGAACTACTCATGCCAACCCTCCGAAGCGATGCTCAAGAAATACGCGGTGCCGCCGACAGCCAAAGACCCGGATCCGGCTCCCCAGATCGGCACTCTCTGGGTGGAATTCAACGGCGACGAAAACGTGGGATTGAAGCAACTCAAGGACTACATACAACATCTGGCCACCGGCAGCTACTACTCAGGCATCATGGTTACTATCAAGCCCATGACCGGCATGGCTCTCAAACTTCTCCGCGACACCGCTAGCATCTCTGAACTGGGGCCCAAAGGCGGTGTGGAAGTCTTTGTCGAGCAGGATCTTCTGGTCAATATCACCAAGCACGAACTGGTCCCGAAGCATGTGCTTCTCAGCAGGGAAGAGAAGGCGCAGTTGCTGCAGAGGTATCGCCTCAAGGAGACCCAGCTTCCCCGTATCCAGGTCACGGATCCCGTTGCGAAGTACCTCGGTTTGAGGAGAGGGCAGGTTGTGAAGATCATCAGAAAGTCGGAAACCGCAGGACGATACGCGAGTTATCGATGGGCGATATAAGAGATTTACAAGCCGTTGGCGGCTTCCCAGCAATGTTCCAGGAAACACTAAGGAGTGGAACAGAGGCAGGAATAGAGGCAGACGGAAACCAGCGGCAGGATACCTCATCAGCAAGGCGTTAAGGGTTTGGAGCTCATGTGTGCATTACAACTGAGTGGGGAGCTGGCGTTATAGTTTTGGTGGTGGTCTTTACTTCGAGGAGGTTTTCACGGGTCATTCCTGTTCGCGGCAGATGTATACTGCCTTCTCCTTTCAGTTAGATTGTCCTCATCGGTGTTTATCATTGATGGACAATCATATGTGCATGGTGACTCATGTAAGAAATGCGGTGGATTTGAATATCGAATATATATTCCACCATCCTAAGACTCTATCTCAGCAGAGCTTGAAGGTCAGTGACGCATGACCGGCCTGGAAACAAAAGGTTGTGGCTGTGCATAAAGTCTGGTCTTGCCCCAAACGCAACAAAGAGAGCGCTGTAAGACATATAGCTGAACAAAATTGCAGCAAACGGCCGCGACAACTGAGACACTCACAAACCGCATCAACGTTCCGGGAATTCTCCATGTGTAAAATGAGTCCGTCCTTTCATACGTGGTAGTTGTCTAGCCTGAAGATTCCACGCCTGAGCAAGCAGCATGGCTTGTTGTAGGCACTGAGATATCAAACAGTCTGACCCGGACAATGAGAGGGCGTGCGACAAGCGGTTATACACCCTGCGGCTCTTGTTGATATATATATATATATCTGTATGTGAAAAGGTAACAAAGTCCGTCTCGTACCCCGAGCTGCTGCTATACACCCACACACCAGACATACAGCCTCCTCCAAAACTCCATCCCCAGATCAGAACCCTCCCATCATCAACATCCCTTCTTTCCAGCCCACCAAACACCAATCATCCCAACAGGCACATCACGGGGTTCCGTTGTGAAATGTGCTACGCCCTCCTAACACACTGCTCGCTCTGCGCCTGGACGAAACGGATCACGTACCCGCGCTGCGCACATGCCGAACTGCATGATTTGAATCCGCAGACGTGTCCGAGGAGGATGAGGAGGAGGCATGAGAGGGGTGGGGAGTGTGAGTGGTGTATGACGGGAGGAGATCTCGTGATGAAGAACGTGTTGGCTGCGGAAGGTTGTGAGAGGGTTGGGGTGGAGGAGTGGGATGAGGCGAGTGAAGATGAGACTGAGATTGGGAAGGTGGATGTTGGGGAGTTGCTCAGGGCGGATGGGGTGCAGATTGACGGTACTGATGAAGTTGAAGACATGTTCCCTGGGTCGATAGCAGGACTGGGAAATGTGGTGGTGAGAAAGCGAGAGGACGAAGGAGGAGCAGCAACAATCCCCGCTGCACGATATGCGATCCGCAAACCGGGAATGAAGAGAAGAAGGGGAGTCGGCTGCACCATTACAAACTCCAAGCGCAAGAAGAGATCCGACGACAGTTCGATTCCCCGAGTTAACCGCATGATTGACGAGAAGAACCGGAGACTCAGTTTACTCCCTGGTTACATGATGGATGGACCGAAACAGAGCGGGATCTGGTCACCAATCCGGCAGGATAGACGGAGCAGTTGGTGCTGCGCAGTGCAAGGCCTGTCTGCTTTGCGGAGGCCCTCGCAATGTAGCCCTTTGGGTTCGCTAGATGTAAAGTTAGACCCAGTGAGAAGAGCGTCTGCAGTTGTCACCATGTAAAAGCGAAACAAGCAATGCAACTATGCACAGTAAGAAGTTACATCAACCATATCCAATTCTAATCAATATAAAGAATAACATGAAGCGGGGAGTGCAGGATCTTACCAAGGGGGTATACAATCAAGTCGGTCATTAGGCAATGTTGATGGGGCATGATGCAGTGTGGGGAGAGGCAACAGGAAAACTATGTATGGAAGCAGGAAAACAGAAACCCAATGGATGTACCTCCCAGAACCCACCGTCCAATAGAGATACACAAGAAGCACGTCAGTCATTCATCCGCCCCTCCATCCTTTCGAAACAGTGCTTATGCCCTACCAATTCGGTATCCCAAGAAAAATGGAGGATAACATCCAATAACCCCAGGGTATACGAAATAAAGTGGGTGCAAAAACCCAAAACCCAAAGCCCATAAGGCTCAAGAAGAATCGTTCTTCTGCTCCCCGCCGCCGAACCAGCCGGCAATCCACGATCCCCGATTCGCCGCCTTTCTTGCCCGCATGGCCTCCTCCTCATTCTGCACAAGCCGCAGAGGACGCATTTGCTTGCCCGTCATAACACCCCCAGCGCCTGTATCCGTACGGCGTGGCGGGCTGGGTGTGTCGACGTGCCCACCTTCAGAGCTGCCAGGCTCGCGATTTTCCTCTGGGATCGGCTGGCCGGTAGACGGCACCCGCGAGGCGGGATTGCTTGCTTGGCCACCGATAGGGAGGCCGAAGATGGAGTTTCGTGGCGAGACGAGGCTGGGGCTGGTGGGACCGGATGCTACAGAAGGAGCATTGCGAACCATGTTGTTGACTACTGTGGCAGCGCCGGGTTGTGGTGCTTCGGATGTAGAACGCCGGTGGGAGTAGGTCCCACTGGGCATCCGCATAGAGGTGGAACGCTGCAAGGGGATGCTGGGAGCTGTGGTTGGATCCTCATTGACCGTTCCCGTGGAGACAGGGGCGGCGGTGTAACTCATAGGGCGTGCCTTTCGAGCTCCGCCCAGAGCAACCGATTTGGCGCGTTGCAGGAAACCTTGAGGTTCATTCTCTTTGGAGGGAGGAGGCGGAGGAAGTTCCTTGTTTGTGTTCAACGTTCCTGCTCCGGTGCCAACATCATCGGCGTCGTCACTCAGAACCGATTCGAAACCCTGCTTGCTGAGAAGGCGGCCAATGATCTTGTTGATGTAGAGCGTCAGAGCCTTGTTCTGGTCCTTCAAGTTGTTAACTTCGGCCTCTAAGAGGCGGACGGCTCTCTCATCCACTTCGGCGGACTCCAGTTCGTCGGCGAGGCTTGTCGTAGGTCCGTTGCGCGAGGGCGCGCGGGATTCATGCTGCGCACTGGTACTGCGTAGGAAATCGCCGCGGCCCAGATCACCGTTCAAAGTCTTCTCTTGTAGGAGAAGTTGGAAACTCTCGTTGTCCTCCATTAGACGAGCGTTAGTCATCCGGGTCTCCAGTAACTGCCTCTCAAGCTCATGCATGCGGCCTCCGTCCCGGTTCTCCATCTCCACCAATTTGATCTGCACCTCGGCCAGCTCCAGGCGCAAGTCCTCAATAATCTTGTCCTTCTGGTGAATGAGCTTTGAGTTACTCCGCGAATTGCTGCGTTGTATGGAAGATGGCGGCGCGAATGAGCCGGAGCCCTCTAGGTTCTGCGACGAATTGCTGCGGGAGGGATTGTTGCGGAAGCTCGCTGTGATGTATTAGTGGAAGGTTGAGAGGCGCATCATGTATCATATATGCGAGTACTCACATGTCCTGGAAAGATGGCCCCGATCCTCTTCCCCATCACTGGTCGGGACATTCTTCATGGCCATGGTCTCCTTCAACCGTTGGATTGTATCCTGCAGTTCGTCTTCCCTCGCCTGCGCATCCTCCTTCTCCTTCATAGTCTGTGCCCGCTCTGCCTCATATATAGCTTCCAACTCGCGATGCTGTCGTGTAAGCTCCCGCTTCTCATTCTCCAGCACCTCGACCTTCTCCTCTTCCTCATGTGCCCGCTCTTCCAGTTTCGCCTGCTCCTTCAGTGCATCGTCCAGCCTGGCGTTCAGCACATCAATCTGCTTCTGCCTTTCCTCGGCCTCGTTCTCCGCCTTCTGCAATCTGTCCTTTAACTCCTGGATATAAGCAGCGGCCTCATCCCGCGCATCATCATCATTTTGGGTATTTGCTTGTGTCGAACTCATGCTCAAGTTGGAAGATGCACCAGGCTTCCTCACAGCCGCTCGTGCGGAAACAGGAGGCCCACTAATGCTTGTCCGCATAGACCGCGTGCGCTGTACACCGTTTGGACTATTTGCCGTCGGGGTCGAGGCACGGGAGGGAGTGCGATTGGCAGCGCCAGGGGAAGCAGAGGGTTTGGCGGTCGAGTCGCGCGTCGGAGTTCCACCGGCGGTTTTGCGGCCGGATGTTGTCGAAGACATGTTGTGGGAAATAATGATCGAGTGCCAGGTGTACAGTACGTTGATGTTTTGGCGCAGTTGGCTGCTGAGTAGGGGTCCAACCAAATATAGATAGAACCGGTGGTTGGGCGGGCAATGAGCATCCGCCGGGCGGTGCTCAGGCCTCGTCCGGCCAGAAAAGTGGAAGCGCGGCATGGCGTTTCACTAGGTACGCGTGTTTCACATACACAGTAGAGGAAAACCCGCTTTAAAAACACTGCTCAATGATTGGTTAGTGGTCGCTATATGGCTTTTCACCATCTTAACGGTTGCCTAGGTGCCGGCTATGCCTTTGTACCAAGGTACACCCGCTACCTGTAAGGTTATCCAACACCGCAGCACGTGAACCGAGTCACGGTCACCCCGTGTTTACATCCACCTAAATGGCTAATCCGGGACGCTTACAAGTATACATCGAACTGGTGTCTCTCATGATGGAAGGATTGTTCATATTGAAAGCCCTATTACTTGATACCAGATCTAATGGAAGCCAAAATCTCCCTCTGCAATCGTTCGCTGACATGCTGCCAAAATTGCAGCTTGTCTGCTGACATCCGCTAACTTCCCAATGACCACCTGATTTCCCTCAACAAATCCATACAATGCATAGGGAATATCCACCTCGTTGCAAAACTCCTGTACCAGCTTCTGAGTCCTCCTCAGATTGTGGCGTGGGATTCTGGGGAAGAGATGATGGATAGCTTGAAATTGCAATCCACCGTGAAAGAAGTCCAGCCACTGCGGACAGTCCACGTCCATGGTGGTCCGCAACATCTTCTGTGCGAATGATTCCGTGACTCCCAGATCCGCCGTACTCATGGCAAAGTGACTCAGCGTAATTTGAACATGGAGGGGCATTGTAATGACATGGGAGATCATGACGAAGAGGAACTTGTTCCAGCCGCCAGGGATGTTCCGGTAAACAACGCCGTATCCATACCACGCCCAGAAGACCACTAATCCCAGAAGCTCGAAGTAGCGATGCCACCAAGCTGGACCTTTCCGAGGCCCCTGGCCGAAGAGAAGAAAGGACCAACTCAGTCGGTATAGATTGAATCGTCCAAAACACATAATGAAGTAGTAAAGCTTGCTCTGGTATCGCAGTAGAACTTTTGCGAAAGCGTCGTATTCCATGACTCGTTCATAATAGGTCGAGAATAGATTCTCGAAAAACCGATGGGAGATAGCGAAGAAAGGCATATGTTCAATGTCGGGGTCGTGCTCGGGCGAATTCGTAACAATGTGGTGGACGTTATGGTTGCTTTTCCACCAGCAGGCGCTTAAACCTCCCATGTAGCTGGCTACAAACATGGCGATGGTCGAATCGGTCTGGAAGTCATGTGTAATGCCCATATGAGACGCATCGTGCACCGTAAACGCAAGCTGATGCCACAAGCAACCGAGGAAGAAGGCACTAGTTAGGTACCATCCCGTACGCAGAAGATAGAGAAACATGCCAATGAAGAAAGCGTATCGAAGGCACTCAATGCCATATGCCAAGTAGTGACAATCATAAAGCCCTTCTCTTTGGATGCGATCGTGTAACTCGCGATATTTTAGAGTTATGTGTTCCTGGGTAGCTGGGTCCAAAGGAGGGTATGTAGCCTTGTCCAGGTCTATCTCGCGCTGGGTTCGGGCATCCATGACCGACATTTTCGGCTTGATATGGCGTTTAAGATCAATTTCCACTGAGGAAACAGACGATATGGAGGCAGATCGGGGTAGAGAGGTTGTAGCACGGTTGCGTAACTTGGTCGCTCGACTGTCCGCGGGCTCGAAGACTGGACTGGGTTCTCCCGATGACGCCGTGGTGGATGTGTCCTCGCCGGAAAACGATCCATGGTACCCGGCGACAACTGTGTCCTCAGATGCATCGAGCCTCCTGAATATCCCGCCTTGTATAGGGGGAAGGAAGTTGATCCACCGTCCTTCAATGCGGCCGATTCGGTAGCGCTTGGTCATTTCGAGGGTCTGCGCCGAATGGAACCTATGCACATATTAGCCACATGGTCCTTGTTCACAAAGAAGAACCGTACCTGTGCACCTCGTCTGTTGCATCTCTCCCGATCATATGCCTGATAGCTTTATCACCTCCAGGGTGATACGGAAGCCAGGCATCCACCTTCAGAACATTGTTGTCCACGATGACGATTGAGCGCCCTTGGGCGATAAGATCTTCAACCTCCCGGCGAGAGAAGATTTTCAACTTCCGCGCAACTTGAGCGTCCATGGTTGCTGAAGGGGGTACTGTTGCGATGTCTCGGAGCTTTGAAGGCTTCTTTAGGTCCAACGAGGGGAATCAATTCAAAACATTGTTGCGAGTCGGTAAACGAGTGTGAGCGATCACGTATACAGTGGCGAGAGATTCGACACCGCTGTCACAGCGTGGTGTGAGTTGTGGAAAAGGGTTCCAAAGCTTGGACACTGTGAAGCAGGAGATAATCCTGGGGGAACCCCACCAGAACCCCACGGAGTGACCCCTTTCCTCGGTACCTGCCCAGAAGAATTTAGGGTCGTTTTCTTGCCGTGTGTGTTATTCACCTTCTGCTTTGATTGGGTAGAAAGCATTACGCATCTGACTTGGTTGGCGTTGGTGGCGTTCTGGCTCCGCAGAATGCACCTGGACATCATCATCGCTTGATGCCTTTACGCAGTAATAAATATATGCGCCACAGCAATCAACATTCAGCGGACCTGAAAGCGTCTTTTTCAACAATTCAACCGTTCGAGTTAGTAGGGCTCCGAACTCCTACATATTCGTATGGTCTAGGTTTATACCAGTGCTCTTGGGGCCCTACCGGCCAAGGATTGCGTTTCGGATCCTAATTCGAGCTCGTTAGGGTTGCTCTCCCACCTCTGATATCATAGCGTCCATAACCTCAATATGTACGGCATTTCCGCAATTCGTAACAATCACGTCGGGGCAGGTATGGAGCACAAACCTATTAAAGAGCTAGCATTGGAATGGCTCCGCCTCGACCGGGACCCCTCCACCACCGACGAGATATTCCGGCTTCTTCAAAAAGAAGAGAATGCCGAGCTCGAAAGGCGACTTCGCAACCGCATCGCGTTTGGGACCGCGGGGCTGCGAGGGCCTATGAAAGCTGGTTTCTCATGCATGAACTCCCTCACCGTCATTCAGGCTTCCCAAGGACTAGCTGCTTATCTTCTCGACTCATCGGATGACAAGCAGCGCGTAAAGCATCGCGGCGTGGTCATCGGTCGCGATGCTCGACACAACTCGGAAAAATTCGCGAAACTCGCAGCTGCAGCCTTTGTCGCAAAAGGTATCAGGGTATGGTGGCTGGAGTTGCCCGTGCATACTCCCTTGGTGTCCTTCGGGCTTCGTCATTTGGGCGCTGTTGCTGGGGTCATGATAACAGCAAGTCATAATCCTCCCCAGGATAATGGTTACAAGGTGTACTGGTCAAACGGGTGCCAGATCATTCCTCCACACGACACTGGAATCGCGGCAGCGATCGAAAGGAACTTGGAACCCGTCACGTGGGATACTTCGATCGTTGACAACGGTCATCTCCTTATTGAAGGTACTTTAGGCCGGGTTGGAGATCACTATCTCAACGCCGTCAAAAAGGCGGCAAGACCGGAAGGAATAAGAGTGCCACCCTTCGACCCCGATTTTAAGTTCATATACACGCCTCTCCATGGAGTCGGCAAGCGGGTCATGGATTTGTGTATGGACAAGCTTGGTCTTGCATCACACATGATAATAGTGGAGGCCCAAGCACAGCCGGATCCGGACTTCCCTACAGTCAAGTTCCCCAACCCGGAAGAGAAGGGTGCATTGGATCTTGCGATCCAGACCGCAGACGAAGCAGACAAGTCTCTGATTCTCGCTAGTGATCCGGATGCTGATCGTCTCGCAGTTGCAGAGAGGGCCTCTGGAAAGTGGCATATATATACAGGCAATCAGCTCGGGATTCTGCTAGCTTCATACCTGATCGAGAGTTACGCTGGAAACACCCCCCGGGAGAAATTGGCCATGCTTGCCAGCACAGTCAGCTCCCGCATGCTTCAGGCTCTGGCCGCAAAAGAGGGTTTCTATTTCAAAGAGACTCTCACTGGATTTAAGTGGCTGGGCAACGTGGCGCGTGACCTAGCAAAAGACGGATACGAGGTTCTATACGCCTTCGAAGAGGCTTTGGGCTACATGATACCGGAAGTTGTTCATGATAAGGACTCCATTGCCGCTGCGGCCGTGTTCCTGAGCGCAGTATCCCACTGGTTGAATAGGAATCTGACACCATACACGAAGCTCCAACAACTCTATGAGGAGCTCGGTTTCTTCGAAGACGCAAACACCTACCTCATATCACCAGATCCTTCGACGACTACATCAGTATTCGCAGCTATTCGTGCCCTCGGCGATCCATATCCTGCGACCATTGGGTCACGAAAGATCACTAGATGGAGGGATCTGACCGTTGGCTATGACTCTGCTGGCAAAGACAATGTACCTGATCTGCCAGTCGACAAGAACAGTCAGATGATAACCTGCGAGTTGGAAGGCGGTGCTCGGTTCACCGTGCGCGGGTCAGGCACCGAACCTAAAATCAAACTGTACATTGAGTGCGTCGACAAGAACCGCGAGACCGCAAAAGCGGGAGCAGACGAGATATTGGAGGACTTGCTCCGAGAATGGTTCAAACCTGATGAGAACGGTCTGGTATTGGCCTAGGGGGCGGAGGGAATTGGATACAGTCGAGGGCATTCAGACTCGCCCTCACTTTTCAAAACCTGTGTTAGGTCGGCTATCTGCTCGGAATGCTATGCTGTCTTCAAGGTTCTTTCGAGCTAACCATCGCAGGAGAGTGCGTGCGATGGGCAAAGTCGGCTTATCGATTTGACAGTAACATATGCACGCTGATATGACAACTACTTCCGCATAACTGTCTAGGCATAGAAGGCAAAAAGGACCGTGACATTGAAGTGAATCACACGAGCGCGAAGAGAAAGGTGAACGTGAACGATGATGACATAAGCATTCACGCACGTGCAGCCGCGCTCTATCGCGCTAATGCGAGTCCCGAAACCGCGACCCAAGACGTGCAATAGAGCTCTCCCCAAACAACACCACAAGGCACGGCCTGCTCCCTTCCAAGTCTCCCCTCGCATTTTGGGAAATACAACCCTTGGTACCTCTGATGGCATCAGCGATTAGCATACAGGAGTGATCAACCACCATTGCAACCCTTCGTTCCATCGACAAAGCCGACTTCACAGTCGCAGAGTCGCAACAATGGCGTTCTCACGAAAACTGAATCAACCAACCTTTAACATATTTACCGGTGAAGACGAGACACCACCGCAACGAGAACCACTACGCGAGACGTTCCGAACCACCTTAAGCGCATCGCAACGAGCTCCTCCGCATACGATCAATCCGGCCGATCCAATCAATGAAGACCTTCGAGCAACAATCAATGTTCTCCGCTATGAGCTGGAGACGGCAAAGCGAGATAATGAGATGTTGAGGTTGGAGCATCAGCAGGAAAAGAGGGAACTCGAAAATAGGGTCGAAACCGAGTACAGGAAGGCGCAACAAGCGGAGGCCTCGAGAGAGTCGATCGCGAAGAAGCACTCTTCGCTGCAGCGCGAGTTGTCGGAGGCGCAAACTAGAAGCGCGAATGAGCGACAGGAGCTGGAGAGGAAAGTACGGACGTCCCAAGAGAAGGCGCAACAATTGCAAGAGGAAGTGGATGAGTTGAAAGAAGATTTAGCCAGCTCTCAGAGGCAGAGCGAACATAGGTACAATACGCTCCTGGCAGAGCACAATGCTCTGAAAGAAAACGTGGACGAGGTTCGCGAACAATTGGAATTGAAGACCAGTGCCTTACAAACGGCGCAGCGAAAGCTGGCGCAAAAGGAGACAGAAGTTGGCGAGCTGGAGAGCGAAGTCATGCGATTGAAAGCGATTACTGGCGACGCCGAGAATATCGCTGTTCTCAAATCAGAGCTCTCTGAGCAGGTTGCCTATATCAAGAAGCTAGAGAAGTCGGCCCGAGAGCAAGATGCGGAGCTGAAGCAGTATCGGAGGCAACGCAAGGCTATTGAGGTTGTAGAAGAGGAGAAGCGCGACTTGCAAGCAAAACTGCGGATGATGGATGACCTGCGCCGGGAGCTCAGCGAGGCACAGCTTAGAAAGCAGGCTCTGGAGGATGAGAGGAATTCGTGGACATCCTACTTGGAGACAGAGGCTGGCGACGATGTTCAATTTGAAACGCCCGAGGACCTGGCCCGAGCCTTCCTACGCGAGCGTCTGGCTAAGACCGAACTTATGGATAAGTTAGGGCAGATACAGCCTGAGCTCTCTGTTAAAGAAGTAAACATCCAGACGCTTGAAGATGAGAAAGCAAAACTTCAAGCCGAGATCCACCAGCTGAAGACGTCACCCAGCGCCTTGTCAAATCCCAATGAAGCGAAGGCGAGAGCAAGATTGGAGAGGCAGAAGGTCTTGGCTACCAAGGAAGTTGAGTTCCTCCGCGCTCAGGTAAAGGCATATGATGATGAAGAACGTGAGATGAGGTCCGAGAGTTATGACGCTACGAAAGCATCCCACATCAAGCAGCTCGAAGCGCTTGTGGACGAGTACCGGACAGAGGTCGACAAATTGCAAAAGGAATTCAGCGAACTGGAAAAGCCCGCCACAGTTGCGGCCGGGCAGAAGCGAAGTTTTGAAAGCGAGGAACCAGATGAGCGGGTAGGCGAGCTACGTCGGAAGAATAGGCAGCTTCAAGACGAACTCGAAGAATTCCAGAGACGCGTCAAGGTGTTGGAATCAGAATATAAGGCGCAAAGCTCCCAGCTCAAGAAGCTGAAGGAATCATCTCGGACCCGCATCCTTGAGCTCAAATCAAATCCTACCGCAGATGCAGAAGCGCTGAAACTGAGCACCGTCCGCACACTGCGCGAAGCCAACGCCGAGCTCCTTGCTCGCCTTGAAGGAATGGACCCTTCACCCACCTCTGTCCCGCTAGCTACCCTTACGGCCGCCCAAGACGAGCTGGAGGAATTGAGACACACAGTCGCCGAGCGTGAAAAGCGCATCAAGCGTCTCAAACAGATCTGGACCGCCAAATCGCTCGAATTCCGCGAAGCTGTTGCCTCCATCCTGGGCTGGAAGCTCGACTTCATGCCAAACGGAAGGGTGCGCGTAACAAGCATGTTCTACCCTGGTGACGCAGAGACTGGCGAGAATAGCATTGTATTTGATGGGGAGAACGGGACGATGAAGGTCAGCGGGGGAGAGCAGTCGGCATTTGCGAATGAGATTCGAGATACGATTACTTTTTGGGTGGAGGAGAGGAAGGAGATTCCGTGCTTTTTGGCGGCGCTGACTATGGAGTTTTGGGAGCGGACGACAAGGGCAGCGCGGTAGCCAGTGTCGTAAAAATTGAAAGAATGAAGGCATGGCGGACGGCTTGTTTTCCGGAAGGAAGAAGGATGTTGTGTGCGTTGGGTACTCGGCATGCTATTCAAAGATACCCTAGAGGCGTCAAGGCGTTGAGCGTGGAGGGTACTATGCTGCGGTTTCAAGGTACTGGGGAGATATCTAAATCCAGGTAGATACCTCACATGTAGTCACATTTATGGAGCTCAAGTTGTGGTCTCATGGATGGGAATACATTTCTTAACTGCGACGACATTGCTGTATATGCACTTTGGTTGTGATTATTATTTCAATCAAAGATTCTCGCACAGCACTAGAATTTTAGTATGGACTTCCATGAACATTCAATATTCAAACTCATTTACATATTATATTCTCTTGATGCTGTTCCCTCTGCTCATGCTGTAGGACCACCCTCTCCCCATGCGGTTAGCGCAGTCGCGTTGGACAGGGGCGCCCGAGGTCGACAGCCGTGCGTCAAGTCTCACCGTCACTATCACAAGCACCATGACTTCGTCTCTGCTTCACAAGCGCAAGCTCCTCCCCGCCCGATTTCCTCCTCCCTGGAACATGTGCTACGGTTGAACCATGCGAATATCTTACTGCCATCATGTACATTTCCCTGCGTACACCCTCATCGCTCCTCACTCATCCCATCAACTACACCTGCAATTCATGAATCCTACATGATTAAGCATGAAGTAGCGAGTTCGACGGAAGGCTGATCTCTTGCTCAACAGGATTGACGTTTCGCGACGTCTCCGCCGCGCTATCCTCCTCAACGACCTCGTCCTCGTTAAACGCATTGTCAAGAATAACCCCACTTACCTGCTCAACCCGGACTTCGAAGATAAATGCAACACGAGTTTGCATTTAGCGGCCAAGCATGGCTTTATCCAGATCGCTGTATGTTGATGTAGTCCTGGACGTGGGGGAGCACATGTGGACAGGGACTAATACTGGTATAGGAGTTTCTGATTGAGCAGGGCCACGATTCCGAATTCATCAGCAGAAACAAGGACTGGGAAACACCATTGATGATGGCCGCAATTGCGGGGAAAGAGGACATGGGGGTGCTGCTCGCGAAGAGATTCCCGAACTGCATCGCTATGCAGGACAAAGCTGGACTCGATGCTGTAAGCTTCCACTATCTGCATTGCATGGCCTCGCTCTGACTGCGAGGGTAGCTCATGCTTGCTTGCAAATCGGGCACAGGGACGCTCCATCTTATACCCACGCTTCTGAACCTAGACTCGAGTATCCTTACAGCGCACGATATATGGGGCAACACGGCGCTGCACCATGCATCTGCGGCCGGGGAATTGAAGGCTCTGAGAATGCTACTGCAATACGGCGCCAATCCGCTCGCACAGAACGCATGTTCCTGGACACCGGTCCACTACTCCGCCTCCCACGCCGCAGAAGCGTACTTCAAGACGCTTATCATCGAGTTCGAGAAGAAGAAAGCTGAAGACGCGCGGGAGAAACGCGAACGTGAGCGTCAGCGAAACGGCGGGGTCAGGCTAGTCACGAATGAAGAGGTAGTTGCGGCTGGTAGACAGAGAGCGAGAGACGATGCTGCTATTGCAGGACTGCCGGCTCCGGGAATGGACTGGAGTCCCGTGGAGAAGAGGCGGGCGATGACGCCTACAGAGGGGAGGCCTGGGGGTGGGGTATGGGAGTATCCGGGGTTGGAGGGGGCAAGGCCCAGGGCGGGGAGTGGAGAGTGAAGCTGTGTGGTTGATGGATCTGACTTTGGGACATGAAGCGCAACTGGCTGTTTTGTGCATCTTGGCGATGTGGCATTCGGTTTGCTATAGAGATTCGGGAGTTGGTATGTGTTTGAGTACGGTCGGCTATAACTGACTTGGCACTGCTTATTGCCGAGCGTCGTCCTTAAACGGGACAACAGAAGGTACCGTCTGTGTACACTTGAGATGGTTTCAATCCACCATTCAACAACAGGACTTGATGGGAACATTCAACCCCTGAGCCATGCTTCGTCAATAACGCTTTAGCCCTTCAGTCATCTCGCCAGCTTCAAGTGGTCTGCCCATCCCCCGAAGATCCAACTTGCACTTCCCCGCTCTAACAACCGACTCGACCATGCTGAATCCCGGCGACAACAAGTAGACTCCGAGGAAGATGTTCAACGCCCCCGCGTTCGTCGGAACTTCGCCGGTGCCGCGAAAGGAATGCCGACTCTTATCAACTCTGCCAATGCCCTTCTTATCCCAGTGGGCACGGGATTCACAGCCTCATACATCCAGTATACGTTGAGAGCTTGTCGTGAACGTTAAGCTTGAGAGATTGGAGATGGTGATATTCAAATCCAAGCAGCCTCCAATTGACCGTGAGAAAAACATCCCAGCTTACCAGTAACAGAGAATTACAGCTAATCTCCATCAGTCTCCACGGAGCTCACGGATTGGGACTGGCTCTTCGACTCGTCATATTCTCCTATCAACCGCTTCCCTGCCAACGAGCTCGCCGGCTTCCAAAACGCCATCACCAAGGAGCGCGTGAGCTGGGCTCAGGTCAAGGAATACTCGACCTACATCTCTACCGCGCTTGTGAAGAAATATGGCCTCAAAGAGGGTCAGACTATCTCTCTTCTCAGCCAGAACACCGTCTGGTACCCCGTAGCCATGTTCTCTGGTCTGCGTGTCGGTGCAAAGATCTCCGGCGCAAGCCCTGCCTACAACATCGAGGAGATGTCCTTTGCGCTCAAGACCGCAGACGCCAAGTTCCTCATGACTACCCCGGGCAGCATCGAAGTTGCAGCCGCGTCCGCTCAAGCTGTCGGACTCCCCCAGGACCGCATTTTCCTGCTCGAGGACGAACTGCCCGGCTACAGCACGGTCCAAGATTTGATCGAGATTGGCAAGTCGTATGGCGAGAAGGGTCAGGTTCCTGCCTTCAAGCTGCCGCCCGGTAAAAAGAATAAGGATGTCTGCGGCTTCTTGTCCTTCTCGTCTGGGACGACGGGGCTGCCCAAGGCGGTCATGATCAGCCATCAGAATGTGATTGCTCAGTGTCTCCAGATCCAGCAGATCACGCCCGAGACGCAGAAGAAGGTTCTTGCAGTAAGTTCCACTCCGGGCCCTACCTATCCTCGATATTAATATATATATACAGTGCCTTCCCCTCTTCCACATCACCGGCCTCGTCCACCAGATGCACCTTCCCATCCTCCTCAACGCCGAAGTCATCATGCTCCCGCACTTCACCCTCGAATCCATGCTCTCCGCCGTCGTCGAATACAAACTCAGCGAACTCCTCCTCGTCCCGCCCATCCTCATCCGCCTCGTCCGCGACCCCATGGTCGACTCGTACGACCTCTCGCACGTCACCCGCTTCTCCTCGGGCGCCGCCCCGCTCAGCGAGGAAATCATCCACCTCCTGCAGAAGAAGTTCCCCGGAAGGGGCTTCAAGCAGGGCTACGGCATGACGGAGAGCTGCAGCTGCATTACGGCGCACCCACCTGAAAAATACGACTTCAAGTACGCGCATTCGGGCGGCGCCATCGTCGCTTCCACCGAGGTCAAAATCATCAGGGAGGACGGGTCCGAGGCTGGGTATAACGAGCCTGGCGAGGTGCTGGCGCGCGGGCCGCAAGTCGTCATGGGGTACCTGAACAATCCCGAGGCGACGGCGAGGACGTTTGACGAAGACGGGTGGTTGCATACGGGGGATCAGGGCAGGATCGATGAGGAGGGCATGATTTACATCACGGATCGGATCAAGGAGCTTATCAAGGTCAAAGGGATCGGTGTTGCGCCGGCCGAGCTGGAGGATCTGCTGCTCGGCCACGAGAAGGTGGAGGATGTGGCGGTTATGGGCGTGCCGGATGAGTACTCGGGTGAGCGCCCCAAGGCTCACGTTGTGCTAAAGCCCGGGGTGCGGGCCGATTCGGCGGTGGGGAGGGAGCTGATTGCGTTTGTCAAGGAGAGGAAGGTGAGGTATAAGTGGGTCAAGGAGATTGAGTTTGTCGAGGAGATTCCGAAGAGTCCGAGTGGCAAGATTTTGAGGCGGGTGTTGAAGGAGAGGGCGGGGAGGGGTTTGGTGGTTGGGGATGAGGCGAAGGCGAGGCTGTAGTGGGTTCAAAGAAGGTGGGCGTGGATACCGATGGGATAGATTGAAGAGGATAAAGAATAAAGTGAGAACGCATTCAAGTTGCATCTATCAAAAGCAAAGGAAGAAGCACCACCATTGATCGGTATTCCCACCAACCCACATCGAATCGTACCCAAACTCCATACCCAAACCCATTCCTTACCCCCAATCCCCAACACATCCATCCCATCATCGACCTCGATCCCCTTTCCCCTCCTCTTCTCATCCTCTCCCCTCTACCTGTCAGAGTGTATCTTGTGTCCCGAACTCCCACTCCTACAATACAATCTCCACTCACACTCACCTCCCCTTACCAAACAAACCGGCTAGTCAGCTCCGCAAACTCCCCATGGGCGGATACGCCTCGCCGCCCTTCTCGACCCGGGGCTCGCACGTGCACCACTCCTCCCTGGGGATGTTGGTCATGACGCTGGAGATGTGGTTGCCGCAGCCCCACCATGTGGCTTTGTCTAGTAAGGGGCGGATGGAGTTAGTGGTGTTTGTGTTGGGTACGGGGGATGGATGGAGTGGTAATGAGGTGGGTGGTTGGAAAGGGGGGGTAGGGGTTGAATGGGTATGCATGGGGATGGTCATTGTTAGGGAGGGAGGAGGAAAGGGAACGTACGGCAGTTGCTGCAGGTAGCCGAGTGGCACATTGTGTCTATAATCTTCTTTCTGTGAAAAGGATGTTTCGTTCTTCGTATATCAGGTACGAGTTGATGCCGAGGCCGACACTACCGACGACGTAAATTCCAATCGGGGTTCTATTTATCTCCGATTCGAAAAAGAATCTCTCGAAATGGACGAAGTACAGAGAGAAAGGTCGTCTAGGGGAAATGCGGTTTGATTCGAAGGAAAAAGAGTTTATGTCCTTGTCTTTCGCACGAGATATATATGTATGTGAGTAGATATCTTCTCGGCCGGGTATCTAGAAGAGGTCATAGAAGGTATTTATGCATACCTTACCCCTTCTAGAAAAGGAAGTGCGTTATATGCCCCGCCCGTGCTATATCTGATCTGATCTCACCTCACCTCGCCGACGTCGACTCCGCGAAGTCGCCGACAAAAACCAACAATTCAGACTCCGATACCGACGCAGTCGCTGCAGGGAGATGGGAGGGCACGGTTCCACGCAGGAGTGTATATGCAGGGAGGTAATAATAATGATAATTAAGTTTGATGATAATAATACTGATTGAAAAGAAAACCTTTTATGGGCGTGCTGGAGGAAGCGTCTTGAGAGGGCAAACTCGTTCATAGTCTAGCGAGCGAAGCTATATACTGTATAAGTACTAGAGGCGGGACTTCTGGGCGACGGCGTCTTGGGAAGCGGCGGGCGGGGATGAGCTACCTAGGTACTTATTGATCTACCAGAAGCCAGGTACACAGTCCATCGTAACCACTTGCTTGATGATTTGACAGCGTTCTGAAGAAGTGCGCAATAATTCTCGTTTTGTAGCTGGTTGTTGGATCTTCGACAGCTCACAATCCATCGTGAATCCATCCATCTGTATGTGACACCCGCTCACGTTATCGGGCGAGAAATAATTGCAGGTGCTCCTAGAGACCCGAGTAGTATTCCAGACCAACACCGCGCAAGCATCTTGGACCTCGGCGATAGTCTCAAATCCCTTTTCTATAGTATACGACAAGCCGTGGCTTGCACCCACATACACATATTTCCTCATCCGTACACTGCTGGAAAAATCTCCTCGGCCACCATAAGACCACACCTGCAGCCCACGGCCTCGGGACTTCCTGCAACCAGATCGCCGGACTTCCCCTTGGCTCATCGCTGCCCTCCCACCACCAAGTATAGCTTTCCATCAACCGCCAACCCAATCACACATATTCAAACCCCAAGCGTGGCAGCGCCCTGCAGGAAAGGTAAGCCCAAGTTCCTGCACGCTAAAACGCCTCCCGCTTAACAGCCACACCATGTCGCTACACCGATCGGCAAATCCTCACGACGTCGCCGACCACAACTACACGGCGTCACGGCGTGGAGAAGGCGGGCTTCTGTTTCACCAAGACGGTTTCTGTCCACCACACCTCGGACACCGACAAACATGGCTGGGTAACGCCGCACAAGCCGACTACGAGATCTAGTCTAATCGAACGTGATTTTCGTCGCTTTCTGCGTCGTGTCGACATTCTTGTAGAACGCGCCGTAGGCGTCGTGGCCCTTCTTCTTGACCGTGGTGCCGAACTTCATGAGTTCGTCCGGCACGTTTTGGTTGGCCGCTTTGAGCACATTAATCAGACTGTATGCAAGTCAGTGATTGCGGAATTAATAAGAGTACATAACCATGTGGTATCACACTTACGCTCCTGACAGGGCCTTGTCGTGCTCCGTGAACAGCGTGATAGCCAATCCATCCTGACCTGCACGCCCCGTCCGCCCAATGCGGTGAACATAATCCTCCGCCGTGAGAGGGAAGGTAACATTGATGACAACCTTAACAGCTGGGATATCCAGGCCTCTAGCCGCCACGTCCGTAGCCACGAGCAGCGGCACGTCGCCGGCCTTGAAAGCAGCCAAGCTGGCGGTTCTCTTCTCCTGACTCAAGTCGCCGTGAATGCCAGCCACCCTGAACCCCTTCTGTCGAATGAAGTTCTCAATCCGGGTAGCTTCCTTCTTGTACAAGCAGAAGACGAGGATGCGGTCATCCTTGTTCTTGCCGGACTGATACTTTTTCAGCAACTGCAGAAGACGGAATTCCTTGTCGCGCGGCTCGACCACCTCGACGAGCTGAGTGATGCGCGTGTTGGCTCGCAGCTCGCCCGAGGGATTGTCGCCGATGGTGATCTTGACGGGGTTCCGCATGAACGTCGAGGCCAGCTTCCGGACGGATGGCGGCCACGTCGCCGTAAACATGAGCGTCTGTCTTTCCTTCTTGGTGCACTGGATGATTGCGCGAATGGGCTCCTCGAAGCCCTTGTCCAGCATCCTGTCGGCTTCATCCAGAACCACGAACTCGGCCTTGCTGAGATCAGCGGAGCCATCGCCGATGAGGTCGTTCAGTCGGCCAGGCGTCGCGACGACAATGTGTGCCTTCTTCACGTCCCGCGCCTGGGGCTCCTTGGGAACACCTCCGTAGACACAAACGACGTTGATGCCCAATGGCGTGGCCAGTTTGACCAGTTGTTCGTGGATTTGCGATGCCAGTTCGCGGGTAGGGGAGACGATCACGGCCTTCACACCCCTCTGATCCTTCTTCGGCAAAGAAGTAATGTGTCGCACGCAAGGTACGCCGAACGCAAGAGTCTTTCCGGATCCCGTCTCCGCAACACCAATCATGTCTCTTCCGGAGAACAAGGCGGGCCACGTCGCAGCCTGTATCGGCGTAGGTTCCGTGAAGCTAGAGAAGGGAGCAAGAAGCGTCTTGTTTGTTACTGGGAGATAGGAGAACTTCATGATCGGGCGAAGCGGGCGTGCGGACGGAAGAGGATCGTCAATCGTAACGAACTTCGAGGTGAGGAAAGCATCAATCTCGCTCTGCGGCAGAGCGCTCAACTCCGGATGCTCCAGATAAGTAGTCCCTACATCGTTCGACGGCTCAGGGGTCGTTACAGAGGACTGTCCGGCCGAAGGTACTGCAGTAGTAGGAGCAGTGGAGGCTCCAGCAGACGGTGTCGTAGACGTATCGCTATCGGCAGCTCCCTCAGCGGCCAGTTGCTTAAGCCTATTCTTCTCTGCTTTGCGTGCCGCTTTCCGTGCGGCTTTCTCTGCCTCTTTATCCACCTTCTCATCCTTCTCAGGAGTCTCCTGCTGCTCAGACGCCCCCTCGAGCGCCTCTCCCAACGTCTTTGCCTTCTTGGCTTCTTTTGCTTCCTTCTTCGCCTTTTTGGCAGCCTTACGCTCGGCTTTCCTCGCCTTCTCGTCTACTTCCTTATCATCCCTTTCCCCATCGTTCGTGACAACATCGGCGACCGGCTCCGCAATGGGCGTCTCCTCATCCTCAGCGACAGCCGCTTTCCTCGACTTATCCTTCTTCTCTTTCTTCTCCTTCTTGCTCTTCTTGCGCGACACCTCCTCAGACTTGTCAATGTGGCCGTCCTCGGCGGCGACGTCGGATCTGGCGCGTTTCCCCATTTCTGCGAGTTGTGTGGTGGACCGAGTGAAATGTCTGGGAAATTTTCTGTTTGGACGGGTGAGAGCCGTTATCGATAATAGATTTAGTGTCAAGGCTAGGCTCTATATGGTTAGCGCTTGGATTCTCCAGGAACCACCTGCACATGAAGGAGCTTGGGAACCCTCTTTTTCATCAAGTCTTCTGCTTTCGGGTTGGGATTCTGGAATGCTGTCGTGAATTCTTGTATACTACTCCGTATTGCAAATCAAACTATATCTCTATTTAAGTATCATGGTACACCAACCCCTGTCCAATATCCAAACATTTCCCCACCACACCTACATCTGCATGTAGACCCCCCTCATACAACCCTCCTCCCAAACACCTTGAACCGACTCACCCCGCCATCCGGAATAATCACCAACTTACACCACCCATACACATTTCCTCTAACCTCCTTCAACACCCCATCGGCCTCCTGGCCCGTCCCCTCCTTCCTATACACTCTCACCACATCCGCCGCACTCTGCGTCGGCGCCAACACCTCCGTCCACCCCTGCTCCTCGCTGCCAGGCTCCCCCTCAAAGTCCCCCGCAAAAACCTGCACCTTCTGCGGGTAGTTACCTCGAAAATGCGCAGTATCAATGACAATGTGATCGATCTCGCACCTCGCGCCCAGCTTCACAATGACCCAATCGACGTGCGCGCCGCGCGACCGCTTCGTCTCCCACCCCTCGCCCATGTCCTTGCCTCGCCCAGGGAGCAGCAGGTTGTCCTTTGTGCCAAAGTGCTGGTCTGAGCAGGCCGTCGCCACGCCCCCGTTGACGGTAGCCGAGAGCTCGATGACGGCGTCGGCATCGGCGGGGAAGACGGGGACGGCGGTGCCGTAAAGGCGGAAGCGCGCGATGCCGCCGTCGGGAAACATTTGCAGGCGGACGTGCGTGTAGGCCTTGGAAGTAGGGGTGTTGAGCAGCCATCCATGCCTTTGGCTGGGCCCGCATTTTTTCCTGGACAGGATCATTTCCCACTTGTCGAATTCTTTGCTCTTCACTCTCTCTTCGTCCTCGTCGTTGTCGATAAAGGCTCCCTGCACAGCGATCTCGGGTGCGTGGTTCCCATTGAACCATGCCGTATCAATCTCTACGCCTGCCACGCGTCCAGAGGCTACACCCAGGCGTATCACGACCCAGTCGAAGGGCTCCGGGTTGTGGCGCCGCGTCTCCCAGCCGTCGTACCAGGCGCCTGTATGCACGAAGTAGCCGGGTTTGCGGATGGGAGGCGTCGGCGTGAGCAGGTTGGAGGCCGAGGCGAACCATTCGTCCGAGAAGGAGAGGACGGTGGAGCCGAGGGGAGCGGATATGAGGTCTAGGGGGCGTTAGTATTGTGGAACAATGTCGTGAGGAGCGATTGAGAGGGGAGGATAGTCAATTGCCCAACATACCAGTGTATTTCGACTTGAACGTCGCATCAATCTCCTCTGCTGGGATTCTCCTCGAATCCTCTTCCCCTTTCAAACTCTGCTTAACCTCGTCCAACGACCCTGCTGGCATTTCCATGATGATTGCTTCAGTCCTCAATTGCTCTTGCAATCCCAATTGGCATCGATCCGTCGAATTTGTGTGATTTCAATAGGAAGTCAAAATGGACGTGGAATGGAAGAGAAATCAACAAGTTACCTGATTGCCAAACTTCAAAAAGTTGGGGAATGGACAAATGCAGTCATATTTCAGTGAAGATACCTGGAGCTTTGTATCTCTGGCGGCCCCGCCCGCATCTTTGTACCTACTTGTAGGTACCTAGGTAGCGGCGGGGTCCATGTGCCAGCCTATCCCCTTTCAAGCCCAACCGCAGAACGCGACTATCGGGGACCGCCGATAGCAGAGGGCCGATTACGTGAGGGAAACCAGACATCTGGTGATGGGCGGATGGTGGGAACCCTGGAAGATGAGCATGAGAACTGCGCAATTGGGTAATCGGTCACACGATGGAAAACGTCCAATGACGTACCAGCAGACCCTACCTACTATGTAAACTTCTCTCAAACACACCGATCTAGATCCTTATATAAAGTACTCTTGAACCTTGCAGTCACTTTTGCGTTCATGCTCCTGAACGAACATCAAACCGTCTATATATGCGGCATGCCCGAGAACGTAAATCTATTCATGCGGTAGGTCTTCAAACCAGCCGCCAAGAACAACCCTCAATTCCATCAACTGCATCAGAAGAATCGCCCCCTGGGGGATTTACTGCCGCGTCAACACTCCTCCTCCAACCGACCCTCACCCATAGTTCTGCTCCGCCCATCTGGTATCATCATACACACTCCCGCCGTTCTTGTTTCCGTTCAGATCCAGCTTGGCCAGAAACTCCGGCGGCACAGTAGGAACATACTTCCTTGCGCGTTCTCTATTCACCCCGCCAAAACCCGCGCCATACGTGATGAGCATGTCTGTCGAGGTAGGCAGCGAGAATGGTAGCATGTATGAAGGATCCAGGAGGAGGTCGTCTGGCGCGTCTTCCTTTTCTTCTTCCTCTGGACGAGAAGGTGCGGGAGAGACGGCATGGCCAGGTTGAGGCGAGGCCTTGACGGGAGTGGCCGGGGCAGAGTCGGATTGCGGGTTCGGAGATTTGGTACGGGCTGCTTTGCGGTCTGCGGCCGCTTTTTGTAAGTGCATAATATACTTGGAGGCGCTCTTAGGCAAGCCTTTCTCGCCAACCTCGGGCCTATAGTATTTTGCCGCGTGCAGTAGCTGCTGCGGTGTCAACCGTGGTAGCTGTTGCAGTGTGCCGACCAGCGATTCCAAGTCCTCGCCTAGTGAGGAGAAGCATTGGAGCCACTGCAGGAGCTGTACGAGTGGCTCCAGATGACGCTTTGCCGCGTCGGCGGAGCTTTCGCCCGTAGACGTCATCGACCCGTTCTCGTAGTGTTCCGGCTGTCGGTTGTTGGCGCGCGCCCAATCTTCCAACGTGGACACGTTCATGCGTATCTGCATTGCCTTTGTGCGCGCGAGATATTTGCGATTCGACATGATGCGGTTGAACAGTTCTGCGGATAGCCAGTAGATCAGCTGTGATAGAACCTGAGTAGTGATGACAGAGTGGACGTCGTAGAGGTCGAGGACAAATAATGTGGACGAGAGCAGGGAGGTTATGTTGCGGGGTGAAGGTTGTGCTCGCCGCTTTGGTGACGGGGGCCTGAACCGCTTCTCGATAGGCTCAAGTGGTTTCGGTTTCTGCTTGGTGCGGAATATTTTCCATTCGTGTTGGAAGTGAACATCCTCGAACCCCGGGATGGTCTCGTGGTCCAGCATCGATTGATCCAGAGACTTGTCCATCCTCCGTTCCGCGTCACGTATTATTAGTATGAATATTTCGTTGATCAGCTCTGCCAGATGGAGCTGGAACTCGGCAGTGGAGTGGACAAGACCGGTGTCCTTCTTCAGGTAGTGCAGGAGCAGGGTGGCGTTGGACATCCAGAAGGCCAGAACAGTCATGTCCCATTGATGCCGTTCCACAACGTCATTGATCTTGTCCATGGCAGTCATAAGCAAAGTCTCCAACAGTTCAGGGCTCGAGTGATAGTATGCATATCGCGCACTGAGGAAGAGGATGTTGGCCGGGACGGGCTTCTGCGATGGAGAGCGCTGCGGGGTCATGTTGGTGATGATGATATCCAATATGCGACCCAAGTCACTCTCCTGGAAGACAAACATTTGATCGTTGAGGCAGCGGTCCCAGACGAATTCCTGACCTTCGTCGTCCAGCTCTTCAGGAGTCTGCGATGAGTCAGCAGAGATATTACATAATCATGCAGGAGGTGATGGTGTTTATGTACCTCTGGCTGTTCGTCTAGGCCCAGATTGCCCAGATCGACCTCTAGGTTGATTGCACTCTCCATCATCATACGACGTTTCATCTCGTTCTCTGCCATTTCCTCCTCGAAGCGGTCCTGGGAGAAGCCAGACGTATAGAAGTCGTCGGAGACACCTGCGTTTCCGATGGCGTAGCCGCTCTCGTGTAGGTACTCGGAGATTTCGCTGTTGGGTTCGACAAAGTCAAACGCTGTCCTGCCGGAGGACGACTTGACATCGGGGGAGGCGCCATGGTCGAGCAGAAGCTTGACGATGCCCTTGTGTCGGTTGGTCATGGCCCACATCAGAGGACTCCAGCAGTTCTTGTCCTGCTTGTCCACCTGTGCTCCCGCATCCAGGAGAGCCTTGACGACATCTTCGTGTCCAAAGCAGCTGGCATAGACGAGGGGCGGAGTGCCGTCAGCGTCGACTGCATCGACATCGATGTACTCGGCAGTCTTTCCGCCTAGCAGGCGCTGAACGCGCTCGACCTCGCCATTCGAGGCAGCCAGTGTCAAGAGGCCTTGCAGCGCCGCTCGCTTCTCGTCGTGAGAGAGCTTGTCGTCGGCAACTACCGTGGCCTCGTCCCCCGAGTTATCGTTTCGTAGGCGGGCCTGGTACGCGAGCATCTGGACCAGGCGGGTGTCGCTATCCTCGAGCTGGTGCATGTCATCATCACCAAAGCTGGGGTCGTCGAGAGACAGGTTGAAGTGGAGGGGCTGGGCGGGCACTGGGGTGGTGAGGAACTGCGACTGTCCTAGGTCACAGGTATCAGCAGAGCGGACAGGCAACCCAATGCAGTGAGAGACGACTCACCCTGCCAGGCGTCGTACATCTCCATCTCCTCGCCCATGACGGGAGCGCGCCGGTCATCGAGAGAAGTGGGCAGGTCCGGGGGCAGCTGTCGGGGCTTCTGGGGAGGCTCGCCTGGTAAGGCGGGCTCTGTGGCGGGCTCCATTGGGCCGCATTTGGAAAGGGGGGGAAGGCAGTTACATAGACGGTGGGAACGGCGAGGGTGTGCCTTGGGGTAGGTGTGTGGGTGTGTGTGCTCCCGTCAAGAGCAGTACTCGTGGTGGTCGACGAGGTGGTTTGGTACGGGGGATTCTGCTGGCTCCAACTTATCTGCTCTGTTCAGGCATTGCTGTGGTAGTCTACCTAGGGTGATGCAGGTGGGGGTTTCTCTTGGTGTGGCGGTGCACCTATTGTGGCTGGTAAAACAGGGTGCCTGGAAAATCTGGCGGGCCGAAGAACCAATCGGGCGGCGGCGGAAAGGGCCAAGCGGGGACAAAGCCATTTAGGAGGGAGATCCGTGCCAGTGCCATTCTTCCAAGTCCCATTCCCAGTTTGCCATCCCTCTGATTCTGGGCCCGCCAACTCTATCCAGGGTCGTTAGGCTCGAAGGGTCGTCGGCCGGGAACCTTCCCCCGTCACACTCTCTCTCATCAGATTTCTTGTCGTCGTCGTCCACCTATTACGCAATCGAACATCAACAACACCAACACCACCACCCACCACCTCACTCCGTTCCACCAACGCCTCCTCTCGTTCCCCTCCCTTCCGCACCACCACCTCCACCACCTGGACCACGTCCATCACTATACGATGCGTCTCTGAACGGCCCCTCCGCCGCCCGCACGAGCTGCCGCACACCGCACGTTGACGACGACACCATGGCGCCCGCGGGCCCAGACTCGAGACGCCTGGCAGCCTTCCACCAGGTGCTGGCGCGGTTGCAGGAGCTGCCCAACTACACGTGGGATCTCGACGTCGACCCCATTCATTCTTCCTACGACAACTGGCATTTTTTCGGCTACAAGCGCTCTCCCGCCTCTCATTCCACTTCCCGTGAACGTCCTGCCTCCCGCGGACGCGCCTCCGCTCCGTCCATCCCATCGGCACAGTCCACCCCGTCTTCCGGTCGCCCTTCGCTCACCCGAAGTCACAAATCCTCGGGCAGCGAGATAAGCAGTGGCAGCCTTCCCGGACCCCCTCACCCTCCACAGCAAGAAAAAAAGGTCGTCTGTCGCGTCTCCACCCACGCTCTGCGCTTGGAGCGAGAGTACCAGCTGTCAAAGGTGAGCCCATCTCACGTGATATCTGCAGCACACCTTGCATGCTAAAGCCATGACAGCATATCGTTGCTCGCTCTGATCCCGAATGCAAGCACTTCGCCCGCCCTGTCGAGTTCATCAAACTGCCGCCGAAGCCGGGCAACACCCAACCCCTTGTTGCAAGCATATTCGAAGCCTCCTGGTATAACCGCCTCCGGGATGTAGTCTCTTTCGGGCCCAGCGCCTTCAAGGTCACGAAAAAGCATGGCGCTTGGGAGATCGTGCCCTTGGAACCTCAAGGCGGCGCCCACCTGCTGACCTTCCTCGACTTCGCCATAGGTGCGACCCAGTGCTTGGAGATCCTACACCACGGCCACGAGGTCATCAACGGAGAGCTTCGCGGAGACGCATTCCATTTCGAAGAGAATGGAAAGGTATCCATGATCAACTTTGGAGCTGGTGCGCGCTCCTTTGAGAATGGCCTAACGTCGGCGGGATGGAGTGCCATCTCGCAAGAGGTCGGTATAGAGCTCAAACTTGCGTACATCGCCCCTGAGCAAACCGGTCGTCTGCCTGCCGAACCCGATAGCCGTACCGACATTTATAGCCTGGGCATTCTGTTTTATGCCATTCTGTGTGGCAGCACTCCTTTCGACGGACCCACCCCTCTGGACGTGATGCAGAACGTGCTCGCCAAGCGAATCCCTCCCGTCTCGTCCAAACGCATCGACATACCAGACGCCCTATCCGCGGTCATCTCCAAGATGACGATGAAGAATATAGAGGACAGGTACCACGCCACGTCTGGTCTCAAGTATGATCTGTTTCGTATCCGCGACCTGTTATCCGAGGGCGACGCCGCTGGTTTGGCCACTTTCCAGGTGGGCGCTAAGGATATCAGCTGCTTCTTCAATCTCCCCTTAAAGATGATTGGCCGAGAGAAGGAGCGTAAAGCAATTCTGGATGTGATTGAGTCTGCTGTCAAACGTCGACGCCACCCGGCCCATTTTGAGAAACTGCTAAACGGTCTGAGCTCTGCGTCTTCACATTCCGACGCCCGTCAGGAGTCGATCGCTATAGATGAGATCATCTCGGACAGCACAAGTTCTAGGGGCTCCACTAGCCGAGAGAACAGTACTCCGAATGCTCTTAGCGACGCCAAATTGTCTGAAAATGGTGGTCTCTCCGAAAGCTCCGTCGCAGATCGCATCAGCGACGCTCGACCCTCCCTGCCAAAGGGGCACCGCCTGTCGGGAGAGACTCGACCGTCAGCTTCAAGCATTACGGATTCTCTTTCGCGCCCTTCCACACACAGCATCACTGACTCCGCCTTCTCTCGCTCAAATCAGTCGGACGGCGCCTCGCTATATCGCGCCGTCACGAAAAACCAGGGTCTGAGCCGACTAAGGCGGCGCCGATCGCGATGCGATGTGGTTGCTATAGAGGGCGCAATAGGATTGGGCAAATCTCGACTTGTGCAAAGTATCCAAGGCGAAGCAAGGAGCCATGGCTATTTCGCTTGTGCACGATTTGAGCCCGCTAAGAAGGCGCCTTTTGATCCACTTCTCCGACTCATGTCATCGACTTTCCGACAGATCTTCTCAGAGGCCGACGTCGGAACCGAGTTCCACATCATTTTGCGAAACTTCCTGAGGTCTACCGGTGTTTGGGAAGTCCTCCACTCGTACCTAGCACTCCCTGAGTGGCTCCTCGCAGACCATAGCATGCCTCAAACGCCTCACCTTCGAGAGACTGAGGCGGTCGACCAGTCCACCGAGCGCAATCCCTCATTCACAGTGATAGGTCGTGAAGGGGGCGACACACCCGATGCATGGGTGAGAAGTGGCGGCGCTACCAAGTCGGCTAGTTTCATGAACATGTTCCTCGAGGTTGCACGCCTATTAGCGACCCAGAAACTCTGTGTATGGGCTCTTGAAGATGTTCAAAATGCCGACGCCGAATCCTCCGAACTCATTGAGAGAATTGTCACCGCCAAAATCCCTTTGGTTCTCGTGTTGACTTATAGAGACGAGGGGACGCTCCCGGAGGAATTGCGGTCTCTTCTTCCTGGAGCCACAAGAGTACAATTGACGCCTTTCACCGAGGACCAGACGGCCGAGTATGTAGCTGAGACCTTGCACCGAGAACCGGAGTACATCTCACCTCTCGTCGCTGTCATTCAGGAGAAAAGCCACGGAAACATCTTCTACATTCGTGAGATCTTGGACGCCTGTTATCGAAAACAGTGTGTGTTCTACTGTTGGCGAACAAACGCTTGGCGCTTCGATTTGGACAAAGTGTTTGAAACTTTAGCAAGCCCAGAGTATGGATCGTCCGTCAACAACGATTTCATTACGAAGCGTCTCCATGAGCTGCCGAGCGCTACTCAAAAGCTCCTAGCTTGGTGCTCATTGCTCACTGGAACGATTCGATTTAGCTTCCTGAAGACTGTGCTCACCACCAAGTACGTGCCGGAAGATACTCCTCGGGTGCCTCGTTTAAGTGGTTCTGAGGACGCTCTGACGGCACTTAATGGTGCCCTTGGAGCGTACATACTCATGGCCGCCGACGATGATGACACCTTTCGATTTGCTCATGACAGGTATCTTGGAGCATCCTCCGAGTTGACCGCCGTGGAATGGGACACGAAATTGATGCACTACATCATTGCGAAGACAATGATTGAAGGGGAAGCCTTCCAAGATGACTTTGCTGCCGGGTCGAAAGCGCTCTATACGCGCAGCCGTCACATGTGCCTAGCTATCGACCTTATCAAGATTAAAGAATCCATCCGGGCGCCTTTTCGGCGCGTGCTCTACCAGGCTGCTGAAACGGCAATAGAGTCTGGAGCGAGGTCGACAGGCATCTTCTATTATGCCCACTGTCTCTCCCTTTTGCAGGAGGATCCTTGGGACGAAGGAAAGGAGGATGTATCCTACCAGGAGACACTGCAGCTCTTTATGCGTGGCGCAGAGTCTTATTTTCACCAGGGGATGATGGATGAGGCACAATCTCTGATCCGGACAGTCTTTCAGAAAGCCAAAAGCGTGGAAGACATGGCTGGTGCCTTTATACTCCAGTCGCGCGTCCATGCCGTTCGTGGAGATAGCTTCGGGGCTTTCCAGAGCTTGAAGGATTGTCTGTCCCTTCTAGGGTTGCCCTTGCCCCCAACCACGTGGGAAGAATGCGATAAGCGGTTTCAGGAGCTCTGCACGCGCATTAAAACGATGGATAAGGATCAGCTGCTATCCCGGGCGCTACCCTCTGATGACACTGTCATCCGGACTATTGGCCCAATCTTTATCGAACTTTCCTCCGCCGCTTTTTGGAGCAACAGTCTCTTGTTCTACCACGTTGCGCTTGAGATTGTTGGCCTACACTTGGATCGAGGCACTGTACCGCAAGTATCCTTGGGTTATGTCTATTTCGGTGCCATCGCAGCCGGACGTTTCAACAATGTTGAGCTTGCAGTGGAAGCGGGATCGATAGCTAAACGGCTGCTCGACATGTTCCCCGACGACCATTACACATTCGGCCGTGGGCTGACCCTACAGACGTTGTTCCTGGGTCACTTGGGTGCTCATGTCTCGTCCCTTATTCCGGATCTCAGCGATGCCATGGAGTCCAGCGTTATGGTTGGCGATCGTATCCTTTCTCTATTAAACCTGGGCGTGACTGCACATTTCAAGCAGATGGCTTCACATGACGTCGCTGAGCTGGAGGCTTGGATTGATGATACACCCATAGAATTCAAGGACTGGCGGCATGATCTACGCGGTGGGGTTTTACTGACTGCTGCAAGGCAGTACGCTCGCGCCCTGCAAGGAAAGACCAACACAACGAATGCCGACCATATATTTGACGATGAGGCTTTCAATTCGGCCAGTTACCTTGACTTTTTGAGAACCGCAAGTAGCCCGAAACGTCCCAAAACATTCTACCTGAGCTTCCAGCTACCCGTGCTACTCCTATATGGCCACATAAAGGAGGCGATCACGCTGGGGGAGCAGTTAATACCCATGATTGGAAGTTTATGGTGCCAAAGGCTCGTGCAAGCCGATTATTATTATCTGGCGCTGGCCTATCTGAATCAGCTGCGGGAGCAGCCTGATCACCCGGAAAGTCAGCGCTACATGGCCTTCGTGCGCGAAACCATAACTCGATTGGAGGCGTACTGCTTGGTTACCGATATCAACTACCGAGGCTGGATACTTTTGCTCCAAGCAATGCTAGCAGAGGCTACAAGTGACTACCCTGCAGCCTTACGATTGTACGAGCAAGCTATAGATCATAACGAGATTCACGCATTTGTCATGGACGAGGCGTATTGCTACGAGATGTACGCAGAGTTTCTTCTTGCAAGAAAAGCGCTTCGCCCTGCAAGGCACATCCTCAAAGACTGTTTATCGAGCTACAGGCGCATATCTGCGTCTGGGAAAGCAGCCCATCTAGCAACTAAGTACGAATGGGTTCTTCGCGGCACGGGGTCTTCTACGGTTATGGATGCTGCAGTGCAAACGAACCTTATTGACACGGGCAACACGGAGTACCGACTTGAGCAAAATGAGGAGCGTGAAGAGCAGCTTCATGGGGGTGCCGAGTCTGCGGCAGACCGCACAAACGCTTGGATAGCTCCAGGTTCAGTCCCCACGTCCAGCCCAGAGGCAGCTACGCATCAGGACATTGGAAACACGTTTTCGGTTGCCGTGGGACTCGACATGTTAGATTTGAGCTCAATCCTGGAATCAACGCAAGTGCTTTCGAGCGAACTGAAGGTCGACAAGCTCATGGCGAAGATGGCTGAGATTATTTTGAATAGTCTAGGGGCCTCCGTCTGTGGCATTGTCGTGGAGGATAGTCAGATCGACTGGAGCATTGCGTGTATAGCCACAACCGATGACAAGAGCGGGTACTCGCCCGGAGTTACTTCTTTCCCAGGAGGCCAGGCGCTCGACACGGTCGATGACGTGGTAGCGCGACAGGTCATCCTCTACGTTCTACGTTTCCGCGAAACCGTGTTCGTGCAGAATCTTCTTGAGGATGACAGATTCTCTAATGTGTCTGAGTCGTACTTGAAGAGAAATCCCCACGGCAAAGCAGTGATTGGCATCCCCATTATTCATTCGGACAATCTCATCGGAGGCATCTACGTGGAAGGAGAGCCCAACTCCTTCACGGAGCGGAATACCAACGTTTTGCGGCTTCTCGTCAATCAGATCTCAATCTCACTGGCCAACGCATTGCTTTTCAAGGAGCTGGAGAAGGTGTCCGCTAGCAATGAGGCCATGCTGGAGATGCAGAAGCGAGCTCTCGCTCAAGCCCGGGATGCCGAGATCAAGGCAAAGGAGGCGGAGGCCCAAGCAGTGCGCAACATGAAACTAAAGGAGGAGGCTGCCAAGGCAAAGTCTCTGTTCCTTGCGAATGTGTCCCATGAGCTGCGCACTCCGCTCAACGGCGTGATTGGCATGTCTGAACTGCTCAAGGCAAGCCCGCTTACTCAAGAACAGGCAGGCTACGCGGACAGCATTCGAGTTTGTGCCGACACCCTCCTCTCCATCATCAATGACCTCTTGGATTACTCAAAATTGGAGGCTGGCAAGATGAGTGTTATTTCCATGCCTTTGTCCCTGAGCGAAACGATCACGGAGGTTGTCCGTGCGCTGGCCTACACGAACGCAGAACGTGGCTTGAAGACCATTGAACAGCTTGAGTTGGATCCTGAATTGCTGGTCATGGGCGACCCTGTGCGCCTTCATCAGATCTTGATGAACCTCCTGTCCAACAGTTACAAATTCACGCCAAAGGGATCCGTGACGGTTCGCGCAGTGGTTGACAAGGAAGGGGACGACTGGATCGATGTCACCTGCAGCGTCATTGACACGGGGATTGGCATCCCCGAAGAGCAGATCAAGAAACTCTTCTTGCCATTCAGTCAAATTGAGTCGTCCAGTTCACGCAGCTATGGCGGAACAGGGCTCGGACTCAGCATCTGCAAAGCACTAATCGAAAATGTCATGGGCGGCAAAATCTGGTTGGAGAGTGTCGTTGGCGTTGGGACGACCGTCTCCTTCTCGCTTCGCTTCCAAAAGGTGCCCAAGTCGGAAGCGGCCAACCGACAGGTGGCTTCCAAAGAAGCGGATCCCATGGCGAAGTATAGCTCCGAGAACGGTGGTCACGACACCTCGGGCGGTAGCTGTATCGATCTCACCAAGATACCTCGTAATGAGTTGCGGGTGTGCATTGCCGAAGACAATCTGATCAATCAGAGAATCGCCATCAGCTTTGTCCAGAAGCTTGGTTTCAAGTGCGACGCTTATTCAGACGGCTACAAGACGATTGAGGCGCTCGAGCGTGCGGTGCATAGCGGGCGGCCCTTCCATATTGTCCTCATGGACGTTCAAATGCCGCATTGCGACGGTTACAAGGCTACGCAGCTGATCCGGCAGCACTCGGAACCAGCTATCAGGAACGTGTGCGTAATTGCCATGACGGCCAGTGCCATTGAAGGCGACCGCGAGAAGTGCTTAGCTTCAGGGTATGGCCGATACCTCTTCCATTTTGTCGTAGGAGCCCGCTAACCCAATTGGAATAGGATGAACAATTATCTCGCAAAGCCAGTAAAGCCAAACACACTCAAAGCACTTCTCGAATCGTACTTGACCAAACCTCCCGAAGAGCGTCCAGACCTAAATAGGGACCCGACGACGACGGTGAGGATCGATACGGCGGACGGCAACTTGGAAGGCGGAGACCATGCAAATGGTCAGAGGCAGCGCGACGCCTCGCGACCACGGTCAAGGCGCATGAATACTTCCTGACGGATAGGAGGCGCCCATACCGCTTCCGGCAGCGTTGGCACGATTTGATTGCAACGCGGGGGACATTTACCATTCTTCTTCTACCATGGCCCCCAAAGACTCTTTGGACCGACTTCACCCTAGGCATTGCATGGCGTTTTGAGGGCTAGTTGTTTTGCTCGCACCGCATACTCATGGGGTTTGGGCCTTTCAGTTTTCCGCTCAGGGTTGGCATGGCTGCGTGTTCTCTTTTTCCCTTCGTGGTATGCGGGCACTGGGGATGTGCTGGTTGGGAACGGGATTCTACCTACGGATACCCTCTGCTGTTATTAGATATGTGATTTGCTTTTATACATATATATATCGTTTATGATTTAGTCGATGAGCGGTGGAGAAGAATTGAACGGCTCAGGAACCCGTATCTTCCGGGGATATCAGAGATACCTCTACAAGCTGGATGAAGAACCTCCACCTACTAGACATAAGGGTCTACTAACAGTGGCCTCTCCCGCAGCCTAATCGCCGCCCAATATGGCTTTTGTATGTTGGAGATTTCGTCAACAATGAATGGCGTTGGGGACGAGCGTACAGACCAGCAAGTGTAGCTACAAGGGTCTATTGGGTTGGACAGTGGTATGCAAATGCCGGGCTTGGCTGGTATCAGGGGCGCTCGTTAGGGGAACGCTACGGCCCTAGTCATTTTGGTCTTTCGAATTCACGTTGAGGAGAAAGTTTTGTAGTTGCTCGGTACGCACTGTACTCCGTACTATGCGAGATAACAACCTTGAAACGGTTGTAAACGGGACTTTGTACTTTCTTCCAGCGTGACCACTCGGCGCAGCCCAACCCCCTCCCTTGCCGTGAACATGGCAGCGCCATCATGTCTCCCACACTCGCCTCGTGACGCCGTCATTGGCCTCCACAACGCCCCATTGCGGGCTCAACAAGCAAGGGACGGCGGGAGGACGTGCCATGAGCAGCCCGCTGGCCGCCACTTGGCGAGGACGTGCGCTTGCGGTGGGCGTGCCGCCGTCTTGTGATTCGGGGACAACAAGGCACGACGAGGCTGGCCGCTGGGCGGCGCTGGCAACCCGTGGACATCGACAGTCGCCATTCGACATGTCTTGCGCTGGGAATGCTGTCACGAAGCAAGCAGTACGGAGTAGTCGGGCTGGCATGTGAAGATGATGACTTTAGAACGTTCAGCCCTTGTGCGACGGAGAGGTGAGTTGGGTATACAGGGTAAAAGATATACGGACAACTGCCCTCCTCCTCTCGCAGCTCTATGTCGTCTTTGCGAAGAAATCCCACATCTCGCTCGTTACACCTGGAACCTGGACCTGCAAAGCATCTCCCATATCCCGCGAACTAGTCGGGCCAGTCTCGCTGCTGCAGGGTCTCCAAACGCCGCCTCGGGCTTAGACTAGTCTGAGGGAGATGGGAAAATCGAGGCGGTGTACACGCATGAACCGCTTGACCCACTTGTAGCGAGCCCGCATCTGTCGCTTCTGGAGCGTGATTGGCACGGAATAGGAGGTGATGCAGGCAAGTCGATGGGGTCCGAGGTTCCAAGAAGGTGGGAGTGATTGATAATTTTGTTGCTCCATAGACGTGCTTTCTGCACCTCGTTAACGTTGCGCGGGTTTCTCCCCAAGTTGCTGTTGTCGCCTCTTTATCTTCTCTCCTCCGTTTTCTCTTTTCTTCTTCTTTGTCCTGTAGGCCTTGAAGGCCGACGAGGAGTGTGCTTTGCTTTGAGGTTGCATGAAAGTCCAAGGTGTGAAGTCTAAAGTTCGTTTGTTGAGAGACGCATCAGTCAATCTTTCCCGAATGAATCACTAACAACGGCCTAGACACCGCAACTGCGCAATCGAAATCCCCGATCATCACGCCTTTTCTTCTTTTATTTCCTCAGCATTTCCAACCTTGCATGCCGACATAATTCTATCGACTTTCTTTACATCTACTAAGCAATATGAATCGCATGGACAGCGGGTTCTCCATGACCGTTACCGACCAGCAGCACTTGAAGACTACTATTAAGAGGGGAGAAGAAGAAGAGGAAGAAGATAATCACAACCGTCCTACACCCGACGCAATATCCTCTCCCCCTACCCGGAGCAATGGAAAGAACCCCCAGGAACCTCAACAAGAACCCCCAATTCCACCATCAACACCCGACCAGCTCCTCTCCTCCAACTTTCCCCTCATCACCTCCAAACATATCGAACCCACCTCCCGCTCCCCGAAATCCACCCCAACTACCCCAAGAAGGGCCCACAAACCCTCGCACTCCATCTCCTCACGATCGCACTCCCACTCCCACGCCCACTCCAAATCCAAATCCAAATCCCTCCCCTCGTCCTCCTCCGGTGACGTCCGTTCCAGGCCCTCCTCCCACCGGACCTCGTGCACGCTCGTCGATCCCTCACGCCCGACGCGGCAGCATCGAATCAACAGCTTGAGCGCGCAGAGCGCGAGCCAGGACGTGGATGATGTGTTGGCGTTGCATTTTAGGAGCTATGCGCTGTTCCACCCTCCTCCACCGCAGACGATGACGCAGACAGAGGCGCAGAGGGCATCACCACTGTTTTACGAAGAGTTATGTGTTGGTGGTACATGTGGACGGCAGGAGGGACCAAAATCGCTGGACGAGAATCACCACACCTCATCACGAATGGAAAAGATCCCACCACCGACGACGACGCATTTCCTACTTCCCTCAACGCGTCGCAAACAGTACGAGCGTATCCGGCGCGCGCATAGCGGGTTGCGCGGCTTGTTGCGCAGGGTTGTGCCGTGTGCGATGGGCCCTGCGCCGGTGGCCTTTTATGAAGGGGGAAGGGAGAGCGAGGCAGGGAGTGTGAGGAGGTTTAGGATGGATGTGGACGAGGAAGAGGAAGGTGAAGAGGAAGAAGAGGGGTTCGATTTTGAAAAGGGGTCGAAGGGAGGGGTGCAAGAGAGGGGGAGTTTGGAAAGGAAGGAGAAGGACATGGGAACCAGAGAGGAGGAGAGAGTGAGGAGGAAGGGGAGCCGATGGGGTCGATTGTCTAGATGACGGAGGAAGAATGAAGCAGGGAGCAGAGGGGAGGTTGGCTGCAGTGATGAGTATGACGATGTTCCAGGATATGAGCTTATGATTTGCGTTTCTACGGCATTCTGCGTCTTGCACTAGCATATGGCATACGCATAGCAGGGCAATGATGGAGTGCTATTACTTCAACCGCATCAATAGCCCTGTTGTCGTACTTTTCCTTTTCTCCCATGTCCATCACAGACCCAAAGGTACCTACGTACTCACGAAGCCGAAGAAATCTGGAAACTCCAATCGCTCTACGCATTGCAATATATACTCAAGAAGTCTAACCTTCGTATCTAAGACACCTCGCTTGTGTCATGCATGTATAACATGTCTATGCATCGTCCCCTCCACTCCTTCGCTGTGCCGCCGAAGTGACGCAGCCCCCCTTTATTCACATGGCGCCCTTGCCTCTGGTATCTGGTCCACTCGTATCCCGCCGGTCGATAGTTAAAGGTACGGTCGTCGTGCTGCATTCACAGCTTCGCCTCCGCCTGCACAGTGCCAATCTTGAGTTTCTCCCCATACTTCTTCAGGACGGATTCGTTGTGGTACTAGACAATCACCTCGTCAGCCCAATTCCACATAAGCTCACTGAACACCATCTCCTTCGCCCATCCCGAGTTCCCATAACCACAACGTACCTTCCAAAACTGCTTACTCGCATCCTTGCCCCCGACGCGCTTCAGGATCTTCGCACCCCCCGGGTGCTCGTCGACGAACTTGGTGACGTCGTAGACGCTTCCGTCGATGGTGATGTAGAGCCCCTTCTCGACCGTGTTGTGCGCGGCCACGTCGGCGGTTGTAAAGGTCTTGGACATTGTTGTTGCGGGTGCGGTTTGCCGTTCGTTGACTTGCGACGGAGCAAGGAAAAGAAGGTATTTGGATAGGTGGTAGTCAGTTATTTAGATAGTAAGCGTGAGTACTTTTGTGAGACACCGCGGAATACGTATAAGGGAACGAAAGCTGGAAACGTGGGACGGCGCCATGGCGCTCTTTATCAAGGTCGTTGATGTCGAACCTGGGCTTTGGGCCGAGGTAGAATGGAGAGGACTGGGATGGGGGGTGGGGTGGTGTCAGCGGGATTTTAGAGGGTGGTGATTGGTTGGAGCATGGTACGAGGGAACACGGTACCTTTACCTTCGTCTACGGGGTCTTTACATGACCTTGAAACACAGGCATGAGAATCTAGAACAAGGCTTTAACTCTGCTGAATTCAAAGCGATTGTTCCAGCGCCGGAAATGATAGCCGACTAGACATCATGGCAGGACTGTCGTGACCGGAAAGCTCTTCATCACCGGGGCCGAAAAGTCAAAAGCAGACACCACCTATGTTCCAGGCCCCACGCCCTCGCGGAGTTACTCAAAAGAAGACTAACAATGCCAGATGTTCAGTACTGAAAAGTACTGAATAGTGCAAGAGAAGACATCTTTCGAAAGGAAGGGAAACGAAGATTGAGTAACTCACCCTGGCCTTCGGTACTATATTCAGAGCCTATGGAGAAAGTAAATCGTAGATAACTGCTATGTGATCGTCTTTGAGTAATTGAGCCTCAAACTCGGGAATGCTGTCCCCTAACGTCTAGATGGCGGTGGTGACGTTTGTCATCACCATTTCGTCTCATAAACCTCAGCTGATATCCACCATTGGAAAATCCACTGGCAGTGACCTAAATGGTGATTCAAGATATGTAGATATATATGTATATACACCTTTGTTGTGCATATCCATTTGTTTTAACATTTTGACATGCTGTATCGTGCGGAGTATTTTGTATTTGTAGAAAGTACCTCAAGGCCAGGAATGGCATAGCGGCTTTGATGTCACGAATTGGGGTTGTATTCGTCTTGAAGTCCATATCCTGATGAACCGAAAGTAGAGAAGAACAGACAAACCGCTCCCACATTAGTCTAGACATACAGTAAGTATAGAGCCTCCCCCCCCAAGGTTCGAAATCCCCAGATCTATACAACACCACAAGCGCCGCGGGAAATATGTCAAAATTATATAGGGTCTACAGAAGCGTTCAGAAGCAAATGTCATGAGGGTATCGTCTTCCTCTGCCCGTACTCGTCCTCTTCATAAATCCTGACTTTATCCGAGTACTCCCGAATATTCGAGTGTATGGTTTCCTGAATAAGCTCTCCCCTACCTCCTGCTACTCTAAGTATGAGGTCATTGAGAGAGGATCGGCCGAGGATGTCAACATGATCGCCTGTGTCGAGTCAGTACTGGCTGTGGTGCAAGGTAGACGCCGTCAGATACATACCTGTATTAGGCCCACCTCTGGGCGAGAATCGATCCGGTTCATGAGGCATTTCAAAGATCTTTATCTTAGCACCAGCAGGATTATACCTCTTAATCTTCCAGCCCTTGGCACACATATAACCCGAGCTGAGAAGATTGACCGTGCCATCGCCCTCGCCTAGAACAACACCGTGGTCTACCTTGCCATTCGTATAGCCAGTGTCGATAGTGATATTCATCTTGCTGAGAGGATCATTATCCTCTTTGTAATAGTAAGCGCGCTCGGTCTCCTTGCCGATGCCATAGAAGCAGTATATCTTAAGACTAGGAGCGAGCGGCAGACGTGTTTCGAGAGGATTGATCCATTTGGCGGGTATAAGCTGGTTAGCTTCGACCTCTTTCGCGGTATGTGCGACGCCATCCGAAAATGAGGTCTGCACCATATCCTGGTACCATTGCTCCGCATGCCGGAAGAGGTACGGTTTGCTTTCTTCGACTGTGAGGTTCGACTTCGTCCAGGACGAGTTGTTATCCCGGAACCTGATGAAATTTCCGTAACTGACTTCCTGACCAGGCAGGTCATCAGGAGCCCAGTCCTTATCTCCCCAGACCGCGCTACCACCTATGGGCAGCATGGAGGAGATGCCTGGCATGGCACGGAAGAGCTCAGCACGCTCATGGCGGGAGAGGAATCTCTCCAGACCGTAGACTGCAAAGGCATTCAGCTGAGCCGTATCTTTCATTTCTCCAGACAAGACGGCCGGCATGCCTTTCGCTGCGCCTAGCATGCAGCCGGAGATGTTGATCCAGGAGTCGATATATGCCTCCACCCATCCTGGGCCGCCATTGCCATAACCCTCTGCCTCGACCCAGTGGAAGAAGTAGTATAGAACTTGCGACCCCATCGAGTGGGATAGGAGCACGGCTTTCTTATTGGATATACGAACGGCTATTTCAATGTGCGACTTGAGACGGGTAAAGTACTGATCGCGCTTCTCGTAGTTCATGTACGACATTCGCCAGTCGTAAGCCGCTGTGAAGGCGTTGGTAGGGTCATATCCGATTGTGGCTAGGTTCTCCAAAATCTTGTTCCAGATCCAGTACCCTGTTATGAAGAAGTCCGTCGCATCGAAGCCCTGGGCGGCACGAAGTTTGATTCCAGGAGGATCCATCCCTGTCTCCTTGTCCAGCATGATGTGTTTTTTCCATCCTGCTTTATCCATAACTAGGGCGCGCATCATTGTCCATGAACCCCACAGTCTCTTGCGAAAGTATGGTCGGGACTCTTGTTCGGTTCCCCAGGACTCAAGACCGGTTGATATGACGCCAGGAATCATAATGACGGGATGTGTGGCTTTTACGCCTTGCGAGCGCGCATGGAGGCCGACTGCGAAAGAATCATAGCTCACGGTATCTCGTTCGTGTTTCTACTGAGTCGGAACGATTAGTCCGGTTGGTAGTGTATGATTAGAATCCTCGAGTTTCTCACCTGCATCTGCTGTGCATCTCGGAGGAAGGCGGCTGGCAACACATCCAGGAAGTTTTGCGGCAGCATGTCCTTCAGATTCTCTAAGTTCATATTGTCCAGTGCGGACAAGTCGATTGAGATCATGTCGTTTTGCTGGGCGAAGAAAGCCGCAACACACAACCCTATCAAGATGCCGCATCCCAGGATCCCGAAACTCCATCTCTTGCTCGACTTCGGACTCTTGCGCTTCAAAGCCTCTAGCTTCTTTGCTGATATCAAGCACAGGTCTTCCTGCCGATCTGGGCTCGGCGAAACATCTCGATGAAGTCCTTCATGCGCGTCTTTTCGGGCGGCTCGACGCCGTATAGATGACATGCTGTCTGGGTCTGTTCCGGGATCACGGCGGAATCATCGTCCAAAACATGAGTTGAAAACACTATCATGTGAAAGGGTGGAGCATCGCCGTCATAGGTTGGGGAGCGCCAAGCCGGAAGTCCGACCACGATGGGAACCCCACACCTCCGTCTGACCACATCGAAGACACGCTTTATGTCGCCATGAGCGATGATTTGCGATATGTCCAGTATGAGGGCGATAAGGAGGAAGAGTATCTTCCGGCCATACGGCAGTTGATATCGAAGGACCTTTCAGAGCCATACAGCATCTATGTGTACAGGTACTTCCTCTATGAATGGGGAGACCTCTGCTTCATGGTATGCAAACCCTCAAAAGATCTTCTTGGAATTTGACCAACGATTATCAGGCACTGGATGCGTCTTCCTCCCTTATCGGCGTCGTAGTCTGCAAGCTCGAACCCCACCGTAGCGGCACCTTCCGTGGATATATAGCTATGCTCGCGACCCAAGAAACACATCGAGGGAAGGGGATAGCTACAAAGCTGGTCTCAATGGCTATCGATGCGATGAAGGCACGCGATGCCGACGAAGTCGTTCTGGAGACGGAGGTCACAAATGCAGCGTCATTGAAGTTATACCAGCGGTTAGGATTTCTAAGGAGCAAGAGGTTGCACCGCTACTATCTTAACGGCAATGCGGCATTTCGATTGGTGCTGTACCTGAAGCCTGGTACCGCGCTCAAGAGACCCGAAGAGGATGGTGTTGGTATGGGCCATATGGGACATGGAGTGCCGCTCACAGGCGGGGAGGGAGGCGACCACGTGTCTCACAGAGAAGGCTTCTCATGAACAGAGATCCACACTCGGCGATAGATTCCAGACTACAGCTCGGTATCCACGAATCGAAGAAGCCCATCATTGCTTGTTGCGCGAGGTGTCAACCTGTGCGATGAGTCCAAAGCGGGTGGATAGGGATGTCAAGCTTATTGCTGCACTCGACATTCCTCGGCATCGGGCATTGACGGGCTCACGAGGATAGACCGATGGCGTAAGAGAGGGCTTTCGAACATTGATCGTCTTTGAAGGGTGGCATGAACTTCATCGAGTAGAGTAGAAAGCTCGTCTGCAACGGCCTCAACTCTTCAGCTCCCACAGAGGACTGGGCCGTGTATGTCGTTTCCTGTGAGGCGATCCCTGTATCCCAACAGCGCCCACTCACCTCTGGGCTCGCAATTCACACTTTGATGCTCCAGAGATCGCTACTGTACATATCCCTCCCTCTCTTAAGAGACCGTTCATTCCCAACGGGATCCTAACTTTATCCTTTGCGTCGACTAAACGGCCAAAGGATCAGATCCGTACTGCCTCAAGGTTGCTTATATAAGACCGTTACTACTAAGTAGTGCCATGCTGCGACCCTTCAAACGCAAGGAAACGCGCCAAGAAATTCACCAATGTATGCATGAAAGAACATCGCCCAACCAGACTCCCGAAGTTTGATCCATGACACATTGGAAAAAGCAGCACCCACCTCAAAGGTACTCCGACGCCATCAAGGCCTCAGCAAACGTCACAACGCGATACTAGTACAGCTCAGGTCGAAGAAATCGGGGTCAATTTCAAGGAGACCTCTTCAGACGACCGGTGCCGGGTGTGACAAACTCGAAGCGCGAATCGATGCGTGGGTTGGACGGCTCCCCTCAGCTGCACGGAGCACAAATAAAGACCTCCGCGTCAACGAACTGAACCCCGAATGCATTCATTATCGGTTCGAAGTCTCGCCTCTCTCCCCATCCCGTAGGGCGCGCAAGCCTCTTGATTCAGATATATCGATACTGCTTACGTTGCTGAATTTCACAAGATTCCATGGCACTCCTAGAATTACCTCCAGAGATTCTGATGCAAATTATGGACTATGTGGGATCGTCTTATTTCCGCCAGAATCTAGGATGCCTCACAGTCTGCAAACAGTGGTTTACATTTGCTCGTACTGCATACTTCAAGGACCTCCAACTCTCCCAAAACAGTCTACAACGTCTGATGTCTTCTCATGATGTGGAGAGGGGTCTGCCACTGGTCAGAAACAGCTTGGAAATCCTGGATCTTGAACTCAAGGGATTCGAAGATTGGAGATCTATACCGGAGTCTGGAAGCTACTCACAGGATGCGAATGTTTTGGATGCCCCAAGTTGGGATTGGGATCATGGACTCGCATTGCGCTTAGCTTGGACCAGAGTCTTGGATATTGACCTAGCCCGGCTTGCCATTATAGCCAAAGAATCCCCAAGATTGCGGGTAGTACGTATCCAAGCATCAAGCGAACGCCATCCTCTGCTCCCTTATCTTCCACGACGCGATTATCTCTCACTATCCACGATGCGGACCTTGCTGTCGGTGAAACATTTGACGGTCCTAGATTTAGACCTTTGTGGCACCAGCTTGGTGCCGCGACAGGAGCACCCTGATGGATCACACATTTGCCCAAGCATCGGCACCCTTCTTACTACTCTAAGACGTCTTCGACTCCGTATGCGCAACATCTGCCCTGTTGTTCTGAAACCCCAAGACCGTGACACCAGTTTACGCTTGAGGGAGGTGCTCGTCAACTTAGTCTGTCGAATGAGTCTCCATTGACAACGTCAGCAACGCACTCATCAGCATGTTGGCCCACAGAAGGTGGATTCCTTAAATTGAAGGCGGATATCGAGGACCAGGCAAAAGCTTTTGTGGCTCATATGGCGTCTCCCAGATTCATAAGAATCCTAACACATACGCTCCCGCAACTCGAGATGCGATCCTTCGACGTCCTGACGGGTAAATGCATGAGACTGGCTGACAACATGGCGTGGGAAGATGACGGTGAGATTATTGAGGAAGATTCGGACTCAGAATCCGAAATCCTGGACGATGGCTTCTCTACATCCTCTGACGAGTAACGGCGGTATAGTGGCCGAGTTTGTTATGCCGCATGACAACGGCTAGCTGTAATGTCTGGTTGAGACCAGCATGAATAGATGAATGTAAGGACCCTTTAGTGTTTGCATGCGTCGATACTAGGACGCAGAAGATGCATACGAAGACCAATACTTCGAATAACCCCTCACCTCCTTCCAACCTCCTCGCACTGAGACCTTGGAAGAGACCTAAACATCATCAATACACCAACCTGTAGCAGACGTGAACGCATGTGAGCAAGCTTCGGTCACACGCGAACAGGAAGGATCCTGTATCTGTGTGATATGCATACAAGTATCCAAACTCCTCCCTGAGTACTATGTTCACTCACTTCGAGGTCTCACGTCCTAGATGACAATATCTCGAAGCAGATTCTCTACTGCACTCTTGGTCTCAACCTAACTTCGAACGGCTTCTTATCGATTACCGTGAACGCCCGCTGGTCCTCCCAAACCACTTTGCCAGCCTCGCTCTCCGCCTGTCCGATATCGAATGTCCATACCAACCTGGCAAGGATCAGTCTCATCTCAGCCAGGGCGAGCGGCTTTCCAATGCATGATCGAGGTCCGATACCGAAGGGCTGTACTCCATTTCGCTGATCGTGGAAGTACGGCGAGGATGGATCTTGATTGACTTCTGCTAGCCATCTTTCCGGGCGGAATTCTGTCGATTCAAAAAAGTATCGACTACCAGTCATTGTGGAATGGACATGGACGCCGACGAAGATCTACGCTTCCGGTCAATCATATGTGGTCATAGATAGCGGTTTTCATGCTTACATTCCCAGGAACTCGATATCCACAGACAATGCCTCCTGATGGCGGCGTTATTCGTGGCAAGGTGAGCCCGGGCCTTGAATGATCATACGTTAGTCATAAGTGTTCCATGGGCAAGCAAGAAAAGGGTCTTTACACGACGGAGCACACCCGGAGACCTTCGCTCATTACTGCATTCAAATACGGTAGCTCCTTCAAGGCAGCAAAAGTGATCTCCGTCTCGTGGGCGAATCGAGAACGTACTTCCTTTGTCAGACGTTCCAGAATCTCGGGATGCTTCAGAAGCTTGTTGAGCGTTCCGGTAAGGGTCCCAGCGCTGGTCTCGCTCCCTGCAACAGTCATGATGAACGCATTCGCATACACGTGGCCCTTTTCCAGGCCATCCCCACCTTTGTCGTCCCGCTGCCACAGAGACAAAAAGTCCGGCCGCCTGGTGTCCTCGGCCAGTCTTTGATCCACCTTCTGCATGACAGTGTGCCAATGCCAATCCGCTTTCCTTCTCGCGCTTGCGGGAATCAGTTTCTGTAACAACCAGTTCAGCCATGGATAGTTGCGCAGTGTCGCCATGATTGTAAAAACCCTCATCGAGTTGACAACCACGCCGACCCAATCATCCAATTCCTCTTTCTCGAGGAGGTGAAAGGATTCGCCGAAGGAGAGATCGGTGATGATGTCCATAGTCACGAACGTGAACCATTTGACGACATCCACCGCGGCCGACCCGTCGTCACTCTCCTCGCATTTTCCCTTCAATTTCTGCATCAACAACCCGACGAATCCCTGCACGATCTCTTCCTGCTGCCCAACTGCCCTCTCCGTGAACCCCGGCTCCATCTTCCTCCTCATAGCCGCGTGCCTCTTACTGCTGATCAAATTGGCCAGCGAATCTGGTTTACCGGGTGTTGAACCATGCCATACTGGGCTCTTGGGGAACGCCGGACTAGATCCCCGGTTCGAATATATATCCTCCCAAACACGGGGATCTGCGAACGACAGTTCGTTCGGCGCGACACGCACTACGTTACCGTATTTTTCGTGCAAGGCCGCGACGTCGGAGTGGAGCCAGCCCGACCAGCTCGAGTACATGTAGCGGAGGCGGCTACATCCCCATAGGAGAGGTCCGGGGAAACGGGATAGAGGGTGGAGGGTTATGTTGTATATGACGGTGAGGATGGGGTACTGCTTGGATTGTCAGGTTTGATCAGTACGCCCAGCTGGGCACGTTCTTCACTGACCAAGATGAGACCTATCCCCACGGTCTTAAGCACATCAATCGCATTCAGATTTTCCAAGAAGTATACAGCCATTTCAAACTCCTCGTCTTCAACCTTCGACAGTAAATGTGGAGAGCTGCCCAAAATCACAGAGTGAATTAGCGGGGAAGAGAAGCTCCTCCGTACGAAGAAGCATTCTCAGGGTTAATATACAACGCGGAGAAAACCGTAGCTACGGTCGTACCGGTACGCGGGGTAATCTCGAGACCGCTTCTTTGAGTACGAGAACCAGCTGACATTTATCCTACCACTTCATTGCTGGCTGCCTAAACGCACCAGATCGGCTGAATCTGGGCCCCCGTAACTGTTGATTGAAGCGGTGTATACCGCGCAAGGGAGCTTGATTCTGCCTTAGGTCTGTTCACACGGCGATGTGGCGTGCATAGTGCTACAACTAACGAGCGAAGGATGCATGCCGACTTGAAGCTAGGAATTCACAAATTGAAAGCCTTTCTGCGCCGCCGCGCATTATCTTTGGATAAACAAGTACATTGTCCTTGGTGGAATACTTAGCAAGAAACTAGAAGTTCTTAGAGGTCACTGCACTTCTCTCTTATCTACTCATACTATAAAATTGATATAATTAATAGCAATACTTACTTTCTAAAAGTACTAATTATACAGGTAATCTAAGCATACAATTTCCAGACTTTGTTTACAACGTAGAGGAGTTATAGATCGCACTGAGCGTATGTTTTATCTGTATACCATAGACTTGATCTTTTCGTACATGTATAGTTAGGTTTAACTAGGAATAGAAAACAATCTAGGTAAAATCATTTCTGCTAGATACCAAGCATATCAGCCAATTGGTTCATTTGCGCTGAGTCCAAAGCAGTGGCATCTGTGAACCAATCCATCTCCATCTCGCAACCTCATGAACGCCAAACATTGCAGAAATAACCAAAAAAATATCCCCCATCCAACCAAGGTTACTTCATCTTGAACAACCACTCTTCAAACTGTTCCGCATCCAACCCCTTTGGCACCATAGCTCTCGACCTCTTCCACCCAAACGAGCAGATTCCAAACGTAGGATGACTGGCCGGGTTCCTCGCAAAGGACAGCATCCTCTGCGTTTCAAGGCTGTCTTCACCCTCACAGATAACTCTGATCTTGTAAGCTCTTTCGGCGAAGACGCTCGCTCGAGCCTCATCCCCATGCGCAATGCAAATTTGAAAAGCGTCATAATACGCTCTGGCACTGAGAACCACGGTGCAGCCGTCGTACTCCTTCCTAAGCGCTTGAAGCAGCGCGTGGCAATCCCTGAGACAGTCGCTGGGCCTGCTGGCCATGCGAGAAGCGTCGCCAATGGCGTCGTCGAGCGCTTGAATCCGTTCACGGCGAGCATCGCTGGCTGCGAGTTCCGCAGCAGGAAGGGAGCATGCACGACAAATGCAATCGAAACCGAAGTTTACCTTCAGGAAGGCACGGCGTACAGCCGATACACGGCCACAATCATAGGCAATTGTGATTTCCTCTCCCGCCTCGATGGGTCGGATCGCGTGGATGGTTTCGCGTCCTGTATCGCTGTTCCAACTGTGATTGCAGTTTGGCACACAACTGTGGTTGATGAGGCAGATTGTCGGATAGACTGCGCCTACGGAAGAGCTGGGTCCGCAAGGGAGGGCGTTCGTTCTGACGATCCCGGTGAATGGGTACTTGCCGGGGTTGGTATTGTGGAGGGACAGGAATTCTCGTTGGGATGCTTTGGGCAGTGCCTTCAGCTGTGCAGCAAACATGTTTTCCGCATCAACGGGTGTCGTGTATTCGGATTGAACGGTGAGAAGCGGCTTCTCGCAAAGGATGCGAGTGCCTGTCGCTACATTGATGCGCGCGACGAGACCTCTACCCTTTCGGGGTATTTGTTTAATTTCGAAAAGTGGTGTGTCGACTCCGTTGGATAGGCGAGGGACCATATCAAAACCCGCGTCAATTTCCATGGTGGGGACGGAAGTGAACAAGTAGAAGTGCCAAGTAATGAAGCCTTGAGTGAATTCATCCTGCTGATAAACCACGACATCTGCATGGTTTGTGTCGAAGTTTGTATGGCACGAATTGCTATTTGTATCCACAAACTTCTGTCACCTGACTGTAAGGTTGGACATCAAATAATAACGAAACTTGAGGAGAGCATAGCTACGTTGACCTACTACAAGCGTCCAGCATGAAGAACAGCAATCACGGTTCCTCTCTGTCTGAAAAGTCGCGATCTGGCCTCTGCACTTACAAACCACGAATCAAGACGAACGATCAGGTATAATTTAGCACAAGGATTCAGCAAAATCCTCTGAATAGCACAAACATTCAACAAAATCCTCTGAAGGCATTGGCATGGAACGGAGCAAATCAGAAATGTCCCTGACGGGATCATCTCTAATCTGCAAAGCTAACACGGAACCCATCGTCTATCAGAATCATACTCGGCACGCATATCCAGAATAACCGAAAACACCCTACCCACCGAGAGCCATCACTCGTCCCAACCTACCAACACTTCTATATCCAAGAAAAAATCAACCTTCCCCCCAAAAATCACCACAGCATACCTCTCCCACCACACCCCTAGACCCGATGCAAAACCACATACACCTTCTCCCTCGTCCCATCCCTATTCGCTCCCTGTCCCATCCCCAACATCCCCAAACTACACTCCGTCGCCATCTGACTCCCAAACACATACGTCATGCCCTTCGCCCACCTCCCGCCACCCAACTCAATACACTTCGTGAGCCCCCACCCCTGACACTCCTCATGCGGAAGCCGCATCGCCTTGATGACGCGATTGATCGTCCACCCGGAATCGAACTGCATGGGCTCAATCTGCAACTGCATGCCTGCATGCTCCCACGGCAGACAGTTCGTCAGGATGCGGAAGATGGAGCTCGTTTCCTGGGGTTGCACGACCGTGTGGCCGGGTATGTCGCCGCCGGGGCGCACCGTGGGATCGGTTTGCGAGCCCGGGATGGGTCCGACGCCGCCGCCTTCGCCGTCGATGAAGGGCAGTGGGGGTCGTCCGCCGGGGAAGAAGCCGCCGAAGCCGGGTAGGAAGCCTGCTGCTGTTGCTGCTGCGCCGGCGGCCCACGGCATACCGCCCGCAGCGAAGGGAGGAGGGATCATGCCTCCTGTGTAGCCGAAGCCTGGGAGCGGGGAGACACCGCAGCCTGGGTTGGGCGCGGGTGGGAAGCCTTGGGGTGTCATGCCTAGGGGTAGGCCGAAGGGCATGCCCATCCCCATCCCCATACCCATGGGCCAAGGGCCGCCGAGGCCAAAGGGAGGGAATGGCATACCTGGGTAAGGGGGTGGTGGAGGTACGACGGCTGCCGCAGGAGCAGGAGCAGTGGTACCTGCGACGGCACCGTTGACGAGGATGCCGAGGGCTGGGGCGAAGGTAGGTGGTGCTGCGGCTGGGTCTGCTGGGCCGGCAGCGGCGAGGCCGATGATGTGGATGGGTTCGGATTGAGGATCGGGGACGCCTAGGGGTGGTGGTGGTGGGTCGAGGTTGATGTTTGGGTTGTTGGCGATGTTGGCGTAGAGGGGGGCCTGAGCCATTGTCCTGGAGATAGGAAGGGGGTCTTGTATGTAAATGAGGAGAATCTTCAGGTGTTGAGGAATTGAGACTGAAGCCCCTGGATGGAATGGGGGAAAAGGAATACACGAAGAAGAATGGAAGAGAAGAACCCCTAGATATATTCGCTGTCAAAGCACCTCCGCTACATCCAAAGACAGCTCCTTGAGAAGGTACAAAAGACGTGGTTATACTCGATAGATATATGCCATGTCGCAGTGGTATTCAATGCTAACACTGGGCTGTGAAGGCGAGTGTGTTTTGCAGCAGTGACTGACACGATACCCACCTGTTTAAAAGGCTAGGAAGAAATAGAGCCAGCATACGTGTAGCTGTCAAACAGTCAATTCAAGTATCACAAGAAACCTAAGAGCTCTTGGTCACTGTCCGGCTCAAGACAGTGCTTCACTGTTGTCCGCCTTCCACGAACCTGTTGCGGCAGTGACACGAGGAGCAATACGCATCTCTGTGAATAGACAGCTACATGGTCGCGCGTTCTTATCGAGTACTATGTGGACGAGCATACGGGTGTGCTGTGTTGGCATTCGTCGACTTCAATGACCAGTGTGGCAAGTTGGCGGTTTTCGCGAAATGCAAACGCACTCTTTATGCCAGCAGTTCCAAGTCGCGTGGAGTGGGAGAGGCCAAATCTTGGGTGATTGTTGAAATCGACAAGTCATGTTGTAAAAATGAAGGTACCGTTCTCAATCACTTGTATGACGAAACTGATTAACGAGAAAAATGGCAAAGGTTGCGCAGAGAGCGGCGCGACAAAGGAAAAGCTGTAAGGCGTCAGGGTGTGCTTACAAACACGATCTGTTATAATCATCACGGTTACATGCGCAGGTGCCATCCGTCCAATCACAACACGCGTTCGTGACGCTGAACTTATTGTTACTGATGCATGGTATATTAATTATCTCAATCCATTATATATCTAAGTCTAGTCTTGCATTCTAGCGGTACCAGCCCTCTATGCTTTTGAAAATGCTGTAACAGTAGCTAGGTATCAAGTATGCTTTTCAGACGCCTCAACCGTATCCAAAAATGCCAAAAATCAACTGCAATGCATGCTACGCTGAAGGATAATCAGAGTCTAAGATCTGCGACCTCCAGCTAGCAGCGAGATTCGACCCAGCGAGTGGGTCGACCATTGGAGTACTCGAGTTACTGTACCACAGCCTACGTGGCCAGTCCATGCTGCGCTCCAGGCTGGTAGGTGATAGCCACTCGGACGATTGCGGCCCAAGGGCATGCGGGGTGGCTGCACTAGCCATAGAATTCCGGTCTATTCGTAGGAATCGTCAGGTTGGATTCGGGCATGCATAATCCCCTCCACATTCTGGCCAGGATAAGAGCACCCGCAATCACTGCTTCTCATCCTCCGGGTGATATGCGAAGTGCGAATGGGCGCGGATAGCCGCACCCTTGTAGTAGAATACGTACGGGATGGCACAGCATGCCAGACCGATGAAGGCCAGCAGCGTGCTGGCCCACTGATACCCTAGGCGGTCGTACATTTGCGCGGTGAACAGAACGGTACCAGCACCGTAGAATGATCGAAGGAACGTTTTGGCGGCGAGTGCAGACGCGGCCTGGTGTTGATAAGAGTCGACAAGGTAATTGTTGGCCGAGTTGTAGAGGAAGATGATGCCGAGCCCGACGGGGAAGCCACCAAAGGCAGGACCCGCCCAGTGGAGACGTGGGTACGAGGTCCATGCGAAAATGAAAAGACCAATGGGGATAAGCCAGCAGGAAATCATCATTGGGATGAGGCGGACTTCCGGAGGGGGGTTGCCGTTGTACTTCTTGACCATCTTGACATAGTGGTTGTTGACGAAGGGCCCGCAAAAGGCGCCGCTGAGCACGCCAACGGCCAGTGGAATGAACATCAAGCCTGTGCTGCCATGCGAGTACCCCTTTCCTTCGACGTAGACAATTGGGAAGGCGACGAAGAACATGTACAGCAGTCCGTAGATAACGCTCATGTAGATGGCGATGAAGAGGACGATGGGTTCCAGGAAGAGCAGCTGGAAAGGCCGGACCAAGAAGATCATCAAACGCTCTTTGAAAGGTCGCAGATCGAGATCTTCTTCCGTTACGTACTTGTCGTTGCCAGTCTGCTTCCTCAGCTTCTTTGCGCGCCTTGCCAACAACGTAGGAGCGTAGGTTTCGGGAACGGTAAAGGTGATGACAGCCCAGATGACCCCGGAAGCGATGAGCTGAATCCAGTACAACCATCTCCATCCGGCGGCCTGGTACAGGTATCCGCCGATGAGGGGACCAAGCGCAGGGCCGATGAAGGGCGCAGCGGAGAAAGCGGCCATGGGAACGCCTCTTTCTTCGTTCTTCCACAGATCGGCAAGAGTGCCACCAACGAGTGTCATGGGGGCACTGAAGGAAATACCCGCAAGACAGCGGGTGACGAGAAGGGTACCGATGTTCTGGGCGACAGCGCCGGGGATAGTGAAGATGACGGCAAGGAGCAGGGTGGTCCCGTAGATGATTCGCCTTCCGACGACTTCAGATAAAGGTGCAAAAACCATGGGGCCAACGCCAAAGCCGACCACGAAGACGGTAATGGTCAGCAGTGCAACCTCGCGGCTGACGTCGAACTCTTCCGAGACGCCTTCCAGACCAGGTGTGATGACGGAACTGTCGAAGGCTACGACGAAGCATGTCACAGCGACAACCATGGTGCACCACCATTTGTATGCCTTGGACCAGTTCTTGGGGTTCTCTGGGTCGTTGATGGTGAAAGTGACGAGCTGGTATCGTTCGACCTGGTTGGTGGCATGCGACAGAACCTCTCGAACCATATGCCCCTCGGCCGTCTCCGTCGTATACTCAGCCAGGTCGGCACGGGCACTGAGTGTGCGGAAAGGGAGTGCTTGCACATCAGCTTCGGTAACTGTCCGCGCCAGATGGAGCTGTTCAGGATCGGGATGGGGATGGCTATGGGGCTTTTGCGCAGAGGTTGTTGAGTGGGAATCCGACCCCTCCGACGACGTTGGAGGACGATGTGAATCCAACATAACTGCGGAACCGTTATCCGTTGAAGGCGAGGTTGCCTGTTCGTTCCCAATTCTTGGATATGAGAGTGGACGATTCGGGAACCGAGTGTATGAATGGGCTGCAGCTGGACAGGCGAAGTTCGGGTATCGCTAACCATTCCAACGGAGTCACCCATGGCTATATATCATCCGTCAGATACTTCGGCCGTAGAGATTTAACGCAGAGCTCGAACGGGATACTTTCGGAGTTCCCTTTTTGCATTCGCCTTGTAAAGAAGTCGTCGACCTTGACTGCAGACCATTTTGGAGCTTGCAAGCTAAACCGCTCTAGGAAAGGCAGGTACCCCTTTGCGGTTAGACTCTCAGGAGATAACTCGGAAACCACTTAGCATGCCTACACACCAAGCGCTCAATGTTGAGAAAGTCGACATAGCGTTCGTACGAGGAATGCTACCCACTGATGCTTGAAGATGATTTGAAGCAGATTCTCCAAAATGACGTATGGGGTGCCGCTTTAGTGCCGGCCCAGCTGGGCAGCTTTCATGGGCAACTCCTAGGCCTAGCGCTACTCGTCGCATTCCTGGCATTCATCGAACGAGCCAACCGAACGAGCGAATGGAGCCGTAAGAGATGGATGGGAATCTCCGCATGCTTCCGGAAGCGAGGCTAATTCGTGGCTACTACCCGGAACCGCAAGCCGGACGTTTTGTAGACCAGAAGATGTTTAGTTCAGCGGGTGCCGCAGGACAGTTGGGGATACAGTAGACTGTCACGGTGGGCGCGGGTGACGATATCATGCAGACTTGGAAAGTCCCGTTGCATGACGGCTGCATGGTCGAAAACGCAAAGCTGAACGATGGGAAACCCTCCCGTGCGTTCTCTGAGGCTTGTATCGAGGAGTGGGATGTCTCTGTTCGGTATGGTAGCGTAGGTTGGGTTCGTGGATGTGCAAAGGTCGCCTGAGCAGCGAGCAGGCGGACATCAGGGTAACAGCAGCCAACAGACTGGGCTGAGGGCAGTCGAAGACACAGAATATGGACGATGAAACTCTCACCGATCAGCAAGTAAGAGGCTTGTACGGTTCAAAAAAGGAGTCGCTGTGGGGACAATCCCAGGGACGCCAAGAGTACCATAGATATTGGGCTGCAGGTACTGCGGCGGTGGCACCTTCCGCCTAGGGCAGTGGTTGATGTTGCTTCGCCGAGCACCTTCCAACACCGAGAAGTTCGCTGTGAGGTGTTGGGGGTTGCACGACGCCTGAGCCCCACTTGGCGAGAGGAGGTCGAAAGATGCAAGCGCTGTAGCGTTGGTAGTTGTTGGATCGAGGGTGTGATGTGTGTCACCGAACTGGCAGCACAAATGCAGGAGCATGCAGCGAGGCGGGCGGCTTGACAGCATTGAACAGGGTTTTCGGTGTTCACCGGCGGGCAATCCACAAAGGGAAACCTGAGGTTGATGTCGGGAGGGGCATTCGATAATGTTCGGTATGGGCATGGCCAGTCTGCAGTTTCCCGTGCGTGCAGGAGAAAGTTTAGCAGAGAATATTTAGAAGATGCAGTGCGGCCCTGGAGGTGTTCGTGGCGCCCGAGTCGAGGAGCAGAAGTAATAATCTCATGCATGGCCGAGAAAATGGTTCCGGGCTTGCTCGAGGGAGTCCATCCTCCTCAAGGCCGGGGAACAGGTGGGAATAATGGCAGGAGAGGTAGGTACCTGCATGGTCTGACGATAGTCTTTTGAGCGGACCTGTAACATGTATTAAAGCAGAAGAATCAGCTCTGTTCCTGTATCCGAGTCGGAAACTGCCATGCAGGGCCAGGGTCGGCCATTATTGGCCTCTTGCGTCGGAGCTATTCATCAGAACATTGAAGACCATGTTGTCGGGATGCAGGCATGCTGCAAAAGGGTTCGGCAAGCCGTGTGGGCTTGGCCAGCAATGGGAGCAGGGAGCAGGGAGCAGGCAATCTACGAACAGAGAGAGGTGAACAATAGATACGGATGAAGGGGAAGGGTGCAGCCGTGTAGTCGAAGGGTTGTCGGTGTACCGAGTAGTCGTATGGGATTCCAGGTTCACCACAAGTCGATGAGTTTTTAATAAGCCATCGCCGTAGGGCTCTGTAGATTACCGTATTGAGCAACATGGCGGGGAACCCCTCCCGTCCTCCCCGGGCCCGCGCCTCGGTGTGAACGGGTGCTCGAGCAGACCATCTTTCAGGGCTCCAACAGTATCTATCTACCATAATCGTGCCCATCCGGCTCCACACCCCCCCGGACCACACATACCTAACACAGGATACCAGCCTACACAGGATCGCGCAACCACGAAGGTGCTCACCTAGTCCTTACTCTAACAGGCGCCTACGGAGTACACATCTCGCCATTTCCTCCTCCTTTGGCGCCTGCCTTCTCGAGACACCAAGAAGAAAAGAGGAACTACTCCGAACCCTCCTCCCTTCGCTCTCAAGTCCCGTCTACACAGTATTTCCAATTCGTTCAGCGCTGGCGCCGCCGCACCTCATCACCACTCCTCCCGAGACCCCCCCACCTCGATTCAGCGACCGCGTCCTCCTTCTCGCAACCCACTGCGCCGGAATCGTCCTCCTGGTCCTTCACCTCCAGGGCTTCCTCCATTGGCTGGCTTATCCCTACGCCGTGCTCTTGTCGAGCCCTCAGGCGCGTCATCGCCCGCTGCCTTCGACCAGCACAAGTCCAACTAGGCAAAAAAGAAAGAAGGCAACCTGCCCTGCGCATCCTGGCCGTGTGCATTTTCCCACACGCATTGGGTACCGCCGCCCAGTCCCCAGTCGTCCTCTCCGCCCTCTCAGCTGGGCCTGCGCCGTCCACCGTTGTCTTCACCCCTCCCCCTCCACCCCCCTCCATCAGTGTGCTTGCTTGGTCCCACCAAGAGGCAGGCGCCGTGGTCGCAACCTCCTGACGCGTGCGTATTGGTGAAATATGGCGGGTACGACCCCTCAGCACCTTGTAGCTTTCCCCCCTCCATCCACCCATCATCATCCCTCGTCTTCCCCCTCGTTTCCCTCCGTCCCGTCCTTTCCGCTTCCACTCTTCTCTCTTCTGCCAGTTGCGCCTGTTCGCTGCTCCGCTAACTCCCTTCTCGCAAACAGACGACGCTGTAGATAGCTATCGTCGGTCCGTGGTGAGTCCGCCTTCCTTGCGTCACGTCCACTTTCCTCCCCTTCTAATCCATCCGCTTCACCGTCATTGCACACTCCCCCCTCCTCGCGCCTGCTTCAATCTTCCTGTACGTCCCTTTCCTCGACGCTGCATGGCACTGTTGTTGGGTCGTTGCTTGCCAGCGCTGGGCAGTCACCGTTGCACGTGCGAGGCTCTTTGCACGTGACGCTTGCCAAGACAACTGGCCTCGCCTCCACTGGCGCGTTCAGCGGCTTGCCTCACCACGCCCGTTCACCTTTCCCTCCGCTCCATCCACCTCCCATCAACGCTCTCACCTCGAGCAGCGTCCCCCTTCCCTTACACCTCCTCCGCTCACCCTATCTTGCTCTGCACCTCCGCAGGAGCGCCAAATCGTCAGCATGAGCTACGAAGCTGATAGCTATGACCAGCGCGACTCGGGTCGTGATCGTTCCCCCCGTCGTCGATCCCGCTCACCGCGTCGTTCCCGTCGCTCCTACTCACCTCGCAGCCGGTCGCGAAGCCGGGACGACTATCGCCGCAGTGACCGACGTTCGCGTTCGCCTGTGAGCGGTGCCCAGGGCACGGGAGGTTATCAGTCGTACGGAGCTGGTCGTGGAAGTTCATCGCGCGCCGACGGTGCAAAGGAGAGCGGCATGCAGAGCGTCAGGGAAAACTCCCAACAGGACCGACGTGTCTATGTTGGCAACTTGTCCTACGATGTGAAGTGGCATCACCTGAAGGATTTCATGAGACAGGGTATGGCTCGGCATGCGTTATGTGGTTGGCAAGAACTGACTTGGCGCAGCCGGTGAGGTCCTCTTCGCGGACGTGCTGCTACTTCCGAACGGAATGTCAAAGGTAATCATATGATGGCTGGCCTACTGAGTGTTGGATGGTGATTGACGGGTGTTCCTTTGGGATAGGGCTGTGGCATCGTGGAATATGCAACTCGGGAGCAGGCGCAGAACGCCGTGGCGACGCTCAGCAACCAGAATTTGATGGGCCGACTGGTCTATGTCCGCGAAGATCGAGAGGCGGAGCCTCGATTCAGCACGCCGGGTGCCTCGCGCGGAGGTTTTGACGGCGGTATGATGCGTGGCGGATACGGAGGGCCTGGTATGGGTTATGGTGGTCCCCAAGGAGGCGGCAGCCGGCAGGTCTATGTCGCTAACGTTCGTATCTTTCCGCGCCCGCTCACTTCGTCGACGCTAACGCTCTGTGCAGCTTCCGTTCAACGTGGGTTGGCAAGATCTCAAGGACCTCTTCCGCCAAGCAGGTAAGTCGCTCCGTCGTGTTTACGTCTCTTGCTGCTAATATGTAGCTTCACAGCGCAACATGGCTCTGTCCTTCGTGCCGATGTCCATGTCGCTCCCGATGGTCGTCCCAAGGGTTCCGGCATCGTCGCTTTCGAGTCCCCTGAAGACGCCCGCAATGCCATCCAACAATTCAACGGTTATGATTGGCAAGGCCGCACCCTCGAAGTTCGTGAGGACCGTTTCGCCGGCGCACCCGGTGGCTTCGGTGGCCGCGGAGGTTTTGGTGGCCGCGGGGGCTTCGGAGGAGGGTTTGCCGGTCGTGGTGGCTTCGGGGGACGTGGTGGCTATGGAGGCTTCGGCGGTCGCGGCGGTTATGGAGGTGGAATGGGTGGCTATGGGGGCGGCTTCGACGCCGGTGCCGGGGTCTCCAACCCGCCAAACCCCTTCACGGACTTTGCCACTTCTGGTGGAGAGCCTAGCCAGACAATCTACGTTCGCAACGTAAGTCGAATGTCACCATTGTGTTGCAGTTACTGACTTCACTAGCTTCCCTGGTCGACTAGCAATGAGGACCTGGTCGAGCTGTTCACGACTATTGGCAAAGTCGAACGTGCCGAGATCCAGTATGAACCCAATGGACGCTCCCGCGGGACCGGCGTCGTTGAGTTCGAGAAGCAATCGGATGCTGAAACCGCTATTGGTAAGCATAGTTTGTTCTGCAATTACACCATTCACGCTCTAACACATTGCAGCCAAGTTCACGGGCTACCAGTATGGCGGCCGTCCCTTGGGCCTGAGTTTCGTCAAGTACACCAACCAAGGCGGTGGAGATGCGATGGAAGGTACCGAGGCGACTGGCGGTCTCACGCAAGATCAGATTATGTGAGGGGTGGGCAGTTCGGGCGTGTTCGATACATGTTTAGGTTTGCATTTCCCACATGTCGGATGCATTTGATTGGGACTCACCGTCCTCTTCAATTTGTCTAAGGCGGTTTGGCTGACACGGTTCATCTCAGACAACTGAGGTCAAAAGAGATTCCAGACTGTGAGGGATGTATGGGTATTCAACGGGCAAGTAATAAAACTTTCGAGTTAGGAATAGGAGTCAGGGGCATGGGCACTGCCTACCCGGTACGATATTGAAGCAAGTGTTAAGGGTTTCCACTTGGCGATAGATTCACAGAGGATCGGGCGCATCATTTATCATTCGTTCATATTGGTTGCAACAGCCTCATCATCCACTCGTACACGGCCCATTGGACAGCGTTGACAATGAATGCTCGGACAGAACATATCCCCAGCCCTCTGAAGAAGACGCTAGCGCCTTCAGATTGGTATGCCTGCCTGGCAATTTGAAGAGTGCTGAGCCTCTTCTCCCTATCTAGACCAAGGCCGCGTGGGTGAAGCAGCGCCTGGTGTTCTACATTGTGCTCGGTCTTGTGATACAGAACCTGGGTCTGCACTCTGGTTTTGATGACATCCAGCGGGAATATGGAGGCCCATGTCACTATGCCAGCCAATCCTCCACATAACAGAACCTTCAATGCCGTCGCCTTGTCCGTATCTTCGGGCGAGCTTATAGCTTGTTTACTCCACTCATAGGACCAAAAGCTGACAACGTTAGCAACAGACGCACCGTGCTGGCAGACGAACAACGTACTAGAACCCATAACCCACCGCATCCCTCACGCTCGTTATCGCCCCGCCATAATACAACCCCCGAACCCCATCCCTCTTCCACACATCCCTCGCAATCGACCAAGAAGTCGTCTTCCCCCTCGACACCTGCGCCCTACATTTCACCAGCTCCGTGGGCGCCGACACCACGAAGGTAGCCAGGCCTCCTACAGCACCGGCCCACCATACTTTCGCCAGGCTTGTGGGCGCGGAGGGTACGTCGCCGAGGAGCTCGAGCGTGCGGTTGTAGCTCACGAAGAGTATGGCATTCAGGGCGCCGTAGCCGAGGATGGGGGCTGTAGTACCTGTGCTGGTGCGTGGGGTGTTAGTTTGCTGGATTCCCTTGACTGATTTACGCCAATTGGAGAGGGCGAATGGCAGAGGGAAGGGCAAGCGTACCCCTAACTAACGTCCCCGCATGTTCGAAATGGCTCCTAAACGTCTGTGGCTGCGCGATCGCTCCCGCAGCAGCGCGGTTGGGGATGGTCGTAGTTTGGGAAGAAACGGAAACGGGTGCTGGGCCGGCTTGCATGCGCGTCTTAACGAGGTCGAGTGGGTTGCCGATGAGGATACCTGCGGCGCCGCTGAGGTAGCCGGCCCAGAAGTCGGCGGACATGGCTGGGTTTGTTGCTTTGGGAGTTGGGTTTTGATAGAGGAGCTGGAGGGGTGAGAGGAGGGGTGTGGCGGTGCGCCTGGCTTTGCTTGAGCTCCGGCCGAGCCGGGGTGCGATGGGGAAACGGAGTGGCGCGCAAGCTCGTCCGGGAGCCAATCAGATAGTGGGCAGGGATGTGCCCACTAATCCACCGCCCCGCCGCCACTGGAACCATCACCCTGACTATCACCGCCGCTTCTACCACGTTCTCTGCTCCATCTCTCACCTACGAAGCACTACGACACGATTGCAGCTCCCCATCCAAACGATATTGATCATGACATCGCGGCTGAAGCTCTCCCTTGAGATTGCATTCCACGGTATGTGTGGGTGTCGCTTCCGAGCGATTCCTCGGTTTGCCAGGTCTGACGAAGCGATAGCGTTAGCTCTCTGATTCGCCATTACCTACTACTACTTCTTCTACAAACGAATTTATCTCATAACGAACGAACGGACGGACGTACCAATACGCAAGTAAGAGTGGTCAACCGATGCCGTCGCCGCCATTCGACACCTCCTGGGACTTTGGCGCTGCGCTGCACCTCATCGACTCATCCGACGAGTTTGATGCTGTGGACACCCCGCCAACACCGCTTCAGCAGCCGAACACAGACTCTCGGGATGTATTAACCTACGATGCGTTTAAGAGCTCTGCTAGCCCAGAGTCTCCCCTAGCAGAAGGCGGAGGCGTCTCCTTGGGGAATTTCGACAAAGTTTGGAAGGTCTTGGGTACGTCGGGGGAGTCAGCGCCGCTGCCGAGCGTTGATGAAGAACCAATAAGTTCGGATGATGCGGGGTGTTTCTCAGTGGGGAGTGATAATGAGAGGAGTGGGGACGAGGGAGCGTATTTGACGCAGGGGGTGAGTGGGGTTGGTGAAGAGGTTGCGGATGCTGCACATGCAGCCGCCGATGAGAGTGATGCCGCTGGTACTGGGGTGAGCAGAAAGCGGGGACGGAAGAGGGGTAAGAAAGGAAAGAGAAATCGCACAGAGAGGGCTGCTTACAGTGCAGGAGAGTTGTTGGAGGTTGGCGATGGTAGGACTCTACAAGCTTCTGGAATGTCAGCTGCCGGAGTTGTGCATCCGTCCGAGCCAGTTGCGGTTGCGATCACGCCCTTGGACACGAGCAGGCTACCCAATTCGATGCACTTGACGCCTTTGGCGCTGGCTGTGGATCCCACACCTACATTCGATATCCCTCCTTCGTCTACCCAACACGTCCTTCCCGAATCGTCCCATAAATCTATCAGCGAGCTGTCACAGTCCTTGGAGCTTCCGTCTTCAGATCCTCGTTTGTTTTCGTCGCAGGTCAAGGCTTTGACAGGGTTGAAACCGAACGGCACGTCCACTCCCTCCTCGACATCCAATGGGCTTCATGCCCATCCCCAGGTTTCCTCTTCTGGACACGATGTCCCTCGATCCACACCATCGCTTTTGGGGTATCTGGTGCCCCACCAGGTTGCGCAAGCAGCCTACCTTTCAACTTCTTACCATACAGGTTATCCTAATATCGCCCGCTCCGAGCTCGACCTAGCACAGAATCACTCTGGCACAAAACCTAAAGTCCAGTACGCCGCGTTCGGTACACTGGTCAGGCCTACCTCCGACCTCTCGTTATTACCCGTCCCACGACCTATAGGCTCGATTCCTGTCTTCAACACTACGAAACCTCACCTTGGCGCTGATTATTCTGCCACTGGTTCTCTTGTCTCTGCGAACAGGACTGCGGAGAAAATCCATCCCCGCAGTCGGGAGGAATTGCATTGTGAATTTCTTTTCAAACTTATAGACCGCTTTCCGGAAGATAAAAGATGGCTCGTAAGCCCCTTTCGACAGCTGAGGGACAACGACATGTCCCCCGAGGGCATCCACGTCTTCATAGACAAGTCGAACATCACGATTGGGTTCAGCGAGATGCTGAAACTAACCGGTAGACGGCCTTGCAACATGTCGTTCGAGTGCCTCTGTCTGCTACTCGAGCGCCGCCGCCCCGTCGCGAAGAGGGTCCTAGCAGGCTCCGAGCACGGGCTGCGGCCGCAACGCAACGATGTCAAGTTCAACAGCCAAGCGGGCGAGCTGGGCTACGAGCAGAACATCTTTGCGCGCGTGCACAAGGTCAAGGAACCGTCGCCGAGATCGATGCACTGGAGCCGCACGGGAGAATTGCAATATTCGGGTGGAGCTTTCGGCGGCGGTAGCGACTCGGAAACGGGCGCTCCAACTGCTGCTGCTGCGGTGACTCGCAGCTCGTGGACGACGACCACGAAGACGACGACGACGACTGCGTACATGGCCCCGAAATGGGTCGAGCAGGGCGTCGACGAGAATCTCCACCTGAAGATGTGCAACAGCATCCTGGATGCGGAGTCGCCGTCGACAATGGTGCTGGCGACGGGGGATGGGAATGAGGCCGAGTTTTCGGATGGGTTTCTGGCGCATGTGGAGAGGGCGCTGAAGAAGGGGTGGAAGGTCGAGTTGGTGGCGTGGCGGAAGAGTATCCATGGGGGGTATTATAAGACGATGGGGAAGTGGGGGGAGAGGTTCCGGATTGTGGAGTTGGATGAGTGGTTGGAGTTTATGATGGATGTGGAGGGTTGAGAAATGCATTGGGTGTGGAGCTGTTTTGGGGGTTTGATGGGTGGGTGCTTGGTAGGAGGATTATTGGGGCATTTACGTCTGGAATCTGTTTTGCATAGTGGATGGAATTGGTGCTTGTAGAGTTGTGATAGGGATCTATCTCGCTCTCCTTCGCCATGATTGTTCCATCTTGGAAGAGATGCGCTTTGCAGCCAGCTTCCTCGTTAAGAGCGTGCATGGATGTTTGGCAGCATACCAAATATTTACATAGCTCTACTGCTCAATCTGCGAACTTTTGTCTACACAAACACGCCCCTTCAAAGTCACTATTCTACTTTTCCATGATATCATTAGCAGGAGGAGTAGGTCGGTTCCTCGGAGCCAAACACAAGCCGTCCGAATCCGACCCGGCCGAGTCTAGCTTTTTGTTTTGTCCTCTTGGCGAAACGAGAGCGGGAGCGCGGCGGCTGTCGGGTAGCTCGGGTTTAACGGGCGCACCGGGTAGTGCTGGGTGCGCATCTCGACCCAGGAGAGGGAAATTGGACGGTGAGATTTTCGTGATGGTGAGTAATGGGATCTGGATCTAGAGTGGGTTTTTGAGGGAGGCTGGGAGGATGTTGAGGATGTTGAGGAAGATGTCGTGGAACTGGGAGAGGGGAGAGATATTGGAAAGGATGGGAAATGCAGTGTGACAGGAGTCGTGAATCGTAAGGGTTATCACTGAAGCTTTACGGTTAGTATTATCCGGACAAACCACAATTCGCTGTATACGGAATACGATAGGTAGAAGAAAAAAACGTGCTGCTGATTCGACGATCTGCTCAACATATTCAGAGAAAAAGTGCATGGATCAGGAAAAAAGGGATGCGAGGGCTCGGCCGGGGCCAGGGCGGAAAAGTCGTGATGAGAGTGAACAGATGCGGTGTTTTGCTGCGCCCGTTTGACAATGGGAAATTGCGGCGCTGGGGTCGTCAGCGTATTCTGACTGTCATCACTGGTTTTCTGTACTTTCGGGGGCTCGGGCTGAGGTGATGCCGCGAGGCACTAGGCCGTGTAGAGGCCGTTGTAGACGCGCAGGACTTGAGGCTGGGTGGTGGTGCGTCCACGATTAGTCCGTGGCTTGGTATTACTTAATCCGACTCTGCCGCACGCACCCTCTCCTTCACCTTTCACCCTCCGCCCTCTCTCGCTCACCGTCCGCGTCTCGACGTACTCCCACCCCTCTTCCTCTGCGACGCCTCACTCTTCGCCCTCCCGCGCATGGTCTCGTAAAACCTCTCGTTCGCCAAAACTCTCCCATCCTCGCCTCGCTGCTCGGTTCACCCGGACCTTAGCAGTGTGCCTCTCCGTAATTCCACTCTACTCCACCTCCTCCCTCCCGCCATGGCGAACAAAACGAGCGCCTACTTGGCCTTCCTCGACAACTCCGCAACAGACATGCTCGGCCGTGCGAAGAAGATCCCAGGCCTCGCCGCCCTCCCCAGCTTCATCCCTCACCGAGTACGCCGCAAATGGAGAGCCACACGCTCGCGGATCCGCAGCAGACGGTCGCCCGCCTCCTCCGTCTCCTCACTCGAGACGTCGTTTTCGCCAAAGGACACGCTGCGCTCGCTGCAAGCCCATCGCTGGTCCATATACGACGCTCAGTATCTGTTCCTCGCCATCGTGGCCATCTTTGCCCTCTCCGTGTCCGAGTCCCCCGGCCCGTTTGCGAAGACGTTTGCGGCGGCCATGCTCATGGCTGGTCTGGTGTTGCCCATAACGAGGCAGTTTCTGCTCCCGTTCCTGCCGGCGTTGACGTGGTTACTCCTCTTCTCTAGTTGCAAGTATGTGTTTTCTTCGTGTTTGCTGATCATCACCCCGGCCCAAGCGCGCAAGCCGATTTAGCACCGCCTTGCGGCACAGCCTTGTAAGCGCCGTCTGGCCTGGCGCTCTGCTGTTGCAGTGCCGCCGATCGTTATGGCTTCTGGTTGTTGCTGCGTTCTGCTTCAGCATCGCGCGCTTTCACGTGCCTCTGTCTAGGCTTCAGACATGGCGGCATGTTCAATTTGCGCGCAGAGATGCTGACAGTGATGCAGATATGTCCCAGCAGACTACCGCCCTGCGATATGGGTCCGTGTCCTCCCCACGCTAGAGAACATCCTCTATGGTGCCAATTTGAGTAACATACTCTCTGCGAAAAAGCACGTCGTGCTGGATCTGCTTGCCTGGTTACCCTACGGAGTTATCCATTATGTATCTCCCATTATGGTTTCGGCTGCTATGTTTATCTGGGGTCCCCCCGGAACTCTACCCGTTTTCGCACGCGCGTTCGGATACATGAACATTACTGCCGTCCTCATCCAACTTGTTTTTCCGTGCTCGCCGCCCTGGTACGAGAATACCTACGGCCTTGCGCCCGCCAACTACTCGATCCAAGGAGATGCTGCCGGCCTGAAGGCTATCGACAAGCTCTTTGGTGTGGACATGTTCACATCCGCTTTCAAGGCGTCTCCGATGGTCTTTGGAGCTTTCCCTTCCCTTCATGCTGGCTGGGCGACGCTTGAGACGCTCTTCATCGGCCATGTCTTCCCTCGCCTCTTCCCGCTCTATTGCGGCTACACACTGCTGCTGTGGTGGTCGACAATGTACTTCTCGCACCATTACGCGGTCGACCTCGTCGCCGGAAGCCTCCGTAAGTGCCTCCGCTCTCGGCATGCCAAACGATACTAACCTTTCACAGTCGCCGGCGTCGATTTTATGTGGGCTCGTGCCTCCTTCCTCCCCCGCGTCCAACCCGACAAGGAATTCCGCTGGGACTACGACTATGTCGAAATCGGCGACCCGCACGACGCATCCAACTTGGGCATGCTGGATATCTACGAGGAGTTCCACCCGCTCTCAGACTCGGATGATTGGGCCAGCGGCTCCAGCAGTAGTTACTCGACGGGAAATCGCAGCCCGACGTTCCCCGAGGGGAGGAGTCCGGTGGATACGGCTGATGAGAGGAGTAGTTGGGATGGGGAGACGGTGGGGAGTGATACTGAGTTGAGATAAGAGATCAGGGTTTTCGCGATCCAAATAACTTGGACGCTTTTGGGTCCATTGGTGGCATCGCCGAACTGAAGATGAAAGAACAGAAAAGAGGAAAGAAAAAAACAAGGAAGGAAGGAAAGACCGTCACGACTTTATGCATACGAAGGAGTTGAGTTGCTATTTTTCTTCTTACTCCTCGTCATCTTCCCGCGCCTTGTCAGTATCTGTGTTGCTTTGATTCTCTTCTTCGCCTTTTGGCAACAGGGTTGGCGGAGTTGCATTGCATTGCATCTGCATTTGCGGAGTATGCATTTTGGCGGGTGGCACTTTGGTTGGGTTGGTTGCATAGACGGTGTTGCATTCTTCTCTTCTTCTGTCCACTCTGGACTGTTGTCGTTGAAGCGGGTGCGGTGCCCGGCGCTTCTGCTCCCCTTTTTTAAAAAAAGGGTTTGTACTCTTTTATCTTCTCCTTGCCTTCTTCTTCGAGTGGTTTTCGATTCGAAGCTCGAGAAGAGGAGGCTTGTTTGTTTCTTGATTGATACCCCCAATTTCTTGTCTTTCGCTCATGGCTACTGCTGGAAAAGTGTAATATTTTTGAATCGGGATCTGATTCGCGCATTCGCTTTGGGAATAGACGGCGGTGTGGATGAGGAGCAATAGGAATGTGAGATGGGAAACGGGGGATAATGATGGTGAGGAGGGAAGGGAGGAGTGGACCGTGGTAATTGGGAATCGAAGGGAACGGGAAAGGGGGATGGGGGATGACGATGTTTATGTAATGCTTAATGTGTGTGGTGGGAATGCGAAGTCTACGATTCGTATGACTGCGAAATGGATTTGGTTGATAGGGGGAGGATTTGGGTAGGGTAATGATGAGTAATGAACTGGTAGATTCTTCTCTCGTGAAGTGGTCTGACATGGCATTAATGTTGCCTTTGGTGCGGTATGGTTCTATCGCGAGTTGAACCAAGCTGTAGACACACATATGTTCTCCTCTCGTGGAGTTAGAATGATTATTATGGAAGTGATAGCTGCATATGAACACCACCATCGCCATCACCATCATCAGCCAAGCTTCATCACCATCGTCATCAGCCAGGCTCCAAACTTCCCACCAGCCACACATGTACTTCAACGGGAACGACGGTGTCTTGACAAGGGGGAACCGGAAGCCCACATAGGGTGTAGTATGTGAGGTGTCGATTTCGAAAAAAAGGAAATGGAGATTGGAGAGATCCGGGAAGTTGAAGGGAGGGGAAGATGGGGGTGTTTATATACCCCTTCCTTCCTTCTAAGCTTTATGGATGAAGTGGATGAAGTGTCTTGTTCTTGGGTTTGGTGATGCTGGTGGTACTCAAAGTCATCTTCACGTTTGGGCTGGTTACGAGGTATATACTTAGTAGACTGGCCCGGTTCCCGGTCGAGCGGGTAGAGGGGGCCGGAAGCTGGGCATGGGTAGACTGTTTGATGGGTTTTAGCAAGGGAGGGGAGAAAGGACCGCGCACATGATTCCTAGAGCAGTCTGTTTTAGGAAGAAGATAATTGATATTGGGCGCGGTTGGTAGGAGAGAAGGAGGAGAGGGAGAGGGAAGGGAGAGATGGGGCTTTATATACCGTATTCCTGCAAAATTTGTAAACGGCGAATCGAGGTGTTGAGGGTGCTGATCAGGGTGGTAATGATGTCCACCGTTTATGTCTTTTTGCTATATTCACATTGTTATCATTCATGTGCTTTCTCTACACTGATATAGCGAAACGCGCCCAGGCGTTCGGTACCTCAACTCCACCCCGTTTTTCACGGAGGCAGCAGACGGAAAGCGCACATGGTGCAGGATTGTTTCCCTTTAAGAAATAAAGCAAAGACTAGTTTAAGTGTAGAGGGAATACCAGCAGGGCTAGAAGAGTGAGGATGCGCGGTTTAAACAGGGTCTACTGGGCTTTGCGGATTTTGACGCCGTGGTGTGTTTGGTGACGGTGATAGTAGTAATAGTAAGGGCGGTGATGTTTACTAACGGTTTCTCAAATCCTTCTTCTATATTCATGTGGTGTCGACACTAAGATTAGCAGAAGGCGTACGCGTACGGTCGCACATGCGGTCAGTATCTCGACGCTTTTTGAGAAGGCGACAGACTGGGAACGCACATCGCTGGAGGGCTTGCTTTATTGGAAGGAAAACAGAGCGGATAAGCTAGCTGGAGGAAGAAGAGGGAGAAAGTAGGGAGAAGAGCGTATATATACCTCTTCCCCTGGGTCTCTGTAGATGAGTGGTTTGTCGTTCGACGACAGTGACAACAGGAGTGGTGAGCTTCATCATCATCTATCCTACTGTTTATTTTCGCACTATGACATTCGGATGCGGTCGCACATGCTGCAACATCTCGGAGAGTTATAGCAATACAAAAGTCCGTCAGGAAGTGGACATTGTTTCGCGCGCCTTCCGTTTGAAAGAAGCTGAATAGACTGTGCAGATTGTACGGAGAAGAAGACAAGAAGGAGGAATAAGGGAGAGGGCAGTTTATCGTTTCCCTTAGGTTTTGCAGGTCTAAGAGAGGTAGGCGTGTTTTGTGAGGGTGGTGATGTTTGGGGTTAGTGATTAGTACTATTGATAGCGTTTGTTCTATTTTGAAGTCATGCTGTGCATTGAGATGGGCGGACACCTGCACATGCCGCAGCATCTTAGCTACTTTTGGGGGCCTCGAGGCAACGGGTACATTTCCACTCTGTCCGTTATCCTTTCTGAAGCTTGAAAATTGGGACTGCGGCAGATCAGGGAGAGATGAGATGGAGCATAGAAGGGTTTATACATATGCACCCGGACTATAATCTCTTAGACGCAGTGACATGTTTTGGGACATGTGAGGACTGATGCGACGTAGTGATCCTCACTATTATCGTCGCGATCACCTCAATCGACATCACAGTAAGTCGAGAGGATGGTCGCACATACATGACCACATCGACAGTATTTGAAGGAAGAAAAGGGCGGGAACACATGGCTTGACTTTGCCTTTTCTAGGAATAGTAAATAAGTTAATTGCAGTGAAGAAAGAGGAGGAAATGAGTGGGGATTTAAATACTAATTCCTCTTAATCCGTTTGGACAGCTCGGGCATGTTCTATGGTCTTTAAGTAGGCACGCGCAATGGTAATAATATTTACCACCATCTTCAGTACCATCCATCTCGGTCAGCGCACCGAGGCAAGCGAACTTTTAGCGTGATGCGTTAAGGAAGCCCATTAAGCTCCCAGGAGGCCGGTTTTCGGAAAGAGAGGAAGGAAAGAGAGAACGAGGGTTTAGAGATGGAAGAGGGGGGAAAAGGGGTGCATGCGCACGTGCTAACATTTTTAACACTCCTAGGATGTAGTCCAATACATAGACTGGCATGAAGGGTAGTAATATAGTGATATTCACCACCATCTTCAGCGCATGTCGTGAAGCATTAAATCTTCTCTTAATTTAGGTTTATCCAAAGACTTAAAAGAAGCATTCCCAAACACTATCCCCCCAACATGAAGCTACGCTGCAGAGTCGGACATGCATACATCTCTCCACCGTTTTGGGGAAGGTTGAGGGAAAAGAAAGCGCGTATACAGCTGCAATCTAGTCACTTGAACAGGAAAGCAAAAAGCTCAAGATCGTAATTGAGGGAGGAAAAGAAAGAGATAGGGGGGTTTATATACCAATTCTCCCTCGCCATTGAGACGCAGTGTTATGTTTGTCGATGTTTGAGCAGAATAGTAAACCGTGATCTTCATCACTACCGTCAGAACAACGAACACGGAGTATCCTGCATGTTGATGCGAAGAAAAGAAGCTTCCATGTATTAACATCCCCGCGGTTTTACGGTCTTAGAAACACAGGGCACACATATGAGAATCTTTCCACATTTTATAGAATCATGGAGGAGATGAATTAGATAATCAAAGCAGAAGATATTGAGATTCATGTTCCTTCATTCGTGCCTTTGGAATTCTTCGTTATGTTGCATAATAGTTAAAAAATAGCTACATCTGTAGATAATCTTGGCTTCCTATCCGCGGTGCTGCTACTCCCTTTCGTGCACGCAATACAACGACATGACAAATCACGCGAAGGCTCGTCGGCATAGATGGAACATTGCCTGGTAATTTGATGAGATCAGCTGGGAAGCGCGCATGTCGGTGAACTGGGTTTGATCTAAGGCTATGGAGCGGATGCTGAGTAGTTTGATAGGAGAAGGCGGCGAGAAGATAGGAGGGTGTATCCACGTTTCCAATTCCTTGCAACCCTTATTTATCCTTGTTTCGCCCCCAAAACAGGTGAAGGAAGTGATGATAGCACCGAGCGAAATGGAGAATCATTTTGAGGAACAAGCATTGCGAAAACACGAACACAGGCGAAGCAAATAATGTCTAACAGAACAGAGCTTCATATTCGAGGGATATGAAGGCACATGAGTCGCTCTAGGTGCTCCTTAGAGAGAAAAGTCAAACGCAACGTAGGTTCGAGGAAGAAGGAAGGAAAATAGGGGTACAATGTATCCTCCTAGGTCTCAAAGAGCTCATCGTTTTTTGTCACAGCGATACTGGGGTGAATAAAGTTTGACATTAACACACGAATCACTCTACATCTATCGGGCTTCATAGACCACAAGATGGGAAAATCAATGTATGGTAATTCAGCGTTTCAGTTCATGTCTGCTATTCGCCTTTGGTTTGTTCTTATATGGAGCGTGCGTGCGTCGAAACTCAGTGGTGTGAAGTTTAGTCATCAATTCACCGCATGACCTGTGAGTGCACTAAGACTAGGATTACTGTTATTCAGACCGCACTTTAAACCCAGCCTCTTCAGGTCTGGAAACATCGTCAAAAATATAGTGGTAAACTCCAATCGAGTGACGTAATCGAAAACCATGGGCGCAATCTTTGCTTTGATGTTACCGGGTCAGTCGAAGAGCCTCTATATATTTATGACCTCGGTAAGGTAACCGTGAGAGGCAAACAACAGGTCTTATGAGTTCGCGAACCGCAAAAGCGAAGGTTTAGTGCATCGTTCAAGCAGGGCCAATTGCGGGGTACCGGCTAATAAGTTGTAGTCAACTGCACTCGGCATGGAATAACGGCAGGGCATACGAATTGAGTACAAAGAGCGCCGTCATCATGTCTACTGTAAGGATAAAAGTAGTGTGACGGTCTTCAGTTTCTCCTTTCAGTGCTTTGTGAGTGGAAAGCACTACTGGACGCTTACGCCTGCTATTTTGTGCGCTTGGACCGTTTACTTCTGCCCAAGGTAGTAGCTTGTCAGCCAGCTATCCTATATAAACAGCAACTTCCGCAGAGTCAATTGATCAACCTCTTCTCCTCACTCCTCCCGACTGATATTCTTGACGAGTGCGAATCCACGAGCAACATTACCATGCATTTTCTTCAACCATTCTACTTCCTAGCAGCAACTATGGCTGCATCTGTACATGCGAAAACCGCTCCAGTTCCTCCAAAAATAACTTTGCTCTACTCCCTTACGGCCGAGCTGGGCGAGCGATTTTCTCTTGGACCCGTACCTACTGGCGAAGAACGAATCGTCATTCCCATCGTGGGCGGAACGTTCAAGGGCCCTCGTATCTCTGGTGAGCACTCTGAGAACTCTCCCAATAAAACAAGGATCCAACAAATTCAAAGGCAAGGTTCTCAATCTCGGAGCAGACTGGCGCCTTACAGATGCAAATGGCAAATTCCGACCTGATGCGCGATACAACATACAAACTGACGACGGCACGTACATCTCTGTGAAGACCGAGGGACCAACTCTGGCCGATGGGCGGACGCTGCTCCGCGCATCATTCGAAACTTCTACGAATGGAACCTATGCTTGGATGAATGATGTTGTGGCTGTCGGGGTGCTCACCCGGAATGGAACGAAGAGTGTGTTAATCGACATGTGGCAGATCAGTCCAGTGGCTTGAGAGTGTGAGCCCGCCAATGGTGTACCTTATTCATAATGGCCCAATAGAACCTCTTGTTGAATAGCACGCCTGCTTCCTATGGCCAAGTTACGGATGGTTAAGTCACCTGTACGTTGCGCAGCCTTGGACAACGCCTCACGCAACGGAGATTAGGAGGTGGTGGATTGTCCGCATGGTTTGACCTACAAAAGGCGGCCTGTCCCTCCAGCTAGTAACCCGTGGAACGAGTGAGTTAGAGTCGGTGCCATAATGTCAATGGCATCCGAACAATGGAAGGGTCACTGAACAAGATTCTGTGGTACATGTTTGATAGAGTTTCCTGTGTGATTGGGATGAGCCCATCAAGGACCATGAACACTTGAGTCACTAAGAAATTCAGAGAATGCAGACGACGGTGCCAGAACATCCGACTCACATGATAGAGTCACCCAGCACCCCGTCATACTTAAATCAAATCGAGGCGCCAAATCCTGAATCTTGATTGTTTACACGATTATCACACAGATAACTTCACCAGATATAGCGACCAGCGCTGTTGTTTGCATGAAATCGAGTTCCTAAGAGATATCGACCATTTATAAAAATGCACTCTAAGCATAGAAGCCGAGATACAAGCGGAAATCATTCTGCAGACTACGAAGAGGACTACCGGCCAGGCAAATCAAGGCGTACTCCGAGCTCTTCGGAGAAGGCTCACCGGTCTTCATTCCGAGAACGACTGCCGTCAGGAGCACCTCCGTTAGACAACTCTCGAGGTCACCGTCGAGATCATGAGCCCGATGCTCGACGCCGCGAGCGCTATTCAGTTATAGTTGAGTGGCCGGTTTCGGAGGCCGGAGACCAAACAAGGAGCTCTGAAGGCACTCGAGGACAGCACCATTCGCGCCGCCTGTCCAACAAGAGCGAACAATATAATCATGCCGATGATTGGTATAGCAGTAATGCGAGGAATAATCGCTGCTCGGTGATGCGGCACACGAAAGAGTAAAAGACGAGCATGGAAATAGGTCCGAGTGTCCCACTTACGGACACAGAAACGGTAAGAACATACCTAGGTACAGCAAACAAACTCAATTCTAATTGCGTAGTGGCTGGTATGCACCACGAGCCTTACTCATCTGCGCACCTCCCTTCGGAACCTCCTCCTTGCTCACACTGCGGAGGCCGAGGACGTCATAGAAGGGATTGCACTAGCAAGGAAGGAATCTCTGCCAGATGCGATGAGCTGATAGAGGAACGCTCCCGTGGGACATCTTCTAAGAATAATAGCTCTCCTAAGTACCGCGAAGCTCGGCCTTCCGTCAACCCCGGACCTCAACCTGGATCATACAGGTCGCATGATGTCCCCGAGGAAGATAGCATAAAAGAACGTATGGAGAAGTTCCACCAAAAGCTTATCCGAGCTGGGTTAGTGGATAAGACAATGGATACCTCTGATATCACCTTGAAAGTTGTAAGGGAATTGATTCGGAAGCGACACCCAGATAAAGGTAACCAAGCTGACGAGCGCGATAAGATGAAAAGAGAGGAAGATACGAAGCTATTAACGCATGGACTGAATCTTCTCAGAGGCCAAAAATCTTAGCCATTGGAGTTGTCATTGGGGTGAGGATGGGATAAAGAACAGTAATCTTTGGCTAAGGCTGCTCAAAGTGTAGCTAGAACCGGGACCACTCTTAGCCGCTAGAACATGAATAGAGTATAATATATTAATGTGGAGCCGATAGGAGAACCGATAAGCCATTCAGGTGGAATAATTTAGAATCAGTCCGCCAGGAGTGGGTTAAGTCACGTGAGTTCACATTCACCGGCCCCTTCATCACATGGGAAATCCAGAGTTTCCCTAGAAGCATCGTTCAGAGAACCGTCCTATGAATTTGAAGAAACTAGTGTCCCCGTCCTGTTGAAACAACACATAGCACGCTATCGCTGAGCCCCCGAATGCGCCCAATGGACCAAAATAGACAACGAACTCATATGTTTGCACAATTGGGAATCGTGCACCTTTTTTCTAGCACTGTAATGACACCGAGGGTATGCACCGCACTGAAAACTGCCGGAATTGATGTTGAGCGCTCACCCAGTCAGATAGTGGCCTAGGTGCGATAATCAAGACTGTGGATCCAATGGTATTTAGTACCTACGCACATTGTCAGAATCTATCTCAGACATATATCCGAGATGTATTACCTTCGGCTCCCTCTCCTTTCGCGATAGTCTTCATGTTCCTCAATGACCTCGACGATATCATCGCCCGGTACCCTTGACCTGGACCGTCTTTCCTCCACAACGATGCTCCTTGGCCGCGGAGGACGGGGCTGCCTCCTCTCTTCGACAATGATATGCTCACGTCGCGGACTCCTGCTATATTCGCGAACTTCGGTCCGGGTACTCCGGCGAGAATGGCCAGAATGCGACTTCCGTGGCCGCCTCACAACAATTTCCTCCTCCACGCCCGCAATGGCATTATTACCAGGTGTATTGTTGATGTTCGCAATCGAGTAAAACAGCCATATCAGCAACAGAAATCCGAGAACACTTCCGAGGACAATGCCAACCACGGTCCCAGACGTTGGCCCATCGACAGTGTAATACGTTGGAATTATCCCTTCTACGATTTGGCGTTTCTCGACATGCGCAATGATTGCGGGCTGCCTCGCCATGAGAGACGCAGACTCGGGCCGCATCAAGTTTTCGACATCTAGGATAGAGGGATCCCGGGCTGTAGGTAATTTCGGCATTCTGGGCGGGTTTGCAGCAACGTGGAAACACGCACTCGCGGCTGACAGCAAGCGGCGGCAGTCCCTGGGGCGGCGGTAACTAAAGAGACGGTCGATATATGGTTGGCGCTACGATGGAGGGGTAATTGCGGGAGCGGGAGGGACGGCGCCGCGCAAAAAAAGGGCGGAGCAACCGAAGCTATTGTCTGTTGGAAGACTGAAGGCTCACAGAAGTGTGAATGGCGTAAAGGAGGGAACGGAGAGAAGTGAGAGCCGGGCGAAGTCTGATGCCCAGGTAATATGCGGCTGGCAGCGACGGAGAGGATGACGCAGGTATTTGGCTGCCGAGGTGGCTGGCGAATGAAAAGGTGGCTGGCAGACTCAACACCATCCCACAAACATCGCAACGTACTCTGTACTCCGTACCACGCTTCCTATTTTTGCTTGTCATAGGTTTCGTAGCTTGCGAAGCTGAAGGCGAAGCTTATACAAACTAAGCCACTCCATCATCAAGTATCGCCCGGACCGCAATCCAACGTGTCGCATACGCCCGTACGCTGATAAAACCCTCAAGTGGTGCGCCGTTTCAGGGGCTGAGCGAGTGGTTGATGGAACTCTGCCCTATGGCATTGCCTGAGAGGACACAGAAAGAATTGAGTGAGACTTGGTAAGAATTCGTGATGATTTGTGATCGTGGAAGTCTGGAGTTTGCGAACCTGTGTCTTCTCCCTTCTTGTTCTTCATCAAGGTCGTAGGCTTTCTTCATCGCTCATTGTCAAAACACCGTTCCCTCAGAGTTCGATCCGATGTCTCTGCTCGTAATTTTCTGTGCGAACAATTCCTCTAAAGCGAATGAAGCCAGATCGTCTCAGTGGAAACGCGAATGATGCGAACTTTGTGACCTTGCATCAGCGCCAGGCTCTGACCAGATTGTCGTATACGTCCAAATTCAGGGATGGGCTCACTCAAATTTACAGTGCATATCAATCATCTTGCGGCTGATGTTGGATCAAGGTATTTTAAGCTTCTGCAGCAGTGTACGGACTAGTCAAACGCCTAGATATCCTGCAGGGTTTGAATCGATTAGGAGGGCACGAGAGTGGCCTCATTGAACATCTGAAGGGGCGGGACAGTGAAGGGGAGGAAGGCACTCATTGCTGGCAACGTTAGTGAGCCATACCGTGTCTAACCCAAATATTGCAAACCCTCCTTTATTGCCAGTCACGCTCAGATTTGGCTCGCTTAAGGGTGACAATGGCATTAAGGGGTGGTATGGCAATATTTGGGTGAGTCAGGGTATGCAAAGTCGATTAAGGGAGAAGAACAACCATTTTCCTACAGAACCTATAGCGAACTAAGCCGTGTATTCAACGCCAGACGATGATCTCGCTAAAACATCATACATTCACCGATAGCACCAATCCCGTGCGTCCCGCTCGTAAACAGAACAATGTGACGCTTTAATTCCGCGCTGCCTGCCTTGAGTACGCTCAAGCCTCCCAGAAGCTCTAGAACGGAGGCAGCCAGAACGGATACCCTCCATTCTTCATCCGAAAAATGCTCAGGAGGAAGCTGTATGTGCAGAGAATGACCCCACTCCACAAGAAGACGGCTAACTGCTGCGCTTTCGGGTTGGCAATTCGGGGCACCTTGATGGCTAGGGAGATGGCAGCGAAGGAGAGAACAGCATCTGTAGAATGTCAGCACACACAGAATCAAAAAGCCCACATGGCAGCACTTACAAATCGCCGCTACAATCTGCGATTCCAGACCGAACTGGTTGCTAAATCCACCAGCAAAATAGCTAATTCCTCCCCTACCGTCACCAGCTACATATGGCACCTTTCTGATGTGGTTAAACATGTGCCCGCTGGTGAAGAGAAGTACGCCGATCAAGCTGAAGGCAGCCCAGAGGTTGCGGTTCTGTAGGATGGGAACGACGTAAGGGGCGGCGACGGCGAAGAAGGTGATTACACCGAGAATTGCGGTGGTGACGGTGATAATCTTGACCCAGTTGACTGGGCGGACGATCGGAGGCTTGGGGATGTTCGCGGGGAGTTGGCGGGAGATCCATGCATGCACTGCTTCCGCGGGCTGGGGACTGAATAGTGTCAGTAGGGAGACATTAGATACTATGTAGTACTTACCCTTGGTTGAAGTCGAATCGAGCCGTCTGCGCACCGACCTTTGCGTTGGGGCCAACAGTGGGAGGGAAATAGAGAAGGACTGGAGCCGTTTGAAGCATCAACTGGAGACTGTTAGCACCAGCAGATCACACCGTATTGTAAAACCTACCGATTGAAAGGTACCCTTCCCGTCTACAAAATCCAATGTCCCAAATACCATGCGACTTTCCGCATTCTTGTCACCCTTGACCCAGCTTTTGGCCAGCAAATCCCATTCCGGTTGGAACTCTCTGCACAGCACGCATCCGAACCTTGTATCCATAGCCGTGAGAAGGACTGCGACTGAGTAGTCCCTAGGAGCTTTCGTCAATTGCGAATACGAAGCATCGTCGAGCTTGATGGCGCCTGTGGACAACGAATTGGAGCGGAAGTCATTGAAACGGTCACCCGAGGTTTTCTTCGCTGCCAGGGCTGTGAACGGCAGCACAGCGGCCGTCAGAAGCTGTATCCACCGCATCGTGGTCGTCGCTGAGAGATGTGGGTTGCGAAGCTGGAGCTGGCAACCGTGTCCATCCTGTACGTATGTGCCAAGACAAGGACCGGGATCCACAAACGACCCTGGGGAGGACATGGGCGGTGGCCATGGAGCAGAACTATGAATTCACAATCTTGCATACTTGGATCTAGCATTTATCAAGAATGCGAAATTTTCACTCTTCATCTTCAACTTCCGGCTTCTAAAGTGAACCGCATAATTGGTTTTCTTTCATGCAACTGCCTGACGTCGTGTGTGCCAAGTCTTTCGGTCCTAAGTTCGATTGTTTTGTTTCCAACGCCTAACCCACCCCTCTACCCAACTCAACACCACCGTCAATCTCCAATTCTCTATGATTATACAGACATGTCTTTTCACAGCGATATAAACGATAGCTATGAGGTTTATGACGTGAGTCCTCTTGAAGCAAGGCGGCGATAGGACGCTGACCCTTCCAGCTTCAGCAAACTTTGCGGACAACCAACCTTGAGCTAAGCCTCGCAGAAAGCAAGCACGCGGTTGAAATGATTACCAAAGATGAAGATATCAGACTGCTGCGTGTGAGGGAGTGTCTTCTGCAACATCAAGTGGACGATCTACGCGAGCAGCTCGACGAGGAACAGGCCCGTTCCGATGCTCTTGAATTGTCCCTTGAGGAGGCTATGGCATCACTAGACCAGTATAAAGCAGATTCGGAACAAACCAAGAACCAGATGCGCACACAAATACGGCAAACTGCAAACCTCAAGGTACGCGTCTGCTGCATCGATCGGTTGCAGGGCGTCCACTAACTTCGGCAGGCTGAACTGAGAGCTCTGGAGAACGCTACTGCCGATTCGGACAAAATATTATCCGAGAAGCTTGCCCTTACCCGCGAGTTGTCGTCGCTACGACCAGAAGTTGAACATCTGCGCGCCCAGGTCGAAGCGAACCAAGGGCTCCTCGCTGAGAAGCTATCGCTACAACGCGAAGTAACATCATTACAAGTTGAGCTAGAGAACGAGAAGCGCGCAACTGCACGGGCAATGGCTAAGCACGGAAAGAAGCTTGCTCAGGATGAGGAGCTCCGAGCCGAGTTGGAAGATGTACGCAAGGAGCTCGCCAAGGAGAAGAAGGACCGCCTGAGAGCAGAGAGTGCGTTGGCGAAGGCGGAAAAGCGCGCAGAGCAGGCCCAGGCCGACCTCGAGGCTCAACAACAGGAGACGGAGCAAATACAAGCGAAGCTGGACAAGGCGGAAAAGGCCGGCATGAAGACTAGCAAACGAGATCGGGCACGCGACGCTGAATTGGCTGAGCTGCGGCAAGAGCTGGAGCAGGAAAGAGCTGCGAGGCAGAAGGCAGACGAAGGTGCTAGGCCAGACAATGAGCATGATGCGGACGTAGAGACTCTGCGCAAGGAATTGGAGAAAGAAAGGAAAGCGCGAGAGAAGGCGGAGCTGGCGGCCACGAAAGGTGTACAACAGGATCATAGCGCTGTTGACGAACTCCGCCAAGAGCTGGATAAGGAGAAACGTGAACGCAAGGTAGCAGAGAAGGAGTATAGCAAAAAGATTGCCGAGCTGCAGGGGCGCATCACGGTGCTTGAAGATAAGCTGAGCGCGTTCCGTGACAAGCTCCGGACGACCAAGGAGAAGCTCAAGGAGAAGGAGGCTGAGCTGGAACAGATGCAGGGCAACGGGTCAACAATCAGATCTACCATCGAGGTTGCAAAGCCAACGAAGAATCCCAAGAAGCGCACCGTACACGCGTTCGATCCTGATTCTACCAATCTGGGAACTCCTGGAGACGGCCTGCGTAATAAGAGAGCCAGGCTGCCCTTACGTGCTGCGTCCGTATCTGCAATCGCCGAAACGTCCAATTTCTCCCTCACCCCACTCCTCAATCGGAAATCCGGCTTGTTACCTGCGGCTGCCAGTCCCATTGTTGAAGAGGAGGAGGACGGGAAAGCGGGAGTAGAGGCAGAGGGTACGCCTAGCGTAGCACCGAGCATGGTCGCAAAAAAGATCCTTCAGCACAAGCTGAAGCCGCTAGCTCCAGCTGCATCCAGGAAGGCCAATGCCAAATCAGCTCTGGAGAGGTCGGCTGAGGACGTTTCGATCCAGCAGGAGACCATTAAGAATGCACCTGTTTCCGTGCCCCTCAAGGATGGCGATGGACCGTCCAGCCGCCTTGCGCCCAAGCTCAAACAACGCAAGTCACTACTCTCCTTCGCTGCCTTCACCGAGGAGCCGGCTCCGGAGAAGAAGATGAAGAAGAAGATGAAGAGGAAGGTTGGGGGTAATGCCGCCCTTGGCAATGGGACATTGCTCGCCGCTGATGATGATGACGACGATGTACAAGGTCCACCGATCAGTGGGAGAAGTCTTTTCGCAGCAAGGGCATTGGGAAAGAATGGAAGGACCAACATGAGCTTCTTGAACTGAGCTTCAGTTAAGCTTCATAGCTTGACAAATAGTACACATGGGGCTTTGCACTTTTGGGCGTTTACAGGCACGTGTCATTGTTTGCATAAGGGTTCGCGGGATGGCTGGCTCAGTACAGATTTACAGATATGAGGTCATAAACGAATTCTTTTCGGCAGCTGTGCATTCCGGAACTCTCATAATGGTGTCATCAACGGTGCAGCCCATCCCCTGCGTACTAGCTCTCGCTCTTCGCGCTACATCTCTCCATTACTTCTCCTATTACTTCCTTCATCCCAATGACCTGCGTCGCTTTCAGTCAAACGACGCCTGACTTTCACAGCTGGACGAAAGAGTGGACTCGGTATCATAGATATCCCATTCATCTCCGTGGCTTCCATCTGTTTCAGAGTTAGACGACGGCCAAGACGACGGCCAAGACGAGGCCTCACACAAATCCTTCCTGGACTCAGGGGCGAATTCCGGCGATACAAATCTCTTCGCCCAGCCCTCTATCTCATCAGCGACTTCAAGCTCTTCCGGACGACCCCGAGGCCAATGAAGCCCAGGAGGACGACCTTCCGGGTAAAAGAACCCAATTAGACATCCGTCTTTGAAACACAGCTGTTCATCGAAACCCTCAATGAGCGAATGGGCCTCCCACTCCCCGAGCCTCTGCGGGGTCCAAGAGACTTTTCCATTCCCGGATCCCCTATCAAGTATGGTCTCGCCGAACAGAAGCACAGCGTAATGGCGATCGTATGTGAATAGGCGATCCTTAACCAGGGAAGCCACATCCTCTCTTTCCCGCCAAGGTTCCAGAAACTCTTCCAGGTCAGTGATGCGCGTTTCGAAATACAATTTCCATCCCCAATACCAATTATCGCACCCGGTCGACTGCCTCACCACCACGTCCCACAACATACCGAGTCCAATGCCTTGGGGGAATTCGTAGATTTCGAGGTTTTCGCCCGCGACGACTAGGAAACATACGTCCCCGCCCTGGAGTACCTCCTTATATGGAATACTTTCGTTGCTCTTGGTGGTGACAAATTGTAGCCTTTGGATAGGGTGCCCGGAGGGCGAGACCATGGGGATCTTGCGCCAACTCGCCTCTTCGCGCAGGTACCTTCTGCGTCGAGCTCGATTGCAAGCCCAGGGGAGGGCGTGGAATGGTGTCCATCCTCGCGGCTTCTCAATGGGTATGTTTTCCGGGCTAGCTGCTGAGCTGTCAAGTACTGGAGCGAAGTGCGACTGCAGAAACGAAGATATGGCGGCAGCGTGGTTTTTGCTTAAGGTTTTGAGGATATCTGTGACGATGTTGTTGATTGTGCGGCAGGTGCGACGAGAAGTGTAGAGGGATGGGAGGTCGATGTCTGCAAGGGCGCTGAGGATGAGACGGAGGAGTTCTGGAGGGATGGAGAGAAGTAGGGACATGGTGATGGATACTTTCTCGTCACCACGCACTACGAGTGTGATATGTGCGATGCCTTGACTGAGTGAGTCGGAGTGCAGGGTGAACGTCCTGCCCCAGCGCCCTGAGTTAACTTAAGAAGCCGTGCCGTTTTACTGCATAACCCCGTCCAGTTGAGTTAGGCTAGGCTCAACAAGGAAATATCAGACGCGCTCAAGCGGGGCAGTGAGCGTTCCGATTGGAGAATTCGCTTGAAGTCACATCTTGAAGGCAACAACGATACCTAAAGAGAGTCTTAGAGGATGCCGTTGCAGTAGGTAACATGGTTAAAGAAACGCTTTAATTAGTACCAGAATCCCTAGGACTTATATAAAAGCTCATTAATATCTCTTCAGCGTTCCGGAAATTCGTTGTTGATCCTACATAGGTAGCTTCAGTCAACTGGATAAAATTTTGCGGTTATTCAATGAGCAAGGCCTTTCATCGGTGCTTATAGCGCTCTTCTACCCAGACACATTAGTACCGTATTGTTCTGTTTGAACTGAATGGCTTGTTCGTTCGTATGAATGGGTAAAGGCTGTTCTGAGCCAGCGTTTCGTCAGATGCTCGTTTTATGAAGCGCGATGCGAGATGAAGAAAACTTTCTACGAGACACAGGACGTCAAGCTTATCAACACCTTTACGAACAGAGTGGAAAATAGCCAGGATAGTGGTTAAGGCATGTGCCTATGTGGCGCAGCTGGATAATCTCTGTGTAGTGACGCAACTTGCTTGTATAAACGCATTGCGAGTATGAAAAAGCACATGTCAGCCGTTTGCATTGATGGCCTTACCGAGGATATACATAGCTTAAAGAAAGACGAATAAAGTTGTAGGCTGAGCGTTGTTTTGGAACCCATAGCACGATTAAGAAACTAAATTTTTTGAACGCGGGTTTCCGAAAATGGTCCTATCATGGTTACATAATCTCGGAAAGACACGATATCTGAAAGACTAGTTGAATATGCTGGGATGAAGCAAATTCTACGTGATGGTAGAGATCTTTGGTGCTTCCCGTGGTCCAGCGTAATGGAAGAAACGAGCCCGCTGTCAGTCAAGCGAGAAGGCCCGAAATCAGGCGTTTTTGTGTTAATTGGTATGTAGTGCAAGGTTCCCAGATCTGTTGAGAAGGACCGAGTGCAAGCGGATCAGTTGCGGCATATATATGAGTGAAACAGCGCAGGATTTGGTTGCACCGTCCCAAGCTTGTTGGTGCCTCGCGAACAGCCTACATTTGTTGGACCGGTGGCTGGATGCCTAATGTGCCGACGACTTCCCGTACAATGATGTTGCCATTCAACTGGTGCAACCATAGATGGAGCATGCGTCATTTATTCCCTGGCTCCTTGACGCCAGTGCGGGTAGACAGGCACTAGTAGCGACAAATTATGGCTATGCTGCTCTGTGTCGAAGAAGATCTAAAGGGAACATTGCCTGGAGCAGTTGCCTACGCACGGAAAGCATCAGATATTCGTAACCAAGCTCTACCTAGACCATTCGAATATTAGTCTGGATTTCCGAAGGAGTCAAGATACAGCCCGAAGGCGAATATCCCAGCATTCCAGGGGTTGGAAGGGTCTCTCCGGTGAACAGTGGTAAATCAGTAAGTAGCCTCGGCCGCGCAACCTCTGACATCAACTTGCGGCAAGGAAAATATCTCTTTCAGTGGCAGGTTGATGCTCTTTCATGTGGCATTTGCACTGCGCTTGACTGTGCTTGACTGCGCTTTGGAGTATTGTTGGTGGCATCCCATTCATTGAGGCGAGGAACAGTGCCTGTAAGACGCCCCAGGACACATCACCATTGTCGCGCGACTCAGACACAGGAGAGTGCCCGATTGTGCCTCCCTTTTGCTGCTGTTGAAAGCGATGAGAAGTCATCAACTAGAAGAGGCAGTGCAGCTAGCTGTCCGAGATGGTGGTTTAAGGAAAAGGTACGGACAGTGCTCACCCTTAGTGACCACTAATAAGAACTCCTATTGACCTCATACTGATTCCACTATTCCGGCAGGGAGCGAAAGGAAGAACCGGTGAAGACGTATACGAGGCGATGGCAAGGCCATCGTATGATGATTGAACCGAAGCCGTGATGCCTTTTAGGCGAACCACAACCAGCGTGCCCAGCCTCAACCAGTGTCTCTCTTCCCGTACTCTGGCGAATGTGAGGTGGGCACCAGCCACACGTGCGCCACCCGTCGCCCCGTGCTGTGGACTCGTTTGGGATGGCAGCTTTCCGCCTTGTCGGAATGGATGAAAGCACAGCCCCGGCAAGAGCCTTGGCCTTGCAGGGAATCCACCACCTTCCCCGCCCACTGTATACCCTCGTGACATCCATGGATCCTTCTACAGTAATGTATAAGAGGACAAGTCGTCCTCAACGCTTCGGATAGTCACCTCATTTTCTGCTGTGTGTCTTTCTAAAACCACGAACGTCATTCCCCGGAAGCCAGACTCGGCTCGACCCCATCCTGTCGACTATTCATTCATATACAACCCCCAGATATCATCACGGCCATATCAACAAACACCATGAGCGACGACCACGGAAAAGCTCCTGCCCATATCAACGGTGGCAGCAGCAGGGATGTCCGCAGCGATGAGCCTTTGGTTAAGGTCCAGCCGCCCCGACGCGAGGATCTCCAGCCTTCATATGCCAAAATAATCAAGCCCGATACGCAAGAGGACAGCCACGGCTGGTATGGTGCTATGATTGATGGCCTGGGCTCTCTTATCGGTACTCTTGGAGCTATCCCATGCTGCATCTGCTGCCCGAATCCGTATAAACCCGTGTCGCAGGGAAATGTAGGATTGGTGACCAAGTTTGGACGCTTTACACGTGCCGTGGATCCCGGTCTTGTGAGAGTGAATCCCCTCTCCGAGCATCTCATTCAAGTCGATGTCAAGATTCAGATTGTTGGTACGTACAGCGAAACACATATGCTTCTACCTATCGTGACATTGCTAACCTCGCACAGAGGTTCCTCAACAAGTCTGCATGACCAAAGACAACGTCTCCCTCCAACTCACATCGGTAATTTACTACCGCATCACCTCCCCCCACAAAGCCGCCTTCGGCATCTCCAACATTCGTCAAGCCCTCGTCGAGCGCACCCAAACCACCCTCAGGCACGTCATCGGCGCTCGCGTCCTCCAAGACGTGATTGAGCGCCGCGAGGAAATCGCCCAGAGCATTCGTGAAATCATCGAGGAGACGGCAATGGGCTGGGGCGTAGAAGTCGAGTCCATGCTCATCAAGGATATCATCTTTAGCCAGGAGCTTCAGGACTCCTTGTCCATGGCCGCGCAATCCAAGCGCACGGGAGAAGCCAAAGTCATCGCCGCACGGGCAGAAGTCGAGAGCGCGAAATTGATGCGGCAAGCAGCCGACATACTCAGCTCTGCTCCAGCGATGCAGATCCGCTATCTCGAAGCTATGCAGTCGATGGCGAAGACGGCAAACTCGAAGGTCATCTTCTTGCCGGCGCAGAACCAGACGGTGCTGAACCAGCTGGCGCAGGCGGATGCGGCGGGCGAGGGACCCAGCAATTATAAGGCGGGCACCAGTGCGGAGCACGAGTATGGTCATGGGAATGAGGGGTTCCAGTCGGCGATCAACGCGAGGGTGATTGAGAATATGTGAGGGGACGGAATGAGGTGATGGAGACCGCTCCTACATCTGCATTTTCAGGCTTGAACCCCCTTGTCACGATTGCTCTGGAAATCTGGGATGTCGCTCATAGGTTTATGTTCTCGTTCTTTCTGTGTTATTCACGATTTTTCTACCTGAAGGCGTACCGGGAGGGAAGTGTGGTGGTGGACAAGGCGACATCTTGATACCCAGGTTTCTCTGCTAAATCATTCGTTTGCATTCTTCAGCTCTCGGTTATACTCTCGTGTTAATTATTAACTAATTATGGGACGTGATTTTGCATGCTTTGCCTTGCTCATTACGGTTCCTTATACGTAATGATATCTAACGGTGTGATCACCATCGTCATCACCAGCTGCCGGAATCATGCGAAGTCCACTTTTTGGCCTTTACGCAAATGCCCCATTTCCCTCATGAGATCTCAATCTTTTCGCGATCTTCGTCCGCTAAAATATATAAACCTTCTCCCCTCTTCAGCTGGTGCTACACCTCCCACTACCTTCTTTTACAGACCTAAAAACGGATCTGACGTTGAGATGTCTGTCCTTTTGCTTATCCGGACTTCCTGAAACCCTTGGGGTTATGTTCTTTTGCTCATGGATAAAGTATGGGGGTGCAGAGGTGGATTTTAATAGTTCTTCCGCGTACATTCGTTATCTAGAGACAGAAACAAGAGTTCATGCATATCTTCCAAGGTGACGAGATGGGGTGTTGGCTGTAATGGTCATTGTGGTCTCGGTGTTGATGAGAACAGTAATGATGGCGACCATTACACTTCACGCCTAGCTTGAAACTCCTCTAGGCATCATGTGCGTGTCCCAGCAGACGATCGACTAAAACACACGGTGTATCTTCAGCGTCTCTAGAAGTCTGCGAATATATAAAGCCCTCGCCTTTCACTACTTCGGCTTCTCTAGTTTGCGACAACGGCGCAGCTCATCAATGCAAAATCCAAGAACAAAAAAGGCATGGACCTAGCTGCTAAACTAGTGAGAGGTATGATGATGATTATCATTGTCGTTCTTCGCGGCGATATATTCAACGCTATTAAACATAGCAAATGTTCGACAATGAATTATGGAGCGGAAATGTTCTTAATATAGCTGGTAAGACGTAGGTGTGGTATAAATATGCCCTCCTAGGCACTTCTACTTCTTCTTCCTCTGCAGTACTTTATGAACACTTAGGATCAAATCACAAAGCTGTTTCCTCCCGGCCTATGTGCTCTTTGCGTCCCTTCTGCAGTTCTCAAAAAGGCACTCGTGTACACGACAATATTTAGCGATTATTTCCAGTCCTGTATCCCCAAGAAGCAGAATTCAGATCTTGGGGATTCAGGTTGAACAGGATAATGGTAGGCTGATGCGTAGCACTGTCATTACCAGCATCGTTATTATAATCATAATGCTAGTACACTGAATGTTACCCTCACTGTTATTCAGGTTTGATATATCGCTTATAGTTGCAACAAATATATTCATGCCTCTCTTTTGTCTGTTAACCTCTTCGTACAACCTCTTGCTTTTTAAATAAAACTACCCTTACATGCTCGCGTGCGCATGTGCCTTTTTGAGATAAGCGGACATCCCTCCTAAAAACTCTAATATGGCAAGCAATATTATTATATCAGAGTAATGACAATGACTACCATTACGCCTCAGAGAAACACCTTCGCTAGATCATCTCGCGAACATAATAAGCTTTTCTGGACATTCAAAACCGTTCGCTTCTCTTTACCGTTTCCCGCTACGGACATATAAATCTATCCTTCCTCCCCCCTGTGACTCTACAGCATTATGCTGGCCTTCTTGTTAGATGCTAAAACATGGCAAAGTCCATTCTATGTCGTTTTCCCCTCTGTGACCTTTTTCGAATCAAGAGTTTGATCCCCATGTTATTCTTGGCTTGTATTGCGCTGACAATCAAGATCTAGAGAGTGTTATGTCGTCTCTCTTCTTGCGTACCTATGTAGCTGTGGTCTTGGAGCTAGCAAATTCGAAACGAAGGTGACGGGAGTGCTTCGATGTTAGAGGAAAGAAGGTAATGCTAATATTCGCCATCACATCGCTTACCCCATGATTCCAATTCCGAAAATGTGGACACATGCTTCGTTCGAAATCGCAGTTTGTAGTACTCATCAAAATAGTCCAACTGAGGCGCAGAAAGGTATAAATGCCCACTCTCGCCCCGTCATTTGCTAACTCTGCAACAGCCTCGAGAATATCTAGAAGAATTCTTGAAGAGAGGCATCATGTTTGTCTTCTGCCTTCTTTTCCTAGGAATAGATTGGAAGGAGCATGCTCATCGGCACTTGATTTTCGCGAACATGCAAATCAAGGGTGACATGAAGAGCTAGCACTGTACTAGTAGTAAATCTGTTGATGCGTATAACCATCACCACTTCTATCGAAATCTAGCGTTCTACCAACAGTTCGCATGTTGTTGCCTACATTGCGTCGCGATTTGCATGTCCCTACATCCGCGACAAGTATAAAGGCTCACTCTCTCCTCGACAATCCTTCTTACTTCTCTCCAACAAATTACTAAAAGTCCCGGGCGATGTACATGATGTCTTGTCCTCTGAGTTGGACGGATTATGCACATGGGAGTTTCTTCGGTTCGGGGGTTCTCAGAATGTATCGTTAGGCGGCTTCAAATCGATGAGCTTTTACATGCATGTGCGGGAGGGTTTTCGCCGTTTGTATGTGCCTTTGAGTGAAGTTTTCAATTCAACTACATCATGACCAATGTTCTTCTTTCTGAATCAGGCAGACATGTACTACGAGGATCTGAATTTTGAAGGCTCATGGTCCCGGTGATGATAACCTCCACTTTACCCTGTTGTCCGTCGAGTCTTATTGCGCCCCAGAACAACAAAGTTCGATGAATCGAAGGAGCTTCTATGCTTGATTGTGCGACCACTGCATATGGCTTTTCGTATAAATATCCACTCCCACGCTCGTCCATTCTCCTCCCCTGCACTTCAATGAATGATAAAACACTATAATTCACTCTGCGGAGTGTGTATGTTTCCCCCTGAGTTCGTCCCCCGCCGCACTTCACGCACCCTAACGGCACACATACATCCGCCTGTATCGATTTTCTTAATGTTATGCTTCCTGTGATTATCCCCGTAGGTTTCACACGGATGCACCTTTAACGTTCGTTGCATCTTGGTAGAGCCCCAGCCTGCAGCGAATTCTAGAAATATAAACGCCTGACTTCCACCTAGTTTCTATTTCTTCCCCTCTATACCTATTAAAATCCACTACCTTCAAAAAACGATTGACATCTACGTCATGCTAATGAGGTGTAGCCGGAGCTAGGTTTAATGATTCACCAAAAAAGATAGCAAGGGTATGAATGTTCTGCGGGCTTTTCCGTAGGTGTCTTTGAAAGGAGGCTTGTGCCAGAGTCTGATAGATGGATGTTGGAATTTCAGAAGGTTCGAGAAATGGATTCCAAGAATTCCCAGGAGAGTCATTCGTAGGGACCCGCACAGTCAGGCAGAATCAGTCAAGGATAAGTCCAAGCGTTGATATGCGCGCTACGTGAGATTCCCCGTGCGAGTTGTGCGGAAAAGGCAAATGATGCATATGACGGACATCGTCAAATATCACCATCGCCATCATCAACTTCAAGTTTACGGCGAACCCTAACCTGTTTCTGCTACCCTAGATCGTAGACTTATATAACCACTTGGAAATGGTGAAGTATATAAGATCCCGACAAACCCAGAACTACCCTACACACTCGAGTCGCAATTGAATCAAGGACGTGGAAGCAGAGGCACATGTGGCTGCGCCTTTCCAAGTGCCAAAAATTGATACGTATGGGCCATGTTGACGATCGAAGCTGCGAGGGTATTCACGTGCTAGACTGTCTACTCATTGCCGTTTTCCCTCTCTTATAGTTCTTTGGAGACTTGATAATGACGTTCATCACCGTATTACCATTCCACGGCTTCAGTGTTCTACTGTGTATATATAATCACTTTCGCGCTAGGCCACCATACTCAGTTACTTCCAGCTCTTCAGTTCCGCAACACCGACGACGGAAATAAAATACTTCATGCGTTCCTACTCCTATACCTCACTCAAAACCTATCTCATCAATCTACCACGCGAAATCCTATCATCGAATACAAAAAGTGCAAGTCCATCGTCTTCAACCTGTTCATGGATGTCTGAAGGGGAGATAAGCTACCCTAGTATATACTGCACAGCATTACCACCACCACCATTTGCGAATATGCCAAGTTTCCAAAAATCTGTGTAGAAGAAAAAGTATGCCAAAGTTCCGGAATTCTGTGTGTAGATAAACTTCCCCCTCTTACTGTCGGCTCCTTCACGCAGTCGGTTTTTCCGTCACGTACGCATAGGCAAATTCAAGATTGAGCAAAAGGAAAAGGGAAAGGAAAAGTATATAAACGCGAGCAATGTTCTACGTCTTCGGTCTTTAAAGCACACGGTGGAGGAATATGTTGTGCAGAAATAGAGCCAATGGTCCTAAGGTATCTCTTGTTTGCGTGCTCCGTATTTCCCCTGTGAAAGATTTCGGCAATTCAAAAAGCGAGCAGCCCGCTCCCACCACTTATGAACATCTGCTCTCTTGTACATATCAGGATATGATTCCCAAATATGACAAGTACAAAGGACGAAGACTCCTGGCACCGCAGAATAAGACACAAGGCCTACAAGGATAACATTGAATAAATATTTATTTCTTCCCTAACTTACTCATCTACACCAGCAAGCAACAGCTTAACCACTGAAGCTAACAACAAAAGCTCCCCTGCAAATCATAGAAACATCGAAGATCAACTATCGAGGAAGAAGGCGAAAGAGAAGAAGCCAAAACCCCCACCAACGTAGAGAAAGAGCAAAGGGGTATATCTCCGCCATGCAAGAAAGGCGCAAGCCTCTCGATGCCACACCATCACGGTCTTCCCAAGCCTCTAAATAAAGATGCAGCCAAAGGCATGATAGACACGAAGCCGGAGATGATAGAAGAAATGGTGCTGCGAATGCATGCAGTATGCAGTTTTTCAGAATGCGTCGAATCCGTATCTGTCAGAAGGAGCGAAGGAAATAGAAAGGTGTGTGTTGGCGTGAAAGGGAGTAGTAAAATTGTTGTTGTATGTCCGTTACGTCGTCAGTTGAATTGTTGCAGAGGAGCGCACGCTTTGCCGATGTCGATGTCGGTGTCTGAAAGCGTTGATGCGGTGCGATGCGATCCATAGATGGCCGTGGTCTTGTGTGGAACCTCCATCCCTCATCTCGTAACCCCACAGGGGTAAATCGAATTCTGCTCGAAGTGCCGAGCGAAGCATCGGCACTGATCATGTCCCATTCTTCTCTATCTCAACCATCCACCATCTCTTCCTACTCCCAGCCACTTTCATCTGCATCCTGTCACCAGCTCGCGTATCCTCACGCTCGCGCCTTTGCTCCGCCGACTCCCATTGGTGCCGTTCGATTTGGTCGAGGTGGGCGAGGAAGCGTAGATGTATTCGCCGTCGACGTATTGCGCGTCGCTGTAGAAGGTGGTGCGCTTTTCGCGGCGGGTGTAGCGTTGCTCGAGGCGGTAGAGTTCGAGTTCTGCGTTGAGGGGGAAGTGTTAGTAGTGGGTGCGGTGATCTCCGTGGGTGGGAGAAGGCTGGGGAGCGTACTGTATTGCAGCTTCTCGATGAAACCCATGGTTGATGTTTGTTCCGTGTGTCCCGTGATTGGGTTTTCTATGAGCACTTGGTGTGCACAATTGTTGCTTTGCAGGTTGTTGCGTTATCGCAGGACTCGAGAATTGAGGTGTGAGTTATGGAGGGGGCAGGATGGGTGGGTGGAGCAAAGGAACGTGGGAGCCAGGGAAATGGCGGCTCTCCAGGCTTCTTGTCTCAGCACCCTGCACCTCGACATTCGACGCCAGTCCCGTCTCGGCCTCGTTCACTGCGGGTGGCTTTCTGTGGCAACCAGCCAACCTTAGCGCATGAGGCCTCGGGACAACTCTCCACCACTGGAAGAAGCGCGACTGTGAGAAGCCACCAAACACCAGCACCTTTCTCGAAACTGCCGAACGACAAGGAGTTTCAGCGCTCCTGCCAGAAATCCCGAGAACAATGCGGTTGTGTTCCAAGATGGCTGCGCGTTTTTGTTCAATGCAATGACCTCGGGGGTGTGTTTCGGTCGGCCCCTGAATCGGGGAATGTTCCTGCAGAGACGAACTCCTCGCGAGGGCGGTCCAGCCCCTCTCTTTGGAATTCGACCGGACCCCGGCTCCCCCTTTTCTCGCTCAAGAACCGCGATTCAGAACCCAAAAAGAATGTGCCGAAATTGCCGCAGCAGATGTTGTACACTGATGGACCGTGCAGTGCGGAGGCCATGTTGCCCAGATGAACTGCTGCCACGTGGGAGCCTTGCACCCGTATCTTGAGTGAGCACCATTTTTGGCCGAGTTGAAGAAATCCGACGTCTGTGAACGCAGCCGAACGAGTGGCATCAGCTAAACTCTTGATTTTACTACCATGATTATCACGCAATATATACGAAAAGAAAAACTAACTCTATGCCCGTCTCACAAACCCCAAACAAATGCAGCAAGGGTCCACAATACCCCCTCATGACCTCATCAACAACTCCTGTGTTCCTCTAAATCCTCGACTCGGGGACATGGCCTTCCACGACGGCCACCGCTCCCACATTACCTGCATCAATGGATCCATTTAGCAGAGACACGACCGAAATGACATCGGCCGGTTCGACCAGATGCCAGCTGGCCAGCGTCTGCTTGGAACTGGCACCCACCGTCACCGAGAAGACGTGGTCGGCCGGCAGTCGCGATTGTCGTAATGAGCGGAACATATCTTACAAAAGTTAGCCTCGAAGGGACAAGAAAGTAGGAGAGTGCTGCTACGTACCCTCATCTGTCGAATCGTCACCCAAGCAGAGCACAAAGTCGGGAGCTTCCCCGGCTTCGCTGTATTCCTGCACCAGCTTCTTCGCGATTTCGCCCTTGTTCACAAACTTCGGCCGCACTTCCAGATTGGCCTTGCCCGTCATGACCTCGACGTCATACTTCTTAGCTACCGTCATCTCCAGATGCTTTTGGCATTGTCGCGCCTGGAACGCGCCATATTCGGGATCCGCACGCCGGTAGTGCCACGTCAGAGCGATCTTCTTGCGCTCCACGAATGAACCTACATGCACATGTTAGCAATATTCGACCCAACGATTTCGACTGCCGTACCAGTTGTCCTCTCAGTGTAATGTTGGAAGATATCCAGGACGTCGGGCTGCCAGCTCATGTCGGCCGAGGCCGTCAGGTCCTCCCACTCGGTGCTGCGTGGACGTCGCATGAAACTACCATGTTCCGCACTGAGGCCAAGTTCAGGCACGTGGCCCATCCAATCGTCCAAGAACTTCTGGTCTCTTCCGCTGATGATCCAAACCGCGTTCGCCGGGTCGGCCGAAAGCGTCTTGAGCGTCCGGATGACGCGGTCCGAGGGGATAGCTGCTCCTGGATCCTTTACTATAGGAGTCAGGGTGCCATCGTAATCGAACATAAACAACCGCTTCTTCGATTGTCGGTACTGCAGGAGCAACTTCGCACGATCCAGCGCAGGAGTAGCAAACGACTGGTCGAACGACGACAGGTTCGCCAGAAGCTTCTTCATCAGGTTGTTCGTCCAGTACTGCACGTTGTTCGCCACGACGTGCTTGTACAGCTTGGCAAACTGCTCCTGCCGCTGCTTCTCGGGCATAGTCAGGGCGTTGTTGATGGCTTCGGCAACGCCTCCCAGATCCCAGGGGTTGATGTGAATGGCCCCATCGAGGAAGCTTGAGGTACCTGAGAACTCGGAGAGGATGAGGGGTCCTTGATTATCCTTTTGGCAGATGACGTATTCCAAGCTGGTCGTGTTCATGCCGTCGCGGACGCTGGTAATCAGTCCCACGTCTGCCACGCGAAGCAGCGCAAAGTATTCTTCCTTGCTAAGGTACTGAGGGAAATGTTGAACCGGGGAGAAGCTGAGAGAACCGTAATTCCCATTGATCCGAGCGACGAGGTCGGAAATCTTGTTGAGGATCTTGTTGTCATCGTCCTCTCCACGGAGTACCTGGACGCTTCCGGGACTGGTGACCTGAATGAGAACCACCTTACCCCGCCACTGAGGGTACCTTTCGAGGAACATCTCGAAAGCCTGCAGTTTCTGGGCTACTCCCCTGACGGAGTCGAGGCGGTCTCGGCCCACGATAATCTTCTTGCCAGCGTAGAGTTCGCGGATGCCCTTGATTTTCTCCTGAATGGCTTCATCTCCGAATGCAATACGCTGAGTCAAGGCGGCGTTGATGCCAATGGGGAATACGTCGACTGCGACGTGGGCGCCGTAGGCATCAACGCCTGTCGACGAGGAATCGAAGCCCAAGACTCGAGTACAGCAAGACGAGAAGTGGCGTGCGTAGCTGTAGGATTGGAAGCCGATCATGTTGGCACCCAACACCCCCTCCAAGATCTCCTTACGTCTGCTCAAGCAGCGATAAAACTCGCTGCTCGGGAAGGGGACGTGCAGAAAGAAGCCGATGTATACGTTGGGCAAGCTCTGGCGCAGCAAGCTCGGAAGCAAAAGCAAGTAGAAATCGTGAATGAGAATAATATCTCCGGGCTTGTACAACTCGAGAATCTTGTCGGCGAATAGCTTGTTCATACGGTAGTAGTCGGCCCACGTCTTCCGAGCGGCACGGCCATCGGCGGGCTCGTTTTGCTTATAATGAAAAAGCGTATAGAGTTCGTGTTCGGCATATCTGCGCCAACGTGACTGATCTTTCATGACATATTCGTCCTTTTGCTCGTCCACCTCGTCCACAAGCCAGACAGGCACAATCTTGCCTCCCGGATCACGTTCAAGTCTTTGCTCCAGTTTCTCTCTGTCGGCTTTCCCGATTCGCAGCCCATCCGCTTGGGGAGGTGGGATAGTGGGCGTCTTGCTGTCAACTGGAATAGGGGCGGCCGCTTTATGCTGCGTTGACGTCGCGCTCGCGGTACCAGGTGCGGGGTCCTCTGCCTCTTTTAACTCCCCCGTCCAGCCGATGAGGGTGTGATTCCAGGGAGAAGACGAGGAGGCGAGGTAGGCAAATGAGTCGAACAAGGCGGAAGTGCCCGCACGGGGACTGAGTTCCCATTCCTTTCCGGGGGAGAAACCAACATTATACGGGATGGCGAATGTTGCGCTGAGCACTCTACCACTGAGATTTAACTTTGGATGCGCAGCCCGAGGGTCTCTCGCCGCCAACCCATCCTTCGACTGTGCTTCCGCTGAGGCACCAGCACGATGAGAGAAGTATGAACCCGTATTGACCTGCGACTGTCCTTGCGGCCCTGGAGTGATGCCTTGGGGGGTCACCAAGGGAGGGCGTTGGGGCTCCACGTAGGCCGACTGCCCACTTGGGTGTACCCCCGGAGTGACTGGGACGTCGGTAACATTGGGTTGAAGGGCTGGGTGGACGCTCGCATCCCGGGGCGCCTCATCGGGCGATTGATTCCGCTCAAGGTTCGGAGAAGCCATTGGATTTGCGCAGATAATGCAGTACAGCCTGAAGCTTGTGAGTAGGGGTTTCGATAGGTTCTTGTAGGGTTGGAGGGGTAAGCGGGGGATTTGCGGTAATGGCTGGACTGGCTTCAATTGCCAGGCGCCAGCAAGGACTGAGGTTGGAACCCGATTGAGGTCTGAAAACCTCTGTCTACGGTAGGTGTGTTTCCCTCATGGAAAGCTAAATATAAGGACTTACCGTCAATTCCGATCTATGCCGTTGCGGTCGGTGCTGGTAACGAGTGGTCTAGGGTCTCCGTATCCCCAAATGTGCGCAGGCCGTGGGAGGTGCTGCTGAAGCTTTAGGCTTTTCAAGACCGGAGGACAGGATGAGAAGGATGCAGGCGGAGAATTAGACAGGTGAAAATATGATCGCGGCCGTTGGGAGGAGCAACGTCATAGGCTCCCAATCGGGGGGCCGGCCTGGGATGGGTATGCGTGGTGGGGCACGGACCCGTGTACTCTGCAACCTGCAACAAAAAACAACACCGGGCAGTTTTTCTGCACTTCTAATATGTTCTGCGAGGCTCTTCCGTAGGAGATGTAAATAATGGCGTCATCCGTGTAGCTAGAATTTCAGGCAGCATTCTTTATAGGACTGAGTGCCGGGCCATGTACTGTAGATAGAGATGACTTCGACCTTGCAGATTGAATTTCCGATATGCATTGCCATTGCCATTGCGAAGGCGATTCGAAAAGGAAGCTACAACAGGTTGAACTGTGAAATTGCCCAGGTGCGGCTCTTCTGCGAACTTCCATGCATCTGGCACACTTCAATCAAGTCGACTCAACCTACGCATGCTTCCCGCAACCATATGACCGAGATGTGCTGCTACCCAACAACAATCCCAACTTGCACCAGCTGAACGCCCCCTGTAGCCAAGTAGGGCGGGGTACTGTCGGCAGCAGGAGTCCCGGAGCGAGTGGAAGAACCTCCCAAGGTTGCCAGGTGGGTTGCAAGGGTTAAGCACGTGAAATTTGCGCTATACCCGGAGCAGACTAGCTTCGATATCTGATCTCCCGTCCCCGACCTGTCGAACTACTTTTGCTCTATCGATCATCACTGGAATTCCGCATCCCAAAACGCGTTACACGCTCCCCGTCTTCCCTTCCCAACGTCTCCCATGAAGTCAGCCTCCGGTTTTCGACTCACATGTCGCTCGCATAACCCATTCCGACCGTCCCTGGTCCTCTGGCAACACTTCGTATTACCGCACGCCTCAATTCGTTTCTACCAGCGGCCGTCTTCTTCAGACACCCAACCAGTCGAGCCAGGACTGCCCTCTGTGTCGAACAGCAGCGACCCCCAAAGCCGCCCGAACGTGCCGAATAACGATGCATCGTCCACCCCACCCGGCTCTGGCAACGAGGAACAAAGGTTCAAAATAAGGAGAACACGGTTGGATTCGAAGCCGAAGCGCGAACTGGCATCACCTATAGCTGTTGCCCTAAGATGTTTGTATACCTTCTCGGACTATAAAGGCGTTCCAATCCTGCCGAAATCCCGCCGTAAGATCAAGGACATGTGGATGCCTTGGATGACGGAATCCGCCCTATGGAACCGGCCGCTGACGGGAATGGAGAGGTAAATCTCCCTTGCTTCTTCCAAGCTGAGTTCAACGTCAGTTGTTGATTTGGATGCTACAGGGTGTCGCTGGAGATCTCCAAATTCTACGAATGGGCAAAGCCAACCCCCAACGAATCCCGCGCACGAGACAGAGTGATGCAGCAAGTACTATCCACTGTCCAAATCCCAACCAGCAGGATCAGGTTGGAACTCTTCGGCTCGGAACGAAGTGGGCTTGCATTGCCCCTCTCCGACATAGATTTCCGCGTCCTGCAACCCGACATAGAAGGCTTCGACCTCAATGATAACATTCCATCAAAGAGACGGATTTCCAAACGCACGAAGCGCCTTTTGGATACCTTGAAGTTTCGCTTCCTGAAGGACGAGACGCACTTCAAGACTCCCGCTATCCACATCTTCAGCCATCCTCTTATCTCCGTCTCTCACACTGCCACCACTCTCGACGTGCAACTCGTCTGCTGCAACGACACTTCTGCGCAGCAGGACGCCATAGCGAAGTATATACGGCAGTATCCGCAGCTTCCGGCCGTCTACACCGTAGTAAGAGCGATGATGAAGGCGAGGGGTCTAGCGGAGCCCGCCCATGGCGGCTTCGGCGCCTACACGACTCTCATGATGGTTGTAGCTGCTTTCCGGCATACGCAATTGATAACCTCCGATCCTGGACACAGTCTGATGAAGTTCCTGAACTTTTGGGCCTCGTTCGACACCTTGAACGGGCTCTCCATCTCGCCGCCCGAGCTCTTCGACAAGGAGGCCGAACCCGTCCTGTCCGAAACTGCAAAGCAGGATCTTCTCGTATGTTTAGAACCCCAATGCCTTTCCCTCTATTCGAACCGAATACTAATCAACTCCCCTAGGATGGTCGGATCAAAGCCCTTCCCCCTTGGATGCTCTGTCTCCGCGACCCCGTCGACCCCACCAACAACCTCGGCCGCAAATCCGCCTCCATCAAACACTTCCAAGCCACATGCAAGCACCTCGCAGACTCCTTAACTTACAACTACCGGCTCTGCGATAGGGGTAGCCGGCCTCCGGGTCCGCTGTTGTGGTCGGTTGTGGGACCACCGGATCCGGCAATGTTGAGACGGAGATATAAGTTGGAGGTGTTTGGGAGTAAAAAGTTGGAACCCCTTGGAGAAGAAGCTCAGGGTGGTGGGTGAGGCCGAGGGCACGGTACAGATGGAGGGAAGGAGTCTAACAGGAGGGCTTTGGACAAGGATCCAAGCAGTGACGAAAGGAGGGGAGGAGCGCGTGGTGAAGCAGTAGACGCTTTTACGCTTTTGGGCTTTTGAAACCCTTATATCTGGTGGGTGCATGTATCGAGTCAAGGTACGGATTGTTGTTGGTAGATGTAAGATATATATTGTGAGGCTTACGAGTAGAGGATGCGACCCTCCGTGGACTGATGGGTTGTGACGGCTAGAATCATTAGTCTTTGCCTGGGCGCCGGTGTCTTGTGTACGCTGGGCGAATTGCATGAAACAGTGAGCCATATATGTATTTGCACGAGGAGACAGGACGTTGCTGTAGGAGCGGCAACCCGCTGGGCCTTAAGACACAGAGTACGATGTGATCATATCCTGGTATGAGAGGGCTAAGAGCAGGCAACCCAAGGCCGCTCAGCTGTCTCTATAAGTTATGCACAAAGCCATGCCAAAATCCCTGATAAGAAACCCGTATCAACCACTCTCCGCCTTCCCAAGCAGCCAGCATCTCCTTTGGTATCTCATTTGTTGTAGGTGTCATCAAGAACCCTCGCAGCGCCGTCATGCAGAACCAGAAGAGAAGCCGTCGACCCTCGCCCATACTTCCTCCGCCGCCTCCATGCGTTACTACTAGATGGCATACTTCCTGGTCCACTCTCGGGCCGTGGACTCGTACCTAGATCGGTCGGTCTTGTACACGTGTGCGATCTCGGGAACGAGTGGGTCATCTGGGTTGGGGTCTGTGAGCATGGAGCAGATGCTCAGAAGCACTAGTAGCATCAGTATTGAGTTCATATCAAGGGATATTCCTGGGATGACGCACCCTTCGAGATGGTGAGAGCAGGGCTCCACTGGTCTCGGAGGATGTCCAAGCAAATGCTTCCGTTGGAATTGATGTTGGGGTGGTAGATGCGAGTCGTGAAGTTGACCTTCGGGGGCTTGAAAGGATAGTCGGTGGGGAAGTGGATTGCGAGGAAGAAGACGCCGCCGGAGTACGGTGAGTCGCTCTGGAGATGGAGTCAGCGATAAGTTTGAGTAGCGTTCGCCAGCGTCTTGAAAAGTGTATACGTACAGGACCCATGATGGTTGCTTGCCAGTGGAACTATCATCGTCAGTCAGGATCGTCCTTCAACAGCCTCGGGCGGCGGCGAAAAAGGGCAGGAGGGCCTTGATGCTGCAGACAGCACGAGGAAGCGGGAAACGTACCAGATCATCTCCTATGGGGCCCGCCGAGCAGGATGAGGGAGGGTCACTGTAGAGTTTGCGTTAGCTTTATCCTGCAGACACAACCCCGCATCGCACAGGATGATGAGGGCAATACGACAAGTCTGCCCTCGGGGTTAGGGCGCACACGACTTACCGGCCCAGGTCTGTGAGTTCCTTGTTGATACGCTTGAGCGCCATGGCGATATGTGTAGTGGATGTGGGGTTGGGGTTGCGAAGAGAGCGTCTCGCAGCGGTACAGTGAATGTGGTGTGTGGTGTTGAGGAGCGGGACTGGAGTGGGCTGTTGAAGGGATTCAGGTTAGCGCCTGCAGAAGAAGAAAGAGCGGCGTTATGTATCGGCGGGGAAGCGCGGGCGTTGCCGCTTCCACCAACGTACCTGATGATCTTGGTCGGCAGCAAGAGGTCACTCTCTATAACAGTAGAGGTGGAAAACTAGGAAGACAAGTGCAGTGTTGTAGTCGAGGAGCAGAGTTTCCAGGGTAGGGTTGGGCAGGAGTAGATGACGGCGGGAGGCGGTGGGGGCAAGGGTACTAAATGTATCGAATTCCGCCGTCACTACCTAGGTATGGCGAAACCGGGCCCAGAAAATTATTCACCCGCGTTTTGTTACAGGTGGCTGAGTCTTGCTGTGGCAACGAATGGAACATGGAAGAAGAAGCGACAACACCAGTGCCCGTCGAGTCTCATCACGCCGGCCGAGACTTGACTTTTGTCATCACCAAAGGTGTGGCCAGCGTGCTCATGCTTACGACCAAGATCCCCTACCTTTCCGGTCTGGGTTGGGAGAAACCCCGCTGTGTTGCCATAGCTGCGAGCGGTTGTGAGACAGTACCAGCCCCAAATCACGATGACTGCCTCTCTGCATGCAGGGCTATTTACAGACAGACACCTAGTCTTGTTCCAAGGTGAGCGCATGGCGCGGAAACTGTCCACGTGCAACATTGTCGCAGCAGAACTGCAAAAGTGTTTAAGGCATTCAATACTTATAAAATCCACACATTTAGGGCACGTCCATCTACACGATACGAGGAAGGGGCAATCATGCTCGGCCGTTTTCAGACATAGGCGAATTCACACTATTTATTTAGCAGAAGGCTTGGACGCCTGTGATGGCCCTCCCCAAGATCAAGGCTAACCACATCATCAGCGAATGCATGAGCACATATGATTGGGAACTCACAGTGGATGTCACTCTGCCCCTCGTATGTCTGGGTCACGAAGAGATTCGCCACGTGTCTCCCAATTCCATACTCGTCGCTCACTGCGTTTCCCCCGAAGATCTCCTGCAGCCTAGACAACACGTTAGCATGATGCCGTACTGAGCCGAATAAACTGGGCGACTCACGTTCGAGCATTGGCCAACGCTCTGTCACAGTTCTGTCTCTTGATCATAGAAATCATCTCCGGTGCGGCCTTGCCCTCATCCTTGAGACGACCAACCTGCGTAGCTGCCACTATGCCATACGCCGCATCCGTGGCTGCGTCTGCAAGCTTCTTCTGCACGAGCTGATACTTGGCAAGCGGGTTGTTCTTGAACTGTTTCCTCTCCAAAGCATACGTCCTAGCCCTAGCAAGGCAGTCCTCCAGAGCTCCCATTGTGCCCCACGCAATGCCATAACGAGCAGAGTTCAGACAGCTGAAGGGGCCCCTGAGTCCCTCAACGTCGGGGAACATGTTGGCTTCGGGTACGGGGCACTCATCGAGCTGGATCATGCCGGTGATGGACGCGCGAAGGCCATTCTTGTTCTTGATAGCAGGCGTCTCCAAAGTGCCTGGAGGGCACTGATCACGCTCCACAACGAATCCACGGATCTTGCCCGTGCTCTCCAGCTTCGCCCAAACAACCAAGATTTCGGCGATTGGAGAATTCGTGATCCAGGTCTTGGCACCGGAGAGCGAGTAGTATCCCTTCTTCGTAGGATGAGGTTTAGCGATCGTCTCCATGGATCCGGGATCCGATCCGTGATTAGGCTCCGTCAAGCCGAAGCAACCCAGTAGCTTTCCCTTCGCCATCTGGGGTAGCAGCCTTTCCTTGAGCTCTTCGGTTCCAAACTCTTCTATGCCGCCCATGGCAAGTGCGCTCTGTACTGAGTAGCCGGACCGGTAGCCTGAATCCACTCTTTCAACTGCTCGTGTGATAAGACCGGATGCAACGCTGCTCACGCCCGCACAGCCATATCCCTTGATGGTGGCTCCTAGCAGACCCAATTCTCCCATCTCTTCCAGTATCTTTCTATCGAAGTCTTCCTTACGGTATGCCTCTGCAAACAAAGGTTCAGTACATGACGACTTGCATTCATTGCTCAATTGGAGTACCTAGAACTCTAGGAAGTAACCGTTCCTGACAATATGACTCTGCAGTTTCAGCAATGGCCAGTTCCTCCTCTGTGAAGAAGTTGTTGGAGCCCAATGGGTCCTTCCAGTCAAACGAAGCTTGTGCGTGGAGACATCTTCTCCCCGCGAATGTGGACCGACTGGTGGCGTTCAGTCGCCTTCCAGCTTGTGTGCAGAGAGATCGAAGCATGATGAAAATGCCAATAGGGAGCCAGTTAAACAAAAGCTGAATTAGATTCAATGCTCCAGGGAAAGAAGAGGACGTCCAAGCAATAGTGAAATATGGTGACAAGAGCTCGAGAACAACGTGGTAGCACTCTGAACTCCTCAATCGGCTATGGGTCCAATTCCTAGGACCGCGGTTCAGCGACTGAAGCCGAAGTCCCCGGTCTCCATCGTGCCAAGCTCTGCAACAATGGGCTTGTTTGAGTTTGGCTCTTGCCTGCTTCCGCCATGATCTTCCTGTCGGTTTTGCGCGCGGCTCTTTCTCCGCTCGGACGTCGGCCAGGCTGCCAACTGCCAAGCCTGGACCTGCTGATTTCGCGCCTGCCGGGAGACGCGACGGGACGTGACGTATTCGCGAATCCGGAGCTCAAACCACCACTCACTCTCACCCCACAACTTGTCTCAACAGAACGCGGATACTCTTCGCTCGACCTTCATTGCCGACGTACTGCCATTTGTCGAGGTTTGAAGTTTCTTACAGTTGACTAGAAAGACTGAGCCGCGACAATGGGTATCAAGCATCTTGCACAGCTCATCCAAGAGCATGCACCAGATGCTATCAAGACAGGCGAGATCAAGAACCAATTCGGTCGTAAAGTCGCCATAGTAAGACCCCCACCTCTCTGGCGCTCACTACAACTCACTAACCCTCCCAGGATGCGTATGTACTTGCAGACCAGCAGTCATACCTACCCCTACTTACTCCTCCACCAGATCAATGTCCATCTACAGCTTCCTCATCGCCGTCCGCTCCGACGGCCAACAACTCATGTCCGACACGGGCGAGACCACTTCCCACTTAATGGGTATGTTCTATCGCACCCTCCGCATCGTGGACAACGGCATCAAACCCCTCTACGTCTTCGACGGCGCCCCACCCAAGCTCAAATCCGGCGAACTCGCAAAGCGCTTCCAGCGCAAGTCCGAAGCCCAGGCCGCACACGAAGAAGCGAGGGAAACGGGAACTGCCGAGGACGTGGAGAAATTCTCAAGAAGGACGGTCCGCGTGACGAGGGAACATAATGCGGAGTGCCAACGCCTGCTCAAACTCATGGGTATACCGTACATTGTCGCCCCCACGGAAGCAGAAGCGCAATGCGCGGTCCTCGCTCGCGCTGGGAAGGTGTACGCCGCCGCCTCGGAAGACATGGATACGTTGACGTTCAACGCGCCCGTTCTCCTCCGCCACTTGACCTTCAGCGAGCAGCGCAAGGAGCCCATTCAAGAGATTCACCTCGACAAGGTGCTCGAAGGACTAGACATGGAACTGCCTCAATTCATCGACCTGTGCATCCTACTCGGCTGCGACTACCTCGATCCTATAAAAGGAATCGGCCCCTCCACAGCCCTCAAGCTCATCCGCGAACACAAGAACCTGGAAGGCGTATACGAACACATGAAATCCAATTCCAAATACACTATCCCCGAAGACTGGCCCTTCCAAGACGCCCGTGCCCTCTTCCTCGAACCCGATGTCCGCCCCGCAGACCACCCGGATTGCGACTTCAAGTGGGAGGCCCCAGACGTGGAAGGCCTGGTCAAGTTCCTCGTCGACGAGAAGCACTTCAACGAGGATAGGGTGAGGAGCGGGGCGGCCAAGTTGAACAAGAATCTCAAGACGGCGCAGCAGAGCCGGCTGGAAGGGTTCTTCAAGCCGATTGAGAAGACGGCCGAGGAGAAGGCGAGCTTGAAGAGGAAGGCCGAGGCCAAGATTGAGGAGAAGAAGAAGAAGCAGAAGGCCGCGGCCAAGGAGAAGAAGGCGAACAAGACGAAGCCGAGGGGCGCATAGGGAAGAATGGTGTACTGGTTTGGCGCAAGTGGTTCGCCTGGGAACGCGCACGATAGGTGCGGAGCTGAAACTTTGGTGCTGATTGCACTTATGGAGTTATGATGATGTCTAGCCTGTGTACAACTAGGGGTATGGGACTACATGGGCGTTTGATGGTAAGGTCAACCTGATATCACATAAATGGGCGGCGATGCACTTGGCGAGAGCGCATGCAAACGCAATATGCGTAACTCATCTTCCAAGACCAGTTCAGTCTCTTTCTTCGGGTATCTCAAAGGGAATAACAATACGAGCGTTTTCCAACGCAAACAAGAATGAGCCAAGTCCTTGCTGTGATCTCCCGATCAGCCAGCCGTCTATTTTACCTTCCGCCCAAAGAAATCCTGGACAACACTCCCTTGCCCCCCGCCCCCTAGGCCAAGGACCTGATACCTCCCCTCAGCTACCCTCCTCCCGCGCCTCACACACTCCAGCACCCACTCGACACTGACGAACTTGACTCCCTTGCCACCACCGCCTCGCCTCGCAATTTCCCTTTGGATCTTACTAGCTGCGAGAGCACCACCACAGCCTGATGACGATGACGATGACGATGACGATGCCGATGCCGATGCGGCGGACGGGGAGAGGATGACGTGCGTGACGGATCGGCGGGCGAGGGACAGCGAGAGGGAGCCGGCGTGCGATGCGATGAGGTGGCGCAGTTTGTGGTCCGAGATGTAAGGGGCCGTGGAGCCGTTGAGGTAGAAGGTCAGGTTGTGGAAGATTGGGGGGTTGGCTTGGTTGGAGGGTGGTGGTGGTGCTGTGGAGTCTGTGGAATCTGTTGGTGGAGGAAAAGGTCGAGGTGGAAGTGAGGGCTGAGGAGGAGAGGCGTGTGGTGGGAGTTCGGATAGGGTTTCCGCTTCCCTGCGTGTCTTTTGCATCGTGTCTCGATACCCATCTTCAACCCCTGCATCCGTCAGATATCCTCCAGACGTGCACTGCTCCCTCCTCTCCCCCCCAGTCTCCATCTTCTTCTCCTTACCCCACACCTCCCTCCTCGCACCACCATTAGCATTGCCATTCTTCCTAACCCCCCAAACCTCGACCAAACTCCTCTGGCCCCTCCCCCTCAACCCACTAGCCCCCTTCACCCACCCTCCATTGCCTTTCCTCCCATCCAACCCGAACCCCTCGCTCCCCTCCCCGACCGTATCCGCAACCCGCCTCTCCCCTCCCGCCAAAACCCCCCGGTACTGCTCCCGCAGTTTGGCGCTGCGCGAATCCCGCCAGGCGGTTGTGCCCGCGAGACGGTTCTCTGCGCGCTGGTGGCCTGTGGAGGAGGTGTTCCAGGGGTCGAAGATGGGGCGGGGGGTGGGGAGGAGGGTGGAGGGGTTGGTTGCTGTTGGAGGAGGAGGAGGGAGGTCAGTAGCACTAGTATTGGGCAGTAGTGCGTGGTGCGAACTTGACGATTGCGGTGGGGGCGTCGTTCCCATTCCCATTCCCATCCCCATCCTCATCCCCATCCCCATCCCCATCCCCACTCTCGACTCTTCCTCTTCTTCCTCCTCCTCCTCCGTCGTCGACGTCATTCTCGAACCGACGCCGGCAGTCATGTGCTCACCCAGCGATGCACCTGCATGCCCTACACCTTGCCCACCTGCATCCTCTCCAGCCACCACCACAGGGGTACTACCATCTCTTTCTCCTTCTCTTCCTCTTCTCGCGGCCACGTCAACAAGAGAACCCGACGTCGTTCCTCCTTCCCCTCCGTTCATCAACCCTCGATCAACACCCTCTCTCCTCCCTCTTCCCGGGACAATCGTAGCATGTTGGCCCGAAGGCGGTGGAACATCGATAGTCCCCTCAGCCGCCTCAAAACCAACATCGTCGTGTCGATCTTGATCGGTGAGGCTTGGCATATCGGTAATGTACCTTGCATGCACTCTGCACAAGAAAAATCGTGCTAGAAATCGTGCTCACACAAGACGCGTGTGGCGAGGCGGTGAGGCGGTGATTGATGCACGCCGGGGTCAAGTGGTAGCTGATGCGTGGCTGCAATGATGTGATTCCGGAGCCTCGGGAACGTGCCTCGACGGTCAGGGGTGTGATAGGATAGCTAAGTCGTGAAGGTGATGATCGGGCGTCGGGCGTGATGGAGGCGCGGGATTCAGCAAGAATCTTATTGTTGGCGTCGGGTTCAATTATCGCACGGGTGCTTTGTTGGTGGTGGATGAAGGCGGCGAAAAGGTCCGCGGGTGGGGCGAACACGCCCAGGCGCGCATGCGTCACGAAGTCCCGTGTTGGCGCGGTAATGGCTTGGCGAGATGCGAGCTCCAGTGAAAGTTCGCAAGAGACACACACAACAAGCACACCAACTGTGGAAACACAAGTACTATTTTCCCAACGTATCTGGACTCGGCCTGCGGACCATTGAAGGCTGCAAAGTAGCCCTCAAGATCCCATCATTCCGTCCTCCTCGAAGGTGGAAGTGAAATCGCGCCGAAACTCAAATGCCCTCCTACGCCACCCAACCGCAGAATGCAAAGCAAATCCTCCCAGGAAAAGAAAAAAGAAGAACCACTAATGTAACATGGTATCCGCCGCGAAACAAAGCACAGTACTTTTCTGTTTTTCTCGAGTCCCTCGCGAGAGAGATGATGCCCCTGTTGTAACGCCACGGTCGAAAACAAAGATGCCGAACTCCTCCAGTCACTCCTCGAATAAAACGCCCCTGGGTGGATCCAAACACACAGACCGGGCTCACGCCCTCATAAAAAAACATTCGTCGAAAAAGAAAGCAAAGGTGTGTTGGCATATGCAGTGGCAAGCTGCAATGCGTGTAGAAGAAAAAGAAAGTTTGCTTACCAGGGAATATCCGACCCCTGCTCATCAAAGTACTGTTGCAGAAGAGTTCTGCTTCATGGCTGTCGTGAAAGAAAGAGAAAGAAAAGTTTGTCATGCAAATCGTCGTGGTGATCATCTTTTGCCTTTTCAGTTCAATGTGTTCATATCCTGGATCTTCATCCCCTGGCCAACGCTGCAGCTTCGTACTTCTGGCGGTGGCGCTTCATCTGCTCTGGGTCGAAGGGAACCACGTCGCTGTTCTTCCTGCTGGCGAGAGAGGCCGAACTGGGGTTTGAGCTTCTCAGATGGCCAATATTCGCAAAGGAGCGAGCTTTCTTGAGTGACTTGTTTCCCTTGCCCTCGTCACCCCTGGGCTGCGGGAGGTAGTGTGCCGCATTGTGCCGGTCCATATCAATGATTTCCTCAACGTCCGGTCGGGTCTTGACGCGCATGCGCCTAAACTCCCTGGCCAGCCGCTCCATCTTGCTCATGCCTTTCGTTGGTCGAGCTTCCGTAGGCATCATCGGCAAAGGCTTATCGACAGCGGTAGTAGCAGTGCCTGGTCTCTGGTCCGCGCCGAAACTGACTCCTGAATCCGTCTTCTTGCCCTTCCTGGCCTCCTCGACAGCGGTGAAGTCATCCACCCCTGCCGTAACGCAGTCATCAATCATCTTCTTAGCCACGCGCAAGTACTTGTCGAGGGTCTTCTGGAGGCAGTCCCAGCCGGTCTGATCTCCGGGACCCTTGTTCATTTCGATGACAGGCCGGAGGACGGATGGACCGTGCTTCTGTACTTTGCGAATGTATTCAAAGAAGCTGTCGCGTTCTTCCTTGAGCACCTGATGCGTAAGCAAAGGAGTAGGCAGTCTGGAGTTCCCACTAGGCGACTGGGGTGGCAGAAGCGTGTTGAGCATGCCCATACAGTTCAACTTGTTGAAGGGCTGAAGAGAGAGCTCGTTGATCAAAATCTGGAGAGATTGTCAGCAAGAGTGCGGTCTGACGAGTTCACTGGTCACCGACCCATCGTCGCAGACCAAGGTACATGATTGCGTAGTAGGATTCGGCCTTCTTGTTCTTGCCATGCATGTTCTTGGCCCACAAGGCTATGCCCGGGTACTGTTCGGCAACCGCTTTGACGTCGGCGTCAAAGTTCTCGATCCGGATACCCAACCGCTCGAAGGCCGAGACATACTCCTTGCACCTCCTCTTCTCCAGATCCCGAAGGTAGTCCAGCGCAGTGAGTGCCTGAGGAAAATCCACGAGCGCCAGGCAGGGATGGAAGCAGCGAGAGACGAAGGAGACGATGAAGGCAGGCGGGAGGGAGCTGGTCTGGGTTGGGAGCGCGCCGAGGTGGTTCATCAGTTGGGATGTGAAGCGCATGGCTGAGGATTCTGCCTCATTCCATGCCGACGGTCGAGAGATGGGAGACGTGGTGGTAGGGGATGGGGCACGAGACAGGTCTTTCGGAAGGGGTTGAGCTCGCGGAACACAATTGAGCGTGTACATGGTTCGCAGAGGGATCTCGTAGCTGCCGGGATACTGCAATACGTGCTCCATGATCAAGTTGTAGTTGGAGGAGCCAGTCGTCGCATTCGTCTCCTCGGAGGCGTTGCGTGAATGGAACGATGACATGATGCGTAGCGAAGGGAGACGTCGCTTCTCCAAGGGGATTATGGATTATTGAAGGACGCGGGATGCGATTGAGGACGTAGTTGGACCGTGTGCAGGGGCACAGACGAATGAGCGTGGGGTGTTGCAATGCTGGTGGGGGACGCCGAGAAGCCACAGTGAAGGGAGAATTGGAGGGATTGGCTTCCCCAACTCGAAGAAAGACGAGGCCAATTGAAATGCACACCCAGGTGTGCAAGCTCGTCTTTTTTCTGTCGTTGAGAGTGAGGTCGATGTCGTAACAAGACGGCAGAGGCGCAAGATTGGCAAGCTTGAAACCAGCTGGACGCGACCCCAGAAGAAGGTCAACAAACGGGCCCGCACGGGGACTTGCAGCGGCAGCGGCAGCGGGAGCAGCAGCAGGTAAGGGTTCAAAATGAAGGAAAGCACACGTCTCGACGGCGCAGGAGGAAGCAAAAACGGCAGCAAGAAAGAGAGGCGGCAATGGTGGAAGGAGACGGCAGTACGGTGTAGTGGAGAAAGAGAGAGGGAGAGGGGTTGCTAGAGAGAAGAGCAGAGCAAACAAAGTCGGGGCGAAAGACGACAAAAGGGTGATGGGCGCGATGCTTTTCGTTGTGGAGCTGGCCCGGCGCGCGCCTCTCCCCCTTGGGACTAGCGTTATTATGCTCCTGCAGCCCTCGAGAGCGGCCTTGGAGCCGGGGAAGCTACGCGCGCCCGTTTCGGCTTAGGGCGAGGGTCCAAGCTCCGTTACGCGATTCCCGCCAACAGGGGTTTGTGCATGCTCTCTGCACGCTCCTTTTCCCCCCCACCAACCTTGGAGAATGATGCACCACAACCCTCTGCCATCACTGTCCATGTTCTGTGCCTGAGACTGCAACCCCGCCCCTCTCATCGTCTGGTCTCTTTTTCGTCCATTATTTCCCATCCTCACTCACCGTTCACGGCGCCTCCTCTATTTCCCCGCGCGCCCTAGCCCTCCTCTTTGTTGCCTCCTGCTGACCCGGGAGTGGCTACCGCTAACCAGTCTTTCTCCGAGCCTAGTTAGCCACAGTGGCTTCATCCTGAATCTTCGCTCTGTCGTGGCCTTCAAGGACATGGCCTTGAGGACCGAACTCTACTACTGTGTACTGTATACTCGGTAGCCATGTGGTCAGCTGTGGTCAGGCACTCGGTTAGGCTCAACTCCCGCTACTGCTCCCTCTCTGCATGGTGCAGATGCAGAACGCAGGGCGAGCATGATGAACTGCATCATGAACATGATCCACCCAACCAGAAAATCCGCTGCCAAAGAGCTGCCAAAATGCTGACATCCGTCCAATCGGGGATGCCCAACCACGCCCACGTCGGTTTCAGCCGCTGCATGCGTCTTTGGGGCCTTTGATGCGCGGGCTTGCACGCCACCAGGTGTCAGGGCTCAGGACCCGTCTCTGCCCCAGACTTCAACTTTTCTCAGAAGTCCCTGATGAACATGGACTTGTTGACCTCCCACAGCGGCTCCCGCTGATGCAAGTGGAGGTATCCAATACCTGCGTTTTCGCAGACTTCCATGTCGGCCAATTGCTACCGAGTAGTCCGGAATCGAAGACCCGCATTTTCAGGACAGTCGCCTGCTTCCGCAACTGCCCCCGCTGCCCGGTATTCGTGGAGAATTCGGTCCGTGCTGCGATATTGGGACAGGATATCGCAGGGGCCCTGTAGCCACCACCGGGGCACCGGGAGACAACGGCTTGATTATCAAGTGTCGACCAACAACACCACGACAACCCGTGGATGCAGCTGTTCCGTGCCCGAAAAAGCATTGCGATTCTGATCCTAATTTGTCCCTATTGGTCCTTCTTCGACCTGCTCGGTTGAATACCTTCATCAGTAGGCATCTGGTTATCGGTGTGCATGCTGACTCTCCACTGGGCTGGTCAGCTCCCTATCTTGCTCATTTGCAGTCGAATACCCAGTTCGACTCCTCGAATCCATTCATTCCGTGCTGCAAACGAGACCCTCTGCGAAAGAACAATGCACTGAAACCACCATACTGTGTACTGTGTAGTACTGTGTACTGTGTGCTGTGGCAGTTTGCAGGTGCGAATAGAGTTCGACTAATGGCGCTTGGCGTCCACATGGCGCCCTTCCAGAAGAATGCTGTCGACAACTAGAACCTTCGACGCTGCCTGTCTCAAAGGTTGTTTTGTTGACAAGCGAGGCTACGATTCTAAAAGTACTGTGTACGAGTCAATGGATTCCACCATGACAAGTAAATCGGTCTTGTTTCATCGGCGCAGAAAGCATCAAAGGGTTATTGTAATGGTCTTTGACTTAACAAGGACGACAACGTCATTGTACACAGTAATATCATGTGCTCAGATCTCGTCGACAAGGTGTTTGGCTGTGCATCTATAATGCTTTCGAAGCCACAACTCTCGACTCAAAGAGCTGTTTACATGGTATAAAACGCTCTGCAACCCTCCGTTCTGGGGTTGATAATTCTACACTTCCTCTTTAGTGAATCTCAAAGCCGATCCTAGAGACCAGCGAGACTTCATAACAGAAACAAAACCGCATACTATAAGCTTTGATCCATTGAACATGGCACCGAAATCCAAAACTCCTCTTGCCTCCACGCCCGAAGCAGCCCAGGAGGTAATCCGTCAAGAGTTCAAAACCTCGAAAGTGCTATGGACGGAAATGACGAGCGGCTTCCCCTCTGTGCGCACCTGCTGCATTTGCGACCACGATATGCCGTCCAGCCTTGACCGAATCCAAAGCAAACGAGGAAAGGAGGAGAGAAGACGCATACTCCATCGTGCCTGTGATTACCGCGTATGTCTTCGTGCGGCCGACCGGATAGATCCCCTCGTGTTGCATCCCAGGTCCCCTACACTCCCGCCTGTTCTGATGGACGTGACATGTCCTGTGTGCGAGGCGCCGCTTGATTGGGGGGACGGGGACCTCATCTCGAGACGGGCCATGATGAATTATCGATTGAGGCGGGTGTTTGCTGTGAACAGATTGTGTCCAGTTCGAACCGTCGAAGAAAACTGAACAGATAGACAAGGTTAGGTTGGCGATAGACGACGGACATGTGTACTGCGAGAAGGGCGGTTAGCGCTACTCGGTTTTGCCTTTTTTCTTTCTTTCAAGGGATTGTTCTGAGGGAGACGACTTTACGGATAATCAGCGTTTCTTTGAGTTCTGTAGGCAGGATTTCGAGGAATATGGCGCTACTTGGAGTTTTTCTAGAAGTGGATGTGTCAGTGAAATAATATTCTTGAAAGATTATGAGAGGCTTTCAGAAGAGTGATGTCGTGCCCTTCTTGTGCTTCTTCATGCTCCTACATGTGGGCTCCAAAGAGAGTCACTGGCATCCGGGAGCCGAACAAATCGGAGTTCCAACATTCAGGCACCGGTCCGACACTTCGAGAGATCAAAAGGAAGTGCCTCAAGAGAGGTCTTAGGTAAACAGATGCTATGCTTTGCGCAGTGTGCATCTTCAGATGTTGTCAGCCAAGTCCTGCAGCGAAACATGTTCATAGGGCTTCCGGCATCTCGACCTATCCGGACTGGAACATGGCAGTGCATGACGAACGAGTCCGGTCTTGGGCGGAGTGGGACGATTTTTTGCGCTCTCGTTACTTTCCAGACCTCAGGCATTGGTCGATCCCGTCGGAGAGGAACGTGCCGGTAGAACTGCGCAAGAAGGTACCCGAATCCAACAAAGGGAGATGCAGCAAGCTTGATGGCGCAGCGTAACACCTACACCAACTGCGAGGAACAGAAAGAGGTGTTCGGGAACGGCTGCTCCCTTACAAAGTTCAAACGAGGTTGACGCTGCAACCAACCTCGCTAACATAGGAGGATCGTGACTCTGGAACCCTCGGGGCGTTCCTCCCCCTCAGAATCGGCCATTATGTCACTTCTTCCAGCGAACTACGGATAAACCATGACTACTGAGCCTGGTCCAGACAGGAAGGCCGTCTGGAGTCCACCCGTAGTCGGCCTTCGGATCCGAACAGTGAACGCAACCCCCGCCCTGATTGGTTGCTCCAGCCACACAGAAGGAACGGGAGCGCCAAAACTCTGTTGCCGTGGAGGCGAGGAACGCTGGCTGCATGCTTTCTCGACGACTTGAGGCATCACACAGGTTTGAGGGTGCAGGTCCTTGAAGCAGGTCGTAGATTTGAGGAACAGGCTTGATTCTCGCTTAGGACCACGAGGTAGGCCTAGCGCCATCCGTTTGGGGCCAAGCGCGCGGCGCGACGAAACCATGTACGTCTGAGTTCACCTTCACCTCCTGTCTCCCTTCAGACACTGTCCGTTTCCAGCGACGACTGCAATGCAACTGAACAACCTGGTGTCGGCAAGGTAACCGTTTTAGCATCAACACAGTATGGGCGTCTCTGAGAGCGCGAGCCCCAAATGACCCCTTCGGCAGGGCTACATGGCATGGTCGTGAGACAAGACGGCCTTCATCCCAAGTTTCATGCCGGAGTCCCTTTCCTCAGCCGCCTGCTCCAGCTTGACGTCGCCAAGGGACTTTAAAGACGGGGCCGCATGGCGTTTAACAATGCCTCGTTTTCCCACCCACTCATCCGTCTGTGACTTCTTCTTCGTGTTGGGGATCTTTTTCTCAATTTTTTTGAGGGTTACGTTCCTTTCTTCTTCCTTCCTCTCAAACTTCTCTTCTCCCAGGCTACGTTGAACGTGTCTGTTTCTTCGTCTTAATCCACCGCCAGTCGGAGTCCATTCTTTTTTTCGTGCACGCAGTCTTCACACGTCGTCATGCGTTTCTCAACTCTTTTGCCGTTGCTGCTTGCGGCTGGTGTGGCCAATGCCCAGTTCAGGAGGTTCGGTGGGAACGGTCAGAATCGTGGCGGCCAGAATGGTCAGAACGGCCAGAACGGTCAGAACGGTCAGAATGGTCAGAATGGTCAGAACGGTCAGAACGGACAAAACGGCCAGAATGGGCAGAACGGTCAGAATGGCCAAAATGGTCAGAATGGCCAAAATGGTCAGAATGGCCAGAACGGAGGCAATAACAACAACAACGGTGGAAACAATAACAACAATAACAACAACGGAGGCAATAACGGCAACAACCCGCTCTGTCTGCTGGCCGAGAACGTCCAGGATGCCAGCAATAAGGACGGTCTGGGAGATGGTGCTGAGCCGGGACAGTCCCCATCTCAAACGTGAGTATGTCCAGGCTGGAAACGAAAACGAATACTCACCATCACAGTGACCCCGCCAACTTCATCAACGTCTGCACAGGCAAGACCAAGACGAATGGTCTACAGATCCAGCAAGGCTCCTGCAACGGTGTCGGTACGTCTATCTTCTTCCTGGCTATTTTCGAATAAAATCCTAATCATTATGCAGCCATGGGAGACATCCCCGCCTCCAACCGCATGGTCTCCGCCGTCATCGTCAGCCCTGCCAACGGCGAAGTCATCCCCGAAGGCCAATCCATCGACTTCAAAGTCCGCATCGCCAACCTCGTCGCCGGCTCCTTCACCAACCCCGACAACACCTACTACGCCGCTCCCCAGGCCCTCCAAGGCGGGCGCGTCGTCGGCCACACCCACTTCACTGTCCAGGACATCGGAAACGACGATAAGCCTCAGCAACCTCTTGATGCTCAGACCTTCGCCTTCTTCAAGGGTGTCAACGACGCTGGCAACGGTAATGGCGAACTGTCGGCCACGCTGGCCGAGGGTCTCGCTGCCGGTAATTACCGTGCTTGCACCATGACGTCTTCCAGCACCCATCAGCCTGTGATTATGCCTGTTGCTCAGCGTGGCGCTCAGGATGATTGCATCAGGTTCGTTGTTAGTAACAATGGCGGCAACAATGGAGGCAACAACGGTGGTAACAATGGCGGCAACAACGGTGGCCGGGGCGGTCAGGGCGGCCAAGGTCAAGGTCAAGGTCAAGGTCAAGGTCAAGGTCAAGGTCAAGGTCAGGGTCAAGGTCAGGGTCAAGGAGGACAGGGCGGACAAGGTGGACAGGGTGGACAAGGAGGACAGGGCGGCCAAGGAGGACAAGGCGGACAAGGTGGACAAGGAGGCCAGGGAGGTCAGCAAGCCGGTCAAGGACAGAACGGCACACAAGGCGGACAAGGTGGTCGCGGAGGCTTTGGCCGGGGCAGGGGACGCGGACGGTTCGGCCGCAAGAAGTTCGCTGCCCGTGACTTCGTCGCTTAGAGCCGCCAACCGTCTACGCATACTGGTCAACCATACCGTCGTTGGGCCCATCATCGGCGCCGTTGGGATTGCGGAAAGGTCGAAAGAGACAAGGGGTTCACAGCATCACAAGGGACGACAAGCATCGATATCGCATGTATGTGGAGAAAGTAATGGCAAGGTGTGGGCACGAAAGGGAAGGCAAACGAGATTTTTCTCCGAAGAGGGTGGTGGGTTGTTTCGAAGTTTTTTAGTATGAGGGGTTTATTTTGGTTGTTCTGTCTGTTGGTCATAGAAGAAGAAGAGAGAGTCCCTTTCTCCGCCCATGTACACAGTAACTAACTACATTTGTCCTGCGATACCCTCCGGGAAGAGGGGAAGCGGATTTCTTGAATCGTCATAACGACTTGTAAACGTACAGAGAGAGAGAATTGAGATATTTTGACACTATGATTTTTGGCATTTCTTGTGATGTTCAAGATAGATTGGGGAAACCCAGGACGAACAGAACAGGTCGGGAGATTGGAGTTCTGATCACTGCTGCAATACCCGGAACGATCGACGTTGAGTCTCACATCTGCCTCACAAATATTCTTCATCTCGGCCGTTGAAATAAGGCTCATGCGACCTGCTGGGAACTCTGACACCAGGGGTTCGTCTCAGCATGGTTCTGACACAGCAATGGGAGGGAGTCAGGGGTCTGCATGTCCCCTTCATGGCAAAAGTGGAATTTTCGAGCCTGCAAGAGTTGTGGAGATCTCCGAGACTCTGTCTCGGGCCTGTGATATTTAGGTAACGCTGAAGCGTGGCCGGTTGGTCATAGAGGCGATGCAGCGAATAACGAGATCCTATGGAATTGAGGTAACAATGCATAAGTATGAAGCCGACAGCCCAGTACTGCAAAAACAGCACTGGCAGGGAGCACACTACGCAAGGATAGATTTGACAACCGGGCGCGACGCCGCAAAGCTTAATCAATAATGCACAAGTATTCGCCGCAGCCATGCTTTGAGTTTTCTGCACGGCGTCTATCTATCGCATTTTGTCCAGCGGTTGTTGGCAATCGTGCAGGTATGAAGAAGATAAGTCAATTTCGTCTTGGGACCATTCACGGCCGAGATTTTGGAAGTCTTCAGACTTATTGGTAGGACGTGTAGGAAGGTTTAGTGATATCCACTGGCTCTGGAAGTTCAGGATCAACACAGGGACATCGATGGCGTCCAAGTGATCTTCGTGACGGGCGGTTGGGGTAGGCGCCGATGCGCCGCTTGGATTGGTAACGTATGTATTTCGTGCTGGTATGGGCGGCAGGATCGATTCTCCCACTATGGAAGGAAGCCTTCAAAATGCGAAGAGGTTATTCTTGCTCTGAAAGGGATATCCCACTGGAAGGATGAGATCGATGCGAGGTTGAGGTAAGGTTGTGTCCTAGACTGAGTTTGGTTAGTTGCGGACTAGCGCGGAAGGAATGGGTGAAAGGCGGCGCTTAGATGAAGGGAGACAGATCGCGCCGGCTTCTGCTACGTGGAGTGTTTTTCTCACGCAGCATATACTCTCTGCAAAAGGTCTTCGCTAAACTAAAGACTCTCTACTTTCTATTCCACAGAAACCGAAGAATAGCACAATCGGGGACCTAGACAGGCTGCACTAGTATCACCTGTATTTTCGTATACTATATTTCTTAACAGGTAGATTTAATCATTACTCACAGGCAAGAGAGAACTTCGTTAGAACATAGGATCGGCGATATTTCAGCGTGTAACAGCCTGTTGCATACGCTCGTGGCATTTGCCAACATTTAGATGTGAGGATTTTAGGAAGTTCATGATCTCGAGTCGGAGGACCATTCATTAGAATATCCTGCCCTGGAACAGCGTGGATGTTACCTGCGGCATTCCTATGATCTCCTCTTCCATTTTTACCCAACACATGACTTCGTTACATGATATAGTGTAACCTTTTGGTACCTTGGCGTTGGAGCAGGAAGGGCCAGATTTGGGCTGATTCGCAAGAATTCGAAAGCCACGGAGGATGGTGTATTCGAACTGGTCCTTGGTATTGGGACGTCAGCGTACCAACCGTCAACAGAATTCGTCCGGCCAGATCTTGTCTTTCCAGTGTAGCCAGGACCCCTAGATTGGGCAGGGACTGGATCTCTATGTGCCGACCACAGGGACAACCTTCCATAGGTGCTTCTTGCATCTCCCGATGGCCTCCATGATATCGCGCGCAGGTGTATAGCGCCGCCTTCACAGGAGCCATCAATCCCAATCGCTATCCTCATCATCCGCACTCGTCTTCCCCTGCCGAATCTTACTATGCCCTGCCTCCTCTTCCCCTTCCTCCCTGTTCCTCCTCAGCCTCGGATCCGTCTGCTTCACCGCACCAACCTCGACAAGCACCTTCTCAATATCTACGTCGCAGTCAGCTCCTCATCCCTTACCCAAAACCATATTCAACAACTTACCAGCAGCCTTACACCTCACACCCCCAACCTCCCTCAATGTCACCAACTGCTTCTTGATATCCCCATCCTTGTACACCAACACAGTCGGCGTATTCCTCTCAGGATAACCCTCAATACACAGATCCGCCCTGATCTGGCAGAACTTGACGTCGCCGAACTTCCGCGCCAGCTCCCTCCATATCTCGATCGCGATGCGCGACTCCGTATTCACACCTTGCGACGACGTGAGCAGGACGAAGACAAACGCATCCTTCGACGCATCCGTCACATCCCTCTGATAATCCGGTTTCTGGACATGATACACCTGGTTGAATACAGACGCATTGGTTATAGTCGCCAACTCTTGCATCCTTTTCTTCCGGTACGTCTCAAGGAAATCCTCATCCTCGTCGTCCTCGAGTTCCGCCAACTCGTCCAGGTCTTTACCCTCGAGCCGATTCTCGTGCGCCAGTCTTCGCGCCTCGACCAGTGCTTCCTCGATCATGGGTGTCGGCGAGGGCGGTTTCTCGGGTATGATGCCGTGTTTGCGCAGGATGTCGTTCCATTCCGTGTCGGCGTTGGGGTCGTCGACGGGCACGTTGACGGGGACGTCGGGCATTTGCATCGTTGCGGTAGTGTTTTGGGATTCGGGATAGCGGTGAATTGGTCGGTGAGATTACTCCTGCTCCATTTCCGGGAGGAGGGAAGTGATGTTTGAATATCGAAGCAGCGAAATGGAAGCCTGAGAAGCCGAAGTTACCCCACGATGTCGCGGGTGCCTTCGATTGTCGTTGCGGCCAAGCTTTTCCCACTTTAGGGTACCCCGCCTCAACGCACGTGGAGATGCTGCATGGTATTGACCACTCGCCGAAGAGTCTGGACATCTGGACGAGCTATTTTCTCTTCGAAAATCCAATGGAATGCGGTAGAGATGCAAACAGGTCGGTAGGATGCTAATACTCTTGCGTTGCCCTACATTGGACTACAGGGTTGAACATTAATGAACCTAGCCCTTCGCCTCGTACCATGTAAGATTACCACATTGAAAGTCTGCATAACCCCCTCTGTCTTCCCATCCTTCCCTCTCGGTCATACCAAATCCTCGTGTACAATCTGAATCATCCTCTCGCCTCCTTATTTAGGATACACACATCTCTTCCTCTCTTCCCTTTCTTCCCCCAACGTCAGCATACCCCACTCTCCCCTAAAAGAACCTCCCATACTTCTTCGCCGAGTCCGTCTCTTCCAGCACCCTCACCTGGTCCAGATCCTCTTCCCTCTCCCGCTCCTCCACATAGGCTTCCCTTGGTACGGGCCTATCCAGGGCAGTGAACGGATGGCCCCTGATTCTGGAGAGGAGGTAGAGCGTCGCAATACGTAAGCCGCATGCTCCAAAACCCCAGAGCAGGGCGCCAATCGGGGCAGCTACGAATGCGCCTGTGAATAGTCAGCGCCTCTATTCGATGTGTGTGGACCTGCGTGTCTTACCGAACGCGCTCCAATCATTGGCATACAATCCATTTTCAAGCAAGATCAATTTCCCCGCCAACGTAGCGTCGCCATCATAGTACACCAACCCAAAGAGGAAGACGGTGAAGATACCTCCCAAGCTACCAACCACAAAGTCGAATCCACGCCACCAGTACAGTTTCTCCGAGAGTCCAAGGACGAGACAAGGAATCACGGACGCGCTGACAAGATCGCTGATCAGGAAAATCTGCAGGATGTCCGGGCTCTTCAGCGCTACCACCACGACGGGGACGATAAGAACGACGACCAGAGCGCGGATGATCCAGAGGTTCAGCTTGTTGCGGAAGAGGTCGTTGCTTCCGGTCGAAACCATGGCGCTTTGGAGACTGTCGAAGGCCGCTGTGGAGAGAGAAACCACCATGACTAGAACGACGCCGACGACCCAGGCCGGAAGTTGGCCCAGCAGGAGGAAGAAGGCTAGGTATCCGTTCTCTGCATCATCCAGAGGCCAAGCGCCAGACCAGGCGGCCAGGAGCCCTGTGACACCAACGAGAGTGAGAATTATGCATACGGCAACGCTTGCGATACTGACGCCAATCCAGAGGTCCTTGTCGGTTCTAGAGGCGAAGGTGCGCATCCAAAATCCGGAGAGGAAGAAGTCGTTAGTGAGGATGGCTACCGGGAGGATGTAGATCAGTTGCCAACCGAGGAGGGATGGCTCCAGATACCCGGAACGGTCAATCAGGCTGCGGTCAATTTTGGTTTCTACGCCAACTGAGATAACTCCCAGGACGATGAGACCGCAGACCATGGCACCCTGGATATTGTCTGTGACAAAGGAGACTTTGAAGCCACCAGCGGCTGCACGAGTCAGCCAGAGCCAGACACTGAACGGCTTCGTGGTACTCACATGTGTAAATCGTTGTGATTGCACATTGTACGATGACAGCCGGAAGCCCATTCAGCCCCGTCAATGCGTTGACAATCTGTTGGAGAGCAGAAAGCTCAGCAACCATGTAGAGGAAGATTGTGATGAGGCTGGCGCATGCGTTAGCAATATTCACGGGCAGGCACGATCGCAGCTATTACATACGTGCAGATGCTCAGGAAAATTCCAGCAACTGGACCATATCTCTGCCGCGTCCACTCGGTAAGGACGAACCCTTCAGGACATTTGCGTCGAATGATTGGCCCCAAGGCGCCGAAGATGAGGAGAGGTAGAGATGATGATAGTGCGTAGACGATCAAGCCCTGCACACCGGCTATAGTCGCAATTTGCGGATAGGTAAATAGAATACCAGATCCCAAGGCTGGAAGTGAGTAACCCTGAGTCAGCTTGCACACAGAGGCGGGGAAGGGGGAAGGGGGAAAAAAGGGAGCATAGGGAAAGCGGCAGCACGTTCCTCACGCAAGTATTATCTTGATCGAGTTTTCACGGTACTTCTCAGCTTCGTCAAGCCGCATGGAAACCCTCTGTGAAGCTTCCCTCAGGTGTTCCGATGGAGCTTGACTCGGCGCCCGTAGTGTAGCCGCGCAGGGTTTTCACACTCGTGCTCACCTCCAGTGGTTCAAATCCCACTGTAAGGATGGCACGTGCGAGAGCACTTCTGCGAGAGATCTCAAATACGAACCTATTGGAGTCTCACGACCCTCAAATCTCGATCCATACCCGGAACCCGCACTGCGGTCATGCGTTCTCGTCCATACTATCGTGCGCCGATGCTGCCGCTGCCCTTTCAAGTCAACCGGGTTGCATCAACGCACTCACCCGATGCGATGAAGTTCAGGGCCAGTGGAACGCCTACACGTGCGGTTAGTACTATTGTTCACTGTTCACTGATAAGTCGGAAACGGCAAGGGTGGGTTGCAGTGGAGTCCCATTTCGTCATCGTGAAAGTCCGAGCAAAACGCGTGGTTTCCTGACCCTTCTGTGTCTTGTTGGCCGAAAGCCATTCTGTCTTCGACTGGTGTCGCAGGCGCCATGCGATGTAGCATCCTGTTACTCTGTGCGACTGTGAGCTAACTTTCACGTAATTGGTCGCATGGACGTACAGGAAGGCTCCATAGGTTAGATAGATGAGGGCGTTGGACGCCTGTGTCGACGGTACACCCATTCTTGCACGTGGCTCCTGAGAGTAAGAGGTGATGAGAGGATGGAAAACACTTGCTGGCTCAAGACAGGAATATATCTGGGCCTGGGCCTGATCATCGCTACTTTTTCTTTTTCAGCCTTGGCTCCGAAATGGGATGAACCAACTCCGCACTTCGCTAGTGTCATCGCAAGAGGCCCACCCACAGGCCCCCACGGTGTCCCCGCACGGCTCTTTCCCACGAACCATGACGAGACTACACAATCTACACAATGATTTGAAGCTTCTGTTGGGACCTGAACATGTGACAGGGATCTTGGTCACGGTGCAAAGTAGTTTTGACAATCAGAAGCTTCCCGGCTTAGACGCAGGGTGCTGGCCGAACAGAACTGCAACAAAGATGCTGATGCCGATTTGAGATCAAATCGTTAAGGACTACATAAATGTATGTCATTACACCCGATGTCTCCTGTTCTGGGAGAATTCGTATACGAAAAGATAGAAGTATGGAACACCAGAATAGAAGAACAAACCAGATGGAGATCCCAATACCCTCATAGCCTACCCCTGCACCCCTCCACTGGAGAATGCCGCTAAAAACAAAACAGATGCTTTGACCTGACCCTCCGCTTTTGACTGTCGCTACTCGTGAAGTCGTGTATATCATGTCGTCATTCGATTGAGGGTCCGTCCGAGCGTACAGGAATGATACAAGAAGTAATATATGGGCTTCGTGAAGGAGCGTGAATTACCACGCATGACGGTCCCAGTTTGGATCTGTTATACTGCAGTCAGCTTCTGTCTGTAAAGCTTTATCTAGGAACAACCGCAACTGACCTTGTACAAACGCCGCCAGCACCTTGCTTCCAGTTTGCAGCAACGGATGTCCCACAACAATCTGCAAGAATCGCTGTAGCCCCTCTCGTCTATGCTCAATCACATCGTCCGAGAAGCGGTTCGTCAGGACCTTGCCGGGTAGCGGTGGTATCGTCACGCGCGACGACTCGCGCTCTAGGATATCTCGAAAGGCTTCGAACTCGCTGTATCTGCGGCGTACCGAGGACGACTTCAGCTTGAAGGCTGGAATGTTGGTGCGCATAACAATCTCGTAGGTGGTGTACATGCCCCGGCCGACGCCATGGGTCATGGGATTCTTGACCTATGCAGCCTTTTGTAAGCGTGGAGTGCTGCATGCGGGGGTCTCGGGACTGGGAAGGGTTGCGACCAACCTCTATCTCAAGGAAGTTCTCAGGAGGGCCATACAGCTCTTCAAACGTCTGCTGGCGCGCCTCGGGTAAAGCCTGCATCTTTTCGTCAAGAAATCGGTCGCGCGATCAAGCCTGAATTCAGTGGTCGACAGACGCCAGACACAGCGGGGAGTTTAAATGGCTGCCAGCGGGGAAAAGCACTAGGTAGCGCGGACGACACCAAGCCAGGCACGTGAGAATAATTGATTACGTAATAATAAAGCTTATCTGAATGTCGTGCATATGCTGGATCTTTCGACGGCATGCCTCCTCTTTCGCTTCCATACCACCTTCTTGTACCCCTTTTCCTCTTCACGCTTCATATAAATGGCGTGCACCCTTCTCGTTGCTGGAATCGCATCTATGTGCCACCTCTCAGGTCCGCGCGTCAAGACCCTATCAAAGACGATCAAACGTCCAGGACGGAGCAAATGATACTGGCGAAAGCAGAAAACAATCTGAACCGCTCTAAGTTGTGATGGTCATGAACCCCTCACTCTGCTTTCTTAGCCAGCTCTGCCTGTTCACGCAGATTAGGCGACGTGGAGCTCGTCTGTTCCATATCTGATGCCCACAGCGCGGCGCCGACGGTGTTTGTGAACGAGAAGAAGATTCCTAGCACGGGGATCAATTCAAGAAGGACCGCAGGGACACCGAAGCTTTCTCACATTAGCGATTTTCAATGACACCACGTCTCAACGGTGCTTGTTACCTTGTATACGCAGCCTGCCTCTTCGCGATAAACTCCTCCTTCTGCCTCCCATCCATCCTCTTCAGCTGGAAATATCGTGCGTGCGCTGTGGGGCCGAACTTGCGGCCTTGCAGAATGACGAACATGGCTGTTCCGACGACAGGAATAAAGTTCAGAGGGAGGTAGATGAAGTATCGAATGATGGCCTCGGGCGTGAAGCGTGCAAAAGGCCTCTTCATGATTTTGCCCAGCTTGGCGACGGGGTCGCTACCGGATTTGACCTGACGTTCCGTCGACACGAGGGACGTGAGATTGCGAGACAACAAAGTCTGCTCTATTGTTAGTCGATTTGATGAGCCAAAGGGGAGAGAGGTTCCTACGCCATCGAAGGTGTCCAGGAGGGCGTCATCTATGAGGAAGTTCTTGCTCAGAACGGAGAAGATGGTGGAGCTTTCGCTAACTGCATTGAGCAATCAACATCCTGCCGTTAAAGCAGTCACTGGAGAAATTACGTACGAACGAGGAAGATGGTCGTCAGGATGGCCAGTGGACCGTTGAATACCGTAAGAATTGCCGCCTGAGGAACGTATGTGAAGGCGAACATGAAGATGGTCACTCCGATACCGAGTGATAGCGTAGGGAATAGCTTGTTAAGCAGCGGCTTCCACAGGCTGCGGTGACTGATGAAGTATAGGATTCCCTGACCACCATTGCTGTCAGCCTCGACCGTTGAGGCTACTGTATCATAGTACGCACCCTAAAGGGATAGAGATATGCGCCTGACCGCACTGCATCTCTGGTGAGAATCTTTGCCTGCTGAAACTCCTCCACTGCAACTTCTTTGACTCTTTCGGACATGTTGGATTAACTGAGGACAGACGGCCGATACTGAGCGGTACAGTCAGTAAACTCGAGAAACGTGTGTCTAGGAAGATTTGCGTATTGTTTGCCTGCATGCTTCTGAGCCCGCGCAAACGCATTGGAGGTGAGGATCGCCTGACGTCAGAGCCCCATCACCCCGCGTCCTGGCGGTTGGATAGATGGCCCAAGCTCCTTTCACCACACCCTTGCATCACCGTAGCACAAACAGTTACAAGTATGGTCAAGCTTCCATTGTTGGCCACTGAAAACAAGAAAATCTCGGCCCGCAGACGCAAGCTTGCTTCAAATCAGGGTCCAAATGACGCAGCCGGGCACTAGCCTCTTTAGCTGGGGCGGTGCTTGTGGCGTCATACAATATCCTCGACCGGAGCATCAGGAGGTTTTCGGAATAGCCACAAAGAATGCGTTGGGCATATCTATTCCGCTTCCAGTAATTGTCATGGGCTCACGAACCCCCGCTCCTCAACGGCGATGTGCGAATGACGAAATGAACTGCAGGGCTGGCGCCACGGTTGCGTGGCTGATGACATCCAGCCTCAAGGGGGGTTGAGGGAGCAATTGACAGGCGTAGGGCAGGTTTACCGCATATTCCTTCCTCCTTGGATGCTGTCGTGCTTCCCAGCTGACCGAGGCAATAATGACGTCGTGGGGAATTGTGTGTAAAGACGGGTGTCTCCTTCAGCTATATAAAGACCCTCCAGAAGGTGCACCTTACTACAGACACAGCACGCAACAACAATCGAAAGTACACTTCCACCTTGCCAACAACCCAACACCAGACTTCCAATTCACACATCAAACACTTCAGCAATAATGGAAAAGATCAAGCACAAGGTTGAGCAGGTCCTTCACAAGGACAGGGACACCACCACTACCTCCGGCACTACCCACGCAGGCGGAGACCCCAGCGGGCCCCATAGAACCCATTTGGGCAACGTTGCTGATCCTAGAGTCGTGAGTGAATCGGAGTGATGAAAAGCTCCATACCTCCCCTTTGGACACGAGGCGTGCTGACATCAAATAGGACTCTGACCGCCCTGGAGGCTATGGCAACACTGCGAGTGCTGGAGGTACCACACACACCGGCTTCGATTCTGGGACTACGGGAACCACCGGATACGGCTCCACCACCCACACTGGTACTGGGCTGACTGGCTCCACCGGCACCCATGCTGGAACTGGGCTGACGGGCTCTACGGGCCACTCTACCAACGCGGGTCCTCACAGGTGAGCACGCTTCATCTAACATTATAACATCGAATGGAAGTACTCATCAAATAGCTCAAACATCGCCAACAAACTCGATCCGAGATATGATTCGGATCGTGACAACAGTGCAACTCTAGGTGGTGGCCCAGGCTATGGCACTCACACTGGTACTGGGCTGACTACCTCCACCGGCACCCACACTGGAACCGGTTTGACGGGCTCCACCGGGCACTCCACGAACGCAGGCCCTCATAGGTAAGCAAATCTATATCTCTTTGCGTTGACGTCTTACTTACTCTCGGGAGCACGAACATTGGGAATGTATTAGACCCTCGGATTGATAGTGATCGCGACGGTTCCCACACCGTTGGTGGCTATGGCAGCACGACTGGCACGGGCTACGGCACCCACACCGGTAGTCATACCGGCGCTGGGCTTACTGGTAGTACTGGAACGCACACCGGCACTGGCCAGCACACCGCCGGTCCTCACAAGTAAGAGATTTCCGACAAGTTTCGAGCGTTCGCTCTTTGCTAACGTGTTGGTTTAGGTCGGATTTTTTGAACAAAGTGGATCCTACTGTTGACAGCGATCTCGACGGTTCCAAGACGCTCGGAACCAACCGTACCTACTAAATTGGACGACTCCCGAGCTCGATCTGACATCCCGCGGAAGGCTTGCCATGATTTTTCCGAATATGATTCCCCGCTTGCTGCTTACCAATGAGTATGCAACATGATGATGACCAGTTTCTTATGTCTGAGCCGTACTATCACTCACTCCTGTGAAGCGGATTCACCGCGGGAGACTATGGACCTGATGGGATGGGCTGATGAAATTGTATATTATACGACTGTCTCGAGGAATTCAACATGATTCTTGAACTACATGAGTGCTTTCACGAATATGTGACTGTGATGGTGCGACGTAGTGCAAGTGACTTTCGAAGAAAACACCTTGATTCTATGAAATTTTTCAATAGACTCACCTCTTTACTTAGTTTTCTTATTTCATTAAGCCATTCTGAAAGGTGAGCCTTGTTCTTTTAGCCTAGTGCGAGAGATACACATCAATCTTACACAGGACACCTGGAAAGTCCAACTCATCCAAGTCGATCATGTCAAGGAGGTTATGGATTCACTTCAATATCAATCATTCCTCATACACTGTCGCTCTACTTTTCAACCGGCACGCACCATCATATAGATATTCGGCTAGCTCAAAGCGCCACGCCAACTCGCCTGGATGACAAAAAAGGGGTCATGACCGCACGCTCCAAAACCCACGATCTATGTAATACGTAGGCTCCCTCGTATAATCTCAGCTAAACCCCTTACGCTACGCTGCCGACGATCAATGCGGCTACGCCCTCCTCCTCGCTCCTGGTCTCGATCTTCATGGTGATGCCCGTCTTTGCGCTGTACGCCATGCGCACCAGTGCTGCTACCTTGCCGCCTGTGATGGTCTTGCCGTACAGCTTGAGCGTGTGCGTCGATGTGGAGAGCGCAATGTCCGTGCCGTCAAGCGGTTGCAGCGACAGCGTCTTTGTAAGCTGTTCCGTTGCATCTGAAAGGAACAGATCAGTATCACTCCGACAGTTTGCCAAGTCGCGAAGGAACTTACCAGCTATACTCTTGATATTGCTCAACTGCAGCGTTTCAACCGCCGAATCCCCCTTCGCCTGCTCCCACACGTTGTCGAAGCTACCCGCATAAGCCGGCACCACATAATCCGCACCATTGAGGTCAAGGTCTTCCACCTGGTACTCATCCTCATATCCGTCACCCTCTTCAGGCTCGTTCGTGCTTGGATCAATCTCTTTGCTGGTGAATTTGAGCACGTTCGTAAAGGAAGTGGCGATGTATTGCGATTCTGTCTCCAATCGCTTGAAGGACACATAGACGGTGCCGGGTTCGTTGGTTTTGAGCTGAGGCGCTGGGATGATGAACTCTTCCTCTAGCTGGACGTCGCCATCATCCTCAGGGGTAACCACCATCTGTACGTCTAGCAGCACTGTATCAGGCAGGGTGTTCTTGATGTCGTACTGGATGACAACGTGGTCTTTGAAGATGTGCTTGACTGCCGAAACCACGTATTCGGTTTCGGACTCAGTGAGTTCAACAACAGCGCTCGACTTGAGCACGCCACCATATGCTGCGAGCTCGGGAATCTTCTGGAGTTCCGCTGCATATTTCTGAGCCGCTGCGGTTGCGGAAGCCGCTGCGTCGGCACCTGTTGTCGATGGCTTTGGTCCTGCGCTTGGTGCTTTAATCGTCGGCGTCGTGGTGGCGGTCTTCTTGGTGAGATCTTCTGCATCGGCCTGTTCTCTCGAAACCGTGGGAATCTTCGAGATGTCGAACGGTTGTTCGAATGTGTCCCTCGAATCCGAGCTCACGTACATGGCGAGTTGGTGCTCGAGCACAGGTAACGAGAACACCGAATCTGCATCTCTATCAGCGCTGGGAGTCAATTTCGAGGATTTTCTTCACTCCTCACCATTGCGAATGAAACTGGCAGCTAACTCGTCGTCCTGGTCCATCAACCGCAGATTCAGTGCCGCGCGATCTCGGACTTCGTCGTCCACATCATCGAGACAACGGGTAAGCAAGACGTGTACAGACTTCTTTATTTCAGGATCCTTTTGTCTAGGACACATTAGCAACGTTTGAGATCGATTGTGCACTTGATCACTTACCCAACACCGAACTTGGCCAAAGCGGAAGTGGCTGCAGCTCTCACGATGGCGTTCTCCAATACTACCCGATTGTAGATATACCTGATGTATTTTGTAGGGTGCGGGGTGGATGGGCCCTCTCTTCCAAGAACGAACAGAATTCGAACTGCCAGCTTTGTAAACTCACAGTCCTCGATAAATTCGCAAAGGGTGGCCAGCGCATCCTCCTTAGCCTCAGGCACAAATCTGATGAGGTCCATGATTGCTTCAACCACGGCTCGCTTGAACTCGTAGCCACCCTCGTCCCGCAGGATGCCGCTCAAGAAAGCAAGGAACCCAGATTGCTTGGATTTGAACTTCAAAGCCAGCGTTCGAACAGCTTCCACAATGGTCACCTTGAACTCATCTGTAATTTCGGCCATAAATCCGGTAATTTGTTTCATAAGTCTGTCAACTGATGACTCGTTTCCTGTCTTCAGCAGTGTCGTGATAGCAAAGGTGGCGATGCTGCGGTTCGAGTTCGTAATGAGAGCTTCAATGTCCTGGTTGCATGGCCGAACCGCATCTGGCTTGGATGATGCCATGGTGGACAGAATCCTAAGAGCAGCAAACTTGGTAACGGCGCGTGGAGAAGTAAGGAAGAGTTGAAGGGTATGGACTGCTTGTACGAGCTCCGCATTGGTGACATCCCGCATATCGCAAATAGCCTTGGCCGCTTCGAAGTTGACCATCTCAGACTTATGACGAAGCCAGCCATCCAAAAGTTGCATCATGGGCTTCCGCAGATTGGGATCCTCTTCAGCGAGCTTAGCGGCCAACCGAACCAGAAGAACAGTAGCTGCTGGGCTCTTGACAACTCCGGCTGCGGAATACTGCTGGACCATCTTGACCAAGCTCATCCTGTCACCAGCGCGCATCTGGTAGAGCAGTCCAATGGCATGATACTGGGTCATGTAGTTGGTGCTCGCCTGAAGGGTCGAGTGTGAGCTGCCACCAAAACCACCCAAGAATCCACCACCTCCCTTGCTGCCTGAAGCAGCCTCGACGGCCTCTGATTGCCATCTCCTGACAACATCTTTCGCAACCGGAAGAAGGTGATATGAAGAAACCAATGCGGCGGAGGCAACCGAGGGGTTCTTATCAACGATACAGGGTTTGACAAGACGTTCAATCGCTTGTACGGTGGAGGCGTCGATAACACGGCAGAGGGCGCGGATGGCATTCGGTCGATAGACAACGTCGCTTCCAACGGCTGTGTCCTTCATTATGGACGAAGTCACCATAATTACGTCGTCTGCGGAGCTGGCAAGCTCCTTAATGACTAGGTAGACCATCTGGCGGAGGGATGCATCTTTGTTCTGGAAAAGCTTGGAGACTGGAGCATTTTAGCATCTGCACGCCTGTGGAGAGAATTGGCACCGTACTTCCAAAGAATAATGTTGTGGCTTCCGGTCTCGCCCAACTTTCCCCTGTAAAGAGCAACAACGCAAGTTTGGTCAATATCTTTCCGACTCGTCAGCTTGCTTTCCAGCCCAATGTTCGAAAACGGCATACCACTCTGCATTTCCGCGGTGAGATTGGACTCTGATTGAATACTCGCGCTGCAAACTGTTGTCAGCATGCTGTTCAAGGAGGCAGCTCTCCAAAGCTGTACGGCTCCAAGGCTCTGCGATACCTTCTTGGAACACCGAAGTCTTGTCAATTTGCGCCACCATGGCGACGTCCTCATGCTTCTTGTCCATATTGTCCTAACTTCGGGCCGCAGCCTCGAGCTCCCGATGTGTCGTTATAATATCTCCTTCCCCAGGTGCGCCAAACGTGTCCTTTCCAGCGGCAGGTGAATTGCACCCGTGTACGGTCTCCGATAAACGAGTCAAGGATTGTGACGACCTCTGGGGAAGGATGAGGCTGCTAAGAGGGGACCGGAGGAGGTAAGGGTGATTTGGCGTACGTTGTAGTTGCCCGCATTGGACATGCAAGGATGCGCAAGTGTGGGTTGCGCCAAGACCCTTACTAAGCCGATCGACGGAGGTGCGGCTATTCGAGGACGGAGTATGAGTTAGATTCTTGAGTCTTTGCAAATAGCGCTTTTCCTTCATCTGGCTGTTATGGCGGCCTCAATACCTCGTGGAAGATGTCTCCTGGCATCCTCATCTTGTCGTTCTACCCAACGGAGCGTTAGATCCTCCCCACGATGTGTGCGGCAGTTTGCCTCCACAGTCGATGCGCCCTCTACTACATCTTCTCAATCATCTCGACCACGCACTGCTTTCCAAGATAAACTGAATGCAGGACCTTCATTCTCCGATTTTGTTTCGCCAAACGCGCCTCTACCACCTTCGGAAGCGTACGAAATCCGCACGGCGAAAGTTGGCAAGAAGACCATCACCAGATTGCCTTCGTGGCTAAAGACGCCCATACCCAATAACAACAACTACAAGAAGATCAAAAATGATTTACGCGGTCTAAATCTGCACACCGTGTGTGAAGAGGCGCGATGTCCCAACATTTCCGATTGCTGGGGTGGAAGTTCAAAGAGTGCCGCCACGGCTACCATCATGCTCATGGGCGATACTTGTACCCGAGGATGTCGGTTTTGTTCAGTGAAGACATCGAAGACACCGCCGCCCTTGGATCCCCACGAGCCGGAAAATACAGCTGAAGCGCTGCGGAGGTGGGGTTTAGGCTACGTGGTTCTTACATCGGTGGACCGCGACGATTTGGCGGACGGAGGAGCACACCACTTTGCGGAGACCATCATGAAAATCAAGCAGAAGGCGCCGACAATGCTTGTGGAGGCATTGACCGGGGATTATGCCGGCGATAAGGAAATGGTCAAACTTGTTGCAACGAGTGGACTGGACGTGTATGCGCACAATATCGAGACGGTGGAGGAACTGACGCCATTTGTTCGTGATCGAAGGGCGAAGTTCCGACAGAGTTTGGAGGTTTTGAAGACAGCAAAGGAGGCTAAGCCTTCCCTGATTACCAAGACAAGTATCATGTTGGGCCTTGGGGAGACTGAGGAACAGATATGGCACGCATTGAAGGGTAGGCACTACCCAATATTGGAGAGACCCCACGTGCTGACCATCGTTAGAATTGAGGAAGAATGACGTTGACGTCGTAACATTCGGACAGTATATGCGACCGACCAAGCGACATATGCCAGTCCATTCTTATGTCACACCCGACCAGTTCGAGCTGTGGCGACAGCGGGCCCTTGACCTGGGATTCCTCTACTGTGCGTCAGGGCCACTCGTCCGGTCAAGTTATAAAGCAGGGGAGGCGTTCATTGAGAATGTGCTGAAGAAGAGAGCGGCCCAGCGGAGCGAGCTTGCCGGAGATCAGCCTGCAGAAGCTCAGCCCGTCAAAGATGCGGAGATAACGGCATGAGCCGAGTGGAGGAAATTTTTGTTTGTGTATGATAGCAGTTGTACAACTGGGGTATACAGGTCGGCCTCAGGGGGTATAAACGACTAATGATTCACCATCTAGGGTATTTCCTCAACGGATACCCATTTCCACGCTCACCGCTGCACCTTCAAGACACGTCTTCGCTGCCTTCCCAACCTCTCTCGTATGTACCATATGTGTAATTCAGTCGTCTTTGGGCTCACAGAGCGCAAGCCCCACAGCCTGCCGTACCTCCCATCCGTATCGGTGGCCTAGAGTCCCTTGCTGTCGGCACCCTTCCCACACCCCTTCTATCACCTCGGTTGCGGGCGGAGTTGAACATGCGCCCCTGGTAGCTATCCGGCGGCGGAGCTGGATGTGCAGGTCGGAAGTAGGTATTCGAACCCGGAGCGCGGAAGGGAGAGCTTCGTGCGGCGTCCCACGTGTCCATGCTAAAGAGGGTTGTGAAGTAGAGAGCCACGAAGGTAAAGACGGTGTCAGTCGCTGACTGGACGAATGATTTACTGCTGCCTGTCAGTCTATGTTATGACAAACAATCTGGGCATTATGTGGGCATAAATACTTCTCGGAAGCCATGACTGGAGAGTGGACGTTAGTTGAACAGATTGCTAGAACACCGCGTTTTGGGCTGTGGCTTTGCTTTTGTCAAACTGCGGAGGATGGCGGAGGTGCCTGGAAATCTTGGCACAGAACGCGCGCTAAATTTATTTTTAGGCTGACTTCAAGACAACCAACGAGTACCATCGCGTTCTATACAATATTAAACAGAAGGAATATCATTGCAATGGCAAAATCACGCACCAAAACACATAATCAGGAGACGAAGAGCAAGGTATACAATATGTAAATGAATAACGGTTTGTTTTGATAGCTAACGATTTGCGATCAGAAAAGAAAGGTCTCTTTCATAGAGCAAGAGAATGACGAGGACTCGACGGTATACGATGCCGAAGTGGAGAAAGAGACCACGCCGGCAAGCCCAGCACATGCTCCCAAGCGTGCGCGTCAAAGTACTGGCGATTTGGATACTTCGAAGCCGTCTGCAATTTTCAAGCCGAAGCGAGGGCGGCAGTGGACGCTGAGCATTGCTCTGCCGGGAAGCTTCATTGCCAAGTAAGTCCATTTTCTTCTGTCTTTATGTATGCTTTGCTTTTTGGCCTTAGGTTGTCGTCCCTCATCTTAGAAGATCCACGGAGACGACTCAATCTTATTCCACTCGAAGTCACGTGTTCCGCGAAAGAAATGCCATGTATATCTGACTGACGTTGTGACAGCACAAAAGCCATTGACCAGAAGAATGAGCTCGCAGGCCGAATTGCCCGTGCAGCTGCCGTGTTCTGTGTCGACGAAGTCATCATCTTCGACGATGCGCCCGACAAAATCCCTCCCCAGCTCGCCCACATGCAAGGAAAAGGGAAAAACGCAAAGAGCAAAGCGCAGATATTGAGCGAATTAGCAGAAGACCAAGAGCCCTGGGACAACCCGGACCAATTTCTCTACCATATCCTCACTTACCTTGAAACCCCCGGCCATCTGCGAAGGGTCTTGTTTCAAGGGCATCATCCGAACCTGAAGGGGGTGGGTAAGTTACCGACGCTGGATATGCCTCATCATATGAGGCAAGACGAGTGGCTTCAGTACCGGGAAGGCGCGGCTTTCGCACCGCCGGAACGAAATAGACGAAAATCTGGAGGGGCCGAGCCCGAGGAGACGCTCATTGACTGTGGGTTCAAATATCCTGTCAAAGTACCCTGTGCAATACCGGCAGGGAGCAGAGTGACGCTTAAGTTTGCGGATGCGGAAGCGCCAAAGGGCTGGCCGCACTTGACGGAAGTGCAAACCGCGGAACTGGAAGTAGAGCCGACGTCACCGACCGCGCCTCGTGAGGAAGCTGGATACTATTGGGGATTCAGCGTACGGAAAGCAGATTCCTTGTCCGCGGTATACCAGGAGGCACCCTTCGCAGACGGGTACGATTGCACCATAGGGACGAGTGAGCGAGGGGTCCCGCTATCCTCCATCATGCCCGGCGCGCCCTCTCTCCCGGAAAAGTCCGAGTCGACTGGAGAATTCGATAAACTACCGGATAAGTTCAACCATCTCTTACTTGTCTTCGGCGGCGTTACTGGCTTGGAGACAGCGGTCGCATCCGATCCCATATTGAGCAAGAAGGGTCTGAGGAAGGAGAACGCGCATGAAGCGTTTGATCTCTGGGTGAACCTCGTTCCAGGTCAAGGAAGCAGGACGATTAGGACGGAAGAGGCTGTTTGGTTAGGTTTGATGGGGACGAGGGAGTACGTCAATTCCATGTCTTGAGATGGTGGAATGGCTACATCTTGGAGTGTGGGTTCCTTGAAAGCTTTGGTTGGTTGGAAGGGCCGATACCCGTCTTTGTTGAATTCAGTACCGGTCTGAACTCGTCTATACCATTACCTATCTAATCCTGCTGTACCACTGGAGCGATTGGGCGAATCTACTTGGAAGAGCTCGAAGGGGAAACATGTCTTTTAATTCGTCGCTATAAGATGATGTTTGCGAATGAAAATCTAGCAGGTGGCATCTGGCCTAGGCAATTACGCTTAAGCACACGTAGACTGCTTCATCCGATTCAAGCTGGTTTACAAAAACGCCTGTGAGATCGCATCCTTCCGCTCCTTCAGCAGGAAAATCACATCATCGTTCCCGAACGGAAGACTAGCGCCTGGATTTGGTTTGCTATGATTGAATCGAGGGAACACCGGAGCCTTAAGCCCACGGCGACCTCCGTTTGCCTTATTTGTCTTCTCCACATCGATATGGATTTCATACCTGGTGACCAGCCCTGCTACGGCAAAACCAATTATGCGGCGTGCTAAATTGCGACCGGGACACAGTGTGCTGCCTCCGCCGAATGGCCTGTAGGATTTCGAGTTCAGAAGCTTGGGATTCGATAGGAAGCGGTCCGGGTGAACCTTGGAAGGATCGGCTCCCCAAACGTCTCGGTTGCGATGAAGTTGATGGAAAGGAACCTGTCGCGGTCAGTCAGAGTTAGAATGGAAGGAGTGGGGTTAACTATACGAGCATTTTGCTGCCCGGTTCCAAGACTTTATCCCGGATTTGCGTGGGCTTCGTAACGTCCCGGACCAAAGGGCTAGCAACCGCGAGGCGAAGAGTTTCGTTAATCAGGGAGTTCAGTAAATGACTCTTCTCAAATATGTAGTTCTCATCGTATTCATTAGCCCTAAACGCTCCGCTTGCTTCTTCTCGTATGGCAAGGAGAAGCTCGGGGTCAAAAATGAAATAGGCGAAAACCCAAAATGCAACTTTGTACGTATTTCCCAGGACACTGTGTCGCTGTTAGTCGGAAATTCGTCCTTATACTTCAAGTACACGTAACGTGACCTACAACTGAACGACGCACACAACCGAACGACGCACACAACCGAACGACGCACACAACCGAACGACGCACACAACCGAACGACGCACACAACCGAACGACGCACCCCACCAAGACTTTCAACTTTCACCCGCAAATAGTCAATACCAGAACAAGCTACTGTGCCGCATAAGGTATCAAATTAATCATCAGCATCTACTGTATCTTTCTTGCATGTGCGCGAGTTGTGTCCAGTCTCTCTACAGCGCTTGCAGTGCCTTTTCACCTGACGACCTGCACCTGTTCGCATCCTACCCTCACGTATTTCTTCGTCTAGCTGTGCCTCAACATCAATTCGAGTTAACAGCTCCTCTGCCTCAGTCTTCGATAGGTCTCCTCCTTTCTGAATCCGCTTCCTTTTGTGTTTCTTTCGTTCAGATGTAGCTTGGTTTGCTCACTCAAGAGTATCAACTCGAGCTGCTAACAGTGTCTGTGAATGCAGCATTATCTCAGCACCTTTTCTAAACTGTGCAACCATGTTGATTATTGAAGCAGGTGAGGAGCTCTTGTGCCTTTCAATCTGAGTGTGAATAAGCGTTGATTGAGCATCTATCTCAAGGGCATTGCTTGGTGTTTTAGGGTTCCATTCAGTTGTTCCTGGCAGAGGAGGTGTTGGCATACGAAGCTTCACTTCAAGCCTTGATAGCACCATCTCTAGACAGTACGGAACTAAACCAGTTGCTCTGAAGCTTGACCGAATATTCTTATCTGAGAATGAGCTGTGGTAAACCTCTTTAAATGAGGCTAGGAATGCCTTCTTATCGATATGTTCAATGTGATTGTTCGCTAAGCCTCTGATCTCTTTTCCGTATGCCCACTTCAATGGTGAAAAACACCCAACATCAAGTGGCTAGAGGATGTGTGATGAGTGTGGGGGCATACAGAGGGTAATAATCTTGTTTTCCTCACAGAGGTCCTGGAATTTGAGTGACTTGTGGCTCTCGTGACTGTCGATAACAAGCAGCACATGGCTCCCTACTCTCCGGCTATCTGTATATCTGATAAAGTGCTTTAACCAGGCTAAACCAAGCTCATTTGTTGTCCAACCATTATCACTAACACTAATATGCCACTCGGGCAGTATATAGTGGTACCAGGAGGTATCATGGTTCTTTGCTTTGAAGATAAAGAAGGGCGGGATTGCCTAGCCAGTTGCGTTGACTTCTGCGATCAACGTCACCCACTCACGGTTGTCAGGCTGGATTCCTAATGGCCGAGTACGTCTTTCTGAAGCAGTAACAACCTTAACGCTTCCTGCAACACCCATAGTAAAGCCAGTCTCATCAAAGTTATAGATGTCTTGATCTAGGATGCTATACTTTGCCTGTACATTCCGTACAAGGTCAAACCAAGGGGTAATAACTGCTGGATTGTTGCAAAGGACTCTTTGGTGATCGCACTGTCGAGTCAATTGGGATTTAAGCTCGGGCGTGTGACGGACGAAGTTGGTAGGCCAGTTTACGCCAACCTGGCCTCCACCACGTATAGCAAGGAGTTGGTCGGCCATTTCCTGTAGATAACCTAGAGTAGAGGCAAAGCCTCATGTATCGAGCTTCCTTGTATATTTTATAATAGCCTCCTCTTCACTCCTAGTAAGCCTTGATGCGTTAGGCTGAGAAGCATGTCTTGAAGGTCGTCTGGCGTGTCGCGCTCGAAGAGTGCATTCAGAAACATTGTAGATTGAAGCAGCACGTCGCTGGCTTAGATTCGGGTCTCTTTTTATTGCTTGAATCACCATAATAATTCTCTCTTCACAAGAAAGTAATTCAACGTTGCGTGGTTGAGACATTGCTGTTTGAAAATGAGAGGTGTTGATGCTTAGTGGGGTGCGTCGTTCGGTTGTGTGCGTCGTTCG